CGACCCTGCTCGTTTCGCCGACTAGCTTGTCCATATCCGATACCGACCATTTGTGTTCTTCCTCCGATCCGGGGTATAGCCTGTAGACCTCTTCGCAGAACTCCTTGAAGGTCTTCGTGGCGTCGGTGAAAGTGGTGAGCGATTCCCAAAGCTCACAGGTGTCGACATCTAGGAATCGGCAAGCGTGTTTCTTTCTTTCTTGTTCGTCCACTACCGCAGACCGAACAAAGTGGAAGTCCAGATCGGAGAAATATCGTCTCAATTCGCGGGGTTGATGGGGGTCAAAGGTCGGGGCCGTTCGATCTCCACGAGCGGGCATGGATGGGGTCGCCATAGTGAGAAAGTCAAAGGTGGGGGAGAAGGTATTGTTTTCTAAGGTGATCGGGGATGGAGTCGCTGGTTCGAAGGAGCGTTCTAGTGAAGTCGGTCGGATGGTCGGCGTCCAGAAGACGGGGCTGCGTGGGATTAACGGAGAGATGGAGTCGTGGAGAGATGGGATAGGAGACGGGGGTGATTGTTCTAAGAGTGCAAGATCAAGGATGGGGGAAATCGGCGGGAGTAGCGATCGGTTCGGCGACGAAGGTGGGGTTAAGAAGAAAGTGGAGTCGGGTGGCGGTGAGAGCGATGGCGAGGATTCGAGATCAAGGTAGTGATGGTGGGATAAGTGTTCTGGGACTATATCGGCGTCTCCGAACAAACTTCGGTCGGCAGATGTTTCCTGGGTATTGAAGCTATCGATAACTGTTTGTCGTTCTTCGCGCTCCGCTGTTGGTCGGGACGAGCGACGTAGATTCCTTGAGGTAATTTTGAATACTAACCCCTCGCGGTGGGCTTCAAAATGATACGCTAGAGGTGGCTCTAAGTGCTGGGCACAACACCAAAACAACCTCTAATGCAAGGGGGTGCTGGAGCTAGTATCTAATACACAAGGAATTGTTAGTGATGACTTTAGAAATCGATGGCGTACTGAGGAGCAACGGGGAGTATGAGATTATAGCGCCCGAACGGTTTCGGGACTGCGCCGAACACCGACCGAACGTTCGGTCGGTCGTGTCGGGGATTCGGTCGGTAACGAGAAGGTAGTGTTGCGACCGACAACTACGTGCTTCAAGAGCCACACGGGACTCTGACAATAGACGAGGGAGGATGGGGGTACGAGCGAAGAGACGAGTACGAACGCGAATGAGGCCGAACGACGAGGATGACAAGTTTTCGGGAGTCGATGAAGACAATTTCGATGGTTGAGACGAGTGCGAATGAGCTCTGAACTGTGGGGTGCGAAAGCTGGTTTATTCCAGAGTTGTATGTAGGTTTTTATAGTAAACAGCGCCCCTAAGTAAAATATCGAACCCGAAATGAGAGTAGATGTCGAATGGGCGCCAAGCCCCAGCGATCAGAGAAGATAAGAAGGTAGGTGAGATGTCTATATGGGTTCCGAAGGTGATAAGGTAAAAGGTAATCAGTGATGTCGACATCCCGAACGTTCGGGATCCGTCGCCCGAGCATAGGTAGCAGGAACAGGCGTTGGAGAGCCAATGAAAAATAAAGAAGAGGTGTCGTACGACCGGGGTGGCCAAGCAATGGTGCAAGATCGCGTTTGACCGACCATGCGGAAGTCAGGAAGATAAGCGATAAGGACCGACCGACTCACGGAGGACATCGGCCGATACGGAATACTGGCTCCGATCTCGTAAACACTTATCGTAACACTCCTATGCGGTCATGGTAAGTACGTGAAGTGTGGGCAAACTGACCCAAGTGCTGCCGAACGTCCTTCGGTGGCTTGTCGTCGGTCGGGTAGGGACCGATCGTGTTCGGTAAAAGTCGGCATCTTCGGTACTTGTCGAGCGCTGTTCGGTATCTCCCCAAAGCTTCCCGACGACCTCCCTCGGACCCTAGCGCGGGTGCATGCTCATCAACGTCACCCACATCCTCCAGCCAGAGATACCAGACACCACCATTCCTTTCATCGACGATGTTCCGATTCGGGGCCCACCGACCCGATACGAACTTCCGAACGGCGGCTTCGAGACGCACCCCGACAACTCCGGCATACGACGATTTGTGTGGGAACACTTTCAAGGCCTCAATCGAGTGGTTCAGCGAATGAAGTACAGCGGAGGAACATTTTCGGGACACAAGGCGACACTCTGCGCAGCCGAAATCACGGTGGTCGGCCATCGGTGCACGTATGAAGGACGATTACCCGACAAATCTAGGGTAGAGTCAATTATGAAGTGGGGACCTTGCAGGGATCTCTCTGACGTTCGGGCATTTTTGGGGACGATCGGTGTCGTTCGGATCTTCATTCGGAATTTTGCACACAGGGCGCATGCACTGACAATGTTAACGCGCAAAGATTTTCCATTCGTGTTCGGCCCAGACCAGATAGCGGCCCAGGACGACCTCCGGTCGGCACTTCTCGAATCGCCAGCCCTGCGGCCGATCGACTATGGGTCGGCAGCCAACGTCATCCTCGCCGTCGATACCTCACAAATCGCGGTCGGCTTCCACCTCTGTCAATGCGCACTCGACAATCCGCGGGTTCGGTACTATGCTCGATTCGGCTCCATCACCCTTAACGACCGCGAATCGCGATTCTCCCAGCCAAAGCTCGAGCTCTACGGTCTCTTTCGCGCCCTCCGATCGCTCAAAATGTATCTCATCGGCGTTCGGAATCTGATAGTCGAAGTAGACGCACGCTATATCAAGGGCATGCTCACTAACCCGGATCTCGAACCCAGCGCCAGCATCAATCGGTGGATCGTCTCCATCCTTACCTTCCATTTCACACTTGTCCACGTCCCCGGCACCTCTCACGGCCCCGATGGCCTCTCCCGACGACCACCACAACCCTCCGATCGACCCGAACCCGAAGACGACTTTGACGACTGGATCGACAATCTCTACGGCTTCCTCCATCAGATCAACAACACGTTCCCCACCTCCATCTCAACCTCGACAACTGCCATCTTCACCTCCTCGCTCATAGGCGACCTCCCGACCGATACCGAGTCCGACGACGAAGGCCCGACCATCGACTATTCAGATATCCCAAGATCGCAAAAAGCTTTGGAAGCCGAAGAACGCCTATGGTTGGTCCGCGACTGGCACCGAACATTGGTTCGGCCCCCTTCTCTCTCCGACTCCGAATATGCGACTTTTCTACGATATTGCACTGAGTTCTTTATCGCAGCCGACAAGCTATGGAGAAAAGACTCACACGGCCGACACAAGATTGTTGCAGCCCCCTCTAGTCGGATCACAATTCTCACTGCCGCCCACGACGACGTCGCTCACAAGGGTTTCTACGCCACGACTGCCTTGATCGCCGAACGCTTCTGGTGGCCGCACATGAGGCAAGACATTTCCTGGTTTGTTCGGACCTGTCACCTTTGCCAGATTCGCCAGACTCGCAACGTCCTCATTCCCCCAACCGTCGCCACGCCTGCACCACTCTTCGCGAAGATGTATATGGACACCATGCACATGCCAACCGCTGGTGGTTTCAAGTATCTCGTTCAAGGTCGCTGTTCGGTATCGCACTACCCCGAATTCCGAATGCTGCGACGCGAAACAAGCTCAGCCCTCGCCGACTGGATCTTCGAGGATATCCTGTGCCGATGGGGAACATTGGTAGAGATCGTCTCCGACAACGGACCAGCGTTCGTCAAGGCGCTCGACCAGTTAGCGAAAAAGTACCACGTTCGGCACATCCGTATTTCGGGCTACAATTCCCGCGCCAACGGCATCGCCGAACGACCTCACTTCAACGTTCGGCAGGCCCTGTTCAAAGCCGTTGATGGAGATCAGGCCAAGTGGAATCGTGCAGCTCATTTCGTATTCTGGGCTGATCGCATTACTGTTCGGCGCCGAATGGGTTGCTCGCCATACTTCGCAGCGACCGGAACCCATCCCCTTCTCCCCCTCGACATCGCCGAAGCCACCTACCTCCTGCCACCGCCGACCACAACCCTCAGCACCACCGACCTCATCGCCCGACGGGCCATAGCCTTGCAGAAACGCCGATCGGACCTCGCCCACCTTCGCAGCTCAGTTGTCGGCGCCCGTGTCCAGGCCGCCATCCGATTCGAACAACAGCATTCGGCCACCCTTCGCGACTTCAATTTCCACCGAGGCTCGCTTGTCCTGATGCGCAACACAGCCATAGAAAAGGCGCTCAATCGGAAGATGCGTCCACGATATTTGGGACCTTTTCTGGTGATTTCTAGGAACCGAGGAGGAGTGTATATTCTGGCCGAACTTGACGGATCGGTCTTTGATCGGCCAGTGGCAGCATTCCGCATTATTCCTTACTTTGCTCGCAGATCTCTGAAGCTCTCCGACCTTGAAGCCCTCCTCGACATCTCACAAGCACGCCTTCGGGCCATGGAAGAATCCAGATCGAACGACGACGACGCTGAAGACGACGACACCGACGAAGAGGATACCGACACCAGCTCCATCCGATCAGCAGAAGACGACGATGTGGCTTCGGCGACTTCCGACTAGACCCACCCTCCCACTCTTCGCTCTCTTCGGTCGGTGACTGGGGACAGTCATGATTTCAGTAGGGAGGAGGATGCACAGATATACCCATTCCTTATTCCAATTTATTCGTCACAGACATGGACTGACACCCGATTATTTCCGCATCTCTTAGTACTTTTGCCGCCGACCAATCGCCGACCGAATAGTCGGCACTCATTTTCCCCATCACTCCTTCAAGTACCAAGCCGCATTGAAGACTTCTTCCGATTTGCGCAAAACCATAGGGTTTTATGCCTGTGATGACATACTGAGGCTTCCCCTAATATTCCAATTTATTCTCTTCATTTCTGCCGAACGCGTCGCTTACAAGTACATTCACACAGCCATTTCGCCGACCGATTTTCCGAAACAATGCCTCTAGTCTTCACCGAACGTCTCAGTTTAAACTCAGGACAGTCCATTCACTTTTATGATACATTTTACTATACGACAGAACCCTCGAAGCTATTCTACTCATCAGGAAGAAAGTCGTCCGACACCGACCTTCCCGAATCGTCTGCCTCCGACGAGTCCTCGACCAAGACAGCGTCGGGGGACGTGGATGGACCCGCCCGCACCTCGAGCGACTCGAGCTCAGCCTGCCACATCGCGACCGATCGCGCCAGCGAAGCACGCGTACCCTCAGCCACCGCGATGCGGTACCGAAGCTCAGACGCGATGCCTTGGGCGACGATGGGCGAGAGAAGAGAAGAGTCGGAAGGAGCGGGGAAGGCAGCCGAACGAGCGCGGGAAGGGCGGGTAGGAGCGAGGACGGCCCTAGCCGTGGTAGGAAGCCGCTGGACCGGCTTTCGGGTGCGAACGGCTGCACCGAACAATACCGAACGATGAGCTCCCATCTCCAATCCAACCGAAAAATAACTTACCTTTCGTTTGGGCGATGCTATCCCCGACTGACCGCACGGGGATAACCACCTCTACCTTACGACGCTTTAAGGGGCGTTCCCTCTCCTCCGCCTTGGGCGCCGACTGCTCCTTCGACTTCCCCTTCCCCTTCTCCTTCGACTTCCCCTTCCCCTTCTCCACCGGCATCCACCCGGGCTGGAAGCTACACCCCTTCGACTCCCTGGCACACTTAGTGCACGACACCAGCCCAGGTCTCTGGTAGCAACGGAACGCCTTGGTCAGAAAGGCGGTCGCACAGCGGTGACAAGCGTAGTTGGCCTAGAAGAAGGATGGTTAGCAAGAGGAAACGGCGGCAAGAGGGAGGGAACTCACCAGTACATCACCAGGTAACAACTCGGGCGGATCTTCGAGCATTTTACCGGCACCATTCCGCTCCACAGGGGACCTAACGGTCGACATTCGGCCCGTCCCAGGGCCGAGAGGAAGGACAACGCGTCCAAGAGGTGGCGTCCGTTGGTGAGCAAACTCGACGACAACAGCCGCGGCCGACTGTTTGCCCTTCACGTCGGTCGGGGCAGCGGCGGCGACCCGACCCACGCTCATTCGGTCCAGGGCATCGGTTGCGGATGCAAGCGCAGAGTCAGCGGCGGACAGGTCGGGATAGGACGAGTCGGCGGACGGGTCGGGATAGGACGAGTCGGCGGACGGATCGGGATGGGATAAGTCGGCGGACGGGACAGGATGAGAAGAGGAAGCGGCGGCGGAGGGAGAAGGAGAGAGAAGGAAGAGAGGGAGAGGGAAGACGGACTCGGCCTCGAGCTCAGCCAATTGACGCTCACCCTCTTCAGGATCGAGCGAGCCATCAAACATCGCGTCCACCAGCAACTCCCGGCGCCGTTCACGATCTACTTCAGCCGACTTCCGAGCCGCAGCAGCCCGCGTCGCCTCAGCTTCGGCAGCCTCCTGTTCGGCGACGGCAACACGCTCCCTCTCCTCCACTAGTGCCTGTTCCTCGGCCGCTTGTTGTTGCTGCAAAGCGACGCGCGCCGCCCGCTGCGGCAGGATTCGCGCTCCCCATACCAGCCAGTCGTCAGTAGCCATTGGATCGAGACCACGTTCGGCCTCGGCGATAAAGTCGGCGAGTTCGGGCACGTCTTGCCCACGCGCCAAACGTTCGAAAACAGCCTGTCGGGCGTCAGCAGCCAGCAGAAGACGAGAGGAAGGACTGACTCACCACCCGTTTGGCAAACCCTTGCCCCCAGACCTCGTAATCCTCATATTCGGCAGCGCCGTCCGGGAGGGAGAGCATGTAATCGGCGAGTTTCGCCTTCAGGACAGAAATAAGGGACGACATGAGAGACGAAGAGGGAGGAAAGAAGGCGATGAGGGACTTAGTCGCTGGAGAATCAACGATCATCAGGTGATTGTGGTCACCTGACAAAGCCCCGTGCCGCTGCGTTCGGCAGAAGCCGCGATACGCGCCACCGCTCTTTGCCGACACGACTCTCACGCCAGCGTCTAGTTGGGGCACTCTAGGTCTCAGCCACTGCCTCACCTAATCCGTTGCCACGCCACAGGACTTTGCCAACTCAGCCCCGGTCTCTCTTGCGCGCCGACCCGGTCCTTTCTACGACATCTCCTTGCCGATTACTCACCTGTGCCACATCTCTCCTACGCACCCACTTCTTTCCACGCCATCGCTCATTGCCGATCCTTTTCCCACGTAACTTGCCACGCCACCACATTTTCCACGCCATTTTTTTTCCCGCTCCGACTCATAGCCGCCGACCACTGACTGGGGACAGTCAGGATTTCAGTAGGGAGGAGATGATGAGCATGCACCCGCGCTAGGGTCCGAGGGAGGGATTCGGGAAGCTTTGGGGAGATACCGAACAGTGCTAGACAAGTAGCGTCTTTTACCGAACACGGTCGGTCCCTACCCGACCGACGACAAGCCACCGAAGGACGATTCGGCAGCACTTGGGTCAGTTCGCCCACACTTCACGTACTTACCATGACCGCACAGGAGGGTTACGATAGGTGTGTACGAGATCGGAGCCAGTATTCCGTATCGGCCGATGTCCTCCGTGAGTCGGTCGGTCCTTATCACTTATCGTCCCGACTTCCGCATGGTCGGTCAAACGCAATCTTACACCATTGCTTGGCCACCCTGGTCGTACGATACCTCTTCTTTATTTTTCATTGGTTCTCCAACGCCTGTTCCTGCTACCTACACTCGGGCGACGGATCCCGAACGTTCGGGATTTCGACATCACTGATTACCTTTTACCTTATCACCTTCGGAACCCATATGGACATCTCACCTACCTCCTTATCTTCTCTGATCGCCAAGGCTTGGCGCCCATTCGACATCTACTCTCATTTCTTGTTTAATATTTTACTTAGGGGCTCAGTTTACTATAAAAACCTACATACAACTCTGGAATAAACCAGCTTTCGCACCCCACAGTTCAGAGCTCATTCGCACTCGTCTCAACCATCGAAATCGTCTTCATCGACTCCCGAAAACTTGTCATCCTCGTCGTTCGGCCTCATTCGCGTTCGTACTCGTCTCTTCACTCGTACCCCCATCCTCCCTCGTCTATTGTCAGAGTCCCGTGTGGCTCTTGAAGCACGTAGTTGTCGGTCGCGACACTACCTTCTCGTTACCGACCGAATCCCCGACACGACCGACCGAACGTTCGGTCGGTGTTCGGCGCAGTCCCGAAACCGTTCGGGCGCTATAATCTCATACTCCCCGTTGCTTCTCAGTACGCCATCGATTTCTAAAGTCATCACTAACAATTCCTTGTGTATTAGATACTAGCTCCAGCACCCCCTGCATTAGAGGTTGTTTTGGTGTTGTGCCCGGCACTTAGAGCCACCTCTAGCGTATCAACGGGCAAAACCTTGGCCCCAGAGCTCATAATCTTCATACTCAGCCACTCCATCTGGGAGGGAGAGCATGTATTCAGCAAGTTTCGCCTTGAGAATGGGGAGGATGGACGGCATTCGGAAGAGGAGACAAAGCGGCAGGAGGATGGCGACGAGGGACTTAGTCGCTGGAGAATCAACGATCGGCAGGTGATTGTGGTCACCTGACAAAGCCCCGTGCCACGGCGCCCGGCAGAGACCGCGATACGCGCCACCATCCTTTGCCGACACACTCTCACGCCAGCGTCTAGTTGGGGCACTCTAGGTCTCAGCCACTGCCTCACCTAATCAGTTGCCACGCCACAGGACTTTGCCAACTCAGCCCCGGGCTCTCTTGCGCGCCGACCCGGTCCTTTCTACGACATCTCCTTGCCGATTATTCACCTGTGCCACATCTCTCCCACGCACCCATTCCTTTCCACGCCACCGCTCATTGCCGATCTTTTTCCCATGAAACTTGCCACGCCGCTCCAGGTTCCACGCCACAGCTATTCTTTCCACGCTAGCGCTTGTTGCCGATGCTTTCCCACATCTCTCCCACGCGCCCACTTCTTTCCACGCCATCGCTTGTTACCGACGCTTTCCCACATCCACACACCACGCGCCCTGATCCACGTGCAGTGTTGCCACGCCATTTTTTCCGCTCCAACTCATAGCCGCCGACCACTGACTGAGGACAGTCAGGATTTCAGTAGGGAGGAGATGATGAGCATGCACCCGCGCTAGGGTCCGAGGGAGGTATTCGGGAAGCTTTGGGGAGATACCGAACAGCGCTCGACAAGTACCGAAGATGCCGACTTTTACCGAACACGATCGGTCCCTACCCGACCGACGACAAGCCACCGAAGGACGTTCGGCAGCACTTGGGTCAGTTTGCCCACACTTCACGTACTTACCATGACCGCATAGGAGTGTTACGATAAGTGTTTACGAGATCGGAGCCAGTATTCCGTATCGGCCGATGTCCTCCATGAGTCGGTCGGTCCTTATCGCTTATCTTCCTGACTTCCGCATGGTCGGTCAAACGCGATCTTGCACCATTGCTTGGCCGCCCTGGTCGTACAATACCTCTTCTTTATTTTTCATTGGCTCTCCAACGCCTGTTCCTGCTACCTACGCTCGGGCGACGGATCCCGAACGTTCGGGATTTCGACATCACTGATTACCTTTTACCTTATCACCTTCAGAACCCATATGGACATCTCACCTACCTTCTTATCTTCTCTGATCGCTGGGGCTTGGCGCCCATTCGACATCTACTCTCATTTCGGGTTCGATATTTTACTTAGGGGCGCTGTTTACTATAAAAACCTACATACAACTCTGGAATAAACCAGCTTTCGCACCCCACAGTTCAGAGCTCATTCGCACTCGTCTCAACCATCGAAATCGTCTTCATCGACTCCCGAAAACTTGTCATCCTCGTCGTTCGGCCTCATTCGCGTTCGTACTCGTCTCTTCACTCGTACCCCCATCCTCCCTCGTCTATTGTCAGAGTCCCGTGTGGCTCTTGAAGCACGTAGTTGTCGGTCGCGACACTACCTTCTCGTTACCGACCGAATCCCCGACACGACCGACCGAACGTTCGGTCGGTGTTCGGCGCAGTCCCGAAACCGTTCGGGCGCTATAATCTCATACTCCCCGTTGCTTCTCAGTACGCCATCGATTTCTAAAGTCATCACTAACAATTCCTTGTGTATTAGATACTAGCTCCAGCACCCCCTGCATTAGAGGTTGTTTTGGTGTTGTGCCCAGCACTTAGAGCCACCTCTAGCATATCACCGGGCTAGACTTGCAGTGTGCTAGGCCTACGCATCTGGAGAGAATGCATCTGTACTTCAGAAGGAGTCTGAGGTTAGCTGAGAAAAGGTCCAGAGGCTTATAGGGAAAATGAGATGGGATGAACAAGAGGCACTCCTTCAGGAATTAGGCGAAGCTGAAACACAAGAAGAGAACCACCAAAGTAAAGGTACTGATTGACCCAGGAGCAGAAGGGCTCCTTATCAATAAACAATTCTGTTGAGAGCAAGGAATACCACTCCAAAAAATTAACAGATTCATTCTAGTGTTTAATGTAGATGAAACAGCAAATGAAGGAGGGAAAATCACGAACAAGGCATGCCTCCTAATGAGAATGATAAACAACAAAGGTGACTATCATGATGAGCAATGCGAGCTACAAGCTACTAACCTGGGAGGAGAAGATGTAATTCTAGGAACAGACTAGTTACACGAGCACAACCCACAGATTGACTGGGTGAAGAATCGTCTCACATTCTCCACCTGTGCCAGAATGTGCCTAGTCAGCCAACCAAAATTCACGATACAAGCACAACTCCTGTCACAACAAAAAAGCACAAGAACGATCAGATACTCCAAGATAGAAGACGAACCAGAAGAAGAAGAAAACATGGATGAAACCTTCTTCTCCAAATTCTATGAAGAATGGTACCACCAATATCCATCCAAAATGCACCCGCTCAAAGCAATCCATATTCAATTCATCCACAGCAAATCACAAGAGTTAGCAGAAATAGCAAACAAGAAGAAAGATAAATGCACAGTGGAAGAAATAGTTCTTATATATGTTCTCAAATGCTTTGCCAAAGTCTTTAATCAGGAAGCCTCACAACGACTCCCTGAACACTCGCAATGGGATCACAAAATTAATATGAAACCTGGATAGGAACTGAGCAGTTGTAAATTGTACCCCCTAACCGAAGAAGAAGAAGACAAGCTGTATGATATGCTGCAAGAGCATTTAAAAAGGGGAACAATACGAATATCAAACTCCCCACAAGCATCCCCGTTCTTCTTCATAAAAAAGAAAGAAGGAGATCTCAGACTGGTCCAAGACTACAGAAAGCTCAATGAATGGACAATAAGAAACAAATACCCGTTACCCATGATTGACAACGTGATCCAAACCATAGCAAAATCAAAGGCAAAAGTCTTCTCGAAATTCAATGTCAAATGGGGATACAACAACATCCGTATGAGAGAAGGAAATGAATGAAAAACATCCTTCCTAACCAAATTCGGCCTATTCAAATGCCTCATCATGTTCTTTAGACTTGGCAACTCGCCGGCAATGTTCCAAACCATGATGAATATCATCTTCTATGACCTCATCATTGCACAGGTCATAACGGTATACATGGATGATATTCTCATCTTCATGAAAACAGTGGAAGAACATCGACGAGTGACAATTCAAGTCATGCAGATACTTTTGGACAATGATTTATTCTTGAAACCTTCCAATTGCGCATTCGAAGTTGATACAGTTGAATACCTTGGTTTCATCATCTCCGCGGATAGCATAGCCATGGACCTGGTCAAGGTCGAGGGAATTTCCAAATGGCCAACTCCAACAAACCTGAAAGAAGTATAATCCTTCCTAGGCTTTGAAAATTTCTATTGAAGGTTCATCCAGGACTTTGCCACTATAGCACAACCCCTGAACGACCTCACAAAAAAGGACACTCCTTTCACATGGACAGAAGAATGCAATGCAGCATTTGAAACCCTCAAACTCTGCTTCACATCAACACCAGTGTGAATTTATCCTGACAGTAACTGACCATTCCAACTCAAAACTGATGCCTCCAACTTTGCCTCTGGCGCTATCTTATCGCAAGAAATCCCAGGTGATGGCTGGCACCCAGTAGCCTACTTATCGAAATCTTTCAATGCAGCCAAACAAAACTACGACATTTTCGATAAAGAACTACTAGCTGTCATCCATGCTCTCAACCACTGGCATATCTACCTTGAAGGAGCACACTACCCATTTGAAATATGGTCAGACCACAAGAATCTTCTTTACTTCTCCTCTGCCAGAACCTTGTCCCGCTGACAAGTACGCTAGGTGCTCTTCCTATCATGCTTCGATTTCACATTAGTACATAAACCTGGTACCTCCTACTGACCAGATGCTCTGTCCAGGTGTCCAGACCTAAAATGGGGGGTGAAATTAGACAACAAAAACCAGATACTACTACAACCCCAATTATTCATCAAAAGCGCCATAGAAAGAGGCACAGTTGAGATGCTAGATAGACAACTCAGGCAAGAGCTGAAGAACATCATAGAGAAAGACAAAGAAGTGATGGAAGCCATGGAAATCATCAAAGCATCAGGGCCAAGATCACTCTCTAAAGGACTACAAGAATGGAACCTAGAAGACGACCTTATCTGGCATAGAGGCAAAATATATGTCCCACCAAATAACAAACTAAAAAGAAAGATAGTAAAAATGTACCACAATTCACCTGCAACCAGACATCTGGGACAATGGAAGATGTATGTCCTAGTGTCAGACAACTTCTGGTGGCCTGGAATATCAACATTTGTAAAAGAATACATAACAGGATGCGCCACATGTCAGAACACAAAAAATATTATGCACCTTACACATGTCCCACTAATTCCAAACTAAATACCAGAAGGACCCTGGCAAGTGGTAACAATGGACTTTATTACAGATCTTTTGCAGGTTGGACCATATGATGCAATCCACATAATAGTAAATAGAAGCACCAAGGGAGTCATCTACACCCCATGCACAAAAACCATAGACACAGAAGGAACTGCTGACCTTTATATGAAAAACGTGTGGAAACGATATGGACTTCCAAGAAAGATTATTTCAGACCGAGGACCGCAGTTTGCCGCTAGGTTCACTAAAGAGCTCTGGAAGAAGCTGGGAATAATGATAGCACTATCTACTGCATATCACCCAGAGACGAACAGAGAAACCGAAAGAATAAACCAAGAGCTGTAACAGTACCTCTGAGTGTTCTGCAATTACAAACAGATGAACTGGCCTGAACTCCTACCATATGCAGAGTTTGCACATAACATTAGAGAACACTCAGCCACACATCAATCCCCATTTGAACTCATTTATGGCTACAACCTGACCTTCACACCCCAAATCACCCCGAGATCCGATATCCCTCGTATAGAATAAAGACTGGAGAAACTAAAACAATTACGAGAAGAAATCAAAGCCAGTCTAAAAATCGTAGCAGAACTGATGAAAGGAAAAACCACCAAAAATGAAGTCAAACTAGAAGCAGGACAGAAAGTTTGGCTCTTGGGAAAGAACATCACCACTATATACCCTAAAGACAAATTAGCCCCTAAATTACATAGACCACTCAAAATCGAAGAAAAACTAGGACCAGTCACGTACAAGTTAAAACTCCCACCCACATGGAAAATACACCCTGTGTTTCACGCCTCCTTAATTATACCATATCGAGAAATAGCCGCCCACGGCCCCAACTATGAACAACCACCTCCTGACCTCATAGAAGGACAGGAAGAATATGAAGTTGAAGAAATTCTCGACTGAAGGAAACAAGGACATAGATATTAGTATCTAGTGCACTGGAAAGGATACCTGGACTCGTCGAAAAAATGGATCACAAGAACGAACCTGAAAAACACCAGGGAACTTGTAGAAGCCTATGACGTACAATACCCTAACAGCATACCCCTGAGGGCGACCCTTGCAAACATCAAACAAATAAACTCGAAAACATATAAAAACTCTGACTCAATCCTCCCTGTCCCCTCATCACTCTGACAAATCCACTTGTTTCACAACAATCTTCCTCATCTCACACATGTCTTCTAATGGATCCTCCACCAGCACCCTCGTTGAAGAACCAACACAGATGTCTTGTACCAACTCCCCCTCTTCCGCACAGTCCCTAACTGAGGAGCAATAGGATTGGTCAGTCACAATGGGCAGAAGACTAGACAAGGAGAATGACAGGAGGCTACAAGCTGAGCAGTACAAGAGATATCTACAGAATATGGAAGAAAGGGCAGCAGAGAGAGCAACACGCCACACTCCCACACCCTCTCATTAATCACTGCCGCACCCTCTAAAGTTGCACAAGCAATTGTCCGGTAATACGCTAGAGGTGGCTCTAAGTGCCGAGCACAACACTAAAACAACCTCTAATGCAGGAAATGCAGGGGTGCTAGAGCTAGTATCTAATACACAAGGAATTGTTAGTGATGACTTTAGAAATTGATGGCGTACTGAGAAGCAACGGGCAGTGTGAGATTATAGCACCCAAACAGTTTCGGGGCTGCGCCAAACACCGACCAAACGTTCAGTCAGTCGTGTTGGGGATTCAGTCAGTAATGAGAAGATAGTGTCACGACCGACAACTACGTGCTTCAAAAGCCACACGGGACTCTGACAATATACAAGGGAGGACAGGGGGTACGAGCGAAGAGACAAGTACAAATGCAAATGAGGCCGAACGATAAGGATGACAAGTTTTCGGAAGTCGATGAAGACGGTTTCGATGGTTGAGACAAGTGCAAATGAGCTCTGAACTGTGGGGTGCGAAAGCTGGTTTATTCTAGAGTTGTATATAGGTTTTTATAGTAAACTGAGCCCCTAAGTAAAATATTAAACAAGAAATAAGAGTAGATGTCAAATGGGCGCCAAGCCTTAGCAATCAGAGAAGATAAGAAGGTAGGTGAGATGTCCATATGGGTTCTGAAGGTGACAAGGTAAAAGTTAATCAGCGATGGTGAAATCCCGAATGTTCAGGATCCGTCGCCTGAGCGTAGGTAGCAGGAAAAGGTGTTTGAGAACCAATGAAAATAAAAAAGAGATATTGTACGACCAGGGTAGCTAAGTAATGGTGCAAGATCGTGTTTGACCGACCATGCAGAAGTTGGGAAGATAAGCGATAAGGACTGACCGACTCACAGAAGACATCGGCCGATATGGACTACTGGCTCCGATCTCGTAAACACTTATTGTAACACTCCTGTGCAGTCATGGTAAGTACGTGAAGTGTGGGCGAACTGACCCAAGTGCTGCCGAACGTCCTTCGGTGGCTTGTCATTAGTCGGGTAGGGACTGACCGTGTTCAGTAATAGTCGGCGTCTTCGGTACTTGTCTAGCACTGTTCGGTATCTCCCCAAAGCTTCCCGAATACCTCCCTCGGACCCTAGCGCAGGTGCATGCTTATCACTGGTATAATATTAAACTGCCGGGGCAGACAACAGTTCAAATCTGTTGGGCCGGTACTCACTGCCATAATGAGAAGAGGGACTCAGTTCTAGAATGCAGTCCCCACATGGTTCTAACAAGGTGAGGTACTATGGCGTCTGTACTCAAGGGCTATTGTGCCATGGCTTGACAGTGGGCAGCAAGAATTCTATGACTGTAATAAACTCTACGTGCATTGCTTATGTTTTTCTTGAACTCTTTTACTTACCGTCTTTGGCACTGATGGCCTAAAGGGGGGGTAATGTTATGAACTGCCTACTGTATCTTTCTTGCCTTTCCCACGATCCATATAAGGACACATAAGACCTTTCTCCCGACTATACCTCGTGTTCCTGATCTACTGCTAGTTGGTCCGTGCTCTTGCTTGTACATATTTATAGCAGCTGCAGCGTAGTAGGGAAGCCTTAGGCTATCCACCTCTGTCCAATCTAGGAACTGCTATTCATCAGTCTTCCCTGATTCTCAAGCATTGGTCTGATCAGCTCTTTTCCTTCACATCTGTCACTCTTATCCTCCTCCCTGTGCTAGTATTGATTTGTGGACTAGGAATTCCTTGTCCCAAACAGCCATTTGTGACATCAACTCTCAGCTCCCCACTTGTGCACAACAATCAGTGTGATCTCGAGCATTCTGAACAACAACAATCAATCCATCCAACACCTGCAGGCCTATTCATAAAGGACTTGGAACCATAGAACAGATCAACAAGGCCAACTACAAACATCACTGTTGAACTCTGAACTTGGTATGTGCAAGCACGCATTTATAGTCAGTGCAAGACTAACCTACCTCAATGCTTTAATGCTATCTCTCTCTATCTCTGTAGCAACATTCCACATGCCCAGGAAAAACAACAGACAGTACAAGAAGAAGACCAGTGTGCCAGACAACCAGTGAGTGCGCATTGAATTTGTATATGTACACATATCAATGACCTGTCCCTTGATAGCTATGTTGGTGACAATCTGTCACTGTCAGAAGAGTACACCATCTTGTGGGTATATAAAGAGCAATATCGCTCAATGCCAGAGGACAGGGCAGAAATAGAAAGGATGATAGTTGAGTTCTTCCACTACTTAGCCCAAAAAGGCTTTGACGATATTGGCGTTGTACGTATCTAGTAAGTTTTTATTATCAATCATTATTTGCAGGTCATTTTCACCCTCTAATATAATATTATTATCATGTAGTTCAACTATGCATAAAACCAACACCAAATTTGGTGACAAAAGAGATCATATCCAAGTTCGCGTCTATGCAAAGGATGGACATCGTTGGTGGGTTCGAAAGGGCAAAAAGGATAGATGGGGAGCAATTCATATACCAAAAGACCGTCACCTTTGGAGACCACTGCTTTTTGTTGAGAAAAATGCATAAAGTACTGTTTAAAGTGTCACTCAAGCCACCAATTTTCGTCATTTTCTTGAATTTCATCATAAATCACATTAACTGATCTGACATTGAGCATGTATATACTATACTATACGAAAGATGAGAATGACACGAGACCGAATCATTCTATTCTATGCATAACTAGCTTTTCACCCGTCGCGTTGCGACGGCGCAACCATGCTTAATCTGAGTTTGTGTTACAGTGCTTGGTCTGATGTGTCTGTAAAGTTTAGTGTTCACAAAGTTTAGTGTCTATAAAGTCTAGTGCCTGTAAAGTCCAGTGCCCATGCTTAATCTGAGTTTTTGTTGTAGTGCTTGGTCTCATGTGCCTGTAAAGTGCACTGACTATAAAGTCCAGTGCCCGTAAAGTCCAGTGCCCATAAAGTCCAGTGCCCGTAAAGTCCAGTGCCCGTAAAGTCCAGTGCCTGTAAAGTCCAGTGCCTGTAAAGTCCAGTGCCCTAATATCCCTATATGGCTCTTTTATGATATCCTATAAGGCCCTTCCTATAAGATTCCCATATAAAGCTCCCTATAAGGTCCTATCCATTAGATTCCCCTATAAGATTCTGCCCTATGAGGCTCCCCCATCAGAGTCCCACTTATGAGGCTCCCCCGTGAAGTTCTCTGTGAGGTGCTGGGATGCCATTTCAAGCTCCAATGGCTTCCGAGGCATAGCCCACTCTAGTTGCTAGCCTGTAAAGTCTAGTGCCCATAAAGTCTAGTACCTTAATATCCCTATATGGCTCTTCTGTGATATCCAATAAGGTCTTCTTATAAAATTTCCATATACATATAAAGCTTTCTATAAGGTCCTATCCATTAAATTTCCCTATGAGATTTTGCCCTATGAGGCTCCCCCATCAGGGTCCTACCCATGAGGCTTCGCTGTGAGGTTCTCTGTAAGGTGCTAGGATGCCATTTTAAGCTTCAATGGCTGCTAAGGCATAGCCCACTCTAGTTGCTAGAGTTGCTAGGAGCACCAAGACATGGCTTACTCTGCTCACCCAATTTATCATGGATGCTTGCTTTGCTCACATGGTTTCTTATGTGGCCTACATAAGTGTAAGCAAGGACATATGACTTGAGCTATTAGCCTAGTGCCACCATTTCATATTGTCCCCTTTTATTTATTATTTATTTACATAAAAAATACCTCCAAAAAAACCAAGAGCCAAGAGTGGTTGCCAAGCTAAGCCCTTGCTGAATGCCCCCTCATATTTTACCTGAAGAAATCACTGCAAGACAGTGCCAGGGGAAGAGAATTCCCTATGCTTAGGTTAGCTCCGGGCACGCGCGCGCTGACCAACTCCGTTTCAAGCTCCGACATGCTCCGTTTCACCTCCCAAAGCCTATGGGACAGTGGTCTCGCGTGGTTTGTCGCGTGGGATTAGCCGACGGCTAGTTGCCACCGGACCCCTACTGTCGCCCTCTATATAGAGACTAGCTTCTCACCCGTCGCGTTGTGACGGCACAACCATGCTTAATCTGAGTTTTTGTTACAGTGCTTGGTCTGATGTGTCTGTAAAGTCTAGTGTTCACAAAGTCCAGTGCCTATAAAGTCTAGTGCCTGTAAAGTACAGTGCCCGTGCTTAATCTGAGTTTTTGTTGTAGTGCTTGGTCTCATGTGCCTATAGAGTGCACTGACTATAAAGTCTAGTGCCCGTAAAGTTCAGTGCCCATAAATTCTAGTGCCCGTAAAGTCCAGTGCTTATAAAGTCCAGTGTCCACAAATTCCAGTGCCTATAAAGTCCAGTGCCTTTAAAGTCCAGTGCCTGTAAAGTCTAGTGCCTGTAAATTCCAGTGCCCATAAAGTCTTGTGCCCCAATATCCCTATATGGCTCTTTTATGATATCCTATAAGGTCCTTCCTATAAGATTCCCATATAAAGCTTCTTATAAGGTCCCATCCATTAGACTCCCTTATGAGATTCTGCCCTATGAGGCTCCCCCGTGAGGTTCTCTGTGAGGTGCTGGGATGTCATTTCAAGCTCCAATGGCTGCTGAGGCATAGCCCACTCCAGTTGCTAGGGTTGCTAGGAGCACCAAGACATGGCTCACTCTGCTTACTAAAAGTCCTGTGCCCTAATATCCCTATATGACTCTTTTATGATATCCTATAAGGTCCTTCCTGTAAGATTCCCATATAAAGCTCCCCCTATAAGGTCCTATCCATTAGATTCCCCTATGAGATTCTGCCCTATGAGGCTCCCCATCAGAGTCCCACCCATGAGGCTCCCCCGTAAGGTTCTTTGTAAGGTGCTAGGATGTCATTTCAAGCTTCAATGGCTGCTAAGGCATAGCCCACTCTAGTTGCTAGAGTTGCTAGGAGCACCAAGACATGGCTTACTCTGCTCACCCAATTTGTCATGGATGCTTGCTTTGCTCACATGGTTTCTTATGTGGCCTACATAAGTGTGAGCAAGGACATATGACTTGAGCTATTAGCCCAGTGCCACCATTTCTTATTGTCCCCTTTTATTTATTATTTATTTACATAAAAAAATACCTGCAAACAAAACCAAGAGCCCAGAGTGGTTGCCAAGCTAAGCACTTGGTGAATGCCCCCTTGCCTGAAGAAATCACTGCAAGACAGTGCCAGGGAAAGAGAATTCCCTATGCTTAGGTTAGCCCCGGGCACGCGCGCGCTGACCAACTCCGTTTCAAGCTCCGACACGCTCCGTTTCGCGTCCCGAAGCCTATGGGACAGTGGTCTTGCGTGGTTTCTTACGTGGCCCACGCGAGCATAAGCGAGGAGCACGCGAGCATAGCCGTCGCTTAAGCGCCACAATTTTGCAGTGTCGCCCTCTATTTATGGATAGTTCACTCTGACAGTTCACAACAACAAAACTCTGAACTCCGATCCGACGATGCGAGTCGGGGATTGGCACTAAGTGCCGCTACGATTCAGCACTGCCACCCGGGGGCGAATTTCCCACCTTGTCGGGATTTGCAATGCAAAGCGGAATTTCAGCGATTTTCAGTCCGGATTTGCACAGGTACTCTGCGTGGAGAACCTGGACAAACACTGCAGACTTGATAAGCCGAAGAGCTCTTTATGTCGCGACCGCCGACGCAAGGTCGCACAGGTTGTAATGTGGGACAAACTCCAGTAGTGGGGACAGCGGTGGCATCCATAAATAGAGGGCGACACTGGAAAATTGTGGCGCTTAAGCGACGGCTATGCTCGCGTGCTCCTCGCTTATGCTCGCGTGGGCCACGTAAGAAACCACGCGAGACCACTGTCCCATAGGCTTCGGGACGCGAAACGGAGCGTGTCGGAGCTTGAAACGGAGTTGGTCAGCGCGCGCGTGCCCGGAGCTAACCTAACCATAGGGAATTCTCTTCCCCTGGCACTGTCTTGCAGTGATTTCTTCAGGCAAGGGGGCATTCAGCAAGTGCTTAGCTTGGCAACCACTCTGGGCTCTTGGTTTTGTTTGCAGGCAATTTTTTTATGTAAATTAATAATAAATAAAAGGGGACAATAAGAAATGGTGGCACTGGGCTAATAGCTCAAGTCCTATGTCCTTGCTTATACTTATGTAGGCCACATAAGACACCATGTGAGCAAAGCAAGCATCCATGACAAATTTAGTGAGTAAAGTAAGCTATGTCTGGGTGCTCCTAGCAACCCTAGCAACTGGAGTGGGCTATGCCTCTGCAGCCATTAGAGCTTGAAATGACATCTTAGCATCTTATAGAGAACCTTACGGGGGAGCCTCATAGGGCAGAATCTCATAGGGAAATTTAATGGATGGGACCTTATAAAAAGCTTTATATGGAAATTTTATAAGAAGGACCTTATAGGATATCATAGAAGAGCCATATAGGGATATTAAGTGACTAGACTTTATGGGCACACTAGACTTTACAGGCTAGCAACTAGAGTAGGTTATGCCTCAGAAGCCATTGGAGCTTGAAATGGCATCCCAGCATCTCACAGAGAACCTCACGGGGGAGCCTCATAAGTGGGACTCTGATGGGGGAGCCTTATAGGGCAGAATATCATAAGGGAATCTAATGGATGGGACCTTATAGGGAGCTTTATAGGAATTTTACAGAAAGGACTTTATAGGATGTCATAGAAGAGCCATATAAGGATATTGGGGCACAGGAATTTTAGTAAGCAGAGTGAGCCATGTCTTGGTGCTCCTAGCAACCCTGGCAACTGGAATGGGCTATGCCTCAGCAGCCATTGGAGCTTGAAATGGTGTTCTAGCACCTCACAGGGAACCTCATGGGGGAGCCTCATAGGTGGGTCCTGATAAGGGAGCCTCATAGGGCAGAATCTCATAGGGGAATCTAATGGATGGGACCTTATAGGGAGCTTTATATGGGAATATTACAGGAAGGACCTTATAGGATATCATAAAAGAGCCATATAGGGATATTGGGGCACTGGACTTTATGGGCACTGGACTTTATAGTCAGTGCACTCTACAGGCACATGAGACCAAGCACTACAACAAAAACTCAGATTAAGCACGGGCACTGTACTTTACAGGCACTAGACTTTATAGGCACTGGACTTTGTGAACACTAGACTTTACAGGCACTAGACTTTACAAACACATCGGACCAAGCACTGTAGCAAAAACTCAGATTAAGCATGGTTGCGCCGTCGCAACGCGACGGGTGAAAAGCTAGTATGGTATAGACGGAGGTTGGCGGGCCGCACGGAGCTCGTAGCGGGGTCCACTTTGGTCCACCGGCACTGATCTCGATGAGATCTGTGTTGAGCCTCATTCACCAAACGCTACCAAACGGCGCAGCACAGTCGCAGCACGTTTTACGACGATGCTGCCTCGGCCCATGTAAGTTATTTGAAAGGCGATCATGCGTTCGTATTTCAGAAGATTTCAGGTCGACAACCTGGCCTCGTGATCTCTCGTGATGTGCTGTGATGTGGCAACTATCGATGCATCGCCGCCGCTTCCTAGCACACGTATGCTGCGGGCCCGCAGCAGAAGGACGTCGAGCTGCTGTAATGGGCTGGTTGCAACTTCATGTGTATTCTCTGATCGCAGGCTACAGAAGCTTGAGCGGTTCGAGGTTAGTAAGACATGATTTCTTTCTTGGCCCTCGTCGACCTATCAATTATCTGATATTCAAAAATGCGCCGACGCAATTCCATGGCGTGGAGCTTTTGATCTTTGCAAAAGTGATCTCTTTCTGACTTACAAGCAGATACGCACGGTTGATGTTAACCGAGGAGCGTAAGCTGGATGATCGGAGATCAAACTTTCGAACCTCGGAACTTGGGGGCCAACATGTTGTATTTCAAACACGGTGATATCTCATACGTATCTCAGGCGATGCTTCTAGGAAAAGTGATCATTGCTCTATTTTCGCCCGCGATGCATTCCGACATCGGAGCTCGGTGAGTTTGAATCAAAAAACTTCGCCCAGTCAACTCACCGAATTTGCCTCGAGCCGGTGTATTTTATTGTTATTTACGTGCGCACTATTTTGGTGGGGAGTCTATGTTAGCACCAAAACGTACTCTTTTGACTGTGCAATTCAGCTTCTTTGAGGCAATTTCATCAGGCATCCTGGATGAGCGACATATCAGCGCCCCTTGGGTGCCGCAGTGGGTCCGTGTTGCCTTCTGCAAGGAGAGGGGCGGCTGCGAGTGGTCGCTTAACGGAACATCGATACCACATATCGAGGATGTTCCACTGCGCATCATGCACAGGCGGTTGTCAGCGTCGATGTTGTCGTAACTCTGGTCTGTCCGCCTCTGCCCGACTCTAGCACTGATGCCCAGCCACAGTGGAAGCAACTTCTCATCAAGCGCAGTCGCCCCTGGCCCGGGACGAAGCCAGAAATCTTCATATAAAATGCCTCCTCTGTTATGGTGGTTTGGCATTAGCAACTTTTCTTCCTCTTTCCCTTTCTCATCCACCTCTTTCTTTTTCATCCTTCTTTTCGACAACTTCAAGTTAAACTTCCCTATCACTCAACGTTCAAAATGGCGTTCAAAATATTATGGGCTGTGATGCTGCCTACACTAGTCACTCTTGCCTCTGCTCGTACAACGGGTACCGCGATCTATCAACCGTTGACGACCGTGAAGGGCGCCGGACCCCCGCCTCCCCCTCGACCGACGAGTTCGTCTCATGTGACTGCATCGACTAATGCGACTACGACTGCCGGGACGCCTTCTGTCTCGATCACGTCTGCTGCGACGTCGACAGTGACGGCCTTAGCCCGCCGTGCAGATGCCATCACCGCTGTAGCGCCGTCTGCTTCTGCCTATGCCCTCAACAGCACTTTCTCCATTAACAGTGATGCAGTCACGAGAACTTACGACTGGACGATTGCGTAGGTATCGTCTATCTTGTTTCTTGTTTATATTGCTCATATTCCTCACTTCATCTAGAACGGCGACTGGCTCTCCTGGTGAGATCTGTTCTTCACAGCCTAATGAAACATGAACTGACATCCTTTCTCAGATGGCTTCACCCGGAACCACATCACGATCAACGGTCAAATGCCAGGCCCTCTAATTGAGGCCAACGAAGGTGACACCCTCGTTGGTAAGACTCATATCTAAATTATACCGGAATCACTGCTGATGACACGTAATTTGCAGTCAATGTGCAGAACAACATGGACGATACGACCTCGATTGTGAGTATCTTTACGAACGACAGCGACGTTCTGGACCTTGACTTCACGCTCTCATAGCACTGGCATGGCATTATTCAAAATGGGACGGCTTGGATGGACGGTGTCCCTGGTGTTACGCAGGTGAACACTACTCTTGGACCTAATCAGTTAGCCAAAAATTAACAAATTGATGCAGTGCCCAATTCCCGCTGGCGGTAACTTCACCTACACATTCACTTTGGCTCAATACGGCACCTACTGGTACCACAGTCACTCCGCGGTCGAATACACTGACGGTCTTCTCGGGGTAAATCTTCGTTTGTGTGAATGATGCTTGGCGCTCCTGCTGACGCTGCCCCAGCCTCTCATTATTCACTCCGTCAACGACCCTCTCGTGCGAGGCACCGACTTTGACTACGAGCAAGTGATGATCGTCCAGGACTGGTACCACGATGAAGCGAGCACTATCGCCGCTGATGTGAGTCTGGATCTCTTGGCTCTTTATCCTCATATACGAGGCTGACTTTCACTCGCAGCTCTTGAATGGTGGTTATAACGGTTCGCCTGCAGCTCCTCCCCCTCAAAGCGGTCTCATCAACGGCAAAGTAAGTTCTCGTATACTATTATCTAAGCTGCGCACTAAATGATCGACTTAGGGCGTTTTCAACTGCTCTCAATTGACCGACACCTCGACCTGCACTACTCCTTCGGTCCCTGAGTACACCGTCGAGCCAAATGCTAAGACCCGGTTCCGTCTGATGTATGTGGTCGAATACTCAGTCTAACAGTTATGAATTCTGACCGCGATATACAGTAACGGTGGTAGCCACGCGCAGTTCTATTTCTCTGTCGATAGCCAGTACGTATTACTTGCATTCATGGACAGTTAGGAAAAACTCACGCTGGTTTCAGCACCGTGAACGTCACTGAGGCTGATGGAACTCCCGTCTCTGGCGCCGACTCCGTTCATCGCGTTCCCTTCCACAATGGTCAACGTGTAAGCATCTAACATCTAACTATGAGTGCTAATTTGGCTGACTTTTGCCTCCAGTACTCGGCGTAAGCATATCATAATATCTCCTTTACATGTAGCAGATTTTGATCATCCGTGCGACATAGTATCATTGACACGACCGTTGGCTCTGCTGGTGATGCTTACTGGCTCCGCGCAACCATGAACACCGATTGCTTCGCCTAGTCAGTCATCCACTCCCGTCTTTCTAGGATTCCTTTTACTCACATTCTTTCCCCGACAGCACCGACGACACCCTCAACACGACTGCCTTTGCCATTCTTCGCTACGGGTCTACCAGCACAAGTGACCCTACTTCCTCCGATTGGACCGACGTCCTCCCCGACGCATGCGTCGATCTTGATGACGATCAGTTGTCCCCGATCGTTGTCAAAGATGCCCCTGCCACCTCCGATAAGACCATTGCTTTCGATTCGTCCTTCGGCGCCGTAGAGATCTCGGGTACCGACTACCTTCGCTTCTTGGTCAACGACACCTCGTACAGTATGTAACCATCTGCGAAATCTCGTTCTCGCAGGTTCTTGACTTATTTTTGTTAGCCAACTACATCTACCAGCCGATCATGGAGGCTGTCACTGCCAATGGCACGAGTGCCGTGAACGCGTCCAATGTTGCTAATGCTGTCTTCGAAGACTCGGTCTGGACCGGTGACGTTATCGTAAGTATCTTTGCAGGTCACAACGCGCAATCGCTTGCTGACTGCTTTGTCCATAGATCAACAACCTCGATGCCAACCTCGATCATCGTGAGTCCAGACTGCTTTGATAGCTATGTGAACGGTTTCTGACTGAGTGTCTTCTCTACAGCTTACCATGTTCACGGCAACGACGTAAGGCATTTCTTGCTGCCGATATTAGAACGCGACTAACATCCATGACTTCATCAGTTCCAAGTCGTCGGTCGTGGTACTGGCACCCTCAGCATCGCCGACGCTGCCTCCCAGAGCTACAACCTGACCAACCCCGTTCGTCGTGACACCGTCGTCATCCCTGGCGGGTACGCTTTTTCTACTCATAACTTCTGATCGCCTCGCTCATTACCTCTAGTGGCTATGCCGTCCTTCGCTTCGCCAACGACAACCCCGGTGTCTGGGTCCTCCACTGCCACATCGCGTAAGTCTCCTTGACCTCTCTCTTCGACGATGATACTCATCGACTCTCTATCCTTCTTGGATCAGTTGGCATCTTGCTGAGGTACGCTGACACTCTGGTAGCCTTTGGTCTCTGTCCTGATCCATTCGTTCCGCAGGGCTTCCTCGGTCTCATCGTCTCCAACCCTACGAGCATCGCTGCCTTTGACTACCCTGACTCCCTCACAGAGCTCTGCGATGCCCGCCCGTCGACTGTCTCTATCGATGCCACCGAGGCTGGCAGAAAGCGCAGCGAGGCCGATTCACTGGCCAGGGTTATGAAGCGTGGTGTCATGGGTCACTCCCACTGGTCCAAGAAGCGCATGATCCGTCACCGTCTTTAGAAAAACTCTCATCCGCCATGGCATGAATGCACATCTATCTATTACCCGCTTTCCTCTTGTCCGCCTGTCATTTCCTTCCTTTACACCTGGTTTTGCTGAACGCGGACTGATTTATTTACTACCTCAATACCGTTCGCGGCTACACTCTTTTGTACACTTACCTTCGTTCGTGCTCCAGGCCTAAAACTGGCAACCGGCGCATTTATATACCTTCACTTGCTTCCGCGCTGCCTGATCGATGCGATTGAAAAAGCTTGAAATTTTCTGAAATTTCGCAATAAATGTCTCAAATCAGGTTTCTATTGGCCCAAAGGCTCTGACATCCTCTAACCATTTAGAATGCAGGCGCTGTCTGAGCCAAACTATGGACCGAGGATCTGATCGGAGTTGGCGGAGGTAATTCCCACGGGTATTTTGCGCAGCTGAACTTGTGCATTGTTGAACGATCCACCTTCTGCGGCAAATCAATGTCGGCGCAATCGTCGAGCGTGAACTATTCGACGCACACGTACCTCGCCATCACGTTCAGCCCGTCCTCGCACTTCCTGGCCGATCCGGACTCTCTGTCGTCCGTACACCCAGCCCTTGCACACGTTGGCCAGGTACGTCATAAGTCACTCCACTTCACTTCCGTCGAGATCGTTGGCGTTGTCTGATGACCCATGTCACTTGTCACTATGCACAGGTTGGCGAGCTGAAGGACGTCCACCTCTTTAGCGTGCCGAAGGAAGAGTGGAAGAGGGTCGATAGCGCGATTCAGGACGTTCTGAGCGCGAAAAGGGTCGAAGGCGTTTTGAGAGTGGATGTACAAGTACCAAAGGGAAGGGCGAAGCGGGACGAGCTGTAAGGTGTGAGGGGGGCGAGGCCGTATCGATAGCATGGCAACTGGTATGTACGATGCTGTGGTAAGCTCTGTTCGTTCTCGCAGATCGATGTATGGGAGGTGACATTGCCTGCCAGTAATCTAGCAAGGAAAGGCCCAGACCTGTTCGAGCCTTCTAAGCACTGTGAAAGATCGTGGAAGGCACGCAAGCTGGTTCCGGTTCTAGAACATCACGCGGTGCGGAAGTATATTTGTAGGTCCTCGCCGGCCCATCTTGTCTGTAACGCTGGGAGCTGGTGGGAATCGGGTGTCTTCCTTGAGCCCACTTACAAGGGGCCCACAAACCGCCGACTTGTACAGAGTGGTGCAGGGCTCCGCTCGGGCTCTGCCGCGGGTGGATGACCGGTCGGGTGACATATTGGGAAGCTTGATGTCATAGTCTTGCGCCCTCCACAAATGTAGCCTCGCTGCTTGGTATCGGGCACCGTGCCCCTCTTCGCCCTCAATCGCTCCCACCATGTCTTCTCTCACCATCAGAATTGCTCTCAAATTTGTCCCAAAATCGCTCACAATGAGCCGCCCGTACCAGACCGCCACCGCCTCGATGAGGGCCATGTCTACGAGGTGGGCCGTCCTCGACTCCTTTTGATCGTTAAAAATGGAATTGAGTTCATGACTTGCAGACGTCTGTACAGGTAAAATATATCGATTCTCTCGCATCAGCGCCGCATCTCCTGAACTCTCGGTATTTTTCCTTTCTCGCCAATCAGCTCCATGCATGAAAACGACCCCGAGGTATGTAGGTCGTCTGACTTTCGATATCATTTTCTGACACAGGTCTAGGTCCTTGAACGAGAAAAGCGGCGCAACCTGAGCCGCGTCGGATACCAGACCTCCGCTCCAGTTGACGATGCACCAGGCTGGAACGAACTCCTCGCCACCAATGCTGAGGCCTCCATCAAAGTGAGTGAGCTCCATTCTCCCCACACCATATCCCATTCTTGAAGTCTCAATGGTTGATGAACATGAACATTTTATGTCGTCTTCAGGCCGACCGCACCCCTAACGATGCCAGCGTAGCCGACCTCGTCCGGCGAACCGTTGCACATATGAAAGCGAAGAACTCGCCCGAGGAGCGTTTCGAGGGTAGCGAGGCCACGTACGATCGCGACGAGATCTCTGGGCCGCTGCGCGGCGCGGGTCGGGGCGTCAGCTCTATCGAGACGGATGGATATGAAGAGGAGATGGAAAAAGTCGATGGCGAGTGGCATCGGAGCACCGTCAAGAAACACACGGAAGTGGTCATGGATCCCAAAGAAGCGGTACGCCGTCATTTTATTTCTCCCCAGGCAGGTCTTGACGAAATTCTCACCAGGTGAAAGGCGAGGTTTGAAGCGTGTTATCATGATTCGAGCTTGTCAATATATGAGACCCAAGTGAAAAATTCAGGCATCCTTGGACTTGATCTACGTTCTGTATTTGTACCATTACTCCCTGGCGGTTGTACTTCTATCTTTGTATTTAGCATACAGGATGATCCGAGTTTTCGGTGTCCACGACGCGAGTCTATCAAACCTTTTTGAGTTGCATGCGCTTTGGATTCTGAAAGTCTCGACTTGGATTGGGGTTTGTTCTGCCTCGCCAGGATTGCTATTTCAGTCTTTAATCTACATCCGACGAACTCTTTCATATCTTTTTAACTTCTCTCTTCATGAAAAACCTGTCCGTGTGTCACAGACACAAATGTACGTAAGAGAGACTGCGTCCAACGAAGCGTCGAAATTAATCCGTGCGGCAAGCGAGCATCGAAAGAAAGAAGAGTGGACGAAGAAACGCCAAAAAGAAAATAAATAAGAAAAATGCGCATCATGTTCGATGGTGAGCGAGAGAATTGGGCTTTGAAGCTTGAAGGGCGGGATTGGGGGCTGAGACTAACCACAGCTGCGCGTGCGGGCAGGAAGGTATATTGAAGTGGTTGAGCTACAGAAGGAAGTAGGGGCACGATGTATGTACAATACAGTGGGTGCGAGGTTACTGGGGCCGGATCAACTTTAGAATGGCGCACTGTGGAGAGATGACGAGAAGCTCACGAGGAAATAGTCCGGTACCCGTCGTGTGACGAGTGGTTCTCCCGCCCGCGGCGCGGGGTCGAATTGTAAGCTAATGGAGTAGGGTTTCAGTAGTGATGTCATAGTGTCATAAGACCAAATGGATTTTAGAAGACCCAGAGGAAACAGGAAATCGAATATTGCTCACAAGCTATAAGATAGTTTTTCGTCGATCTCCATGATGGCTGCTTGGTTGCCGCAACGGTAGCAGTAGTTCGGCGCGCTGAAGATCGTCACAACATTACGATCTTGGCCCCAGTTGTAGCCTGCGAAAATAGCATGGCACAGTGCAATTAAAGACCCAGATCGGTCATCAATGATGAAAAATAAACGAGAGATTGTGGCGTAAATAGGCGTACCCTCCATCACAAGCTGGTGTGCGCGTGCGACGAGCGTTAGCCCGTTGTTGTGATTGAAGGCCTCCGAGATATCTTGCCCGAATGTGTATCCAGCACCACGGGGCGATATCCCCCACCCACAACGATCGTCGGGGTCCGACCAGAGGAGGTCGCACATGGGTCCCTCGTGAGGCACTTCCTGCACACGGTCGATGGATCGCACGTGGTCGAGGGTGTCGATCGAGGGCGAGAGGCCTCCGTGGAGGCAGAATATCTATCATGCAGTGTATCAGGGCTGTGGGTTCGGCGACAGATCACGCGATGGCTCGGTCATGCATTTTTTGTGTGGGGATGGGATGGGAGGCGGTCGAAAGAGACCAAGGAGGCGAATACATACTTGATTTTCGATCAGTGCGGTCAAAGGAAGGTAGTCGAATAGGTCGGTGAAGTATCGCCATACGTTGGCGTTTCCATATTTGCGCAGACATTCGTCGTAGAAGCCGTATACTTGCGTGATTTGTCGACTCTCGTGATTGCCACGAAGGATGGTGACTCGCTCGCGATACCGCAACTTCATCGCAACGAGGAGCGTGACGGTCTCGACGGAGTAGTAGCCTCGGTCGACGTAGTCGCCCATGAACAGGTAGTTCGTATCAGGCGAATTACCGCCGATACGAAACAACTCCGACAGATCATGCTAAGAAAGGAAGGGAGGGCGCATTCCATAATGTTAGGACCAAGAGGAAAGAGGACGGGACCGAGGGATGCGAGCAAAAGAAGGACTGTCGGATTGTTCAATGAAAGTACGTACGAATTGACCATGTATGTCGCCACAAACGGTGACAGGACATCTTACGGGCTGCACATTGGATTCCTCCATCAAGATTTCCCTCGTCTAGAAGAAGGCCGCCCATCGGAACACATAGACGTGGTCATCAGAATGGTAGGGGGTAGAATAGATGATCAGCTGGGGGTGGCGCGTTATCAGAACAGGCGATACACAAAACGAAACACACCTTTTCGCATAACTTTTTGACGTCTGCCTCTGAGAGCTGCTTACATTGGCTAAGTTGTTGAATCCACCCGTCTATTTCGTGTTCCATGTTGTGCTGAGCGAGTCGATGTAGATGAAAGGTCTAAAGGGAAAGAGGTGGCGAGCGGTGGAGACTCGAAGGGTGTTGTGCTTGACCTTCACCCAGTCACACCTTTCCGGGGATTGCGCTGAGTGTCACGGATCGGTCACATTTCTAACGGAGTGTGACGCAGCGGAAAACAAGTAAGTTATTCCAAAGCAGGACGCGACCCGGTCCTCCAACCTCGTTCTCCATACAACACAATATGGATCACCAGGCTGTTTACACTACCGACGAGGTTGGTTTCGAATTTCTCACACGTTCATGTTTCCCTCTAACCACTTGTGTTAGTATGGTCGGCCGTTCATCATTCTCCGCGAGCAGGCGAGGAAAACTCGCACTCATGGGATAGAAGCGATTAAGGTGCATATCCTCTTACTCTTTTTGAGCGGTTACATCCTCATACTGCGCAGACACATATCCTCGCTGCGCGCACAGTATCTAACATCATTCGGACCTCGTTAGGACCACGAGGTACGTGCGCAGACGCAAAGTCAGCCGACGGCAGCTGAACAAAACGCGTGTACCATCTTCTCTCATCCACAGGCCTTGACAAAATTCTGATTTCACCCGATGGCGAGATCACAGTCACGAATGATGGTGCGACGATCTTGAGTCAGATGGAGGTAGAGCACCAGATTGCGAAGCTTCTGGTCCAGCTATCCAAGAGCCAGGACGATGAGATCGGAGACGGTACGACGGGTGTCGTCGGTGCGTATACCTTATATTCTCCTCTGCCGGTCCTTGTTCATATATTATGGTCTTTCGTTGGTCAGTTCTCGCTGGCGCGCTGCTCGAACAGAGTGAGGCTCTCCTTGACCGTGGGATCCACCCCATTCGGATTGCCGATGGCTTCGATCGTGCTTGCAGAATCGCGGTGCAGAACCTGGATAATATTGCGGATCGGGTAGAATACTCGCGGGAGAACACAGAGAACCTCCTCAAAACCGCCATGACCAGTCTTGGCAGCAAAATGTATATACCTCCACATTCTCGTTTCGACTGTCACTAACTCGGCATATCGCAACAGCGTCTCCAAGGAGCACCAGCAATTTGCTCAGATCGCTGTTGACGCGGTCCTTCAGGTTGCCGATCTTGAACGCAAGGATGTTCTCTTTGACCTCATCAAGGTCGATGGGAAAGTTGGTGGCTCCCTCGGCGACACGAAACTCATCAAGGGTGTCCTCATCGACAAGGACATGTCCCATTCTCAGATGCCGCACTCCGTCAAAGATGCCCGCCTCGCCATTCTCACCTGTCCCTTTGAGCCTCCACGGCCCAAGACAAAGCATAAGTTAGACATCTCAAGCGTGGAAGAGTACAACAAACTTAGAGAATACGAGAAAGAAAAGTTTATGGACATGATAAAGCGAGTCAAGGACAGTGGCGCCAACCTGGTCATCTGCCAGTGGGGTTTCGATGACGAGGCAAACCATCTGTTGATGCAAAATGAGCTGCCTGCAGTGCGATGGGTTGGTGGTCCAGAGATCGAGGTAAAGCTTTCTCTTGTCCTCTTTTCCAAGTGCACATTTGATTCGGTGCTCTTAGCTGATCGCTATCGCCACCAATGGTCGTATCGTGCCTCGCTTTGAGGACCTGACGCCAGAAAAACTGGGAAAAGCGGGTATTGTTCGCGAAGTCTCTTTTGGCACTACTCGGGACAAGATGCTTGTCATCGAGGAATGCGCCAACACCCGCGCTGTCACTATCTTCGTGCGTGGAAGCAATAAGATGGTTCGTCAGCCTTTTTCAATGTCACACGAACTAGCCTTCATCCTGATATTGTACCCTGCTAGATCGTTGACGAGTCAAAACGCGCTCTCCACGATGCTATCTGTGCCGTTCGCAACCTCATTGTGGACAACCGCGTTGTCTATGGTGGTGGTGCCGCGGATGTCAGCTGCTCGCTAGCCGTTCAAAAGGCCGCTGACGAGGTAGGCATCCTGATAATCTAGCATCCCTTTCGTCATTGATGTGATCTCGGGATCATAGATTGCGTCCATCGAACAATATGCGATGCGCGCCTTCGCATCTGCACTAGATGCCATTCCTCTCGCTCTCGCAGAGAACAGTGGTCTTTCTCCAATTGAGACTTTGGCCGAAGTGAAGAGCCGGCAGGTCAAAGAGGGCAACCCGAGTCTGGGTATTGACTGCAATGGTAGGGGCGAGAACGGTGCGTGGTGGCTCATCATATTCGCGCGGTGCCTATTGAAATTGTTCCTTTTGTCAGACATGAAAAAACAATTTGTAAACGATCCCCTGATTTCCAAGAGGCAGCAGTACTTGTTGGCGACTCAGGTGCGCTTGCATCTCTCTCAAATCATCTTGTCAAGCACTCATCTTGCATTCATCATTGTAGCTCGCCCGTGCAGTGCTAAAAATAGGTCAGTCCCTTTTCACCCCGTGTCGGTCAAACTGATCAAACTCTTTTGCAGACGATGTCATCACCGCTGGAGAGGCAGACGAGTAGTCATGAAAGATGTATGATAGATAGAATCACACTAATCTTGTGCTTTTTCCAGTGTGCCGGGCAACTGGACCTTTCCGTCTTTTTCACCGAGTGCTCCTCGAGATTCCTTCGGGTCGCATCATGGTGAATTTCCCTAGAAAGGTGGTATTGTCTTGTGCGTGGCGGGAAGTGCTGAGTGTGATTCAGCTGCATGGTTCGCTTGCCTATCTGGCACCCGCCACATTCTCGTTCACAGCAGTATGTAAGTTCGAATCCGACTGGTAGATTTGTGGCGTGGCGAGGCGTGGCGTTCTCGAGATTCGAGAATCGAAAGCGTCCTCCGGATCCTCCCGCGCCATACGCGTCACGCGTCGTCAACACGCGTTGTTGGCGTGGTTGGCAGTGGGTGGCATTCATTATGTAACCTCGCCGTCTTGACCCTTCTTGTCTTCAGCTTCCTCATCCTCACCACCATCTGCGCCTGTCTCACTGTAGCACCACCCCATGGCATCTACAATTGACCAGCTGAAATCCGAGGGCAATGCTCTCTTTGGGCAGAAACAATACGAGGCAGCTCTCGAGAAGTATGGAGAGGCGATCAACCTAGACGATCGTAATGCAATCTTGTATTCGAATAGAGCAGCTTGCCAATTAGCTCTGGCAGAGTGAATGTTGCCTACCATCGCTTATGCTTTCAATATTTCCTCACACACATGTCTACGGCTTCATAGCTACACGAAAGCTATGGAAGATGCGGAACACGTCAGTGGCACTGCTGCTTCATTGTTCAACTTTGCTCACGTATCAATTGCGAACAGGCCCTCAAGCTTGACCCTGTATATTCCAAAGCTTGGGCACGTCTGGCATCCGCACAAGGCGTATGTGACGCCGCCTTGACTTCGGCTCTATCCTCATACTGAATATCGCTTAAATATCCCTAGTCACTTAATCTTCTACCGCACGCTATAAAGTCCTGGCAGTCTGCCATCGACAGTCTGCCTAAGAAAGACTTGAAGCCTGCAGATGTCAAACAAAGGACACAATACCTGGATTCTTTGGAGGCTATGAAACTTAGAGAGAGAATTGCAACGCAGGAGAAACTTCATTTATCTGTGCCTCATAGGCCCAGCAATGGTGGGAAGAAACTCAGCTGGGATCGAGCTCAAGAGCTGTTGCCAGAGCTCAGGAAGGCAGGTAAGATGAGAAGCAGTGTGAGTAGATTTCTTCGTGATTGCCCGTTCGGAAGGTGAACTCATCGTGTTCCACTCCTAGGCATGGGTCCTGGCTGTGGCAGACGAAGTAAGTCGAGGTTAGATGCCTTTGGTGTCACAGCTGACCTTTTGTACCTCCGCAAGCAATACAGCAAGGGTGCAAGAGTACTGAAACAAGTCGTGCAGACGGGCGATCCTAAGGGTCCAGAATACTTTGGTGTAATTGGAATACATATCTATCTTTGGAGTCTCTGCTATAGCTAACAGGAAGGTTGTAGGTACTGAAAGAGATGAGCAATGCTGTGCTGCAGGACAAACGCTGCTTTCGAATCGACGGTAACGATTGGTTTGACAAGTGGAACTGGCAAAGTATGTGTTGACCCCGTCCCTTTTTCTGTTCACTCACGTCGTGATTCCGGGACAGTGAAACTGGAAGCGTTGAGATTCAGGACGCCTAATCCAGATGCACCGCTCAAGGAGGTAGACGATCACATGCAAAATTTGCTCGCAGAAGGCGGCTGGGATCTCGCCCGTCCGTCTATTGAATTTTTGGTTAGGTATGCTTTTTTGAGCCATGTTTCACATCGTTGTCATTGTGTCTCATCCTTCACAGGTTTTTGTTCATGAAAGCTGTATTAGACGGCGACAGCAAACTTGATAACAAAGCGAGTCTCGAGACGTACGACCAAGTTTTGGCAATCTTACACTGGGGCCGGGAACGTTGGAGTGATGTCCCGGCCACTGATCGTGGAGTAGTGTTCGACGACACGTTTGTTAGAGGCGTTAGATCTATGCGGATTCATGAGCATATGCGCGTGCGTATCGCCTTATCTGTCTACCAACTGCAACTAGCTGAACACGATACAGGCTTGGGAACTGGATAACGACTCAAAATTGTACACTCTAGATGGGCTCTTGGAGGAGGCAAACAGCATCATCGACGAGATCCAGAACAGCCCCAGAGAAAATGTCGGTACTCCTTTCGACATGGCACACTATGACTATATAGAGGGAAAGGCGATCGCGTTCGTCTTCGCCATTCATTTCTCGTCTAATAGCTACTAATTGATAATGCAGCTTGAAGGGTTTCTATTATCGTGAAGCTCCGTTCCATAAAAAAATGACGGACAAAGTTGAGATAGAGGATTTCTATGATCGGTCATTCAAGTACTACCTCGAGGCTGCTGACAAGTTCCCTGAGGATGATGAATACCACATTGGTGCGTGCTCTATCTCGTATTTCTTGCTCCAACAGTTCGTAAGCTCATTACTCCCTTACAGTGTGGCTCAACAACGCACTTGACGTCCTCACAAGCGGTGGTACTACTCTGCGACAATGCATGCCGATCTTTAACCGCATACGCTCGGCCCTCCCAGAAGTAACCAAGATCTGGGATGATTTGTTGACTACTCCAGACCAAAACAAGAACATTGTACCAACCCTTCTGGCCATTGTAGAGGCCGAGGAGAAGATAGCCGCAGGCAGTCTTACCTTAGACAGTTATATTGTGCCAGAACGATTCCTCGAGGGCAAATTTGGTCTATATCGTGGTACGTCTCCGTTAGTGTCGTCCGAAATGTTGAGCTGACACATTTTCATGCTGTGTATAGGTAGCCGCCCATATGAGAATCCGCTCTCTTCTGGGCGTTAAAAGCTTAGCGCCCATCAACTACGTATTTGCTCTTGCTATCGTATATAACATTTTCAGTGGTTGACCTCCTAATATACATGACACCGTTTATATGCATCTCCTTCTGCATATTGATGGTCTGTTCGGTCATCGCTGGCACCCCACCTAAGTCATCGTTTACATTCATCCTATGAAGATTATAAGACTGACCACACCCGATCAACTGAAGATAACGCTTCGCTATAGCGTGTCCGGTAGGGCCGGATCTGTCGTTGATTGCTGCCAGATAGCATCGCTTGTCAGAATAAAAAGACCACGCTTCTTCACGTCGAAAGACAGTTCAAGGAGGTTTAAGGCCGCACAAGACAAGATTGCTAGACGACAAAGATGCTGTTCAAACAGGTCCAGAACGGCTTGCCATTTGGCTTTGTCAACGATGACGTTTCGATTTCTTGCCCATACTGTTCATACTGTATACTTTTATCACTGTCCACTGCTGTCCACCATCTACGGCTTTGTAGCTATGCGGACGCTGTCTGGGATGCACCGAACGTCAGGGTCTTGTAGTACTTGGTTGATCGTTGCGGCTTTGCTTCTACAGCGACTGTTGACAGGCTATCAGCCAATTTCGACTCTGTATAGCCCCTCTCATTATGTTTGGAAACAGTAGAAGATGTACGCGGCGCAGTACTAGCTCGTGCACATTATCAAACTGGGTATGTCTCGCTTCTGAAAGGCCCCGAACGAGGGAAAGCCTCGAGTTCATTTTATTCTTCTTTCATTTTGCATTTTCTCGTGTTGGGCGGCTTGAGAATGTGCTCGCTGATCTACTCCGTCTGCCAACAAATAGCAAACCTTGCCTAGAAAAATATTAGAAGAGTACCTCGAGATCATCAGAGATATACGGAGCGTATTGACTGACGGATTCACTAGCTCTATACCACAATAAGTGCTTGGATTGGTGGTATTCGTGGAAGCGGTCAGCAATTCTGCCTGAAGCTTTTCACAAGGAATATAATCGCTTTGTCTGAGCTGGCAAAGGTGTTCGGAATGGGCCACAAGGCGCAATGAAGCATTTACAAAACGCCTCATATTGAATTTCCTACTGCTTCTGACAACGCGGGATATATACTCTGTTACAGATCAGCAAATTGATCGGTCGCCTGTGAGGAACAACCCATCGTTGGTGTCTGAAGAGCAAAACTGCATGTTTTTTCGATACTAACCTGCACTAAAAGTTTAGAGGTTCCTGGTTCACGCGAGGAGTGGCCAGCGTCCGGGACGATGTGCAAGGTGATCTCAGGCCAAACCTTCTTCAAAGCATATGCCGTGGTTGCCTAGTGTTGATAGTAGTTAGAAGGATACAGTAGCATCGAAATCAGCACTCACAGGACAGACAACGTCGTATCGTCCTTGCACGACGATCGTGGGGATATGGCGGCTTAGATGAAAAACGGATGATCAGCAAACTGGATGTGTTTTCTGTTATGTCCATGAATAACTCACATCTTGTCGATCTCCTGCGACTCGAGCAGCTGACCATCACGCATGAATCCATCGTTGATGAAATAATGGTTCTCAATGCGAGCAAAGGCACTAGGTAGAAGACGCTTAGTATAGGGTTCAGTGGGAGGTGTGAGAATGCGTACTTGGCCCAATCATCCTTCTCCGCCTCGGCGATATGAGCAGGATCGACGTAGAGCTTGGAAGTAGCCATCCTGTGAGGCGATTGTTGAAGGTCTCGATCGTACCAAAAACCTGGGTGGACCTACTCCCACTTCGACCATGCCTTTGCTGCCTTGAGACGTGTCTCGTCATCGACTGAGTTTAGCTGGGCATGATACGCAAGAACCAGGTCTCCGCGCTCAGCTTCCGGGATCGGCGCAACGAATTCGTCCCTGTCATGAAACATCAGAATCAGGATGGTCGTCGTAAACATGAGAAAGAAAGGCTGACCAGGCTTCAGGGAAGAGATGGGATGTTCCATCCTGATAGAAAAATCTTAGTTCACTGGTTGAGTAAGGACCAAGATCAGTATCGCTCAAGATCATGCTGATTTTTTCCGTACCTTTTCCTCAAAGTAAAGATGCCCCTGGATGGTCATGATTAGAAGATGACTGGTCAAGGGTTCAGTGCGCACTATACCGGAGGATGAGAGACTTGACACGACCAGGATGCGACTGTGTGATGTGTTATCTTCATGTATAAAACCAGTGTGTTGATACTCGCCTGAGAGTAGGCTAAGGCGAGAGTGGACCCCTGTTTTTGAATTAATTGATGTGATGAAGCCAGCCTGGAGAATAACATGCCCAAGATCCTCCAAATACATGCCATTTCTCGATCTTCAGATGTTCACGGAGACGTTCCATGTCCTTCACTAAATCCCACGTTGTGTTCTCCTCCAAATTGGCGCTCCTAAACATGCCGTTGTCGGGAGCAGTGACATGACACCCGTTTTAAGAAACTCACGGGATAGATTTGCCTGCGCCTCTTTGGTCTAAAAAGATGACCTGGGATATTGATGGGTCAGAGTAAGTAGATGTCAGCTGTGCTCAAACCTTGTATCTGTCCGGATTGAAGAATCCCCGATCTTGACTATCACAACCTCCTCCAGGACCACCTGCGAACAACCGCCTAAGCACTTATGACCAAAACCAAATCGGTGGTTTGACCACGCACCATGGACGAAGATGACTGTGGAAGAATGTGGAAGAAGTGTATTGACCAACACTGAACGAGATAGGAGGAGAAGAGAACGTTGTCCGCACCAGGAGCCCCTTCTTTATTGCCTGACACCTCATAGCTATACATATATTTAACTCATGAGGGCTGATCTTGAACTCTACGCACTCACTGAAGGCTATGGATCCCTGAGACCCTGAGCTTTCCGATCTCGAATGGCCCTGCAGCGGAGGTGTACATCGTGCGCAACAAGGTAGGTACAGTTATTCTGTTGTGATTTTTGACTTGAGAACTATCTCGTGCAGACAAGATGTATGAAAATGTAGACCGTCGGATGAAAACAGGGGGAAGCGGCGACAATCGAGCATTCATCGGTCGCAGTGAGATCGACCAATCGGGAACCTCTTGCCTTTCTGGGTGGCTAGCTGATAATATCAAATTGTAGACCACGACACAATGTAGTCCATTTTGGTCTGCATTTTAAGCGAAAATGAAAATGAAAATACCCAAAAGTTACACCTTGTCCAAAATCGTCTGTGCGGGCTTCAACAGACCATGACCATCTCCGTGGTTCTGAGCCTTCTACATAACTCAGAAACGTCATGTCAGCAACCTACAGTATTGCTTAGAGCAAATCCCCGTGTAGCTACGGACGGCCTTCAGAATGATCCAATCAGCCGCTAATGGATTTGACAGGAGAAATATCCAGCGGTGTTGAAGTCGAAGTCACTATTTTGAACATTGAAGGTATGGTTATACATACACTCGCAAGGGACGATGCGAAATCATTATCCATTCTGACATTGTATCGCTCAAGGTCCGAGGATCCCTTTGGATTTCTCATTCCTAGATTAGATACTACCGGGTTCTCGCGCGATGCACATGAATCTGTTGGCGACGTCCGATCTTACATAGTCCCCTGTTATACGACCGACAACGGATGATAGCTTTCCCACCGACATGCTGTCCAACCTTTCTCCCCTAGGCAGACTGTCTGCTTGCTGCCGCTCAATACCGACACCAATGGAGTTTCAGGTACATTTTGCTGTGATTCTGTTGTGCCCAACCGGCCTACAACGATCATTCGACCGTGCGCGCTGGGCAGCACTTGCCTACGCTGCATTCCCGGGGAATGTAAGGGTCGGCCTAAATCAGGATCAAGGAGGTGTGACCAGTGGTCCTGCCTGGTAACCAACACGGACCTCTTGCAAGCAGGTATTTTTGGTATCAAACGACATTCATCGCGCTCCGAGGGTGGCCAACAGGAGCGCCGGCACGACGGGAAGTCACACATTGTCATCATCACCTTGGGGACCTGAATATAATGCAGATGCCGTTGGAAGTGGGCCTGGCGGCACCAATCGCTGAATTTTCGCAGGCATGCATGCTTTCCGATGCAGACAAAGTTGGGTACGGCGCTTGACATGGGCGTGGGGTCCGCGGTTGATGGGTCAACAAAAATAGATTTGATTAGTTTCGTCAGTCCAGAAACAGTCCATTTAAAAGCGGGCCTCACCGAGCCATCCAACTACCATCTTCTTCATCCCATCCTCCCCACCTTTCAGCTTCGCGGTCAGGCATCGCCCGAATTTTTCCCTCTTCGTGACAACCAGACCTGGTGTCAATCCAATCTTTCATTTTTACAGGGATCTCTTCGTTGATACCTTTCATACCCTTTCATACTTGACGTTTTCGACTTTCTACTCGCAATCCTCTAAGATGTTGTTCAAATCTTTCGTACTCCTTTCGTGCTCACTCCTCGTTGTCGCGGCTCCCGCCCCAGAGCAACGGAGAGCTGCTGCTGGCAAAGCAATTGGCCAGAAGCAACCTGCTGTTAGCGCTTCGGCGTAAGTCTATCTCTCTGATACTCCCACGGACATATATTCATACCTCAGCCGTTCTGTGATAGCGCTAGCGTTGTAGCTTCCGCCGCCGCTTCTTCAGCAGTCGGCACTGCTTCAGCGGGCGTCTCCTTGGCAAGTATAAGAAATTGTTCTGCACATTACTGAAAATAACCTATGTATTGTCAGGCTGCCACGGCCACTAGTGCTGTCAGCGCGGCGGGCACAAGTACAGGCTCTGCGGCAAGTATTGGGGTCTTCAACATGCTTCATAAACTGACGTGATCACCTACAGGCTGCCGCGTCTACTAGCGTGGCTAGCGGAAACGACGCCGCTGCCAACAGCACGAACTCGGGCGATGCACAGAGCTCGTTGACCCTCTTGCAGTCGGTCATTGCCACTGGCTTCGAGAATGACGGCCAGCAGCCCCCCGTGGCTGGACAATCTCCCTCGCTGACTTCAGGAAACAACTTCATCAACTTCTGTGCGACGGTGCCCGGCAAGCCCATCACAAATGGCCAGCAGATTAAGACGGGAAGCTGTAACCCGGTGCGTACCTCCCTCGCGCCGATTCTCTGCTTTGTGCAGTGTCTAATGCACCATTTGACAGGCGCCCATGGGTATCATCGCTGCTACGACGAACATGCCTTCATCAAAGTTCGTTTTCCCGAAGAACACAGACAGCATTCCCGCGAACACGAGTTTCACAGTCCGCATGGCACTCAACAATCTCCAGGCGGGCACGTTTGTCAATGCGCAAGCCAACTATTACTCCGCGCCCCAGCAGGTCAACGGACAAGGGGCAATCATCGGCCACACGCACGTCGTCATCGAAAAGCTGACCTCGCTCGACCAGACGACCCCGACGGATCCTAACGTCTTCGCATTCTTCAAGGGCGTCAACAGTGCTCAGACGAACGGAGAGGTCACCGTGGATCTCGACAATGGCCTGCCTGCGGGCTTCTACCGCATTGCGTCCATCAATTCCGCCGCCAACCATCAGCCCGTACTTGTTGCGGTTGCCCAGCACGGCTCGCTAGACGATATGGCCTACGTACGTGTTCCGTTCCACCTCCTTTTCTACCGTGTTTCTGGGCTAAATGTTCTCGTTTCAGTTCACGGTTACGGATTCCGGAGCAGCAGCAGGTAATGCGACTGCCACGACAGGAACAGCGGCTGTTGCGAGCACGGCAGCAGCAGGCAATGCGACTACGGTGGTGGGAACAGCGGCCGTTGCAAGCACCGCGTCAGCTAACTCAACTGTCGTGGCGGGCGCGTCCACCGCTGCCGCTGCCAAGACTGCCATCATCGCGTCATCAACCCCGAAGACCGCTGGCACTGGCACCGCTTTCAAAGCAATTGGTGGAAAGAAGAACTAGAGCGTGCTCGAGGTTGGATGCCATACACTGCTCGAAATCTCCTGTATGGGGTATTTATAAATTATTGATGGAGATAGAGATGGGTGTGTGATTTGGATCTCATTGTGATATACTCTACGAGCAAAAGAAGAACTTACGAAATGCGGTCCTTTTCTGGTGAGGAGACGAGCATTGACTACGAACAGAGTGACAGATGAAGATAGATGAAGTCTCCATTGGTCACCAAAGTTGATCATCGTCCAACGCAACAGATGAAGATGAGATTTAGGAGATCCAACCACACAAAGATACAAACGTTTTGATAAAGTTCATTTATTATCCAACAATCAACACGGAGGCGCTCGGGAACCTCGGCCTGCGTCCAAACCATATGCGAGCACACCCCGCAATGTCCGGATTGATAGCTTCTTGAAAGCAAAAGAGGATGCTCCGTGGAGATCGTTTGGAGACCAAAGGTTGTCACAAACCATGCACATTAGAATAACGCCTTAGGATAAGGAACATGAACATGCTGGTCGAATCAGCAAGTGACAGCGATAGGGAACTGTAGCCGAAACAAATACCTGTGAGAGGATATGTATCGGAGAAAACAGATGGTGAGACCAACGTCTTCTAGCATGGAAAGTAGATAATCAACGCATCCACGCACTGACGGGCCTTCAAATAGGCAGCCAATGAGCGCGCGAACGCTTGACCTTGTATCACCAATGTTCATCCAACGTCCACTCTTTCCCCATACATCGTCATGAGATACGCCCATACGGAACTCTCGCCACGATGCGTGGAAGGATCTAGTCGATACGTGATCGATGTTCCTGCATGCTATCGCTGTGAGTCTTCTGAGTTTGACGGTTCGGGATACCTCTGCTTCAGATGCCGATACTTTTTGAGAGAGTACAAAGCGAGCGTCTCTGTGTGTGTGGGATGGCGAGCTGAATCTCCGCATAGGCGAGCGCGCAGGATGACGTACCGTTTTTGATGTACTCTCCAAGCCCTATTGCCTTCTCAATTTCCTCTGGATCCGAGAGCCCTCTGTTCTCTGTACACATATTCTCTATAATCAACAACTCCACAGTGTACACGCATGGACTCACTCTCGAACATCCTCCGCATTCGCCCGTGAAAGTCATATCTGCACATTCTCCGCATTTCAGAGGTCGGGACACGAGCCTGCAAAGGAAACGGTCTGCGCACGAGGGGTCAGGGTAATCTCTGCCTAGCCTGTGCAACTCCTTGTAGAGAGCGAGCACGCGATGGCGAGTCGCGGCGCTCGACATTGCCAACGATGAGTTCGGCAACTTGGAGCTGTCTAATAGCAAGCGATTGCCGTCGGGTTCCTGAAGAGGGAATTGCGGGTCGCGTGAGCAAAGCGCGTTCATTGGACTCCGACCCTCAAGCTCCAGTGTGAAGAGAAGTCCTCAAGCTTCTGCTGCTGCCCACTGGCCACGAATCTGTTGTAACTTACACGGACCCATATCCATCTATTTTACGTATGTCGCCTTTCTCCGTGCATTCACCGCACGCACCTACGACATACCATGATGGGCCGGATCTTACTCAAGAGCACAAACAGGAAGAATGTCAAAAGAGGCGCGCAGACTGAGTGTGCTCATATCGGTGAGTCCTTGAGAAGCTGTCAAAAGGACAGCCTGGACCGTTCAACGGCCAGCCTCAAAGGTATCACATTTCAAACCTTGTCGTATTGTGCACGATTAGATCACATGCGGACACATAGAAGAACGTCAAGATTTCCGTATTTGCTGATACACAGGTGAAGACGGACATAGTGCGACTGTGCGAAGGTAGCGCCATGAACATGAATGGGATGCGGGGTGCCGACGCCAGGACCTGTTCCCGCACTCGTTCGAAGTCGTTCAGATCGTGGACGGCCCTTACATTGCCCTCAATTTTTCCCATCGACGCTTCCACAGCCGACGACGTATTTAATAAAACGTTTCACCTGCGAGGCCGGCTAGGCGGGAGGAGCAGATTTTTTTTCTGCGTGCGAAAATATGGAGGCGACGAACATGGGCGCAAAGCTGCGTACAGAGGCACCGGGCTCGGCTGAGGAGGTCCGTCCCGCTGCCAAAAGGACTCTGGACCGCACGTGAGTAGCAGTATTTGCGAGTTGGAAATGAGAAACGTGCGGGCGTTGCGGGCGGGTCGGGATCTGATTGGCTGGCGGTAGACCAACGTGCAAGGTACGGGCTGTGGCACAGGCTTGCCCCAAGTCGCTCGGGCCCTGAACGCGGCGTTCCTCCAGACCTTCGTCTCGGCTCGCTCTCCTATGCCTATAAAGATGCTCTTGCGTAAGGATTCGAAGCTCTCCATCACCTCCTTTCCCCCGGTAGATCCACCCAGCGACGCGACCATCGTCCCTCTCCGCCATGGCCGCCTCATTCGAAAACTCTGGTGAAAAGGGCAAATTGTCCAGCGAAGGCTCCATTTCTGGCCTGCCTCGCATGGCTGCACCCCATGAACTCGACGAGCGCCGGAGAGCTGCGCTCGCAGAGATCGATAACGCCAAGTTTTCGTACGTCGATTATTTCTAGTTTACTTTGTCAATTTTATTGCTGACCGACCATCCCTCAGTTGGTTTCACGTCAAAGTCTGTGCAGTCGCCGGCGTAGGCTTCTTCACCGATGCGTGAGTAGTCCCAGCACTCCATCACTATCAGCCACCCCTGGCTGACCTCGCTTTCTTCAGCTATGACATCTTCGCCATCAACATCGCTTCCACGATGCTGGGCTATGTATACGGAAAAGGTGATCCCGATATCTGTGCCGTTTGGTTTGATAGTGACTCACACGGAAATCACAGGCCATGCCCTTAGTGCCAACCAAGACCTTGGCGTCAAAGTAGCAGCACCTGTCGGCACTCTTGTCGGGCAGCTGCTCTTTGGCTGGCTTGCGGATGTTATCGGCCGTAAGCGCATGTGTAAGTTCTCCGGACCCCTATCTTCCTTTTGTCTATCTCATGAACATGTTTTTGCAGATGGTGTTGAGCTCATGATCATCATCGTCGCTACATTCGCTCAGGCTCTGTCTGGCCAGGGCCCCGCGGTCCACATTATTGGTGTTCTCATTGTTTGGCGTTTCATCATGGGCATCGGTATCGGTGGAGATTACCCTCTCAGCGCGGTCATCTCGTCCGAATTTGCCTCGACACGGTCTCGTGGTCGTCTTATGACGGCTGTGTTCGCCTCGCAGGGCTGGGGTAATTTTGGTACGGTTCATCTCTAATACCGCTCTTTTTCTTTCTTTGACTCAATAAAAAATTCAGCTGCTGCCCTCGTCGCCTTGATTGTCGTGTCTGCCTACAAAACGTCTATCCTCACCGATAACTTCGTGACGCTTGACTCGGTCGACTTCTGCTGGCGTCTGCTTATCGGTCTGGGCTGTGTCCCCGGCGTGGTGGCGCTCTACTTCCGCCTTACGATCCCTGAAACGCCTCGGTTTACCATGGATATCGAGCGCAATGTCAAGCAGGCGACGCAGGATATCAACAATGTTTTGACCACTGGAAACTCATACGTCGACCCTGATGCCGTCGTCCAGCGCGCCAAGGCCCCCAAGGCCAGCCGCAGAGACTTTGCAGCCCACTTCAGCAAATGGTCTAACATGAAGGTCTTGATCGGCACAGCGTACTCATGGTTCGCGCTCGATGTGAGTTATTTTTCATGCTCATCTATGCTTAAGCACAGTCCTAAGTATTGTCCTACAGATTGCGTTTTACGGTCTCGGCCTTAACTCATCCATCATCCTGACGGCCATTGGTTTCGGAACACCACCCACAAGCGGTACCCTTGGCGTGTACGAGAATCTGCATAATATCTGTGTCGGCAACTTGATCTTGTCCGCTGCCGGCCTGATCCCTGGGTACTGGGTGTCCTTCCTGTTCATTGACTCATGGGGCCGCAAACCTATCCAGCTCATGGGCTTCATCATGCTTACCATCCTTTTCGTCATCATGGGTGCGTTCATCTTTTTGAACATGTGTGTAACGATGAAGTGATGCAATGGCGTTGGCGCGCAGGCTTTGGTTACGACAAACTCACCGCGACTACGTCGACCACGAAGGCGTTCGTCTTCCTCTACTGCCTCGCCAACTTCTTCCAGAACTTCGGTCCCAACACGACCACGTTTGTCATTCCCGGAGAGGTGTTCCCCACGCGGTACCGCTCGACGGCACACGGCATTTCGGCCGCGAGTGGCAAGCTCGGCGCCGTCGTCGCGCAGGTCGGCTTTGCGCGCCTGAAGGATATCGGAGGGAAGAACAAGTTTGTTAAACACATGTGCGTCTTTGTCTCTTGTTGTGGGTGTCATGCGCTGTGGGACTGTATACTGATCGGACGTGATTTTGCAGTCTTGAAATCTTTGCTTTCTTCATGTTGACCGGTATCTTCTCGACACTCCTGTTGCCCGAGACGAAGGGCAAGTCGCTGGAGGAGCTATCCAATGAGAACCAGGAAGGGTTCTTGCAGGGTCAGTGCTCTCTCAAATCACCCCGTCCTGTCCTCTCTTACTGATTTTGTTCTTCAACTCGATAGGTGTCGCTCCGGTAGAAGTCAGGGACGGCGTCATCGTCGAGGCAGAAGCACGAGAGCGGGAATCGAGAGCCGTCTGATCGTGCCGTTCTCCCTCTCGCGCCTGCCATGCCGCCTCACACATACTTTCATCCAGTCGTCTTTGTCATCGTCCTCATCTCGCTCCTTGTTTTGGATCGTCCGCCTGCAAGGCCCTTTCCTGATCACCTACACTTATATACTCGTTCAACGACGTCTTGTTATCATCACTTACCCACAGTATATTTATGAAACCCACTGTTGTAGCCTTTCGCCCACGTAATAGTTTAGAGGTCGCTGAGAAGGAAGATCAAGGCCAGCTCGAGGACAACGGTATTTTTGGGCTGAGATCGGAGGTTCGTGTCGTAGATCTTGTAAAAGGGAGGGGATCGGCGAGTGCGCGGGTATGACGTCGATGTCATCGGCCAAGCCTCAGCGTTCCTCAATGCGCGCGAGATCGCCTCCTATTCAACAGACCACGGACGCCACCTCCTCTGCAGATTCACCTCGCTCACGACGAGAAAAATATAACAGTTTGAAGTGATAATTTCGCTTCACCTCCTCATTTGGGTGTTCACTAAACAGTCGTCGCAGGCGTCCAGCCATTTCACCTCCCCTCATCCTGCGACCATGCCCAAAGCAGAGCTTGACAACCAGCCCTCGGCGTTCTCAGAGCCCTCGGAACCCGCGGACGTCGCTCCCGAGGGTAAACGCGCGCAGATCACGAACCCGCAAGAGGAGAACCCCCAGGCGGTTGTGAAGAAACAGGGCGCTGGCGGCAGTGGAGGTGCAGGACGATCAAGAAAGGGCGAGAAGAAGGAGAACGAGCCAGAAGGACCACGCAGCAGCAAGGGTAAATTGTGATTGATTGGCAGCGGGAGACAAATGTCAGGGAGTAAAACTCAGATGTCCACAGCCTTCAGGTAGTCATGGGTTTCGCATAAATCTCATCAGACCGAAACGCAGGATATATTTCAGGAGTCGATCAAGGGTAAGTAAAAAACCAGATATCGCAGATCGCAACATACATGCGCCCACAGCCAAAGCGTCATCCCTCAAGCAAAGCTCAAAATTATGAGTCGGCAGTCTTGGGCTTCTTTTTCTATGCACACACATCCGAGAGCAGTGAGCTAACAAATTCAAAGTAGGAAGAAAAACGCACATATGCGACTTTATCAAAGTCGTAGTCGATGCCGGCCTCCGCCAGCTTGCGCTTGCGCTCCGACTGCCGTTTGACCAGTCTCTTTTCCGCAACTTGCTGTTCGTCTTCTGTGCGAGGCTTTTTTAAACAATTAGACCATGCTATACCTTTTTCGATGAAGGAGAGGCAAACCTTGTTGTGCTGGACGCGCGCGATACGATCCCGTGGGACAACACGCCATTTGCGGTTTGCACCGATCCACAGTTCGGGATGTATGGTGTCCTTTGGAATTACAGAGCACTTGAGGATATGGCCCAGAAGGAGGTAGTTGTCCATCGTCTCTGCGACGATCTGGGCGACAGACGATGAATCGAACTCAACGAAAGCATAGTGCTTCGAGCGACCAGTCTAAGGAGGAAGAAATTATATAAAACAATTTCTGGGTGAGAGAGGGTGTTATGCGGACCTTCTTGTTCCTGGAGAGCCGCACGCGAGTAACGTTTCCGAATTGTGCGAAGTATGCCTTCAGCTGGTTCTCGTAGAACCCGTGAGGTAGCCGACTGAGACTGACTACTCCTCTGTCTTCTGTCTGGCGTGCGGTCGATTTCAGTAAATTTTCCCAATAAATCAAGGAGAAAAAAATTCACCGGTTGGCGTTTCGCCTTTTGCAGTTTCCGCTTTACGGTTGCATCATCCCTAGCAATCGTTGGCAATTTGCCAACATCGATGCCATCGACGTCGCCGTCCATGTCTTCGTCAGAGGAATCTTCATCGGTGGAAAAGCCGTGAAGATGAACGTCTTCCTCATCTGAGTTCTCTACTTCAGAACCGTCTTGATCCTCCAGATGGGAAGGCTCGAGTTCGGGGGATGGAGATGGCGTTGGTAGTTTTGCGGCCTTCTTGGAAATCTTTGAGGTCTTTTTTGTTGTTGCTGCCGCCTTCGGCGCCTCGACCGACTCTTCGACCGCCTTCCCTTTCTTCTTCCTCGGCTTACTCTCCTCAACTGGAGGCTGCTCTGCTACCTTCGCAACTTCAACGACCTCCACGGGTGGCTTCTCCGCTGCAGCCTTGTTTTTTCTCAACGGTGCATCCTTCGGTGTTGCTACGGCTTCCTCTACCGGATCCGACCTGGTTTTCCTCTTTTTGCTCTTCTCTTCCACAGCCGTCGCCTCCTCTATCGACGGCACAACCTCAGCGATCTCCGCAGGTGCCTCCTTTGCTGCCTCCTTCTTTGTCCTCTTCTTTTTCTTCCCCGCCTCTTGATCCTCTGATGGCGATACCTTTTCTACAACAACCTCCACCGGACTCTCAGTTGCTTGCTCCGCCACAACCTTCGCCTCCCCTTTCTTCGAACGCTTCCTCTCCTTCGTCACCACCACCTCTGGTTGCACCTCTTTCACCTCTTCCCTCTTCCCCTTCCCCTTCTTTTTCTTCTCAACTTTCTCCTTCCCCCCCTCCGCGACTGCAACCTCCACTCCCTTGGTCACAGCCTTCGGCACGTCCTCCTCGACCCCTTTTACCTCTCCTTTCTTGGCCTTCTTCTTGCCTTCAGAAACATTTGGAGCTGAGGTGTCCTCGACTGTTGGTGCCTCCTTGCGCTTGCGCTCCTTCATGGGCGGAGCAGTCTGCCTGGACGCTTCTGCGACGACCGGTTCAGCGATTTTGGATTTACGTGCTTTTTTAGATTGATGGGCCGGGTCTGCGGATGCTTTTTGAGGCATTTTTGAAGCCAAGGAGGGACGAAGAGGAACGATCGAGTGTTGCGCTCGCAAAGGTAAACAGAATTTTGAAGATGCAGACGTTTAGTCAGCAGACGCTACTTTCACGTCCCGATTAGGCAGGCAGCTTTCATGACTTTCCTCCTGCTCTCGTCTGCGAAATGACCGCACTTCCTCGCTTTGCAAACTCACACCATCTTCCTCAGTCGATAGAAACTACATCTCGCTCTGCCATCTACCATGTACTTGACGAGAGGGAGCAAGAAATAGATTCATCACTGCTCACAGACTTAACCGCTCTGGTCAAGCGACGTTTGGGGGACATCACAATGACCTCGCGGAAGAAACGGAAACTCAAACATCGCGCGGAAACTGATGCTATAAGCGAGGGACGTATTGTAGGTGAGAAATGATTTAGACTCTATCATGTCGTTTTCTCTGACCATCGTCTGTCATCCTCCAAAGCATACAGATTACTGTCTACATCTCTTCCGCCCCGGAATATTTGCCTGGACGCCAAGCCTCCGCCCAAAATAATGTATGCTTATTTACTGTATCCTGAAGACTGACGAGGAAGGAACCTGGATAGTTATTGGGAACCTCCATGTGAGGACGATGACTCTGAAGCCGAAGTACGAAAGAGACGCGCTGAAGCAGCTGCTGTGGACTTCACATGGCTTTCCCGGGAATCTCATAAGTCATCTGTGGTAAGGGCTCTTAGCTTCCTCTTCCATAAATTGACTGATCATAAGATAGGCTCGATCCAACGAACAGAGAAAGGTCCTTCACGCTAGCGGCTCTGTCTCATCTTCATCACCTCCGATCCTTCTGGTCGAGTGGCCTGCAAAACCATATTCGAAACTTACTACTTTGCAGCAACTCGCAGGTCCTGCTGCTCTACCGTCCCCCCATGACCCTTCGCTTGCAGGACATTATTGCACTGCAGTCTCAGTCCAGTCTTCAGATACTAGAGCGGAACCAAGGAAAGCCTCCAAGAAAAAGAGAAAGTATGTCAAGGAACGGCCCCCTCCAAGGTTCTGGCGACCTGTCAGTAGTTGGGGAGGTAAGAGTATGGGATACGCAATGGGCTATGAGGGTAGCTGGGCGGTCGACGATGAGGAGCCTCAGAACATTAGATATGTTAGGGATACTATGAAGAAGGGAATCCTTGTGAGCATGATGTACTGATGCACGACAGCATGCCTACACATCTCTTGCTGAGCAGACCCGCAGTTTGAATTATATCATCTGTCATGCATGCGTTGCGGTGGCGAAGTTGTGAGGTATCAATGTGAAACAAAGACATTTTTCTTCTGCAATTAGTTCTCAATGCGGCTTTTCAGTCAGACAGATGTCCATTCAAGAATCGGAATGCATCTACTAGAATTGTATGATCGGAGAATAAATCTCGAGTTAATTACAGCCTTGTTCATGATTGAGCTGCTTGCCTAGATTCCACTGTGACTATGCGAGGATTTTACGGATCATTAAGAAGATAAAGAAATGGTGGCGGAGCAGTGGCGAAGCACAGATTGAGTCAGTCTGTGAGATCTTAGCTCCGCCCGAAGTTCGGCAAGACTCTTACTCACTGCCATTTGCGTACGAGTACCTTTCACCCTTCCGCTTGACGAGATCACCACTCCTTCAATAATCCAATATGCCTAAAGTGTGTCTCATCGTCCCAAATATTCCCGCGCATAAATTAACCTCGATCGCGATCTATAGAATAAGGGAAAGGTCAGACCACATCCAAGCAATCATTTCTCGACATTTCCTTACAATCGCCTCTCCGTTTCTGACAGGGCGGTAAAAACCGGAGACGAGGAAAGAACGAGAATGACGACGACAAGCGCGAGTTGGTCTTCCGTGAAGACGGACAAGAATACGCTCAGGTGACGAAGATGTTAGGCAACGGGCGTCTGGAGGCTATGTGTTTCGATGGAGAGAAGCGGTTAGCCCATATCCGAGGGAAAATGCGGAAAAAGGTGTGCAACCATCTAAAAACTTAGCCGATCAGCGTGCAAACTTGTCTTCCATAGGTTTGGATAAACCAAGGAGACATCGTGCTCCTTTCGTTGCGAGAATTCCAGGACGACAAGGCAGATGTCATCGTGAAGTATACACCTGACGAGGCACGCAATTGCAAGTCACGATATTCTTCCTTGTGCTGTTGGGTGCTGACCGCCTTCCTGTTCAGTGAAAGCATACGGCGAGCTGCCAGAGAATGCCAAGCTCAACGAGTCCAACCCTCTCGACGAGGAGGAGGGTGAATGTACATTCGAGTTTGGTGATGAGGGAGATGTAGACATTGATGATATCTAGGCCTCCTGCCTTATATCCTTACATGTGGTTTTTGGAGGTCCGTAGACCTTTCGCTTCCCTCTGCTCTTTTCTGAAAAATATTTCAGCTCTGTACTACTGTCGTACTTCGTTTGTTGTTTCATATCTCTGTTCTATACATACACCAATGTATGTTACACAAGACTCATAGCATCTTCGATTTTGTCTTTTACGCCTGACACAAGTCCTATGGTCGAATATAACGTCGATATTAGAACATTCAGTCTATGGAAGGACGGAACTGTGCTGCGCGGCCTACCGACCGATCAGACCTAATGTCTTAATATCTGGTACACAGCCCTTTTCTCTGATCAGATAATCTACAATGTCCCTCGCATTGCTCTTCACCGCAAGTTTCAACATATCGGAATGAACTTTCAGCCTATCCGTCAGCTTCCTCTTCTTCGTACCAGATTTGCGACCGCTGTCACGTTCCACCAACATCTTTACCAGCGACAAGTCCTTCCTTTGGATGGCCAACAAGACCGCGAGCCCGTTCTTCCATCGTGGAGAGGCTCCGTGGTCCAAAAGGAATTGGATGAGAGGGATGAACCCAGCGTAAACCGCTCGGGTCAACGGATACCCTTCATGTGAATCGGGATCTGGGGAAGCTATCCGTGGATGAGAGAAGAGATATTGGAGGAACGGCAAGGGCTCGTGGCGGCCTTTCCATCCTCGACTCGACGGCGGGTCGTGAGCAAGTGCTCGAAATATTCGACGAGGGAGTTCGGGGTGCATGTCATCGACGGAAGGACAGTCTGGTCGACGCAGTAGGGCCTCTACAACGTCTCTCTGACACAGCGGATAGCGCAGTATGCGAGTCATGATATTTATTTTTCTGCCTGCGTTTTGGTTGAGCAAAGAACGCCCCAAGATGTATTCGACTTGGACGCTGGGGGGCGCGAACTTGAAGACGTTATACAGACGCTTGCATGTGTGAGGTAGGGTCTCGGAAAGCGCGTAGAAGTGGATTTCATAAAGGAGCTAAGTTAAAAAGTTCCTATGAATTCCACATTTGAATCTAAATGGACTGAACTGACCTCTACTGGTAGAGTATCAAGTTTATGCTGAAAAGACGTCGTCATCGTCGGAGACGGCATATTTTTCACGGGTATGAGCGTTTGAGCGGCCAAGCCCAGAGAGTATGAAAGTGGAGAGCAGCGAACATCTGCGAACACTTTGAATTTCAGAATCGACGGAGATCGACGGACCGGTAGGCGTGAGACTATTGTCCGTGACTTCGTCCCGCAATCATGTGATATTTTTCGACACGTTCTGCCACGGTTGTCCCAGTTGATTGGATCGGAGGTTTACACCAGTGAATGTAAGGGTGGTATATTACTCGAGAGAATGAATGGGAACATGTAATTTTTTTTGGTCGTGGCTTTAAAAGACAAGGCTCTTCGATACGCATACGGGGTGTCACTATACTTTGTGCATGAATTGGTGTTCGACGATATATGCGGGGGGATCAATTTTAGTCTTCCGGCGCGGGGAAATACAGAGGTATCAGATTTCTTTATATTATATTTATTTTGAGCGTTCGATCGTAGGATGATGTCCTAAAAGACACTCACTTATAAGCCTCGTTATCCTCGTCGCTGAACACGACAAACACAACGCGCTCAAACTGGAATTCCAAATGTTAGAAAAAAAGATGGGTATATGGCGAATAGCGCGTCAAAAAGTCAATGATAACACGTACGTTTATTTCTTCTTCGGATTCCAAGAACAATCTGACTGCATTTAGTGCAATGTGAGTGGCGCTCATGATGGGGAAGTTGTGTACTCCGGTCGATATCGCAGGGAAGGCCTGAAAGACAGTCATGTTCCCCAAAAAGTCATCAGTGGTCATGAGAAAAGCGCACAATCTGAGTGAGTGAGTGGTGGGCAGCAACGTGCAAGCTACGCGTGTAACAGGAAGCCAGCTGGTCACAGACCAGCTGTACTTTAGCGGTTCCTGAATAAACGGGACCAACTGTATGTATAACATGTCGACTAAGGCGATGAAGCATAGACCTGAGTTGATTCACTTTACGTTGACGGTGACGAGGCTCACGCAGGGAGATTGTAACCTCGTGTAATCTTGGCGTCCCCAGTCTGACAGCCTTTCAGAGTGCGACCTATACGAGCAGATGTGAGCTCCCGTCTTTACGAAGAACTTAGAACTCAAACAAATGCCGCTGGGTTGATCAAGATATACTATGCAAACGAGACTGTTAACTCACATTCCTTAAGCAATTGAGGACCTGCAGCCCTATGAATGGCTCCATCAGCTAGGGGCAACATGATTTAGATGTACAGCGCTCTCCATGAACGAGATGAAATAAATTACCACCATCACCGTCTGCCCAGCTTGATCAGTTAAGCTGAACTTCGGTATCGAGTCGAAAGTAGATACCTAGAAGGCTCCCGTTTGCCGCATTGACGATTGCATGAACATCTAGTTTCGTGATATCCCCCTGGCTGGAATAAAGACGTTTGTGAGCTTGTATGAAACAGAGCAGAGATGATAAGGACGCACTAAAGAGATACGCGGTCCAAAAGCCTAGCGACGCTAGGAAACCGCTCCTTTGTTGCATTCGCGTTCTTGTCGTTCAACCGTCTGAGCACGCCACGTTGATACAAGTCGCCAATAGTGGGGATTTGTCTAAAACTCAACCCTCGAGACATGAATGTTGCAAGCCAAGCTCAACTGTGCGCCGTGGTGGCAAGAGACGAAGGGCACGCCGGCACAAATCCTGGTGACGTCATCTCTTCGTCGTAGATCCAACTTGTGGCCCCTCGAGCGCTTTGCACAGGCGTACACTTCACCGGAACCGTATATATCATGAAGGTCATGTATATGGGTAAAAGTAACAAGTGCGTACAGTAGAGACGATGTGATGGTGATAACGAGAATATTAACCGTTGTGAGTAAGGTATACCTCCCCCCCCCAAAAAAAGGAATCGAGTGAACCACATCAGTGACTGCAAGAGGGCGAGCCTGCGAGCTCCGCAAGTCAAAAAATGGATGGAGTATGAAAAAGACGTGATGATGCGGATGCTGATGCGAATGCCGATTAGAGTAGAATGGAATAGCACGGAAAATCCAGTGCCCAGTGAAGAGTACAACAGGAACATAAATAGGCGATGGCTGCGGTGTTGAAAAAGTGTACATGAATGCGATGACGATGCGATGACAAGACAGCTGGACAACGAAGAGTGCTAATCTAGATGCATCAGATCAAGTCTCGCAGGTAGGGAAATACAAACGCTCCGTACTCACTTAGGACAAGGAATAATGCTACGACTGATTACTATGAGCCCATATGGCGGTGGCTACTCCCTCGAGAACTGGACGAGTACTGCTGGGAGCTAGACCGTGAATGGCGACTACTTGGAACGGGAGAGTTCGCTCGCGATCGGCCAATAATAGTGCCCTGATGCACGAGCGTGTTGGTTTGCGACTGAATTACAACGGTAGGATCAGAGTCGGCTTCATGGGCGGCGACAATCGGCTCGTTGTGGGGATAGTAAGAGATGCGAGTCGAAGAGTTGAAGTCGTAGATGGTGAACTGTTCTTCGAGCTGCCTCAATTCAGGCGCCATCTTTTCCGTGTTTGGGTTCGCCTTCCGTTTCTGATGCGTCAGAGGTTTCTCTGCCAAAAGGAACTCGTCAAACTCATGTGTGACGTCAAAGTTTGGCTTTCGTTGCTGTAACAATAAAACAAAGGTGTGAGCTTGAGAGCCTTTTAAGTGACAAAGGTGAAAACACACGTCAGGTACGTAGGGCGCGTCAAGCTGCTTGGCTTCCAGCTTCTCCCAGTTGATGCGTGCGAACCAAGGGTGGCTGTAGATGTCATCGATACTGGGCACAAGGGCGCGGCATCCTAAACGGGTATTCGGGTTCCGCTCCAGCAGCTGAAACGTGAAGAGTGAGTGACATGATACAAAGGCGTGGAGCTAGGCCGCCTTACCCCCAAAATAGCATCGCAGCCCTCTTTACTGACAGGCTGCACGCCCTCGCGGGCAGGAGGAACTTTGATAGGATGACTTGTGATGCTCTCCCGCATCCTATCCGCGGTCTTGCCGTGGAACGGGCGTTTATGCCAGAGTAGCTCATGGGCACAGACACCCAAACTCCACCAATCTATGTGCCATGTATAGCCAGTGCGGGCTGTGTGGACAACTTCAGGTGCCATATATGCCATAGATCCCGCGATTGATGTATGAAGACGTCGCTCTGAATAGTGGATGGCAACGTTGAAATCAGTCAGATGGGCGTGTCCTGATGCATCAAGGAGAATGTTGTCAGGCTTGATGTCCCTGCATCAAGTCAAATGAAGGACAGCATTCTATGCATGGAACAGCCAAATCTACCTGTGAATAATGCGCTGCTTGTGGAGGTAGGCGAGTCCACAGGACAACTCGGCAATCCAGAAGCGTACAGTCCTTTCAGGGAAAGATCCTTTCATATTGAGGTGAACTACGAGCGTATCCCGTTGATAAGGATGGGTGCAACGGTTGACTGTGTACGCACATCGTAGGTCACCACCATACATGAGATCCAGCGCGAAGAAGCAATTGTCATCGTCTTGAAATGCATAACGTAGGTTGACGATGAAAGGGTGATCAATCTGTGATTGCATTTGCGTTCAAGCACCCTGATATCAACGATGGTTGACCTGAGACATACCTCCTCGAGGAGTCGTCGCTCTTGGATGACGTTGGCGACAGCCTTTTGTCTTATGCATTGCTGCTTGTTGATATACTTCAGAGCATAAAATTTCTTGGTTCGCTTGTGCTCAATAACTCGGACCTAGTCAAAATTTTAGAAATTCGGTCGGAGTGGGCGAAACAATAAACGCGTACCTTTCCAAACGCGCCCTTGCCAATGGCTCGATGAAGATCGAAGTGATACAAGTTGACTGCGCCATCTAAATCAATAGGTTCGGAAAAGCAGCAGCCCATAATTCATCCGCCGGCGAGGGGTTGGCGACGCTCAGTCGTGCGACGGGTTTAAAAGGAAGTGACAGCCACTGCCACACCGCCCGGCAGGGACATTGTACTCGACAAGGCAGGTCCTTGATCGCGGTTCTTGCCACGTGGTCACCATTTCACAATAAGAAAGGTCCCGTAGCGCTCTAGATGACGACGGAAGCGCCTTTGGAGCACCTTGGCGACTCAGCAGCGCGGTACGAGACAATAACAGAGAAGAACACGGGAGTGGAAGCCGGGGAACGTATTTACTCCGTTGGTGGGAGTTTGCGCTAGTCCTCGGTGTGGGACAAGGACCCCGGAGCCCTCTGCTCGGACCTACACGGACCCCATCAAACCCCCCTCCCCGAATTATCTGCGTCAGTGGCTGAGCCGCCATGCACGAGACAGCCTCAGTGCCAATAGGTCAAATCGCTGCCATGGATCCCGAACAACAGGACGCACCATTCCTCGCTCATACACAGGAATACCTGTCCTCTGTCAAGGTCTTTCCCCTTATCTATCATTTGAAGAAAGACGTCACTGTAAGCATGTCGTGTCCACAAATCAACTGTGTCTTTCTCATACAACTATCGGGACCGTTTCGGGGCCGCGCAGAAAGACATAGGTAAGCGTTAGAACATTCACAACGAACGTTATCGTAGATTGCGTGTTCACTTTCTCCAGATAGCGCTCTGAGCTGGGAGTTCGTCTATCCCGCCTCTATTGTCTCGCTGCTTACGGGCTTACTTCTTTTCCCAACGAGATAGGCAGCTGACCGCATCTGATATCAACTTTGCGATCGTTCGTCCTCTCGTCTTCAAGTACGCCCGTTTGAAAAACCCTGCTATTGTCTACGCATGTCTGGTAGTGCGTTCCCACTTCCTTTCGGCTGCCGAAGATGACCTGGCATATTCCGGCGTGAGCCTTTCGCGGGCTAGTCTCTGTGAGATCTTGGCCATGAAGCTGGTCAGCCACTTCGCAAGCAACCGGTTGCAGCTGGTTTCCGTGTTGACCACAGGTTGGAGCCCGCTAGCGGGCGCGCCGAACGATGTTGTCAGCGAGGTCCAAATCTTGCTAGGTGAGGCCGAGGATATCGACGATCCTCAATCCGCTCTTGAAGTTCGTACAGCATATACGAATCATGGCAGCTCGAGGATCTACTAACCTTGTCTATAGATGGCTATAGCGACGCGCGCCAAGGCGTTCGTGTCTTCGCCCATCGTTCAGACCGTAGTCAACGACATTTACGCAGGTCATGTGGTATATTCCGTAGCTGCAAATAGGTCCATCGTAGCAGACAACTACAAACAACGTGCGATCGAAATTTACGACAGTCGGAATGCTTCTTGGCTCAATCACTATCGGTACATCCTGCTGTGTGTGCTGTGCCATGATGTCATCGAACCTCAGTATTTTCTAGTCTGCGCGTCCCGAAATATGGTGCTATCCTCGAATTTCTCAACTTCGCGCTACTTTTCGTTACCTTCGTTCTGTGCCTCTCACGTACGTGTATGGTCCCACTAATCGGGCTCACCGGGTCTTAAGTGTGTTTGTAGATCAAGGCGTGGATACTTTGCATCCTTTTGAGATCGTTTTTGTGTTGTTCGCAGCCGCATTCACGTTGGAAGAATATACTGCCTCGAAGGAGCATGGTTGGGAAAGTGAGTACGCTTCCTTCAGGTGTTATTTCCAAGGCTCATGCATTATACATCACAGTCTACATCGCCAATGTGAGATTCGTGATGCTGTGCCGCTGGTCCTATCGGCTCATCAATGACTCCAGATGTGGAATGTTTTTGACACATCCTTCGTACTTATATTTTTGCTTTTTGTCGTCATGAGAATTCGGGGCTTGGTGTTTGATAATCGTGAGTATCTCTAGCTTGAGTCATTCACAAATTTTGAGATCACTAATGACGGTCACTTGAGTAGAATCTTCGTCCGAGCTGGGGTTCGATATCCTGGCTTGTGGTGCATGCATCCTTTTCCCTCGGTATAGCCTTCCGATCTCCGTGCTGCCTACCTGACCTGATCGCCAAAAATAGGCTAGCTTTTTTCCTAGTATCGAACAATGTCGTTGTTCTGTAAATATCTTCCCCTTCCGCGCTCGAAGGTCAAGCTGATGCACCATGCCACTAGCGCTCTCCGCGGTATGATTGCAGAGTTTATCTTCTTCATGGGCATTGCCGCGATCTGCTTCTCCGGCTTGCTCTTTACACTCTGGACGCTCTCACCACCAGACAGTCACTGGACTGTCAAGTCTATCGCGTGGCTCATGGTGCAGATCTGGTTTGGCAACACATATCTATCGTTTGGTCAAGCGGCGTCGTTCCATCCATTCTTTGGTCCAATTTTGATGACAGGCTTTGCGGCATTGAGTAACACATTGCTTCTGACCAGTAAGTGTGTCTTGAATACAAATCCTGCAAATACTTGACGCGTAAATCAGTCTTGATCTCCATCTTGTCGAATACCTTTGCGAGGATTGACGCTGTGAGCGCCTCCATCTAGTTCATTTGAGCTCTTCGCTCATAAATATACTCCCATGTTGTAGAATGCCAATCAGGAGGTTTGTCTTCATTTCTTACCGCTGTAAGATCGTTAAATGAGCTGATCTGCTCAGTATTTGTTTCAATTCACGATCACGACGCTTGAAGGGTAATAATTTCACTATGGCTTACATATTTAACCTCTCTGATGACTTATGCAGTGTAAAATCCGACGCCCTTTTCAGCTACCAGCCCCCATTCAACCTACTAGCTTTTGTCATTCTTTGGCCGGCGAGTTTCTTTTTGTCACCGCGGTCTCTGCATTCTGCCAATGTATTCTTGACCCGCTTGACCGTACGTCCTTTATACTTTGAGCCCCTATCAGACATGGTCTCATGATAACAGTCTTTTCCTATATTGATCGTAATCGCGCTCTATGAGCGATATCTCTACGCACCCCACTCTTCTGTGTTGGAAACTACCCAAGCAGCGGCTCAATCAATGTACAATTCCCTTCCTAGGGTATTCAAGGCCATACCGATCCTTGAAGCCATCATGAGGACCAATGCGGATGATATTTATGAAGCCATCTTCGATGTACACATGGATCTTGCCGAGGAAGACGTTGGTCTATTCTCTGATCAAGAAGATGACCATGACGGCTTGCGCAGTTGGACAAGCAGGGAGAACGGCGCGAAGGGCACACATACACCTCCAACGTCAGGGGGAGGCACGATCCCTACAATTCATACGCCGGACCATGCAGGGGCTGGGAGAGGTCGTCGTCCTGCGAGTCTCCCACGGCCGGGAGCACAGTCGCCTCAGGGCTCTCCTCGCGCGCGCAAGCGAAGCTTGCAGCCCAGACCTTCGCTGTCCGGGCCGCTGCGTTCTGGCGCAGCCGAGGTGCCTACCCTAGGCCCTCGAAGCCCGCTCTCACGCCTATTCGGGAGACGTGCAGGGGAGTCTGATTTCGCCGCTGCAGGTGGAGTGGATAAGCTCGATAAGGTTGAAGAGGGCGTCAAAAGGGTACAGGAGCTGTTGGAAGATGCGCGAGGGTTGCCGGTGGCTCAGTTGAAGCAAGAGATGAAGGAATTGCAGGAGCGGCAGGCAAGAATTGAAGGACTGTTGATGATGCTGACACGCGGGATGAGGAATGAGGTCAGTACATCGCATCCCTCAAGGCATGATACTATTTGATCTGCTGTCATGGCACTGTATCATACTGTGTGAGTCATGAATATGTTCTTGTCACTCTGCGGTGTATTCACATGTTGAATGCTGACGCCGCATACTGTAGATTGTAGGCGTCGGACTCAATTTAGTTTTGATCTCTGACTGGCTTGAAATCTTCCAATACAGTGTCGTCGGACATGTGAATATTGTCCTCTCCATTCTAGGATCATATAGGTGCCACACTCAATGCTGAGTCGTGCCCCTCCGTTCTACTGACCGTCATGGAAGCCCTGCAATGTACTCTTGCCAGTATCCTCATTATACTCTCCCCAATGAACTCACTCATGCGTAGCTCAGTAATTCTCTCAGCATCATTTTCACATGCATATGGACGAGCGTCACGCACACTCTCTCGACTCTCATCCGATTCGGCAGACTTGACAGTTTCCATGACTGAAGGCGAGCCGGGCCAACATTATCCCCAGCGGGATCGTCCCTCGGCTGCCGCACAGATCATTCAATGTCTGTTGTTGCAACATTATGTACCACTCCAAAAGAACGAAACACGCATTCAACTGTCTTCCGGTCTTTCATTGTACTGTGATTTCCTGAACATCAGCATGGTACATTCCTTCTCAAGCCCATAAATACCTTAGCGTGCTCGCTCGCACTCTCAGGCTCTCCCTCTCGCATGCATCGTCTCCCTGGCTTGGACCTTGATATTCAGAGAGGATTGGATAATATCCACGACACCGTCCGCGAAGACATTGCTGCATTGAACCCTATCAATCTTTCTCGCACCCCTAGTACTTCCGGTCAAAGCATCAACGGGAAAGGCAACGGTGCAGCTTCTCTGAAATCCCTGAAGTCCAAGCTTTCTCTTCCGGAGATAACGCATACACCTGTAGGCCTTTGTTGCTTCTTAATTGGAAACGCCTGCGAACATTAAACTTACATTCTTTTCATGCTGCCTTCGCGGATAAATAGGACATCGTCACTCCCGTCACTTCAGTCGTGCCAACTCCCGCCATCCCGACGCCTGACATCACTAGTCAACCTGAACGCTTCAGCAAGCTCCCTCGAGAACTTCAGCTCCCAAAACTTGCTGCCATGCAAGGACAGGTATATCACCACCCTCGTCGAGCTGTACGCAGGCTGATGATTCCCTGCGTGGTGGTTTAGGACTCGGCGAATCTCCATGCACCCTCAACTCCTCCCTACGGGTTTCCCCCCAACCTCAGAATGCCCGAAATACCTCTTCCAGATCCGCGTATTCTTTTTGAGCACGACAAGCCCAAGGAAACTAGAGTCTCCAATTTTGCCGATCAATTCAAGGAATTTTTCGACCGCATTCGATGGCTCCTCTTCCTTCCCTTAAGCTGGTTCTTCACGTTTTCTCATGCGGCGGTTTCTATTGCCATCCAGATTTGGGTGCGTTCCTTGAACCTCTTGCGATCAACGATCTATATTGAAGATCTGTCACGGGTATATAGACCTTCCCTGCGTGGCTCGCAATTGACATCTACGAGCGGAAACTCCGTACCCAATTTCTTTGGTTGCCCTCGGTGTGGGGGTCCTTGTATGCCTTGTTCCCCAACGGGATCTATTTCCCCAAACTTCCTCTTCCTGACCTTTTTGGCAACGCTTTGTTTGGACGGCCAGATGGTAACATTCCGAGCATGGAAATCGACTTGGCTTCGATTAGGAGTGGCGGCAATGTGTTTACTTCGGCTGCTAGTGCGTTGAATGGAAACGCTGCCGGCGCCGGACATATGCAGGAGCAAATGAAGCAACTGGAGAGTGTCCTGCAAGGCGTCAAGGAAATGCCTGTTCAAGGGCTCCATGGAGGTATCAAGGAACTTCAGGCGAGTTTTGTGTCGTTTGGAATGCCATTCATCTGTTGACGACGAAGCACTTGACCGCTGATGGTACACAGGACAGTCAGGCGAGAATCGAGAATCTGTTGCATTCGTTGACAAACGGGCTAGGGAAATAAGGTCCTCACCGTGCTCAGTTCTGAATTTGTGTCCCGTTTATTGTATAGATCTCATCCCTCTGTCCATAGCTCCGATATATCCATCCGGGTCCTGCCCATCGCCCATCGCTCCTTTTGACAAATTTGACTCGAAGATCGATAATAAGCATTCCATTCATCCATGCCCCCTCCAAATAGCATATAAGCACCCTCCAAAATTCCTCGGCTGCGACATGTATATTCCATTCCGTTGTTGAACTTTGAGCTCTCCTGATTCTGTTGTTTGCTTTCCCTTCTCACTGTAATTGATCCCGAGGTACCATATCCGCGGGAAAGCGTTGTTCTAAGTAAATTAGACAAGTCAATTTGCAAAAAAAGGTGAGATATGGTTATTTCGGCTCCGCGCTACTCATTGAACAAAGGCATCTTCCATAAACGGCGCTCATGAAGGCATCGGTTTCCCACAAATGTCCGTGTAATCATTGGAAACCCCCAAAAACCAAGTGGAAAACAGAGAAATAAGTTCGTATTTTTTTCGCTGCACCATAAACAAAATTGTTGATACCTTCAGTGAAGGTCCAGCTATGTTTCAGTTAACGGTCGTGCGATCGTGTGACGTGGCGTGACAGGCTGACAGCGCGGCCAAATGAACACAAACATCGCGTTGGACGCGTGTTTGAACGGGATTCGCTAGGATTCGCTCCGACAGACGAGTCGCAAAGGTAAGCCTCGACCTGCCTTCCGGTTCACATTTACATTATCTCTTTCCTTACACTGCTTGCACGTGTATAAATCCTATCTATAGCCTCGACATGGACAATCGACCATCGTTGAGTGATGACGCTCAGAATGGTAGACCAGCTTCCGTTCCACCCTCACTGGCAGGAGCAGCACGCTACTCTCCCATTAATCCCTTCCAGAAATCGACTACAGTGCCACTCTCTCAGAGACAACCAAGCGAACCAACTCTGCCTCTTGCAGAAAGAGATCGAACAGTTGCTGTACCATTGGACCTGATGCCCCAGCTTCAGAGATCCGGACCTTCTATAGTGAAAACAAGAACAGGTAGTGTCTTGTCTAGAGGATTTATCTTGAAAACAGATCACTATCCTTCAGGTACGCCACTCATACACTGTATCATCTGGAAGTCATGACAAGGAAGATTCAGGTCGAGCCCTTGACCTCGATTTGAACGTGCATGGTGCTCCGAACTTCCGGTCACCACGACAGGGAAATCTGAATGTTTTTGGGGCTGCGCAACCTCGGTCTCAGGGTCTCAGGGCCATTCTTTCTGTTCTTCGTGCACGTCCGAATACGCCCAATCCTTCAAATGTCGTATGGTTCTCAACGCGTGAGGAGCCAATCGGTGCGTGCGCGTGATATTTAAAGAGCAGAGCATGTATATAGCTCATGCATTCCCCTTTCCAGTTTATATATCAGGCAGACCTTTTGTACTGCGGGATGCTTCTGAGCCCAGAAAGACGTTACCTCTCTCTGATCGCGCAGAAAATTTGGAAGGCATTGAGAACAGACTGAAAAACGATATTCTTATCGAGTCAGCCAAGTATGAGGCATCCATTGTCTCAACGATACCGCTGACTTATCAGATCCATTCAGGTATGGCGGTCTTCTGTTGACACACAACGAGATAGGTCAGGCACATTACACTCTCCCAGCTCTTCAGCGACTTAAATTTTTAAGTAGCCGTAGAAGATGGAGATGGTGCTATTTTACCTACTTGGACTGCAGTTGATGCCAAAAATGTGAAGACCTCCAGGGAATTATGGGAACACCTGAAAAATGATGGTTGGCGTGTCGAAGTCCGTTATTTGCCTGTTTATTCTGCCATCACACTGACACCGTCCATCTTCTCAGTATCATCGGTGCGTTCATTGACATAAAATGCTTGGATATATGCTTGAAATTTGAACAGAATACCTATTTCTCCTGATCGTCCAATCGAGGTATAGCATCTTTGTTTGCCACTTCGCGTCGTATTTTACACACTAAAATTTTAATTCGTAGGCCAACTATCTTGATGCCTACCTTCAAGTTATCAAGGACACTGATCCCCTTCAAACCTCCCTTGTCTTCTCTTGTGGAATGGGTGCTGTACGAACAACTTTTGCTATGGTCGCTGCATCACTTGTGCGGCGTAGACAGCTGATGCTTAGAGGAATGGAAGACCCATACGCTAGCAGAGTAATAGGCACACCATCTTTGTCGACCACGGTGCTAGGCAGCGGTACAAACACGGTGAGGAATAAGGATTTACCCATCATAACAATATTGAAAAGATTCAATACTACTTCTAAATAGCCCGACGGGGCACAAGTGAGTCAGACACTTCAGACTTGTTTCGAGGATCATTGTCGAGTAATTTTACGCAGTTGCCAGAAACTCGTCGCTTGCCCAACGAAGCCAAAATTGTGCAAGCTCTTGAACAAGCCAGTGCGCAACAGGAAATGAGCAGGTCTTTGCTCCGTTTGACATATATTTTACAACAATGTAAGCTGGTAACGAGTGTAAAAATGAAAATCCACAGTAACATGTCATAGGCCAACCCACTAACCCTTCGCAGCAAGTCATCGAACTTCTCTTGTCTCATCCTACGTTACTCGATAACCTGCGAAAAGCGCACTTAGGGAATTATGGTATTGTCCAAAGCCTGCTAGGTTGCCTGGACCATGGATTGCAAGCGAAGAAGCTGGTTGACAAGGTCATCGATTCTTGTAGGTGTATTCGTTCAATCGTAAACCGCTCTCAGTTTTGATACTGTAATGCTAGGTGATCACGTCGTCAACCTCCGTGAAGACATCCTTATTCATCGAGTCAAGTTTTCTTTGACGAGTCTGGACGAGTCCAGTAGGGATCAATATCTGGGCAAAGCCGTCAAGGCCATAGAAAAATAGTGAGTCATCCTTCACCTTGTTCTTACATGTTGATAATTGTGTGCCACAGCTTCTTTATGATAGCTTTCATGAGCTACGTCGAGTCGCAAGACAGTTTCAATCAATCATTCTCGGGTTGGCTTAAGGTACGAAACAATCAGATCATTTGTGAACTTCAGGGAATGATTACTGTGACGCCTATCGCAGACCAGGACAGAGATCTGGAAGTAAGCTTAGTTTTGCTACGCACTCCACATTGTTTCTCAATCACAACACCAAGTCAAGTAACGTTCCTACGCAAGTCGTATGGTTCACGCCTCAACGTGTTCGCTCCAGTCAACGACCTGTCCATACTTTCCAAATCTGGCTCTCAAGAACGATCCCTTATACGAAATCAGAAGAATGATGTCGCGATTTCTGGTGGACAGGTTCTGGGAGATGAGTACTCCGATTATGTCGTGAAGGTACTTTTTCCATTATTACCACGGACCCAGATGCTCATAATGCGTAAAGAATCGTAGTGGGATAATTCTCAGAGAAAGGTACGCGACGCACATTCGCTAACTGGAATCATCAGCTCAGACATTGGCGCAGTACTCTTCTCAAATCGGATCAATGGCTGAGCCAGTCTCACCATGTTGCCCATGGTGTACGCGGCGCGATCAACTTCCGCAACATCCCTGGCACCAAGATCTATGCTCTTGGGCAGCCGACCGTAGAAGCTATCGATGAGGTTGTCCATCGAGTTCACAGTGCACATCCAGAAGCGAGTCGTATCATTTGGATAACATTGCGTGAGGAGCCGATCGTATATATCAACGGTGCACCCTACTGTTTACGGCGGGAGCGATTCTCTCTGAGAAACATGAAAGGTCGAATTTCGAGCCTTACAACGGTATACATGAGAACTCACAGATGATATACAGACTATGGAGGGATCTCGGCATCGCGATTAGAGATTCTGGAGGAGCGGCTCAAAGATGATGTCGATGCAGAAGTCAACTCTTTCGGAGGAAAGTAAGTTCTCGCCATCGAATGGATCCCCGATTAGATTTGATCATATTTCCGATAGGCTTCTACTCCACACCGAGACACCTGATGGGTCTGTGATACCAATTTGGGAAGAGGTGCGACCTGAAGATGTTGCCGTCCTCAAAGATGTCATGACGTCTCGCAAAACAGTGGGACATGGTATTGATTTGCACTACGCTCGTATACCGATTACTGCAGAGCGTCCGCCGAATTTCTCTGATTTCAGCGAGCTGATAGATGTCGTTCTAAGTGCGAATATGACTTACACGCCCATAGTAGTTAACGATCAGCTGGGACGAGGTCGAAGCACTCTGACTTCTGTGAGTAACTATCTCTCGCCTTATTACCCCCTGCCTTGCTGAAGAATGTGACACAGATCATCCTCATCTTGATTCAGCAGTGGTTGGAGCGAAGCAGGCCACCTGCTACTCCTAGATTGGGTTCGCGCTCTTTATCTATTGACAACATCTCCCTCAAAGACACCTCTATTCGTAAGACCGCCAAAGATCACCCTATTCATAGACAGTCCTACGAAATTATCAACAGTAAGTCGCCTTTGTTCCAGGTTTTCTGGCGCGCTGTTTCTCATACTTACAACACATAGGTCTCTTACGCGTAATTCGCAAAGGTCCAGCCGTAAAGATTGTTGTCGATGAAGCTATTGATCAATGTGCTGAGGTTTTCAACTTGCGCGACTCCATAGAGGAATCTCGTAGCCAAGCAGAGCAAGCTTCAGACGAATGGTCCAAGCGCACCATCGCTCAGAAAGGTGTGCAATTTTTGCAATTCGTAACAAACACGTGTTGACGGTCATGCAGGCTTGTACAATCTTCGGCGTTACTTTGAATTGATCGTATTCCAGGCGTATTTGCAGTCTACAGAACCTGACACAATGCAGAACTTTGAAACTTTCGAATCGTTTGTTCAGAGGCTTCCAGGTGTGTTTGCTTGTGCACCTTCGCATCCTGTTTGTGCTGAGTACCGTCCTTTTAGTGATCAAGACGTTTGAAAAAGAACTCATCGCTGAAGGAGCTGGTGCTCTGAAGCCTTTGTATCGCGTCGATCTCGCAGATGGAGTGGCTCTACCTGACGAAGAGACGAGTATTGTCGCGAATCGTTCCGGCAGTATCCTCTCCGCTTCTACTATCCTCAAGAATGACTTGTTCCTAGGCTTACAGAAGATGACCTTGCCTGAGTACTACGTTCGCCGTTCTTGTCATCACACATGCTAATAGTGCAATCATAGACGGATTGAAGGATCGCCCAATTTCCGGCGTGTGCCCTTAGTGCTACAACTTGTTTCTTGCAGCGGGTTATCGTCACCTCATGATGGCGTAGATTTTGTGCCTAGTAGGGACGAGAAACACAAATGGGTTTGCGGAAGGTACACATATTTCTCGATAATGCATATTAAGATTGTTCATGTATGCTTATTTAGCGGGATGCCTACATTACAAGGGTAAGTGTGGTGTTCAAAGACACGGATGACTATCATTAATTTATGAGATCACGTTGAAGACTGCGTAAAGCCCTGACTAGGATTGATGCCGGGCCAGACGGTGACAACATGGTCATATGGACATCTTTACGAGAGGTATGTTGCATTTATCATACATGAAGACCCTTTTTTCACAGTTGTCGAGCAGGAACCTGTTATTTACATCGCTGGTCAGCCACACGTGCTGCGGCTCCAAAATCGGCCGATGGAGAATGTCGAGTAAGCTTTCATAACTTTCTGCCTAGTGTGAATCTCTACATATCACATGTGTAATCAAGGGCCACTGGCGTCGATACCAGCTTAGTTGAGGCAATGGAGGATGCCTTCAAGAAAGATGTGATTAGAGAAGTGCGCGAGGGACAGGGCCGCATTTTGCTTCATGATGAAGTGGAAGAACGTCCGAATGTCTTCACGATTGAACCAATATGGGAGGCAGTTACTGAAGAAGATATTATGACGCCTCGTGACGTATTCCAACTCATGACAAAAGAAGGCTACAAGGTATGTGCTTTGAATACATCCTTCCCATCGTTGACTTACAAGACCTTCAAAGATCGACTACGGACGCATTGCAGTTGTGAGTTTCACATATAGGCAGCCAGATTCATCAAGTTGACAAATTTATAGACGGACGAGCAAGCACCCCTCCCTGGTGCTCTGGCACAGCTTTATGATCGTGTCAAGTGCGGCTATTCCAAAGCAGGCGATTTTGTTTTTAATTGTCAGATGGGGCGAGGAAGAACAACTACAGGCATGATCACCGCGTGTCTAATCGCAACTACCATGAATTGGAAGGATGATTGCATCACCGACGACGCAGTACAAGAACGAATCACCGAAGAATATGACAACATTGACGGACCCTCGGAAGAAGAGGCATATCTTCAAGGTAGTTTTTCTTTAGATCATCCGAAGATATCCCAATGTTGACAAGGATCGAATGATAGGGGAGTACAAGGTCATACTTCAACTTGTCAGCGTCATGGCCCATGGCAAGCTCGCCAAGCGCCTCACAGACCGAGCAGTGGACTTGATGCAAGACGTGCAGAACCTGCGAAAAGCTATCTACGAGTATGCTGTTCTGCTTGCATTAGCTGAGCTGTTGACTCACTCGTGCCATCTTTAGCAACAAGTTGAAGGTCGAGGCCTGCGAAAAGGGTACATCAAAACATCAAAAACTATTCAATCTTGCCGTGAACTACTTGTATGTCCTTCAATATGGAAGCTCTGTTATTTCTTATTTCGAGCATGAACAGATACCGATATGGAACACTCATCGTCTTCGCTAATTATCTTCTCGAAATGAGAGAACTCCTTGGACAGGAAACCACCTTCCCGGAGTGGCTGTCCAAGCATCGAGAAATCACGAAACTTCTGAGCCGGAAAACCCTCGATTAAACGCATTTACCGACCGGTTTCTTGGGATATACTGTACACCAAGCTGGTAAGACGTAACAGTACACAAGGCATTGGACTGTTTTACTTTTCAGATCAGATGTTGTTTATTTGTTCCTGTTCTCCATCTCCTGTCATGACTGAATTCCTTTGCTTCTAATCTAATTTAATCGGTCAACACCTTGTTGATACCAGATTGTCACACGGACTCATATCTTAGTATCTTGTTCGCACGTCTTCTCGCTCTTGCTTGTGCTCTCGACAATGAAGATCGCAGTCACTGGAAGTAACGGCTCCGTAGGGCGCGCCGTCGTCGCAAACGCGTTAAAACAAGGGCACTCAGTCCTAGGGATCGATGTTACCACGCCTGCCGCAGACGAGACGCGCACGAACCCGGACTTCAGCTTCGTGCAAGCGGATCTGCGCGATTTCGACGAGACGCTGAAAGCACTCGAAGGATGTGAGGGCGTAGCACACTTGGCTGCGTTTCGGAATCCGACCGATTATTTGGTCAAGACTCACAACAAGTAAGCCTTATAAGATTGCTTGCCGTTTCCCGTCGCATGTGCTGCAGGAATTTTGACGTTTTGATCCGTTAGCAACGTCGTCATATCGTGGAACGTCTTGCGAGCGTGTGCAGAGGTCGGTCGGTCTTATTTTAATTACGAACAGTTGTGAACCTGTGTTTTACACCAAAAAGTTGGGGATCAATCGCATCGCATGTGCATCGTCGGTGAACGTTATAACCATGGTGTACTCTCAAGGCCCGCACTTCGAATACTTCCCTGTTGACGAAAATCATCCGTGCCTGCCTGATGAGCCGTATGGCCTATCCAAGATGTACGTCCGCCCCAACTATTTTCTTGTCCGGGTTTGATATTTACGGATGCATCACGCGTAGCATTGGTGAGATGCAAGCTGATAGCATAGTCCGGCGCTTTCCTTCCGTTCGCATTGCAAGTCTCCGCTTGCACTGGTCCATACCCACACGAGCGACGGCACAGACCCAAGACCCCGCTCGAGCGAAAAATGATCTTTGGGGATGGGTGCAGGAAGACTCTGCTGCCGAAGCGTTTCTGCTCGCTATCACGCAAGAAGATGGCCGGTGGAGCGGACACCAGCGTTTCTTTATTGCGGCGCCGGATATATCGTTACTCGAGCAAGATTCTAAAACCCTTAGGGAGACTTATTGGGGTGATGTGCGGGTAAGGGAGGGAAATAATGTTAGCGGAAGGAATGGGTTCTTCGATTGTGCGAAGGCAGAGAGGCTGCTGGGATGGATTCACAGGGATATATCATAAACATATGTTGATTGATTTCCTTCGTCCGCTTGGAAACATAATCCATAATTGAAGCATATATTGTTACAGATCCAGGAATATATTTAACTCTAACCAAGATCTTCAGCAAGCGAACTTTGACGATACTGAGACCGAGAAATTAATGTACACATCCGCCATACTGTAGCGCAGTGAGCATGCCATAGCGCGGAAAGAAGCAGTCGCCGAACCTTGAACACCGTGTACACATTATCCTCACTTCGACTTCTGGGGTGGCGTATACTTAGAACGCCCTTTTCCATCGTTATAATATTTAGACCCGTTGGGATTGGAATAATAATAACTCCCATCTCTGAAAGCGAGCAATTTATATAAGGCACAGATCCAAACGGCGGACATGGTATGCACCGGTTGGAATAATGATAGGCATTTGAGTCATTCCCGTAATTACGAGAGCACCAGTGATTTCCCTAGCAGCATAGAAATTATCAGGAGGCCGTAAAAGTCAAAAGCCAAGTGGGCGCCCTCAATCTTTAGTTTTAGCGGATACACCCGGCACCAACGTACCTAGTTGTTCGTACCGCTACCAGTATATTAGAAACTACCATCCGAGGAGGAGTTTCCAGTGTTGTAACCTTCAGACATCAGTGTTAGAGAATGGTGGCTTCTGGGGAGTGGATGAATTTGACGAGCAACGATATAATATACTGATGCTGCGCATCGGAGATTAAACGTTGAACCGTTGGCGCTTGTTGCTATCAGAGAGCCTAGTTCGTTATGTTCCCATCAGGAACTTGTGGATGTAGATCACCGCATAATTTGATGACGGAACTTTGTCATTGACCTTCATCTTTACTGTATCATGTGTGCTATGGTTTGCCATAATGCCTGAGTCGGCGCTGCTGGAATTTCTACCAGAGTCACCCGAACAGCGCTGCGTACGATGCGTGCCAGTTACAACACTAGCTGCCTCACAAGGCTCGTGTCTCGAGTTGAGACATCAAGTAAATCAAAATTTATTCAAGAATAAGACTACACCATATTCAGTCAAATAGAGAACACGATCTCGTGTTGGCCACAACGACTGTTACTGTCAGGATATCGATCAGTCCTCGAATGTGTAGGAGTGTATGATCATATCGAACTAGGCATCAGCCGTTTCATGTGACCCTACTTGACCCTCACTTCAGAGGACCTGCGGGTATCCCCGCTGGACGAGGTGTGCTGAGAATACCCGTTGCCGCTGTTGTAGTAAGTCGAACCGTTGGAGTTTGAATAATAATAGCTGCCATCACTGAAAGGGCACTCATTAACAAACGAGAAACTGGACATAGATGAGGATGTGCGAGTCGGAGTAGTGATAAGCGCTGGAGCCGTTGCCGTAGTCGCGAGAGCAGTAGTGGTTGCCCTGTCCAAAAATACACGGTGAGATTCACAAAAAGGAGTACGCCTGCCCATTATATTCTGCAATAACAGTAGTGGTGAAATATCATACCTGATCGTTCGTGCCGCTGCCTGTATAGGTGAAACCAATGTTATCGGTGTTTCCGGTATCAGTGCTGGTGTTAGCATTGTCAGACATCTGAGAGAATGACCAAAGTGGATGAGGAATATGGTAGCTGTAAGGCACCTCGAGTCGTGACGCGCTTTGTAGTTCAGGCTGAGTTTGAAAATGGAAGACCTCGACCATATTACTTCATGTACCGACGTCATTCTTCAACGATGATTCGGTTGGTATCGCCAGAGCTGATCTTGATGTATGGGTATCGAGGCGCGCTCGCAAAACAGTGAAGGATGCATCTTAAGTTGGTGAGTGCGTTGGCTGGCCGTTTTGTGAGACTCGCTCTACAAGAATCCTTGATTTTTCAAACTATACAGGGCCACCTCTCCTTCCGTGTTTCGTATAGTCCCTTGCTACATGTCTTGTGAGGGTTGATATTTAGCTCGGGGCATCAATCGAATGTGGTTTCTCAATCTCGGAGTACGATGGATTCGCATTCGTGCAACAGGAACAAATCGCGCGATCATGAGCTTTCAGAAATCAGAAATCTATCGGGCACCCCACAGCATCTGATCATGTCGATTTCCATGCAGAGAACCATTTCTCATGTTGAATGATTGTGAATATGCTTCCATATCGTCTTGATACTCAAGTTCTCTCTTTAGTCTGCCTAAGAACTCTGGATCCCAGATTCTCCAGGGAGCTATGTACTAGTGCGAGAGCACCGGATGGAGTGGGTTGTTGTGAAGACGATGCTGTCCGGAAAGCGTACGTGTATCAAGGCTCTAATCTGTCACATTGGCTCAATCTAACATCCTCGAACTTATGCACCCGAAACTTATGAACTTGGAATCCAGTTGTTTGACATCGCCAACGTGTGTACATTCCGTGACCTTGAGCCTTGATGCTTGATGGCATGTGCTAACTAACCTGCTTCCTAGGCCTGATCCAATGGAAGACCCGAAATTACTAAGGAGAAGGCCAATGAGCAGCTCGGCTTATCTCGAAACAGGTTTGATGCTACGACAAAGGCACGCGTTTGCGGTTTGATAATAGAGAAGTTAAGATGCCAGCGAACGCTACCAGCAGCGTTCCGGTCTTAAGATCGTGTGGAGTTGGCGACAAAAGTTTGATTTGATCCCTGACTATCCGTGAGTTCACGCTATTGACTTTGATCTTGCATTGACATCTCAGGCGTCACTGCTCAGCACAATCAGCATCGAAAATTTGATGGAGATAGTCGGTGCGTGTTGAAATTATGTTTTTATCATTGAGATATTAACTTCTTTCGAAGATGCTGTCCACGGCAAGCTTACAGATGACAAGATGAGGTATCTAGAAGAGGCTCATAACCCACAGACAATCATGCTTGAGTTGTTAATATTATCCTTGTTGTGCCGTCTATTTTCGGAAGCTCAGGAAGCCCTGGCACGCAATTCTTACCGCAAATATCCGCACATAATTTTTTGTCTCTTCGGCCAGAAGACTCGTACTGGTTTATCTATAACTCACAGCCCAGACTGAGATATCGCCCTAATATGGTACTCATGGATCTGGATTGGTTTTTATCGGGCGCATGACCTCGACCTCCGTTTGCAGATCCTGTCAGCGCACCCACATCGAGTCAGCTTGGACCGGAGTCAAGTGGGTCATGTCAAAGCCTTCGGTGGGTCCTATAAAAGGAGACAGTTGAATTACTCATAATTGATGGGAGCCCTTTGCCCCACTGACAATCCTGCACAGCTGAACTTTCAAAGACAATCGACGCCACAGTTGTATCATTAACACCATGACGACCACAACGAAAAGCATGCCATACGGTACGTACTCTCCTAGTGCTTCGCAAATCTGGTACTAAACAGCATCCTCTAGTGCGCCTTGGTAATTCTGGACTGAAAGTGTCCAGGATCATCCTAGGCACCATGTCTTACGGAGACCCGAAGTGGCAGGAATGGGTTCTTCTTGAAGAGGAGGCGATAGCGCATATCAAGATGGCGTATGTCTATATTAGACTGCCAGGGGACGCAGTTCCCAGGCCGTCGTTGACGTCACGACATTATTCCTGATCGACTTTGCGCTGATCTAGATATGATGCTGGCATTCAGACATTCGATACGGCCAATGTACGAACATTCTTAGTTTTGGGTCGATATTCTGTGGCAAAAGCTGAAGCGCGAAACCGATATTACAGGTCTATTCTAGTGGCGAATCTGAGATAATCTTGGGAAACGCGATAAAGAAGCTTAAGCTTCCTCGCGATGAGATCGTTGTGATGACCAAGGTAACTTGTGTATCCTATGCTGTATGCTGCTCTTGTTTCTTGAGCACTCACCTTTTCTCGTAGTTGTTCCATGCTGTATCGAAAGATCATACTCTAATTGTACCAAAGCAACTGAGATATGACGAAGAAGGATATGTAAACCAACATGGGCTGAGCCGGAAGGTTTGTTCGAATTCTCGTATAGCCATATAAAACAATGCTGAACAAAGATTTGTGCAGCATATATTCGATTCTGTGAAGCTGAGTCTCGAACGGTTGCAGCTCGACTATATCGATGTCCTCCAATGTATGTCATTTCTATTTCCCGTACGCTAAAGCCCACTGTTGGACCTGAGCTTAGGCCACCGTTTCGACCCCCACACTCCCATTGCGGAAACGGTATGGACAGTGTTCCTAATCATTTTCCGCTGCTTCACACCTATTTATCACGCAGATGCAAGCCTTACACGACGTGGTCAAAGCTGGCTACGTGCGCTACATTGGTATGAGCTCATGCTGGGCTTATCAGTTCCATGCAATGCAAAGTACGTCGCCCTTCCTGATCCGACTAGAGCAATATTTTCTGAGTTTACATCAAGACTATGCCATTGCAAACAAGCTGACACCGTTCATATCCATGCAAAACCATCACAATTTGGTCTACCGGGAAGAGGAACGTGAGATGTTCCCTACCCTTAAGGTGCGCACATATCAGGCGAATGATGAGCACTCCGACATTCAGCGCTTTGTTCTTGATCTAGCTTTCTGGTGTCGGCGCTATTCCATGGTCTCCCCTTGCTCGTGGACTTCTTACACGCCCCCTTTCCGATCAGAGCACCAAACGAGGCTCGACTGATTTGTATGTTTCAATAAGGTTTTATTTCATGGACAAGCTTTGAAGTTGTTGACGCATTCAGTGTCATCAACATGTACAACAAGGGCCCTGGCACTGCGGAAATCATTAGACGGTTCGTTCTGGATTGATGTTCGTCGGAATTTAAGTTAATGAACGTACCATCTAGGGTAGAAGAGATTGCGAATAAGAAGGGCGTCAAGATGGCTCAGATCGCGCTGGCATGGAGTCTAGCCAAGGATGGTAGGTGTCCTCTTTTCAACCACTGAATGACTCGTCTGAACTTGTGACACAGGTATCGCCGCCCCCGTAGTCGGTACTACCAGCCTCGAGAATTTGAAGGATCTGATCGGTAAGACGCCAGCCCACCCCTCGGTGTCCTCAATCCTGATTCGAGTATGCAGCTGCCGTTCATATCAAGTTGAGTGACGAAGAAGTCAGATATATGGAAGAGCCCTACAAAGCGATGGACGTCATCGGGCACATCTGAAGTTGTTGGTCTGGTCAGGTAGAGCCAGTAGCCAAGATAGCTGTTTAAACATGGTTGGCCGCACCAAGCGAAATGTCTTCTCGAGATCGTGCACTGTCAACCAATCTGTGTAGGAATGCAGAGTTAGATGTCGAGACTAGCTTTCGACGGTCAGAGATTGAGGCCCTACAGCGCAGCCCAAGCGAGAGAGAATGCAAAATGTAGTTTCAGGACTGACCTGACTCGGGTAAGACAACAATTTTTAAAACGTAAAACAATGGACTGAACAATCACAATATTAGCACTAAAGTGAAAGTCGGCTGAGCGCAAAACGAGAGATGAGATATGCAATAAAGAAGAGTATATGAGTGGAGCAACTGAGTCGACAATGGAAACCCCTAATTCAACGACGCTGGTTAATCATCCGTTTCCTTGACCAGCGAGAGCCCATGGCACCGCGCTTGACGATATCGCCGCCTATAAGAGTGTCGATTTCGCCACGCTTCCTCCTGCCGGGCTCGGTGGTGTCGATGGAGACGCCGGAGGGACGAGCGTTGCAAAGCGCCTGGATTGAGTCGGGGTAGTCGAGGGCGGCGATGCCATTGGGGTTAGAGACGATGAGACCGAGGAAGCCCTGTAAAAGGCACAAGTCAAGGATGAGAACAAGAAGCGTCCAAGTGAGGGCGTACCTCAGCAAGATGCCAACTGAAAAAAAGGGCGGAGAATCATTAGTATTGTTCATGAGGACAAAGAATTGAGAAGACATGCGCGATGTGGCAGTGGAGGACCCAGACGCCGGGATTATCATTGGAGAAGCGAAGGACGGCATAACCACTAGAAGGTATTAGTGAAATATTCAGCGGTCATTGAGAGAAAGAAGCGCACCCGCCAGGGATGACGACGGTGTCACGACGGACGGGATTGGTCAAGTTATAGTTAAGGGAGGCAGCATTGGCAATGCTAAGCGTGCCAGTGCCACGAGCGATGATTTGGAACTAGGGTAGCTTAATGTGAGTAATTTGTCTCCATAGTATGTCGGACACCGTACATCATTGCCGTGGAGGTGGTATGCTGCAAAGAATAAGACTGTTCAGCAAACGTCCATAAGAGATGAAGGTAGTTACTCACGATGATCGAGGTTGGGATCCTGGAACAGTTTATATCAGTACGAGAGAGCAATAGATATAGTGAAAGGTTGCCCACAAGGTTGTTGATCTAATATAGGACAGTCAGAATAAATTCGTAGTTAGCGGCTATGCAGAAATACTCACGATGATGTCACCTGTCCAGACGGAGTCTTCGAAGAGAGCGTTGGCAACATTAGTTGAATTTACAACAGTGGAGCCATTAGCAGCGACAGCTTCCAGGATCGGCTTGTAGACATAATTGGCTGTAATGACAGTGAATCAAAGAGCATAGGGTTAATCAGTGGGCACGTACTGTATGATGTAGAGTTAACCAGGAAGCGGTTGTAATCGATACCGGCGATTTCTACAGTACCAAAGGACGAATCGAAAGCAACAACCTTGTCGGAAGTAGCAGGAGCGTCCTTTGCAATGATAGGAACCAACTGCGAGTCATCAAGATCAACACAGTCATCAGGGAGGACATCGGTCCAGTCGGCGGAGGTTGGCTCGCTGGTACTGGCGCCGTAGCGAAGGATGGCATAGGCAGTCGTGTTGAGGGTAGAGTCAGTGCTGTACAAAGCAATGAATATAAGCCAGCAGAACGTTGGAGGGGTAGATACAGATATACTGACGAGAAGAAGCAGTCAGTATTCATGGTTGCACGGAGCCAGTACGCATCGCCAGCTGAGCCAACATTTGTGTCGATGATACTGCTCGTCATGTATGAGCGAAGAAGTCTGACATATGAAACCAGAGATGCTTACGCAGAATACTGAATGAAAAATAAACCCAGTCAAACGATGCACATATAGACATCTCGATAACTTACACGTTGGCCGTTGTGGAAGGGGAGACGATGAACTGAACTAGCACCAGACACAGGCGTGCCATCGGCTTCCGTGATGTTCAAAGTGCTGTTCTTACGTGAGCATCAGCGGTTCGAAGAGTGCGATATAAACCTACTGGCTATCGACTGAAAAGTAGAACTGTGCATGGCTGCCACCGTTACTGTGTGTCGTTGATAAGTGAGTAGACACTATATATAATTCTCGACAACTTACATGAGCCTGAAACGCGTCTTCGCATTCGGCTCGACGGTGAACTCAGGGAAAGAAGGAGTGGAGCAGCCCGTCGAGTCGGTCAGCTGGGAGCAATCGAAAACGCCCTGAAATTGACCAGTTGAATGGGATATATGTATGGATTCAGAACTCGGACGCACCTTTCCGTTGATAAGGCCGCTTTGGGGGGAGGGTGCTGCAGCCGTACCGTCATAACCATCCACAGAGAGAAGCTATGCAGCGCGTGTCAGACACCTATCCATCTTCAATTGGGTGCTGTCTTACATCAGTAGCAATGGTTCTTGCTTCGTCATGGTACCAGTCCTGGATTATCAACACCTGCTCGTAATCAAAGTCCGTGCCTCGCACGAGAGGATCATTGACAGAGTGGACAATCAGTGGCTATGAGAGAATTAGTATGATCTTCATAGATTGTCAAGCTCATAAATTTACCCCAAGTAATCCGTCGGTATACTCGACTGCGGTGTGACTGTGATACCAGTAGGTTCCGTATTGACTTAAAGTGAACGTGTACGTGAAGCTGCCACCAGCAGGGATAGGACACTGAGAGTCAACGTTAGTGTCATGTGCTGTAAGGCTTGAACTTAAAGCTAACCTGCGTTGCACCGGGAACACCGTCCATGTAAGCCGTTCCATTTTGGTTGATACCATGCCAGTGCTAAAAACAGTAAGCCCCAACTCTGATGATCAGAAAATAGTAAGAAGCTCACAATAGACGTTGTGTCATCAAGATTATTTTGTACATTGACTGATTGAAGAGGGCGCTCTTATCAGCAAAGTTAGAGTAATGTCGGGGTCGTTCATACGCACCAACAATGGTGTCTCCTTCGTTCACCTCAATGAGGGGGCCGGGCATCTGACCGTTGATCGTGATGTAGTTGCGGGTGAAGCCATCTATTCAAGGCGACTATAAGGGTTTTTCAGAGATACGAGAACTGTCGAACACACCAGGAGCACCAGTCTCAGACCTGAGACGAGAGTTTGTTTAGTTTTTTGTTGCACACAAGTTCATCTTATACTCACGCAATTGTCCAATCGTACGTCCTCGTGGCTGCATTGCTGTTGATAGAGAATGAACTGCTGAGAGCGTACGCACTAGCCGAAGGCGCGACTGCAGAGGACGTGTCGGCACGGCGGGCCAAGAACGACAATGCGGTCGGCGTCGGCGTCAGCGCCTGCCCACCCCTCGTCACAGTTGTCATCGGACGATACATTGCGGATCCCTTTTCATGTGCAGAGGCCAGTGTGAATAATGCGGGCAGCAACGTTGCCCACAGTACTTTGAACGCCATGAGAGATGGTCGGGTATGCAGTGAAGAATGGAAAGACGGAAAGGAACCGCTGGAATGTCAGTGAAACAATGGGTGAGCTACTTATACGAAATCTTGGTACCTCGACAAGCGAAAAGTTACGAGCTCCGAACTATGCTTTCCAGAAATTGCTGTCAAATGATTAAACTGATTGTGAAGTTAAGCGAGACATCTACAAGGTAGTATGACTTACAGCATTGCATCGCAGGCCGGGATTACGGTGCTGAACGGCTTGTTTAGCGATCACGATCACTCACGGTAATCATAGATGTGGTCTGGTCGATCCCCCAGATATACAAATACCCGCCAAAACTCGCTGGCGGACGGTGGAAGAGCTTCCTGTTAAATCCAAGGCAATTGATATAAACGCCTCGAACAGCTCTCATAATTTACCTCCGCTAGCAAGAACGCGATGGAGAGACCAGAGCTTGAGCTTCAAAGCCCTAACGTCCGAAAACCTGTGAGAACAGCGAGGATAGGGGTTCGAGCCCTGTTGCGTATTCAAAGTCTCATTTGAGGGGTCTGAGAATCACCAAATTTGTAGTACTATGCCCGACTGTTTTCGATTTCATGAGAGCACGTATGAACTTGTGTGTAAAGTCCATCTTCTAGTTCTTCGATCGAAAGTGCGAGATGCTCATTGGGCCCTAAAGAAAGAGAGACCGCTTCATCTTAGAGCACGAAAGGCATGAGTGCTGATCGAGAGTTATCATGTTTAGCCAAAATAAATGTTACGTAGATCGTATGGGAAGCAGCGGGATTCAGACTTCTAAATGGCACTGATTTCTTGATCTTCATTCAAGGTATAGAAGCCATCCCCTGCCCCTCACGCCCCTTCGCACTGCGCGCGCAGTACTTGTGGGAAGCAGATTCGCGGCAATTTTGCATGAGGCTAGATCGCTCAATATAAACAAGGAACGGACAGGACGTACTGTATGAGATGCGGCATCCCGGTTCGCCCTTCAGTAGCCTCGAACGTCCAATGATGGCCTAGAAGTGATGAATGATGTTGCCTCTTGACTAGCTACGTTATGCACTGAAGAACATCCTCATCAATGACATTGTGCCCACCATCGCAGTCTGGTCAAGAGGCATGCCGATACGTGGCAATTTGCTTTTATGTTGTTTATTTGAGCTTCCGCTGTGCGCCAAGCCGTCGGTTAGCCTCGAAGCGTTGTGTCGGTCTATTCACAGCAGTGAGAAGCACTGCACATTCAAGACGCTATGCGATGGCTGCTCATGTCCGGCAATATCAGAGATGTCAGGTACCAGTTACGTGCCGCAGTCGCAACAAAAATCACTGGGAACCGATGGAATAAACATTTGTGTTTGATTTGGGACGGGCACTTACCATCCTCGGAAGAATAGGACGGGATTCTTAAACAGCTGAGGCACGAGCGGACTAACGTTAATATCCGATATCATCAAGGGTCAAAGTGATCCCACAGTGCGCACCGAAATCCTGATCATCACAGGCTCCATGAGCGTAAAAAAAATCAGATAATTCTTACGGCTTCTTCTCCTCGATAGCTGGCATGCTCTCATCGTTGACAAAAGGCCAGACTTGCCCTTCCGTGCTCGTAACTCCGAGGACCATGTACTCCTTGCCCATTCCAGTCAAATCGACCAGCCGCTTCGCCGCGCTGCCGATTTCTTGCCTTCGTTCATCAGTCTGGGCGCTGCGCTGCAAAGCCGCGACGCGCGCGTCGAGACCCATGCGTGTGAGAAAGGCGTTCTGGGTCAAGGGACCGTGTACAGTCGCTATATTGATGGCGGGTGATGTGGTCAACATCTGCCCAAGAAGACAAAAAGGGGTATGTTATGGACTGATAGGTACGTACCGACCCCGGACATCGCTTCCTTGAGATATGCAAAATCAACGTTGGCCGTGAGGTCACATTTACCTGGTAGATGGAAGGGGTCGACAATTTTGTGGTCTTTGAAGGCCTACGCTCCGAGAATCGAATCAGTTACTTGCCCCTTTCTTTGAGGCAACAAAGATGAACCCACTCGGAACGAATTTCCAAAAGCTTTGTCCGCGCCGTAATCGATGATCAAGGCGCTTCCCCGACTTCCTATGTTGCTTTTTCCTCCGATGAGTTCTCCGACCTTTCTCGAAATCTGAAAACCGGCAGGAGACACTTCTATCCGCGAGCCGATAGGAAGAGATGAAAATCGCGTGGATGACGAACCAAGCAGCGTAGATACAGGTGAGGGAGCCGCAGAAAGTGTGGGTCTGAGTTGGTGCACAGATGGAAAGGCTGAGACAGTGGTAGTATCAACATCGAGGAGCGATGAGGGAGAGTGTTGAGAAGGAAGAGACGAGAGTGGCCGTAGAATGGTTTTGGAAGAAGAGTCATGTGCAGAGGTAATGAGTACTTCTTGCCATCCCTTCTGAGTTTTCTACGTGCGTGTATATGTATGAGCAAAATGTAGATGTGATATGACAGCATTTTACCTCTATGAGATGCATTGGCAATGCGTCGAAAAACTCGTGCGCCACGAGAATGGTGTACGAGTCTGAGCCACTCGTCGCTGGAATGTCATCGATAGAGTCATGCCAAGAGAGATGTATATTGTGTGCTTCGTCCCAGCGAACGAGCTTTTGCTCTTGAATCTTGCGAAGAGAAGAACTAGTCTCCACTAAATGAACATGCTTCCGCACTGAACGGGACGCGGGAAATTGAGCGAGTGTCTATGTGGATTCAGATGAGAATGCTGCGGAGGATATTGAATGCGAAGACAAACGCGTAGAATGTCGTCCATTAGGGTTCCCCGTCCTGGGCCAAGCTCGACCAATCTTATATCTTTCCCAGCCGCAGTTTCGATGTATTGCGATAGGAACCATATACCAACAAGCTATGTGAGCATTGCTAGAGGCTCGTTACCTTCCATTTCCTTGTCCGCGACGATGGAATGTAACAACGCACGCACCTCGCCGAATACCTGGCTGATCTCGGGACTAGTTACGAAGTCGCCTTTAGACCCAAATACGGCATTCAAAGGATTCATATAGTATCCTTCAGTAGGATGAGAGAGGCAGAGCTGGATATATTGGGCGAAGGATATAGGGCCATTTGCCTAATCGACTGGTATGCTCTGCGAACCACATGAGGATCGCTCAAAAAGCGCGCACCTTGACAGTATCTGAGATTATCTTTTCGACCGGAGTAACAAGGTTTGCTGACGCATTGACCGTGGACGACAGATTCCTCCGAGTCGCGATGCAAGCTCGAAAAGGACCTTTCTGGCAATGAACGTGTTGCCCAGACATGCGTCCGCCTTGTTGACTCGAAACTAGTCTTCTGACCAAGGTGCCCAGACAGCGTGTCGCCATTCTGACTCGAACGGGTTTGAGGGCGTCTGTCGAGGGGATGTGTTGAGTCAAGTGCAGTGATTGTCACCGGATGCGCTGCAAGGTCAGACGTTGTTACGGGACCGACGCGTTACCCTACGTCACACCTCAGTGACTCGCGATCTTTGATCATCGCCGTTTTTAATCTTCGTGTTTCTCCTCATACCGTCGTACAGTAGTCCCACTTATCCCTCTCCCTCCCAGCTCTCACCCACCTCTTTCTCAAGTAAAAAACCTCCGCTTTCGACTTCAGTTCATATCAACCTTCCAACCATGGCAACTCGTACGCGTGAAGCATCCTCAATCATAGCAACTGCTGATTTTTCGGGACGCAGGTCTTCAGTTTGAAAATCACAGTGACATCGGCGTCTTCGCGAAGCTCACAAACAGCTACTGCCTAGCTGCAATCAACGGCAGCACAAACTTTTACTCAGCTTTTGAGGCTGAGCTTGGGGACGTTATCCCCATCGTGCATACCAGTATCGGCGGCACGCGCATCGTTGGTCGGTTGACAGCAGGTCTGTCCTCGCTCGCCGACTTTTATTATTTGATGCTTGGGTCTTATTTTCATGATCTTTCCATGACTCGTTTGATGTTTACAGGCAACCGACACGGCCTCCTTGTCCCCTCCACGACGACCGACCAAGAGCTTCAACACTTGCGCAATGCTCTCCCTGATGCTGTCGCCCTCCAACGCGTCGAAGAGCGTCTCTCTGCACTCGGAAATGTCATCGCATGCAATGACTATGTCGCACTCGTACACCCTGACGTCGATCGCGAGACAGAGGAAATTATTGCCGATGTCTTAAAGGTCGAAGTCTTCCGTCAGACAGTTGCAGACAACGTGCTCGTTGGCAGCTATTGTGCCATCACAAATCAAGGAGGACTTGTCCATCCGAAAACAAGTGTGCAGGACCAAGACGAGTTGAGCAGCTTGCTGCAGATACCGCTCGTAGTATGTTTTGCCCGCTTACTTTAGTTGCACGATGGCGCGCGCTGACCAGGAATGCTATCATAGGCTGGGACAGTGAACCGTGGTTCAGACGTGATAGGCGCTGGACTTATCGTCAATGACTGGTGTGCATTCACCGGACTCGACACTACAGCAACTGAGATTAGCGTAATCGAGGCCACATTTAGTATGTCTGCTTCCTCTCCCAGTGACTGTGTTATCTCATCAGAATTGTAGAACTACAAGGCCACGACTCGACAGCTGTCATTGGCGAGATGCGCGACGCACTCATCGACAACTGGGCCTAATTGTCTACGACAATCATCCTCTTGCCAGTCAGCTTCATGCCCTCACTTCTTGCCTTGCTCTCGCATACCCGTTTTGTCATCGCATCGTTTTATTCGGGCTATTGATACAATCTACTTCCATGTATCCTGTATCCCTACACTGAACGCACAACTATCATGTGTCAATAGAATCAAGCAGAATGTTGTTCCAGACGTATTTTTCCGAGTTCCCTCCTTTGCATCTCAGCAGAGTATATTGTCGTTCTAAGATCATGCGAAATGTGCATCAAATCGACGCAACGCCATACCATTCACATCACCCATCCATGGATCTGTTACATCGCCCTCCTCGTCTTCCCTCCCGAGAAGCCCATCTACCACCTACACGCGCACGGATCCGCGATTATACCTCTTGTCGCCTGAACTATTTAACTCTCCGTCGATGCTCTGTGCGTCCTCAGCGACGAGACTACTGTCCCACACGGTGCTGCACCGGTCAACAAAGCGGATGGTTGACCAGCGTCGTTGAATTCGGGCTATGCATGGTCGACGCAGTTGCTCTAATCATCTACTCTTCTAGCCGACTTGAAGTCCGGTCTGCGTTATTCAGCTACATTCTTTTGTATACCCACTTCGTTGACATTGTGGCCTTTCAGTCACTTGTGTTGCATTTCGATGCGTTTCGAAGTCTTGTCTTGTCAGTTTGATCAAATGGTCTTCAGCCTGTTTACCAGAGCCAAGACAGCCCTGAAAACCCTATATCTTGAGCTCTCTGTTGCTTCCACTCGCAGGGCTTCAATCTCGGTCTCAAGCTAGTCTCGACTTCTCAATTTGCATTCCTACATACATTGGCCGACAATCTATGATTTCCATATCGCTTGTTGAGGGCTATCCCTACAATCCTAAATGTGCCCGATGATGTCCATCGCTTTGTAGGGCTCTTCGAGGTACTTGACTTCTTCATCAGTCAACCTGATGTAAACGGCAGCTGCATACTCAAATAAGGGTTGGGTACACCAAGACGGTGGGCTGGCGTCTTACCGATCAGATCCTTCAAATTCTCGAGGCTGGTAGTACCGACTACGGGGGCGGTGATACCTGTGTCACAAGTTCAGACGAGTCATTCAGTGGTTGAAAAGAGGACACCTACCATCCTTGGCTAGACTCCATGCCAGCGCGATCTGAGCCATCTTGACGCCCTTCTTATTCGCAATCTCTTCCACTCTGGATAGTACGTTTACTAACCTAGATGTCTCGAAGTGCGATAGAGAACGAACCGTTTGATAATTTCTGCAGTGCCAGGGCCCTTGTTGTACGCGTTGATGGCACTGAATGCGTCAACAACTTCAAAGCTTGTCCATGAAATAAAACCTTATTGAAACATACAAATCAGTCGAGCCTCGTTTGGTGCTCTGATCGGAAAGGGGGCGTGTAAGAAGTCCACGAGCAAGGGGAGACCATGGAATAGCGCCGACACCAGAAAGCTAGATCAAGAACAAAGCGCTGAATGTCGGAGTGCTCATCATTCGCCTGATATGTGCGCACCTTAAGGGTAGGGAACATCTCACGTTCCTCTTCCCGGTAGACCAAATTGTGATGGTTTTGCATGGATATGAACGGTGTCAGCTTGTTTGCAATGGCATAGTCTTGATGTAAACTCAGAAAATATTGCTCTAGTCGGATCAGGAAGGGCGACGTACTTTGCATTGCATGGAACTGGTAGGCCCAGCATGAGCTCATACCAATGTAGCGCACGTAGCCAGCTTTGACCACATCATGCAAGGCTTGCATCTGTGTGATCAACAGGTATCAGGAAGCGGAAAACAATGAGCAACGCAGCCCATACCGTCTCCGCGATGGGAGTGTGGTAGTCGAAACGGTGGCCTGAAGTCGTCCAGCAGTGAGTTTCGGCGTACAGGAAAGAGAACAGACATACATTGGAGAACATCAATGTAGTCGAGCTGTAGCCGTTCGAGACTCAGCTTTACAGAGTCAAATATATGCTGCACAAATCTTTGTTCAGCATTGTTTTATATGGCTATACGAGAATTCGAACAAACCTTCCGGCTCAGCCCATGTTGGTTTACATATCCTTCTTCGTCGTATCTCAGTTGCTTTGGCACGATCAGAGTATGATCTTTCGATACGGCGTGGAACAACTATGAGAACAATCAAGCTAAGTGCTCAAGAATCAAGAGCAGCATCAGATCCACAAGTTACCTTGGTCATCACAACGATCTCATCGCGAGGAAGCTTGAGCTTCTTTATCGCGTTTCCCAGGATTATCTCGGTGTCGCCGCTGGAGTAGGCCTGTGACATCAATTTCCTACCTCAGCATTTGCCACAAAATATCGACCCAAAACTTAGAAATAGTCGTACATTGGCCGTATCGAATGTCTGAATGCCAGCATCATATCTGGATCGGCGCAAAGTCAATAAGGAATAATGTTGTGATGTTGACGACGACCTGGGAACTGTGTCTCCAGCTCAAATGTAGACGTACGCAGCCTTGATGTGCGTTATGGCCTCCTCCTCAGGAAGAAGCCATTCCTGCCACTTCGGGTCTCCGTAAGACATGGTGCCCAGGATGATCCTGGACACTTTCAGTCCAGAATTACCAAGGCGCACTAGAGGATGCTATTGAGTACCAGATTTGCGACGCACTAGGAGAGTACGCACCGTATGGCATGTTTTTCGGTGTGGTCGTCATGATGTCAGTGATACAATCTTAGCGTCGAGTGTCTGAAATTTCAGCTGTGCAGGAGTGTCAGTGAGGCAAGGAGCTTTGAGCAGCTATGAGAAATCCAACTGTCTCTATTTATAAGGCCTACCGATTCCCGAAGCGCTTGAATTGATCCACCTGATTCTGGTTCGACCTTCAGCTTCAACCTCCATGGAATTGTGTATCCTGTTAGCGCATTGAGTCATCTCATGCGCCTGACGAAACTCAATCCAGATCCATGAGTCATATCAGATATTATCAGTCTGGGCCGCGAGTCCTAAGTCGGCCAGTAAAATACTTCTGGCCGAAGAAACAAGGGTCGAGTGACAATATTTACAGTGAAAATTGCGTGCTTTGGCTTCCTAAGCTTCCACAACTCGACGGGCACAACGAGCTACAAGGAAGATAATTTTGATTACCCAAGTACTCAAGTACCCAAGCATGGCCGAGCATTTTCTGAGGAATATAGTGTTGAGAACATGTCGGTAATATTCGTAAAGATATGCAATGGGAGACGGTCTCACTGGTCAAGGAGCTGTACGGGATTAGGCATTGTGAAGCCCCCGATCACCTCCGGGATTCCGTCTCGTCCGCTGAGTCGCTGTGACGCTGACCATCTCCGTCTGTTCTTCCAACTTTTCTTGACGAGCCATGAATCTGTCATCGCTAGTCTCCGTGGCTGACCTTACATAAGAGACAGTCGTTCTATGTATGTCATCACTGGCCTCTTCACCTTTGACCAATCGATATTTCTTCTCCATCGGTCAATAATCTGAAGCTGATCAGCTCAATGAGAGGCGATCGGAGGACACCCACATGGGCAGAACACGAAGTAAATAGGTGAGTGGTACTCGTCTAGGCATACGGTTCGCCGTACTTAGACATTAATATATGAATTCACACACACACACACACACACACAAATGTGAGTTCGATTGGGAAAACAAGTGACGAGGGACTCATATACTACTCATATCAGTCTCCAACGGCTCTCCGACTCGGGTTTTTTGAGATTTCATCAAGGGGTGCTGTGTTGATCAGTCTTCGTCTATAAACTCGATAGGTGTTTTTGCTTTGGTTCTAAATCGATAGGTTCTGAGCTCCTTGTGGTGCCCTTCAATTTGAGTCCTTGGTTTTTTGGAGCAACTCTGTCTTCCCTCTCTCCCAATACATTTTCCGATATGCTGATCAATTCGTCAGGTCTCTGATTGTGGGGCTCGTCTGCAGGTCTAATCATGTGTACATGAGACTCTGAAAAGTGTCATCAATAGCTCTCAGAAGTTTGGTGTGAGGCGTGATATCAGCAAGTGCATGTCCCTTCGGAGGAGCTACTGGCACAGAAGATCCATGTGCCTATCCTCACACAAGCAGTGAGTCCAAGCATGCCTTTTATCCAGGCTGCGAGGCCATCGCTCGTCTTGAGCTTAAGTGATAGAGTCAGGAATGCGGATGCGTGGCAATTGAGCGCGATGACCAGGGAATACCAGCCCAGACCCTCCTCCAGCAGCATCGAACGGCCGTAGGTACTAGCCTGCTTCAACAATTCAAGCCAGTTATTCTTGGCCTCGACTTCGAGTCCGATCTCGCTCCAAGGTACCTCTTCATGTATGTGACACTCAACAAAATATGGCTCGTGAGCAACGAGAGGCGCCATATCAGCTGCTCAGTATCTTCAGCTCAAATTCATGCGGGAGGCTCACGGATGCTCCCACGCCACAAGTAAACAGTCTCCGAGATTTATCAATCTGAATGAGAGACGCAAGTTACTTACGACAGCGAAACGACTTTCAGGGAAGTTCAAACTAAGTTAGAGGGTGTAAGGTCTTCGCTGAGCACATGGGGCGGACCAAGCAGCCGTTGTCTATTATGAGCCAGCACGGATATTCTAGTCATCACCTTGGATGGCAAAGGCACCGAACAGTGCGATTCAGGTCTTGTGGGTCCCTGAGGCTAATGGAGACCTGAGCGCTTCTGTGCACTACGGCGATTTGTGCGCGCGGTAGGTTGTACTTTGGTGTCTTTGTGTGCGGCCTCTTTCATACGTACAAACAGCGGCTCTTTGTTGAACAATTCTGCAGATTTTATTTTATTTGATCGCTGCTAGTTTTGACGGGAGTTTCAACACTGTTTCAACCAGTGAACAGCGTGTGATACGTCACCAGCAGTGTGGTGCCCACGTGGCGGACGCGTTACGCCCACGCGTCGCTCAGCCAAGGTCCGAAAGTAACTGCACTGCATCGGTGCATCCCGTCTCCTCTGACCTCTCTCCTCTCTTGACTGCCATCCACTCTCTTGACTGCCATCCACCACCTCCACATTCAAATCGACGCAAATTTACAACGATGACATCCCCTACCATACCAGTAAACATAAACAGTCCCCGAATATCCCATGTCGTGCTCGACGGCACACCCAGCGGAAGTCCCGCACTTACGGGCACCCCAGACTTGCGCGCAATTCGCGCTCACTACGCAGGCACACCGCCGCTGCCAAATATTCCACCACGCTCATCAGCGTCTATTTCTGGAAGCGTTACTCCTCGCGCCTCAGAACCTCTCATCGGGCGCAGTTCTACACCGATTCCAGTCTCAGCCTCCCCAATTGGCGGTATCAGTGCACGCAGGCCCGGCGTTCAAGGTTCATCTACCGGGGGGACACCTGCGAGCGGAGGAGACGCAAATACATTCGCTGTGGACCTCGACGACTTGCCTGATGAGGAGAAGGCGAAGATCCTGCGGCGGCATCTCGTCTCTCGGAATGTGCGCTCAGGCAGTGGGTCAGATGGCAATGTGTCGAGGAGGAGCTCGGCAGGTCAGATGCGCGGACCGCGGAGGGAGGACACGGAGCAATTTCCAGTGCCGTATCATGCCCTGGGCGCAGATGTGACGTGCGTCTCTGTCAATTCACACTCGCAAATGGAATAGTCTCAACGCTGGTGCTGATATATGATCATGGGGATGTAGGCATGACATCTACAAATGGCAAGTGGATCAACGGCGTCAAGCGCGCCCTCGTGCAGCGTCGTTCGCCGGGTCGACTGCAACAGCGCCAGATCCTGCCTTCGAGCACATACACGAGCCAGGAGGGTTCCGCCGCAACTACTTGATGCTCCATGCGGGAGGCACTCAGAGCGAAGAACCTCATATGATTCGGAACTTTATCGACTTTTTGTACATGTTCGGGCACTTTGTGAGTTTTGTACCGCCATCCATATCTAGTTTGGTACTGAGACATCGTTAAGGCTGGTGAGGACTTGGAGGAAATCGAAGAGGAGGATGAGGAGAGTGAAGAAGCTGAGGAAAGTAATATCGAGGAGAGGGAGGAGAGACTCGAGGATGATACGCTTTTAGGCGGTCGAGGCGTTGGCCCATCGCGACTTTTCCAGGTGCGGGATGTGGAGGATGGGACGGCTCCGACGTTGCGTGTCCATTCTATCGAACCCTCGAAACTTGTTCACGACGAGAATACGCCGTTATTGGAGCGTTCGAAATCCCGCTCCCACTCGAGGCGGAGACGAATGAGTGTTGGGCCGCATGGGGACGCAACAGTAGGGCAGGCGATACTTATGGCATGTCGAACGTCTCTCATACTTCATGATGGCTCAAATGTTGACTGTGATACTATAGTTACTCAAGTCTTTTGTTGGCACAGGCGTGCTGTTCCTTGGCAAAGCGTGAGGTTTCCACTTTGATCCTTGTACAGCGTATCCCCGAATGTTTGGAACTTCCTTTGCCTAACTCTTGTGCCATACCTTCAGGTTCTTCAATGGCGGGATATTGTTCTCAGCTATCACCATCTCCGTCATCGCTCTCATCTCATTGTACTCCTTCCTTCTGCTTGTACAGACCAAGTTTGCCGTGTCAGGAAGTTTTGGAGGTGCGTATGCTATACATTTTTCATACGTTCAAGAAATTGACTCCGCGTGAAATACAGACCTCGGAGGCAAATTATACGGCCCATGGATGCGGTACATGATTTTATCTTCGATCACGATCTCCCAAATTGGTTTCGTAGCCGCGTACACAATATTCGTTGCGGAAAACCTGCGAGCATTTGTGGCTGCCGCGACACACTGTGCCGCTCTGATCCCTACGCGCACGCTCATTATTGCGCAGCTTGTAGTGTTCCTCCCGCTCGCGCTCATCCGTAGCTTGGCAAAGCTCAGCACAGCGGCACTTGTTGCGGACGCGTTCATCCTCGCAGGTCTGGTCTACATTTTCGGCAGTGAATTCGCAGTCATCGCTGCGCGCGGTGTTGCGAAGGTCGAACTATTCAATCCGAAGGATTTCCCGCTTTTGATCGGGACGGCAGTGTTTTCGTTTGAGGGGATTGGTTTGGTATGACTTCGATTCTTGCGATTTGTCTGCTCTTGCTGACGTCTCAAATATACGCACAGGTCATCCCGATTACCGACTCTATGCGCGAGCCGCATAAGTTCCCGGCAGTTCTCTCGGGTGTGATGATATTCCTCCTTGGTTCGTCCCCCTTCATCTCTTCACTCTTCACTGTGCACACCGCCGATACCGCTCCCCATCTAGTCCTCTTCGGCGGTGCGGGCGCGCTCTCCTACCTTGCTTTTGGATCGGACGTCCAAACCGTCGTGCTAGTTAATCTTGATTCGCGCGCGCCCGCTACTCAAGCCGTTCAGTTCCTTTACTCGCTTGCGATCCTGCTCTCCGTCCCGCTTCAGCTCTTTCCAGCGGTGCGCATCATGGAAAATGCGCTGTTTGGGCAGAGGCGCTCGGGTAAGGCCGCTCCGCGCGTCAAGTGGGCGAAGAACGCGTTCCGCGCAGCCGTCGTGCTTGGATGCACTGCGCTCAGCTGGGCGGGCGCCGCGGACCTGGACAAGTTCGTCGCGTTTGTGGGGAGCTTTGCGTGGTGCGTCGGGGCTTTCATTGCCGCTATCTTTATCGCTATCTATGACGGTCTTCCATGCTGTTTCATGACCGCTGATGAACCGTTTCTGGATACAGCGTGCCTCTATGCTATGTCTACCCACCGATGCTCCATTATAAGGCTTGCGCCCGCACGCGGAGACAGAAAGCGGCCGATATCGCGCTTATGGTATTCGGTTCTATCGCTGCGGCGTACACGACTATTCAAACAGTCCGAGTGCGTCCTGCTCTCCTGTCCGTATCTTGCTCCGTGCTAAAAATTATCCTGCTCTTCATTTGTTAAACCATATCGATCTTCCGTTTTGCTTCCTTTTCTGGCTCTCAGCTCATGGCCGCACCAGAGCCTGCCGCGCCTCCTCAGTTAGGGAACTGCGAGTCCGGAGACGGCTTCAATATGCTTAGGCTCTAGGAGCAGGGCGGAGGGAGCCTGGGACAGTGAGAACCGCTCATGTAGGCTGCTCTCAGGTAGGCTGTGTGCAGGGGAGAAATCTTGTAGCAGTGTGGGTGCGTGTCGCCATGACCTCGCGCGGATCAGCCCTTTACGGTGCGGTTGCGTTGGTGCGGGGGGAAGGAGCTTGAATTTGAGAACCATTTCTGGTCCGGTTTTGTCTTTCTACGCATTCGCTTCATCCTTCGCATATCATCGCATCGCATCGCACGGATATAACATTTCATCTGATTGCATATTTTCAGTTTTGTCCATGTGAGTGTAGATACTTCCTGTGCTCAGGATGTGTGCGGCTCGTGATCGGGGGTGGGTTCCTCACGACGGTTCATTTGAGTCTACACGATCGTGGGACCATGCTCGATGGTAGATATATGTATGTATGCTGCGTGTTTCATACATACCGACATGTGCCAATCTAATGCGTGTGCAACTCAACAGCGACGACTCGCGGTATACTCGCTGCCGATTGTCGATCGATGGATCATGGTTAGTGCTATTTCCATGCCCGTTGCGTTCTCTTGGCCGTGGCATTGAAGCGATCTTCTCCCCCTCGTTCCAGCGGAGGCGGTTGTGGGACAAGTTCGCGAGTACTTCGGCATTTGAGGCGATATTTCTGGTTAGCACTACGAATCTCTTGCTGAGCGTCTTTCACGGGAATTCCCCGAGATGCACGTAACAATCAGATCAGATGAGCAAGGTGTCATATGTAGGTATCAGGGAGCGGGGCGCTGCTTGTAGTGAGTAGAGGCCTACGTTGGTGAAGTTTTTCTGCCTGAGGGGTGGAGCTGTGTAGAGTGGAAAAAATTCAAAAGGATTTTGGCGGCCAAGCACAGATCGGTGTGGGTGAGAGAGTGAAAGGCGAGCTGAGCTGGCCTAGCTCGATGTTTTATGCAGCGGGCTGCGGAGGAAGTGTGGATGGAAGCACACTCGCGGAGTGCGAACCACGAGGTCCGGCAACACCCGCTGACCCGCTCCATCGCTGCGATTTTGACCTCCCCTCTGCCTCCGACCGAGCGTTTTCCGTCATGGCCGAGGCGACGGAAGACGCAATGCGAACAGAAAAGGACGGCTTGTTTTCCGCTCATGCTCACGCTCAGACTCAGGCTCGGGATTACATAGGCTTCTAAATAGCCCCTGCCACGCGTATAAAGCATGCTGGGGCAGCCCCCGCACGCGCACGCGCTTGCATGCAGGCCCCAGGCCGTAAGTGATCCTGGTCGTAAACAACGAGTAAGCTGCAGGAACTGTATCCGCGCAACGATCCAGAACCATTCCAAAGAATCCTCAGGCTGCAACGTTGCGTCCCTGCGCCCTGCCGTGCGTTGTCCGACTTATATCCTCATCCCTCATGTACCCACAGTCTCTACTTTTGCACCCGTACTTATTTCACTCTGTATCTAGTCGACTTATTCCTGCGTTGAGTTGTAGGGAGCTTGCACAGTCGCCCATCGTTGTATCTGCCCGGCACTTGACCGATTTGGCATCGCACCACCACCGCGTTCCCCTCCCACATCATTGTTGCCATCATGTCAACAAGTGAACTCCCGGGGTTCAATCTTGCGCTTTCGCTGCCATCCCCGACGACCTCACCATTCGCATGCACTTTCCCATCCCCACCTGCATCGCCATTACGCTCTACGTCGTCGGCCCCGTCGCCGTCGCCATATCGTTCGTCTTTCCCATCTCTATCCTTCCCGTACGCTTCATCAATCCCATCCCCAGCGCCAAACTCCGCGTCTGTACCAGGAGCGATCCTGACGTCAACTCTAACCACACTAGCTTCTATTCCTGACGCGCCGGCACAACGCGTCGTCCGCAAGCCCGCCGGGGCGACGGTCGCAGGGCCTCCTCCAGCCTTTCCGTATAATGCGCGTTACCCTCCCCCAGATCCTGCCGATCCGTTTGCGCCGCTCTCGGTCCTGCGGAGCAGGACGTCCAGCACGTGCCCACCGACACCTGCGTCCGTTCAGCCTCCAGCTCCATATGCTTCTGCAAATAGGACACCATTCGGCAGAAGGGACGGTGCAGAAAGCGATGCAAGCACGAGCGTGAGCACGAGGAGGCGTAAGCGGTCTGCGTTCGATTTTGGGCTACTGCCGTTCCCGAAGGACGAGCGGGAGCGGGAGAGGGAGAAGGGGCGAGAGAGGGAGCAAGGACGCACGTTTGCGCTCACGCGGGGGTTTGGGCCTAGCTTCGGTGCGGGGACCTCGCGCGCATCGTTGCCCCTCGTCGCGCAGATGGAGATGCAGGCGCAGGCGCAGGATCAGTACATGTCTGACCAGGAGGTACGGGCCTCGCGGCGAACGAGCGCGGGCCTCGCGGACCGTCACGGATACGACTCAGACGGGCTGCATCTGGCCTGGGATCCAGATCGAACCCATCTCGATCGGCACGTCGGCGCTGCACGCCAGCTATCAACGACGGGCGCTGATCCCCGCCGGCGCTCGCATTCGGCGTTTGCCGCCCCGCTCCGGCCACGCCCTGCGTCGGTCGCCGTGTCGCCGTCCGTGTCTGCGTCGTCGTCGTCGGGCTCGGGCCCGAGGCTGGCACTCATCGCGGCATCGGCATCGAGGTCTGAGAGTGATTCATCCGACTCTGCCGCCTGGTCGCTCGCAGACCCCGTGATGCCCCCGATACTCCCTTGGTTGCCGTCCGGACTCGAGCGCAAGCTGGACGGCCCGCAAGCGTCGGCTGTAAAGCGGGAATCGTTCGTCCACGTTCGAGGTGGCAAGGCCTCGAGGCATTCGTCCGCGTCATCGATTTCATCAACCTCTCTCTATTCGACGCGCGCACTTTCTGCGGCTTCATCCGCCTCTTCGTCTGCCCCTGCGTCCGCTGCTCTCAGCGTGTCTGTGAAACTGAGCTCTCAGGATCAGGACCAGGATCAAAATGCAGATCAACAACAAGCCCATTTCTCCATTTCTCCTCATGCTCGTCACCTGTATCAGTACAAGGATCAAGACTCGAAGCAGCAAGACTTGTATCAGCATCAACATCACCCATCGAATTCATCTAATCATGTGCCCTCTGTTGCTGTCGCTCCAAACACGTTCATCGCACCACCTGTCGTGTTGCAGCGTCCCACGCCCGCTGTGGACACTCCACCTCTCTCCTCCACGCGTCCACCCTCTCCTCGGATCGCGTCTGTACCTATATCCACGCCCTCTGCATTTGCAATAACGCCCTCTGCGTCCGCAACAACGCCCTCTAAACCATCATCTGCACCTGAGTCTACATCTCTCCCCATAGCTATGTCTGCACCCGCATCCGCATCTGCATCTGTGTCCGCGTTGACACCGGTTGCCACAGCATCTACCTCCCACAGCATCGCCGAGAGCAACTGTCAGATCGAGCTCAAGCCAGACGTGCACGCATCTGCTCCAGCCGACGCCGACACCGCCGCACTCTTTGCTTCAGCCGCTGTTTCTCTCACCTCTGCCGAGGGGCGTCGCCTTCATATACTCCAAGTCGACTCTCCACCGCCATCTAGCACTCCAGCGTCAAACATTATCACTCCTGTTCTCTTGGGAGCGCGAGTTCCCGTCTCAACCTCTGCTGCAGCCGTATCACCACCTGCTCGGGTTCGCACCCCCATTTACCTTCCTCTACCAGTGCCCTCTCCGGTACCCCAGCTGCCGAAACGTCACTCCTCTCCGCCTGCCTCCCCTGCCGACCACTTCTTCATCGGCAGCCCCACCCAAGAATCCGTTCACAGGACTACACACATCATCACGGCTATTCCGACGGAGAACCAGAAGCCAAGGCAGACGCGCACCCCTGCGCCGACGCCGCCGCTATCTAGGTTAGACTCGAAGAAGCGTGCTGTCAGTATGGACAACTTAAGACTCAAGGGTAGTTCGCCAGTTTTCTTCTCCTTGTCCAAGCCCTCTTCTGCCCTTGTTTCTGCAACACCCGCCCGCGGCACGAACATCGACAATGGCGTCAAGGAGACAGCTGGGGCCGGTGGAAATACGACAGCGCGGGTGAATCGTAAGTCGATCTCTGGAATGTTGATTTCGTCGCCTCTCCCCTCTTCGTCATCCGTTCCTATGCCTGTATTGTCTCGATCACCCACGCCGTCTCAGCCCACCGTCGACATCATCTCTATTACTGCTCCTTCTACCATCAACAGCGTTTCGCGTGCTTCAAGCCCGGCACCGACGCCCCTCCCAAAGGGTGCAGCACCCCCCCGTCTGCATCAACAGAACAAGCAGGAGCAACAGTATTCTGCACCCCCGCTTCTTGCCCGCGCCCGCACGCTTTCATTCGCTTCCCGCCTGCGCAGGACCAGTCAGAACGCGAGTCACAGCCCCAGTCCTGTCCCCAGTATCAGTGCTAGTGTTACAGGCGCACAACATGCACAGAGGACTAGAGCCGAGACGCAGCTCAACGGAGCCACCAGTCCCGCCCGCACAACAACCCCTGCGATCACTGAATCGGTCCGAAGTGCGCTCCCCCAGGACACCGTGATGAGCCGCAACCCCACTCCAATCCCCGCTCTGCATTCCCGCTCGCAGACTCCCGCGTATACACATTCCCATCTCTCGACACAAATAAGTGCTCCACATTCCCACTTGCATAGTCATGTACCCCCCTTCCAAGGCGACGCGCTCCCTGCGCGCGCACAGCTCGCCGCCGCCGCCGCACTTCCCGTCATCGCAGAGAGTGGCGTGCGCATTCCTTTTGGTGATCTATGGGCAGATGCGCGAACGGTCGTGTTGTTCATTCGTCACTTTTGGTAAGTCAAGTTTGTCTCGGGCATTTTTGTGAAACACGGTTGACTTCTTCGTTCTTTCAATGTAGGTGTCCACTGTGTCAGGACTATCTGTTCTCTGTTGCGCGAGAAGTGGAGTATGCGCGGTTGCGCGCCGCCGGCGTCCGGCTCATCATTGTGGGTTGTGGGTCGTATGGGCTGATCAAATCATATCGACGTATGTGACCTTTCCACTCATATTGTTTATTCAACACTGCCTCACGATCCTCCCTTCCTTCTATTCGTTTTGGGCATGCTTGTCCTTCAGAGATCTTCCGCATGCCGTATCCGATCTACACTGACCCTTCTTTGCGCCTGCACCGCGCCCTCGGGATGACACTCCGCGCCTCTCCTTCTAATTCTCCTTCCACCCCCAATTTCCCTCATATTCCTCCCCCTCCCACCACCGCTCATTCTACACCCCCTTCCGCTCCTTCATTTCCCTTTTCTTCCTCTGATCCACACGCTAAGCAGAACTATGTAAAGCACGGCCTCATGGGTGGGTTCGCGATGGTTGTGCGCCACGCGCTGCGCGTCGGTATGCCGGTATGGGAGCGCGGGGGCGATGCGGCGCAACTCGGGGGCGAGTTCGTGTTAGGTCCTGGGTGCGTACTCTTGACTCGGTCCGTCGATCTTCGAGTTCCGTTCCTGACGTATATTTGTTTGTCTCGCTGCTCGTATCGCAGGTTGACGTGCATGTACGCGCACAGGATGCGCACACGCCGTGGGCATGAACCTATCCTGACCGTTCTCAGCGCAGCAGGCGTGTCTTTGCCGCACTGGCATGCCGCGTCCTCTGCCATCTCTGCCACTTCCACTTCCACTTCTTCCTCCACATCGACGACGCGTAATCATGTCGTGCTCGATGAGCAAGAAGCCCACTGGATGGCCGCGCGCCGACGCAGCCTCGCGCGCATGCGGACTCGAAAGGCTAAGCGCCGTGGCGAGATCGCGGCGTTCGATGACTACGATTCTGAAGACGTAAACGGGGGCGACTATGAGTATGCGATGTACGAGGAGGGAGAGGAGGGAGAGGAAGTCGTTTTGATTGAAAGAAAGAGCGTGGACGCGAAGGAGGGCGGTCGTGAGGTGGAGATGGGAGGGAGGAAACGGAACGAAACGTGGGAGGGAAAGATACTGTCCATCGTCCCGGAAGAGGCTGGGACGGCAATCAGCAGCACGCGAAACAGTAGTCTCGTCGCTGAGGACGGGCAAACTATCGACGGGGACTCGAATTCGGGTGAATCAGGGTTAATTGTCGGTCTGGGTAGGGGGGATATGGACAATGATCAGGAGGGCCGATGGGTTGCAGATGCAGATGGGTTTGTGAGGAGGGTAGGTGGCGAGGGTGACGGAGAGGGCGTGAAAGAGACCCGTGGATGGGCGATGTGAGTGCTTTGGTCTTGATGATGGTTCAATATCTATACCGCGTTGTTATACTTGGTACCAAGTTTGCGCAGATATATCTATACGTCTATATATCGCATAATTAATTATCGAGTGGAATTACACAAGGCAATCCGACTCAAACGCGTCTGACCTCGTCCTAAGACCATCCAATGGCTGAAGCCAAGACAGCTCTGGACGAATCGAAATTGGCAGATAGGAACAGATGCCACGATTCGGAAATGCTTGAAACGTGTCCAAAATCATGGCATCGTTGAGTCTAACATCCCGAGTTATACTCCACCCAGAATTAGGATGGTGGGAGACCTAGGCGCCCCCTTCCAGTTTACAAGTTTAGAAGGGGGTACTCGAGAAACGACAAAACGGTTTTACTCGCGCCGATGCGGCGACCAAACTACCGGAAGAATCCGGCCCTTATGTAGAACTCACTCTAAAGGCATGTGGAAGTTATCCACTGGCATGTACCGAGTAGGGTACAAGGAGTCCCGGGCCTGCGTTCGGTTCAATTCTCATCGACATCAGGCCAATGGAGAAATACTTGTCATTATTGCCACATTGTATGCCGTTGTCGAGCGATCCAAAATTTCTGCAGAATAGGCATATGTCAGCTACAAGTAATAAGTACAACATTCGTCACAGCCTAGTGGGTACAAGCTACGTTGAATTCTCCAGCATTCACCAGCCAACCCGCGTCTCTCAGCCAAAAAAAAACACAGCAGACTTTAAGGGCAAGTCAACTCGCCAGACGTATTTGAAACGCATCCATCTATGTCGTTCAATCGTCATATCAGGCTCATATTTTGGACGGGAAACCTGGCTCACCCAGGTATACAGAAGTCAGAGCTCCTCTCGGGCCGCAATTGCAGGTGAGGGTGGATGGCAGAGTTGGGAAGCAACCGCTACATGAGGCGAAGAAATCACCGCTTCCAAGATATTTTGATCAGCATTTCATAACATTCGGCAAGGACTTGGATGGGCAAGACGTACTCAGGGTCACATTGGAGATTACCGCCATTGTTTACAACACATAGGTCTAAGTCAATGCTTGTAGCGAGTAAGTCGCCACGGCCGTCCTCGCAATCCGCGACGAGGGTTTGTCTACCCTGGAGTGAGATTCCATCCCTAGCCACAGCTGGACTGGGACAGACGATGAAGACAGCAAGATAGATGGCGGCAACGACGAAAAGCTTATACTGCATCTTAAAAAAGAAGAGGGGCAGTAGGAGAGGAGAAACATGGAGTTCGCGGTACTTATACATACATATGCGACCACAAAAAAAATGTCTCTGACTTTAGAACTGTCAGATGACTAAAATCGAGTGATATTCATGGCGAGATGTTGCGGTATACATCACGTCGGAGGTGCCCGCACATTCGCTTCGCCATTCTAATTAGCAGCCGAACGCCAAGAGCGAGGGTGTCCCTCCCATGGCAAAGCCCCTTGCATCAATATCAGATTTCGATGCTCAGAGGGAAGACCCATTATGGCGCACACCGACCACATGCTCAGGGATAGCACTAAAATATTACGCGCTGCCGCCCAGTATGCCTCAAGTTAGCGACCATGCTAGTGGTCGTATCAAGGCAAAGTACCATCTGGGAAGCCAAGGGCACAATGTCGCACAGGGTGAAGATAGCGCTGAGAATTAGTAAGACAATAATATCTTTTTATACAAGGACAATGCACTCGCATGAAGATAGCGTGGCAGCTGGTGAAACAAGCTCTTCTATAATCGTGTTTTGACACCCAGATATTATTGAGTGACGGCTACGAGCGCTAGCAAGCAAACCTTGAATCATAACAGGGTAAGACCAGCTGGCTTCACTATCACAGAAGTACATGCCCACAGGATAACATCGAGCGAGTCTGTGTGAAACACACTGAGTGAGTCTAAAAGCTCACAAGAAGGCACCAGGGTAGACGAACGAAATCTATCTTACCATCCGCTCCCTATGTCCCCTCCCTGATTCCGTGCGTGCTAGACGATAGCTGTTGATCGTCATATATCACAACGATGAGTTAGGGCACACTTGAGGCAGCGAAGTGCGTTTCTTTTTTGCGTTTGAGCTTGTATGGAATCCTTTCGAAGTTGTTTGCAGACCAATCGACAACGACTCCGCTGATACGAGCAACCTGCATGTTGTCATACGGACGGATGATACAGCTTCTCCCGCACGATATACTCCACCAGACTGCCCGTTACCATTTCGTGCCAACTCTCGTCTCCTCGACTGATCTTCTCCCTCACTTCACTTGAACTCAATGTCCGTGTGTCCTCGTCGATGTCCACGAGAACGATCCGGTTGGATAGAACGAGATCACGAACGGGCTCGAGAGCCTGTTCCTCCTTTGCAGCGTCAACATTGACTGCATCAGTGGCCATTACGCGGCGAGCACAGACCACGCGCGAGTTCTCTTCGTCCGCGGACAAAAATCTGCGCAGTGCTTGGTACATCTGCTCTACCGAGTCGTAGTAGCGCGGAGAGAGGAGACGCTCAAGGGTGTCGAATCCTTGCACAAATGAAAGCTCAATCGAGGAAACGACTGAGGCGGGTGGAGATAATGACAGCTGAAGAAGGTGCGATCGGAGAAACGCGATCAGCGCAGTGGACTTGCCCACGAACGTGGGCTCATCGATAATAGCTACTGCCGTGTTATTATCACGTATGTCGTGTGCAAGGAGAAGCATCATCTCCATCCGCTGAACGTGAGTCGCGTCGCCCAATTTGAGGTGCTTGTCAGCGTTCCGGACGCTGAGCAGGAGCAGGCGCGCGTCATATTCTGAGCTCGAATCCGATGGGGCGCTTTGAGAATAATGCGGGAGAGAAGCAAGAGCAAGATGAGCGCGTGTTGGCGGGTTGAACGACGAATCGAGGACGGATATACGGAGGGTAGAAGGGGTCATGGCGAGATTGAGGCCGCTCTTCGGTTGCAGGGGCCAGGATGTATGAGGAGTGTGTATAAGTGCAACCTGAGACCTCCCGTGCTGGATCTCGCGCAGCTGCGCTTCAAAAATTTGTGAGGACATGTTGTGCACGCAGCGGAGTCGTCTGCCAGCAATGACCCTGATAGGAAAGCAGTTGTATCTGGCATGGCTGCAGTGGCAGGAAGTAAGAAATAACTTTACCCTGAGAAATTCGTGAGATAATGCGATATCTTGTCCCTAGATGTGATACAGGTCAATTGTATACAGGAGGATGCAGACTGATAAACACAGGAAGGAATATTTCAAAGAGGTTGCAACTTGAGATCTTTGAGACAACGAGCGCTTACGGCTGAAGATCAGAGATTACGTATCAAGCTCGATCAGGAAATCGAGATCTTGATTTCGCAGAAGACACCAAAGAATTTGTACCATTCCCTTGTGTAACGTTTCCTCCACCCCCTTTGCTGTATCCATACTTTAACAACACCAAACGACAAGACAATGGAGAAGGATGCAGATGGATTCTATACACCCGTAGTACCTGCAGGTATGTCTGTTATAATCCTTCAATTTGGGTCACTTACATTCGGTCGCAGATCCAGCTCCCCCTGCTGAGCCGGCGCCCGCACCACCCACGGAACCACCCACACCCGTACCTGACCCTCCAGCAGATGAAGCTGTGTCCCCAGACAAGATCGGTAGTATGTTGTTGTTGTCTACCATTTAGATACGCGGTTCCATGACTCCCTGCGTCTCTCCAGGCCCTTCACAGTCGGCCACCGATCTCATCAAGTCTACATTTGAAGTCCATGTAAGTAACTTCAGATAGGGAACCCCTTTGTACCAACTTAGAAGTGTCCATAGGTCACGCTAGCGGATCAGCAACAAGATCCAAATTCACCACTTTTCAGCGCAAAGACGTTTGAAGAGCTTGGACTGTGCGCTTCTGCTCCTTTGAGTTCTGAAATGTGCTCAACATATCTAACAGACATGGAGATCTGCTCAAGGGTCTGTTCGACATGGGCTTCACCAAACCGTCCAAGATTCAAGAGCGCGCATTGCCTCTCCTTCTCAAAAACCCGTACGTCATAGTTCGAAATTTCCACCTCCATATGTAACATTCCATCACAGCCCACAGAACATGATCGGGCAGTCTCAGTCAGGCACAGGCAAGACAGCCGCCTTCGTGCTCACGATGCTCTCTCGCATCGATTTCTCCAAAGACAAACCACAAGCGCTCTGCCTTGCCCCGTCTCGAGAACTCGCGCGGCAGATCATGTCCGTGATCGGAACCATGGGCAAGTTTACGCCTGTGCAGACCGAATACGCGATCAAGGACCACCTTCCGCGTGACGCGACCAAGGTCACGGCGCACATCATTGTGGGCACGCCTGGGACGATGATGGACCTCATCCGACGCAAGGTGATCGATGTGTCGGAGGTGAAGGTGTTCGTACTGGATGAGGCCGATAACATGCTGAACGAAGACGGGCTGGGGGACAAAACACTGAGGATCAAGAAGTGCGAGTCTCTTCATGCGTCTGATGAGTCCACATGCTCAGCGAGACTTCGTCTTTCAGCTTCCTTCCGCGAGGAGGAGGAACGCAGATCATCCTGTTCTCGGCCACGTTCCCAGACCACGTCCGCAAGTACGCGAACAACTTTGCGCCAAACGCGAACAAAATCGAGCTCAAGCGCAATGAGCTTTCGGTGGACTCGATACGGCAGTTCTACATGGACTGCAAGACGGAGGAGCAGAAATACGACATACTTGTCTTGCTGTACCACATCCTGACGATTGGGCAGAGCATCATCTTCTGCGAGGTATGACCCGCTTATCCTCGCCATCTTTTCACGGGGTCGTGCAAGGCTCATATGACTCGGTGTTCCTCAGCACCGCCACACTGCCGACCGCATCTCGCAACGCATGACGGCGGAGGGGCACAAGGTCGCCTCGCTGCACGGCGCGAAAGACGGAAACGAACGCGACGCGATCATCGACGGGTTCCGCGCGGGCAAGGAAAAAGTGCTCATCACGACGAACGTGATCGCGCGCGGGATCGACATCCTGCAGGTCAACATGGTCGTCAACTACGACCTGCCGCTGCTCTACGACGGTGGGAACCGCAACACGCGCCAGCCCGATGTCGAGACGTACATCCACCGCATCGGTGTGTTCCTCGAATATATTTGTCTCCTTTGCATGCTGACACCTCCCGTGCAGGTCGGACGGGCCGATTCGGCCGCAAAGGCATCTCGATTAACTTTGTGCACGACAAGTTGACGTGGGGGCAGATGCAGCAAATAGAGGCAGCGACGGGGAAGAAAATCATTCGGATCGAGACCGACGATCTCGACGCGATGGAGGAGGTTTGTCTTCTCTTCCTCCGCTTTTGTCGGCGTACTAAATCGACTATTCTTTCGCGCCTTGCAGCAAATGAAGAAGGTGCTCAAGTAAATGGACGGTGGGGGCGGGAATAGTACGGAGCGTGCAGTGCCGGAGGAGATTTTGCATCGAGTCGCGGGTGTATCACACTCAGTGTCCTTGAATCCATTGCGTAGACTATCACCCTTGATATCAGCATTGGAAGCTTTCGTAAATTATCAAGAATCAATGGCTGATAGAATTTAAAAAGTCAATATCGATACATCCACCCAACGAAGGCGCAAGTTGGCACCCTAGACTATGCCAATATTTGTGGAGAACATCCAATTCACTGCCATCTTAAAATATGGGCTCCACCCAGATGTTTTAAATGGTTCTGATTCGGGGAATATGAGACTGCTATTGCTGGCATGTTTCTATGTGTCTTTGGAATGCTACAAAAAGGGTGTACACAAACACTCATAATGCATCCGCCGGCAGAGCAACGGCGCGCTCGTCTCTCGCGGATACCGAGGTTCACGGAGGGCGGACTGTCTTGAGACTCAGGTCCTGTCATCTGCGTGGATGTACGAAGACGGAAACGATGATGTTGCATGCCGTCGAGAGCATAAAGTGAACCAGTGCGTGAATGAAACGCTTTAGACACAGTGAGATGAAGCATAAGCCGCGGGGCAGCGCATGCAGCTGACAGAAGAGCCACGAGCCACGACAACTTGAAACCATTATGTATGTGCGATAGACAGATCGCTCACGTATCACCAATCACCTTCCATACCTTCGCCTGTCAGGGGATTATGTATAAAAGTCGACGCCGAGCCCAGACGCTGCTGACCAGTGCGCGAGCCAATCAAGTAGACACCGCGCGACTGGGCCCAAGCCAGCCAACGGTGACCCGCACAATGCCCACAGGTCCGAGAAGGGCTGTCGTACAGACAAGGAGCCTGCGACTTTCTGTGATGGGGCTTCGAGCTCAATGTGTACTGATCGGCTGTAGAGCGCCCGGCACTCCGGTACTGCTGCAGATGTTTAAGCTCGAGGCCCAGCGAGCGAGCGAGCGACCCTGCGCGATTGGCGGAAGCGGCACTAGAGATAATTGCACGCGCTTTCCGACGTCCGAGCTGTGATGGATGTAATGATGGCGATGAATGATGGCGCAGAGGGCCGTGACATCCAGCCATCAGCACATGCAGGCTATCAAGCACGAGCGATGTCAGCGTTGGCGGGGCGATGCGAGACGGAGGAAAGACTCGAGGGATGTGCACGGCGCGCACGCCGGCATCGAAGCTGCGGCTCGATTGCAAGGATCGACATGAGTGACGTCGGCAAGGCTCGACTTGAGGAATGGAAATTGACGGGTTCGGGGCTGCGGGACTCGCTTGGTGCGCAGCGGGCGAATAAGGTTTCGTTTCTAACGAATGGCCGGATGAGGGTATGAGGTGGAGAGGCGGTGCTCGGATCGCTTGCAGTTGGCCCTTCAGGGTTTTCAGGGGACATCAGGGGACATCTGCGGGGGGCCGGGAGGCAAGGTCGATGAGGCGCCAAGAGATGTCCAGAGACGGCGAGGGTGCGGCGCCACGAACAGGTGCACAAAAACATGATGATGCACGGTTGACAACTTTCTGATTCGATTCGCGGGAGGAGCTTCTCTTGATGAACCTGTGGGAGCTCCGCAAGTGAGAAAAATATTGAGTGAGGACGGACGCCGAGGAGGAGCTAGTGGAGCGTTAGGCGAGTTGAATTATGAGGTGGCGACAGCGGCTGGAGGGAGAGGGCTGGGGGAAGCGCGTGACTGAATCGAAGCCCGCGTGACTGGAGAGCGATCGCGACGCTCTTTTCCGGATTTGGACAGGATGTCTTTAGCGAATCGCACGATGGACGCTCTTTGGGCCATGGCTCCAAGCTCGCTGTCGCAGCACACGCTACGCCGCCCTAGCAGGCCCACGCGTGCACGGTCGCCCCTTCCAACCGTGCGGCCATGCTGCAACGGGCGGGGGGCGAGGGACTAGGGAAGAGAGACGCTGCTGCACATGATATATGAACTTCGCGACGCATGTGCCTTTTGGTGTGGATTCTTCGAGTTCCTGAGACGCCGGGTGTGCCGCCTATACCGAGCCCCATCTTCTCATGCGACTCTCTAAAGTTTCCGACCCGCCCAGACTAGTCCACTGGCCTTCCCCGCACTCGCTCTCCGGTCCCGCTCCTCTCTTAACCTCATCCACCACCTTCCCCTTGTCCTCTCTTTCCTCCTCATCCCCCCCCCCCCTTCCTCATCGCACCCGATCGTAGCCCCATGGACCCACCATCGTCTCCAAAGGCAACAGGTCGTTTCATGATTCGCGTTGGCCTCGGGCGCAAGAAACCCCAGAGACAGCCCAGCCTCAGACGTAACCCGAGCGTGTCTCAGCGGAGCCCTGGCGGTACAACACGTCTCGATCGTCCTGTGGCCGCTTCTGGCGCAGAGACAGGTCTCCCGCCAACGTCACCCACGTCGCCCGTCATTCCATATCCTAACGGCGCCATCGCAGCTAAGTGCGTCCTTGCACGTTTATTTTTCCACTCTCCACGAGGGCACATGTCTTTCTATTGTCCACCCTCTATGTCTCACCCTCTGAGCGCGCGATGCCGCTGTTCGTGCTTGTGCTCGTGCTCGTTCATGCTGTCATTACTCATTCCTGTTTTCTTTTTGTATAGACCGCCCGCTAGCACGGAGTCTGCAGCACAGGATCATTGTCCCGCGGACTCGCACAACGCGCATCAGAAACAGTGCGTATCCGGTGTGAAACAGGTCTATCGTGATTTCGATTATTTCGAAGTCGGAATCACGGGAAAATAAAATGTGCGCTCGAGTACTGATTCCGAACCCTAGATCTGCGCAGCACGACGCCTTGGCTCCGTCCGCGGAACCCCAGTTGCTGCAAGAGCCTGTGCAACCACGACAACAGCAGCAACAGCCCCAAGAACAACAAATGTGAGTCGTGCCGTCTCCCATCTCGTTCAATCAAGGGAACCTGCCGCATCGGGCACGCTCATCCTAACCTGGACCGGTCGACTCCTTCAACGATACTGACCGGTATCGGCACGTAGCTCCTCGGATCTCCAGCGTTCTATGACGTCCAAAAAATCGAGAGGGTTCCTCGGTCGCCTGACAACCAAGCTCCGATCCAACGCACCCTCCCCCATTATCCCGCCTCCCCCCGGACTCGGCAGCGCCGCCGCGGGGGCCGGCAACCTTCGCTCACCCATTTCTATTTCCTCGCCCCGCTCACCTCGACGCACGTCACACGACTCTGCCCCTCGCCGCGGTGCGTCCGTCCAGCGGCGCGGCACGCGTGGGGTGGGTGCGGGACCACCGCTCCCGAACTCACTTGCGTCCAAATCGAAGCGGGAAGAGGCGCTGCGCGCGCGCGGACTGCTTCCGCCTGCGCGAGTGAGGTATCTGTCAGAGTTAGAGGCGGAGGAGGATAGGCGGTTGGGCGTCGTGCAGGAGAGGGAGGACACACCGAGCTCAGATGACGGGCCGTCAAAGGCGCGAGAGCTCGTAGAGATGTGGAGGGCGGGTAACTCCGCGATATCGCTACATGGGGACAAAGCGGTCAACGATAACCAAGAACAGGAGAAGGGCAAGGAGAGGCTGTCGATTGAACGACAGAGTCTGGAGACGTCGGGTGCTGGCAAGAAGACCGATGAGGAACAGGGACAGAGGGGCCCAGGACAGCCCTTTGACAATCCGGTTTCAGGCTTTGATGTCCACAACAATGTTGCGTTTCTCGCGCCTCAAGACTCGCCACTTAGCTTTGGTCAGGCATATGCCTCCATCCCCGAGCCAGACTCCCCTGCCTTGCTCGCACTTGCGCCACCGCCACCGCCCAAGAAAACTCCTCCGCGCCACCCCCTCGGGCCACGACCCTCTCCACCTTCATCGCCCCGCGGTTCCCTCTCCCTCCCGCGCTCCCGCACCTCGCTCGACGACGCACTGGGTCTTACGCAGACGCAGCCATTATCCCTCCACAGTCGCACGCCGACCGCAGACACCGCGAGCACGGAGAAAGTCACACAATGGCTGCGAACGTCGACATCGACTCCGCCGCCTATGTCCATGTCTGCAGGGACCCTGGCCGCACCCCGCACGCCCATGTCCACATCCGCGTCCTCACAGCGCACAGCAACGCCGGCGGGCGCACACAGACGCGCTTCGGGAGAAAGCTCCCGCGGCACGCCAGGCTCGCCTTCTCGCTCTCTCTTCGCCGTGCAGCAATCCGCCCCTCGCTCCCCCGCGACGTCGGCGCGCACCCTCGAGCATGCAACGCCACCGCCGTCCCCTCCCATGCCCCGCTCGCCCGGCATCGCGTCGCTCCGCGCTTCACCGCGCGCTCGCGCGTCGATGCTCCCCCCACCAACGGGGCCCTTACCCCTCCCTCCCTCTCCCTTAGATAAACTATCGACACACTCCGAGTCTCTCCTCCCTCCCCTCCCTACCCCTCCGAGTCCGACCGCACGTGCGCGCCCCGCGGCCTTGCACCCCTCCAACAGCATGCGCAGCGGTACGACGGCGACGACGACCTCGAGCCCGTCCAGCCCAACCATCCCGTCCCTCCTCGACTCCGTCTCCTCGCACATCTCGCAGAGCACGAGCGCGTCGGGCTCCAGCATCCCGGTCACGCCGTCCTTACCGTCTCTCCCTGCACCCAGCGGCGCAAAGGGCGTCCATCAGGCCGGCAAGCCGCCGATGATCGTCGAGGAGGGCAGCGGCCCACGCACGTCACGCTCATCACACAGTCACAGTCACAGCGAAGAGTTCGGTGTGCTCCCGCAGGGGGCACAGCCGCTGCCTATCCCGCGCGTGTCGTTCACGGCGGCGTCAGCGGAGCGCCCGAAGTCCGCGGGTCTGTTTGGGCGAAAAAAGGAGCGCTCGCAGACGCTGGGCGGGGCGGGGATGGTGCCGCCTGCGATCGGGAAGCCGCTGTCGCTGTCGAATCTGCGGCGGACGGTGAGCGGGGCGATACGCTCGCGCGGGGCGCAGACGCTGGTGCCTCCGGTGCCGGTGAACATGGCGTCGTTGCCTCTCGGTGTCGGAGTGGGGGCGAGGGCACGCACGCCGGTCGCGCCGACGATTCATAGTCCGGGGACGATCTTGCTGGAGACGAGGGGGATCGAGGACGAGGAGAGTCGGCGGCTGAGCGAGATGGCGTTTTTGGACTAGGGAGTGGGCGGGTGCTTTTCCTTCATCGCTTTGTTCTCATTTCTCCGTTTGCTCTTCGATCGCGTTCTGTTCGCTATGTCCTTTCAGTTCGTCGATTTTGTTCGTTCCATTGTGTGTTGAGCTACGCGTGCGTTTATAAAGGTTCGAGTTGTACCTCGTTTTTGGAAGAGTTCGTTGTTTCAGTATACCTCGCATCTATATGCGTTTCGCCACACTCTTTTTTAATCAATTTTGTCGTATCCTGTCCCTCTGTTCGCGTTCGCATTCACTTCCTATCTCACGCTGCCCTCAGCGGCCTCGTCCACTCTTTTCTCGCTGTGTATGCTTCGATGTACATGCATACCCCACCTGTGTCGCTTTTGTAGATCTATTATCTATATCCATGTCTCCGTCCTTCTCTCTATCTCCTTGCATAGCGTAAAGGTACTCTGATAATTTCACATACCTTGTTTTTACTGCTCTGCCATCCTTCCTTTCGAAATCGACCAACCCGCACAAAAGGATATGTTATATATTATAATAAACATGGTGATAAATCAATTTAAGTCATCTGCGGCATGACAGTCCGTGTCCGATCGCGATCTGGCGCGGCAGCCCTCGCGGAGCGGATGTTCGCATCGCGGGCCTCATACGCTGTCTGATACACTGCCCGTGCTGCCGGTCTAGGATGGTGCCTCGGCGTCAGCGCACGAGACGACACGCGCGATAGATCAGCGAGATGGCCCGGGCACGGGTTGCTCACCTTCGGGTCGTACACCTGGACGCGGTCGACCGCCATGTGGACCTGCATTGGCTGCGACGGGCGTCAGTAATGCGAACGGGGCCAAGATTGGATTCGCAGTGGAGAGAAACAAGCGCGGCGCACTGTGTTTTTGGCCATGGACCCGGTCTGGCTGTGCGACAGGGCGTGCAGGGCATCGTTTGTGCGGCCGCGCTCGGTGATGGAGAGCGGGATGGAGAGCATGACGTCGTCGTGGCCCGTCGTCGATTCGCGGAGTTTCGTCCGCGAGTTGAGGTTCGCGAGCATGGCGTTGAAATACACTGGAGCAGTAAGGAACGAGATTAGTATCTTGGGCCCCGGCGAACGGGACGGTGAAACATACACTTGCTGAGCAACAAGAAAAATGCGATGAAAATGAACGTGTGCGGGCGAGCGGCGAACTGGAAGGAGGATGGGCATCAGCTTTCTCGTTTCATGGGCAGGAAGCAGGTTTACCGTTATCAAGGTGAGAGCGGCGCAGATGCTCGTGAGCATGCTCGTTCCCACGACGTAGGAAATCAGCTTGGACACAAGATCCTTCGTCCTGTCGGACATCCATTCTTTCAGAGTCGTAGTTCCCTGAAGCGTGGTGTGATGTCACCTACTTCGCAAAATCTGAGAGCCCCGCCTTTGAGGCAAGGCGGTAGCACAGCCCGCCAGCGATGACGGCGTCCGATAAAACGATCGCCGATGTGTTCAAGTATGCTACCCACTGATCGACGCAAAGGATCGACATCAGGCGCTGTGTAACGTAGATCGGAGACAGATGCTTACCGCTACGTTTGCAGATGCTGGGCCCAGTCTTCGGCTATCAGATGAAGGGTGAGACATGACGACTCAGAGCAGGAAGTAGGTTGACATACTGGGTCATTGTGAATGCTAGACAGTTAAATTTTACATGAACTGAGTCCGCAAGAGAGTGCCACATGGAAAGAGCTTACCGATACCGCACGCTGGAGATCAGGAGGTCTTTAGCTTCAGACCCTGGTAACAATATATAGGTCTCATCTCGCACCGAAAGAAAAGAGAGAGATTGTGTTCTGTAGCATCACGAATTAGGATATGTTAGTTTGATTCTAAGTCAGAGGCTTACCGCTACGACGGCAAGCACTCGGAAGTTGTTATCCACTGTATTGCGTTAAGCTGATCAGCAGCTTCCTGAAAGAAGCGTGTACTTACATTTCCACAGTCGTTGACAATAGAATCTGATAGATCATCAGCACGGTGAATAAATGACCGGACTCTAGATCGCCTTACGCCCGAACAAGAAAATCTCCGAAATCCTTTAGTTACCGTGAGCCTACCCTGCAGTGATTCTATTGAAAAGATATGGGCTCACCGTGACGATCAACAGAACCTGGTAGATCCCCATTCAGCCAACAGTGATTAAACAAGGAGCCCGGAGGATAGGTGCCCGATATTCTCACCGTCAAACTCCTAGAATTCAATAAGGAACTTCGAAACTCATGGGTAGAAGGCATGTCAAGACTTACCAGACAACAGGTTCGGTGACGAGGTTGTCCAAGTCTCCAAATTTGAGAATTAGATAGTAATACACGCAATGAGCCGTTAGAGCCATCTGGAGTGCATCGAGAAACCTGAACACATGTCAATTGAAGATGCCTCGTCTGTTCATGAATGATATATACCATAAGAAGAGAACCTGAGGAATAAAGGTGAGCGCAATATTAAATCAGTCGCACACGCAGAGGCAACAGGCACTCACAAAGGATCTTAACTTCCAAGTGTCCCTCTTCCAAGAATGCATACAATACATGAAAGCTTGCACATTAGTAATACCAAAAAGGCTGTGGCGAGTCGTCAGCTTGATCAGCGAGCGCCAACTCTGACATGCTTACATGGCGACCGCTGTATACCCCAAGAGGAAAGGGCCAAGGGTGGTGTTTAGCGCAGCTTCGGAGGGCATAGCTGCTCGATGGTCGTTTAGGACGAAGTGGGGGATCAGTTAGAGGGGCCTGTGGAACAAAACAAGGACTAAGTAGCATTGATGTTCACCGGCAGCGATTAATGATTGGAGTCCCATCAAGGGGTTACAGTACGGGCATGAAAGAAGGTGTCATGAGGCAATGCTGCCGGTGGGCGACTAAGTACTGTCGCACTCTATGCGGCAAGAAGACCCACACGCGAGGACGGACAACAGCATCAAGATCAAAAGAACCTGAAAGGGGCCGAGCATTCTTGACTCGCCGTGATATGTCTTTCAACGATTATGGGTCTGACGACATGTTGGCAGTGCATCTATCCTCACGCTGCCCAACAATGATAAATGCGTGTGAGCAGTCAACGAAGGAAATGGCGCAAACCTCTTACTATGTTCAGAATGTTGAAGTGTCACCAGAGCGCTACCAGAGTGCAGTGACTCGAGAACTGTGGCAAATGATAGGAATTCATTACCATGTGCAGAATGCTGTCCCATAAACACAGGCGAGCCTTGCCGAAACCAGGTCTGATCTTACGGTCGCTCTGGCAGGCGCGGAGTTGACTTCGCCAACAGAGATCGCGTTTGGGTGAAAGCTGTGAAGCGGAGCTTCGACCCCGGCGGTCCGAAGTGTGCCCTTGCGAGGAACAGGCACGTGAGGCCTGTGAGGACGAAAGTGATTCCTACATCTGGTGTTCGACTTCCAGCTTCAAGCATCAGTCCCCCAAAGCCGGCATAAGCCTCGTTACATCATTTTATACGCCTTCATTTTCAGGCGGACTGGGTTGATCAAGAGAAGCGGAAGCACGTGCTATCTTTGTGCGCAAAAATTAAGCAGGCGGCCTCCCAGAAGTGAAATTTATGCGAGGCGGGTAGCAGATGACTTTCCCTGCACATTCTGGAGAGCTTCAAGTGCTTCTTCTCAAGGGCATCGAAAATAATGAGCAAGACTTGGGGATGCACGACCTCCGATAGAGGTGTTCTGGGAAGATTTGCTTAGACGGGCCAATTTCGTTGGGTCATCAAGAGAAATGCCAAGTACGTGCAGATCAACGGCACTTGGAACCTGAGATGGGACTGAGCAAGATCGTGATAGACGAGGAGAGGGATCTGCACGGCGCGCCCTGCTTCGTGCGATGCCTTAGAGAAACGGTAAGCATCCATCATATAGTTCTTACCTTTATGTTTTTTTAATAGCGCTCTGATCCAGTGGAGGCGGGGCGCACAAAGGCTTCTGGAAACGCACCCAGGGGCCACTTCTTCCAGTTATATGCATGGGTCTCCGAACTGATCACCATCAGATGAGGGGAAATGCAGACCTCAATACGGTCGACATCTGAGCCTAAATCTGAAACTGGCGTGCGCAGTGCGAGTGTCGACATATGAAGGGTGAGTTACAGCTTTTTTATCGCCTGGTCTAACTCAACTTCAAATCATCACAGGGTCTGGTTCTCGACAGTATCACCGATGCGCACCCATTGTTAGTCTTGAAGAGTGCTTTTGAACTCACAACGGAGGCTATATGTCTGATTGACAACTGCCTCCCGGTTCCGTAACCCTACCGGTCTCCTTGAACGTTCAAAAGGACATTATCTGTTAAATGTATGGACACTATCAACTTTCAGCCTGCTTCGTGTCATCTTTCGTACCCCTCACATTGGCTTCTGCAAAGTCACTTCGACAAATATTTTACAGAGCTGTACGTACTTGTACTGAACACATGGCCACTATGAGTATCCGACTGATGTATCTTGTGTTTACATGGTATCAGGCTTTTACACTCAAAGTAAAGATCAAGTACACACACCAGCCACATTCGAGCAACACACCCAATGTGAGGAATTCGCATTCATTTTCCTCTGTCGTTATGCTCGGCCTCAGCGGTTGGCCTGTGCAGCTGTTTTGTATGCTCAAACGAGCTCAAGTGCTAGGGCATCTGCTGAGATCTCAGAATCGAGACCAGGTCGCAAGTGACAATGATATTGTTCGGAAATTGTTTAGTAGCTGATGCAGATGCCTCGTTTCTGGTGTTGGTCCTCTGTTTGACCTTTGAGCGATCGTTTGTCTTGAAGCTTGAAGCTTGAAGGGACGGACATGTGTAGACAAAGTATAATCGTGTACGAACACTCAAGTACTCAAGCCTTTGTGATCTGCATAATTCGCCACGGAGTCTTTCGACGATCAAACTCAAATCTGCCACGCGCACTTCCCCATTCAATGGGGCGCAGTGTCGCTCGTGGGTGGATTAAGGTTGAACAGTACGCCGTCTTACGTTTTTCTTCATCTCTGTCCTACACCTCATCCACCGACCTTGCTCTCGTTCTTTCATTTGCATCTGTTAGCCATGTCGACTACAGCAGACCGACTTAAGTCCGAGGGTAATGCTTTTTTTACGAAGAAGGAGTTCAAAGCAGCCCGAGACAAGTACTCAGCGGCGATTCAGGTGGACGATAAAAATGCAGTACTATACTGCAATAGAGCGGCTTGTCATCTCGCTCTCATTGCGTCAGTTATTTCTCCTTGTCTTAAGGAGCAAAAAGTCTTACTTTTTTATGGGCCGTCTGGTAGTTACTCTGAAGCCATTCGAGATGCTGAAAAGGTCAGTCTGCTGCCATGCTCTATTACCGCACCCGCACGAGTGCCTACGTATGACACGACACAGGCGATTGCACTGGACCCCGCGTACTCGAAAGCGTGGGCACGTCTGGCATCTGCGCAAGACGTAAGCAGCGGCAACCGACTCTAGTGTCATCTGCTAAATGTATCTCCGCTTTTTCAGTCCCTTGAACTATTCGCCCCCGCAATTGAGTCCTGGCAGAGTGCCATCAATACATTCACAAAAGTGGACTTAAAGCCTGCGGAGATCAAACAAAGAGAGCAATACATGACATCGCTAGAGGCTACAAAACGTAAGGAGAGGCAGGTTGGAGAAGAAAGTATGCGCGCAGCTGATCTCCACGGAGTGGTCATGAATGGTATCGGAAAGAAAACGCCTTGGGACTGTGCACGAGAGCTCTTGCCAGAGCTCATAATAGGACAAATTCGAAGCAGCGTCAGTTGTTCTCAATTCCAAAATCACTTGTACTTATATCTCGCTTTCAGGCCATTGTCTTGCATTCGGCCGTAGAGGTTTAACACAATATTCAATCATCATCATCGCATACTTATACATTGCTCCCTCTGTTAGCAATTTGACGAAGCAGTCAAAACAATGCACCTTGTTAAATGGATTCAAACACCCACGGGCAAGGCACTGGTGGGAGTGACTGGAGTAACTATCGTTCATTTGGGCTTGTCGACTTCGTCATAAATCACTGAACATCTCTAGGCCCTCGTTGATATGAGCAACGCTATTCTCCAAGATAAGCGTTGTTTCCGCATCGGGAGTGGTGACTGGGTCGAGAAGTACAATCTTCAATGTTTGTTTTTCGTTGTCTGCATTTTTATATGAAGTGATGAGTCACATATTGCTTTTCGCGCAGTAAGAATGGAAAATACGAAAGCCAAGGCCCCTAATCATGAGGATAGGATTGAAATCCTCATTGCTGAATTTCATCGATTGTTCATTGCGGGCAGTTGGGATACTGTCCGGCCTGCAGTCAGCATCACTATCAGGTTTGTCTTTTAAAAACAAACTAGATGGTGTGTGCGAAACCTTATGACGTGCCCATATACTATGCAGATCCTTGATCCTGAAAGCTTTCATTGAAGGCGGTATGAAAAAGACGGACGCTGAGAGTGTAAAGATGTACGATAAAGCCCTGGCTATCCTTCGCTGGGGCAGGGAACAGTGGTGTGACATACCCCGAGAAGAAAGAGGTACGGTATTTGATGACACATTCGTCCGCGGGGTGAGACACTTGCGTTTGGATTTCTACATGAATGTTAGAGCTTCTCCGGTTCAGCTGTCCGTAGCTGACTATGGTCACAGGCTTGGGCCGAAGACAGGAACTCGATCGAGTTTACTTTGAAAGGTCTGCTGGAGGAATCCGACAGTATCATTGACGAGATACGAAGCGGTCCAGCCGGCAATTCTAATCTTGCATTCAACATGGCATTCTACGATTATATTGAAGGAAGTGCTCTTGCGTAAGTCTTGTATGATTTATCATGGCGACTGACTACACGTCTTCGTACAGGATGAAGGGCTTCTGCTACAACCACATTCCTCGTCAAGGAAAGCTCGGCAGTGTCGATAAGATTCTTGATTCCTTGAAGCAGTCAGCCAAATGTTATTTCGAGGCCGCTGAAAAATTCCCTCAAGATGACGAGCTTCATGTGTGTATGTGCTTTCATGCTTGGGGACACTCGATGTGTGACTGAGGCATCACTGCATCATTCCTGTCCAGGGTGGTTGAATGTCGGCCTCGATATCTTCTTTCAGACAGGCGCTCCTCTGCGTGAGACCATACCGATCATGGAACGGATTCGCAAAGCTGTTCCAATAATGAAGAGAATTTGGGAACATTCCTCTATGTCGCTTGAGAGTCGAGACCAGATTCTTCAGCGTACACTCTGGTTTGAAGAGGATGTGAAAAAGGAACTAGACGAAGGCCGAGCAACATTAGACAGCCAGATCTTGCCAGACTGGTGTGCCGTTGAAGAGTTGGTTATCTAGGTTCGCAGATAAGACTGGCCTCTTGCCGAGTTGTATTTGATCTATACTTACCAGTAGTCGTTTGGATACTGGATGCTGAACTTCAAGCTTCAAGCATTGGCAAATTATATTACAAACTCAAATTCGAAGTTGAAACTCGGGAAGAAACAGGGTGGAAGTTGGACTCATTCGCGCTGTGCATGTATCTTTGCTCTCATGCCTTTCAGCAAACGTTCAACGACCCTGCAGAAAGTCTGTTCCCGCTGTGAGGTATTGCCGATAGTATTCAAGACACAGTTCATCCACCCTCCGGATGAGATCTACTGACTTGTCCTCGTTGAGCAGAAGAGTATCCAAGTCAATTATCGGCACAGCCTCGATTGTTGCTCTCGCAATGAGGTCATAAGTCGAGCTTCAACTGTGCATCTCGGGCAATTAGAAACCATCTTTGGAAGAGGGGACGGAAAGGTCTCAGCTCCGGGGAGAGCTCAATGCGAAGCCTTGTGAGCACGTCTATGATGCCTAATTTTGCGTTAGCCACTGCCTGGACATCGTCGTTCGATATCCGGGCGAGCTAATCCAGCTCACGGGACGTCGGAGATTTGATAGTCTTCAGAATAGCCCACAAAACAATACAAACGAAAGATTCGAGATCGTCAATGGCTGTGTGCAAAGGTAGGCTGCCCCAGGATTCAAGGAGTCGGTGAATGGGACCGTTAGCCGACCTTCATATTCAAAGCACTTACCGAATGATGTCTCGCAGCTTCACACTGATCCTTCCAACGAAGAGCGAAATCTCCGTCAATGAGAAACCCGTAGCATCGCTTCAGGTGACTAGTAGTCTTCAGGAATTCAAATCCCCCGACACTATAAATCATGAATAAGTATCGACAAATTCACATCGTGGATATACACACACGTATCGCCGACATTTATTATTCAAGATCTGCTCGTCAGTGCACACCCCTGAGCTCAGGTCGATCAGTAAGTTGCTAACAGATGGATGCCGATGAAGAAACCCTACGATGAACAAGTTGAAGTGGCCTGTCCAAAATGTTACCATTGGCAGGTGAAACAAGTGTCGAATAGACGAACCAAACATGCCGTCCACGCCCGCGTACACGATGAGATTCGGATCATGACTGACGAGGTCTTGACCCTGGGTGACGGTGAATAACCGACGCTGAATGCATTTGTCGACTACGACTGCCCCTTTGTGAGAGTAAGCCAATGAAACCATCATGAAAAAACACTAGCTCTGCGTCCTAGTCATGACCGGTTTGGTCATGGCGCGAGTGTGGAAGACAGCATTAAGACCTACTAAGACAGCCTCCGAAAACCCCTCACGGTCACCTCGCCAGGTTCGCTCATGCCCTCTCTTGTTGATGATGCTCTCGCAGGAACTGACCCTTACGATCGCATAGGCCAGTGACTACTTGGCAATACGACACAAGCTTACCCTCCTATCTCTCTCCCCTGTCTTTTTCACTCGCTCGCATATTTGTATGCCCAGTAGTACTGTAACAGGCTGATATCCAGACGATTGAGTTTGAATCGATTCCAGATGTCAAGAAATGAAAAGAGAATTGTCATTAGTTTTGTCATGCGTCATATAATACAATGTATCCAGGTATAATCGTAGCAACCGTGGTGAGAAAACAGAAAAAAAAACGGATCATCAAAGCGTATAACAAAAGTCCATAACACTCTCGGTCTATAATCATGCGGTAGTCTCGGCTTGAGCAAATGCAATGGCAACAGTCTGCAGGAGGAAAACAATCAGTATCGAAAACCTTCACATTGAGGAGGAGAAACTCACATCAGAATGGCTCAATGACAGATGAATATGAGAGACACCCTTGCTCTCGGCAGCTGCCTTCGCATCCCCGTGCAGCGTCACGGTTGGCACACCAGCACCATCAGGTAAGATCTCAATGTCCTTCATCGCAGCAGCCGCACCCTTCGAGGCTACTCCCAGAGACTTGAAAACAGCTTCCTTACCAACCCAGCGGGCAGCGAATGACGAGGGAGGTGATGGCTGGGAGCGGCAGTAGGCAATCTCAGCATCAGTGAAGTTGCGAGACACGAAGTTAGGATTGCTAGAGGGGACCGCAGAGATAAGTTCTAATGAAGGAGTGTCAGTATGGTTTGAACCAACTCATGAGTGCTCGACAATACAAACCTTGATCGACTCCGACTCCTGCTGTCGACGCGTTGACCTTCAAGGACTCTTCAACAGCCTTCACGTTCGCAATATCAGGCTTGAACTCCGTTTGAAGCTTCGCCGTGAACTTGTAGCTGTTCGTCTTCTTGTCAAGCGTAGCGCGGGCCATAGAGTTGAGAAGCACAGTGCGTTCCAGTTCGCTGGGATATGGTGTTCCCTCCTTGATCTTCACGAGCGAGTTGGTGATCATCATCTCGGACATCGCCTTGTACGACTGCGCGTAACGGCCACCGTTGAGCACCTTGTACGCCTCGTATACAGAGGTGTCAAGAGCAGCAAACAGGTAGCGGGGGTGAACGACAAGGGCAGTGCCACCGACTTGACCGAAGCCGAAGGAGGACTAGAAGAATATCAGTATAAGAGCACCAACAATAAGAGAACTGTGTGCACCATGATACCGGCGCGAATGCCGTTGGTATGGATCGTCTTCGAGGGGAACATCAAGTATGAGTACTGCTGGAACTTGGCGTCGACGTTGTCGTTGTTACGGTTTCCGGGCACAATGCCACTGACAACAGTCTGCAAGAGACCAGCCATCTGCCAGGCGGCGGATCCACCCTTGGAGTGACCAACCAAGCTCTTTTGCGCCATCACAGGAACAGCATTGCCAGGCGTGCGGTTGATGTTGGTGAAGACATCGTTCCATAGGTGCGTCTCGTTTGCCTCGTTTGCCCCTGTACTCGTCCCGTGGATAGAGAGAACATCGATGTCATCGGCCGTCAAGCCCCAGACAGCAAGTGCACGCCTAAGAGGTGCAATGCGAGGATCAGCCCCTTCGAGCATACCATATGTCGCCAGCGCGTCATGCTCCTGGCGTTTGGCCTCGGCTTCAAGGTCGGCAATACGAGACGCGAAATACTCCTCGTCGGGGGAGTCGCCTTGGCTTTGGCGGTATTCAAGCTCCTCCTTGAGTTGCACTTGCTCGTGCGAGAGCCACTCTGAGATCTGCTTGCGGCGGAACGTAAGTTGGCGAGAGCGGTAAGCCAAGTCCAGGATCGGCATGGGATGCTTCGAGGACACTTCTCGCCCGATGGTAAGAGCACCACTGCCAGGCGCAGGGACCGATCGTCCTGCTTTGTCGGTGGAAGTGGAAGTGAATGCGACTATGCCTCGAATAGGCGCTCCGAGCTCGATCGCAGTCTTCGCGCTCATGACGACATGGACACCGGTACCTTGAGCCTCCATGAACCCAGAACGAGTAGTGGTGGTGGGCCGGGACATCTCCGTGGGCTCACGACCCATAGCAAACTCTGTCTCCGAGTTTGAAGTGGCCTTCATGTTGGCAAACTCGTAGGAACCCTCCTCCGACAGATCGTCGAAGCCTCCAGCGATCATAACCTTCGCTTTGCCCGATAGTAGGGTGTCGCAAGCGATCTCAAGCGATTGCAAAGCAGTGGCACTGCAAGGCACAATGAGCAGCTGAACACTGTCAAGCACTGATGTTAACATACCAAGCACCAACGGGGATTTTAATAGGGCCGCTAGACGAAAGAAGCAGAAGGTTAACCCAACCAGCGGTCGTGTTGATGAACCTAAACCGAGCACAAGGTCAGAAACAAGGCGTCACTAATGCAATAGATAACATACGTCTCCTGAAGGATATCGTTCTGCACCGCCTTCTCCTCACGTCGGTCCTTGAACATCTGCGCAAGACTTTCCATACCGCCCATACCACTTCCAAGACTGGACCCGACGTCGGACGGGTGCATGTGCTGGTAGAGCTCATACGGGTCAGTGATACCAGAGCTGATCAAGGCTTCCGCAGTGCAGACGAGAGCCCACAGAGAAGTGCGATCTGTTTGAGCGATGATATCCTCAGGAATACCGTAACGTCCGGCGTCCCAGCCAGTGGGAATCTGCCCACCGACTTGACGACTGAACGTGAAGGACTTGGGAACAAGGATGCGCACGCCCTTCTTGAACTTGACAAACCACTGGCCGCCTTCACCTGCCCAAGCATCACACTTGTCTCCGTGCTCGTTCTTGAACTTGGTAGCCTCATCCTCCGAAACCTCAAGGGCTTCCAGATCGTGAGTCAACTCAATTTCTTGGTTGAACACCTTGCGCTTGGGATCGTAGCCTCGGAACAGCTCTGGCTCTGCAGAGAGGTCAGCTAAATTCGTAGTGCAGATATGGATCGCATTATACTCACCAATAAGACGCACACCAGCGTGTTGACGGATGTCCTTCTCATACTTGCCACGAACATCCTTGTCGTCGACTGGTTCACTGGTCTTAGCGTCGACCCATCCAACGTAAAGAGAGCCGTCCTTCAAGCGACCATCGAAGTGCTTGATGTAACCCATCATCCAGGCCATTTCGATACAGCCCTCGAGAGTGAACTCGCCCCGCGCTTCCATCTCCCAACGAGTACGAGAACTTCCCCATGGGCCAACTTCAGCAAATCCGGTGATGACGATGGTTTTTTCGAGGTCGATCACCTCACGCAATTTCGTCAGGTGCTCGAATGACTCTGCGGGCTCCAGCTTGGGGAACTCGAACCGGAAGTTCGCGCGAGGAGTGACGTTCACCGTCTGGAGCACTCGCTCAGCCTCTACGCCGTTAGTGACCTGGAACTCGGCAGAGTTGTCCTTGGTGATCGCACGACGAAGCTCGGCCTTCTTGTTCAGATTGAGGCGAATCCTGGTTGTGATTTCCGCGAGATCCGCGAGACGATCCATGCCACCACTCAGATCAGCCCAAATAGGCTCAACCTGCGTGATGCTGAAGAGCAAGGGATGCATGAGACCAAGGATATTGAATGCCATCTCCTTCGCGGAGAAGGTGCGAACGCCATGAGCTTCGACATCTTGAGCAACCATATTCGTGGCATCCATCAAACCGGTTCCGCGAGTCCAACTGAAACCAGCGTTCAGAATAGCGTTTGAAGATCAGAGAGAAAAAAACTTACCCAATAACAGCGCCCGCCAAACAGAGATATTCGCCCCAGCTCTCAGAGTTCCAACGTTGGAACAAAGTCTCTAGTGAGATCTTGGACTCGGAGTACAATCCGTCGTTACCGAAGAGACCGTGATTAGGAGAAAGGGGTAAAATGACCTGAGTGGGGCGGGTGACGAAGTGGCGACTGGCTTTCTTAGTTTTGACAACGCCAAGCAGTCGGAGGAGGTTGACCAGCATAATCCGGTGAGCAAGCTCGGACTTGTCGTCGAGGCCGTCGATCTCTCGGCCATTCTCGGGCACGGCGGCGAAAGGAAGGATGTAGTCGAGATCAAGACCGAGGGTGGCGAAGATATAGTCGACAAGGGCCTCAACGTCTTGCTTGGAGCCCTGGTTGAAGGGGACGACCGTAAGTGCAGAGCCGCGGCTACCAAAGCGCTGGAAGATGCCCTGATAGTATTCCACAGTCGCGCGGCTATACCGAGAAGTCGTGATGACAACGTGAGCGCCACCGGAGAGCAAGCCCTTGAGAATCTCAACGCCAATAGAACCCTTGCCGACACCAGTGAGGAGAGCATTCTTGTCTTTGAAGGTCGTGCCGGATGTGGCGATCTCGTGGAGGACATCCAGGTAGACACCGGTCAGGTTGCTGCTGTACTCCCAGTTCGTGCCGACCTTACGCTTCAGGTGAAGAAGAGGAACCTTGTCGGCAGTGACGGACGCAACGCCAGAGACTTGAGGACGAAGGAATTGGGATGACGAGCGCCTGCTCCGAGGAGCACCGGGCCGAGGACGGGCCTCCGGAGTCTTGCGCAGAGTGCGCACCACACCTTCGTACAAAGCCTTGATGCGGTTCTTCTGCTCTACGCTGATCTCGGGCTGTGTCTTCACTACGTTCCAGAGTTTGAGGACGTCATCTTGAATCTTCTGAATATTGACCGACCCAGCGATGTTGTCAGCGGTGGCCATTTCCTCGACGTATGCCTCGAGCTTGCGAACATTCTCGCGCACGATCTCCGAGTAGATGATGTCGCCCTTAGCGCTGACCTCGGTGTGTGGTGCAGTGGGGAACGTGACTAAAAGGCATGTAAATAGCTAATCAGATAGGAGGAAAACAAGATACTCACCATCCTTGTACAAAGGTGGCTGCCCAACGACTTCGCTACAGTTGTCGATCAACTGCTGACCGAACTTCTTGGCGAGAGCATATGTATCTCCGCGGGAGGCATCCACCTGGTCGATGACGTGCTGCATGTACGTGATGAGATCGGGATCAGCCCTGTTCATGATAGCGATACAACGAGCAGTGATCTCGCGGTCGACAGTGGTGAGACGTCCGAAGATGATGTCGTAGAACATCAGCAGCGCATCCTGGCGGACCCAGTTCCAAGAAGAGTCGAAGTGGCGCGCTTTGAGTGCGTCGAAGATGGGCTGAATCCCATCGATGTAGGCGTCGCCATGCTCCCGAGTGATGCTATCCAACTTCGCCTGAAGCGCAGCTGAGTTCGCCTTTTCCTTGTCAAAGGCCATCTCACCAGCGCGCGAGTCACGTTTGAGGTAGCGCATGTAGAGCTCGACGTGCTGGGCAGCAAACTGCTCCTGTTCAGCCTGGAACTTGATGAACTCCTCGCTGTTGATGACAGCGCCTCCAGATGCACCTCCGCCTCCACCAGCCGCGCCGCCTTGAGATAACGAAATGCCTGATCGCTGCGCATAAATGGCTACCACGCCGTCCAACCACGCCTTGCCCTCAGCTTCCGACCCGAGACGCTTCGCAGGCTCCATCGTAGTACCGAGGAGGAGCACGCCATCCGCACGAGAGGAACCCAAGCCCCAAGTCTTCGCGAGATGACTCTTGATAGCAGACAGGTTGAAGCCGCCAGGCATCTTGCCACCAATCATGCGCGAAACGACACCGGTCGTGTACTTTCCGAGACTGCCTGAGTGGCCAGCTCCTAGAGCGGCGCCGAGTTCTTCAAGCGGTAACTCCTCGCCCTTCTCTGGAGCCGATGCGAATTCAACCTGCAGGTCGCCAAGAATCTCGTTCTGCATCGTCGACTTGCCACCAACAAGGTCCTTGATGGACTTTGACAGCGGGATCTCCTCGACCTTCTTCTTCAACTTTTGCGCGACGATGGCCACCAAAATCTCGACAGCCTTGACGGGAGCGTCCTCAATGGAGACAGCGGGGCCAGAAGCAGCCGCCGCAACGACTGGAGCGGCGACGGCGACGGGTGCAGCAACAGCGACGGCATCAGCAGGAGCAGCCTCCGAGGTAGCGGTATCATCTTCATCCTCAAACTGGTAGTAGATCTCCTTTCCGTGCTTGGCGTGGCATAGAATAACACGAGTGCGACCAGTGGAATCGTCCTGGGCCTCATACTTCGCCTTCAACGTCCGCGAAGCCATGCCCGTCAACGTAGGGGATGGGCCGATCTCGACGAAACGCTCGAACTGGTACTTGGTGAAGAGGAGATCCTGAGTCTCAATCCAACGAACCGGCGACGCGAACTGGTAGGCCAACAGCTCCACGAGGATAGTGTAGGCCAATTTCTGACGTTGTTCAACATCGCCCCAATTCTCCTCGTCCCACTTGCGCAGAACCTTGGACAAGCGCGGCGAAGACGTTTGGTCATATATAAGTTGGGCGTACTCCTTCGAGACCTCGAACGGCTTGGCTACAAGATTCGGCACGTACTTGCCCTCGAGCATGTCCGCGTTCAGATGGGCAGCGTTGATCTTCTTCGAGAGGTCTGAGAATGTGATTCATTAGAAAGGATAGAACTATTCTTGGAGGGATACTCACAAGCGCGGAAAGGCATAACACCCGCCCACAAGTAACGAGAATGGAAGGGCACATCAATACCGGGAAGAGGGATCGTGGCGAAGCCGCGCTCTAGCTTGATGTGGCCTTCAGCCTTGCGCTGCTCCTCGGCGCGCTTGTAGCAGTTCTCGACGATTTCTGCCAGCATTTCCTTGACTTTCTCAATGCTGAACATCTCCGTCAACTGCGCGAGATTCAGCTATCAAGATACTATGAAAGTTCACATGTACTGACCTTTGCGATGTCCACCTTCTCAATCTTGAGATAATTGAGGACGTTGGTGAGGGTCTGAAGCGCGACCAGCTCTCCAGCACAGACATATTGTTGACCCTATTCAAAAATGAGATTGGGACAGGTTGGACAAAAAATATCCACAGACCTCGACGTTGAAGTTGACGATCTCAACGAGACAGCCGGTGCGGGTAGCGATGGCTTCGACCACCTCGCGCAAGGCGGCATCATTGAAAGTCTTGGAGATACGGCTCGGATTGACGGCACACATAGCATAGTTCGACCGGTTCAGCGAATCACGCTCCACAGCACGTTGCATGGTGATGCCGCGGTAGAAGACGACGTCGACGAGAGAGGAGACGGGGAGCGCGTCGGCAATAGAAGCGAGGGCAGAGTACTCGCCGAGAGAGTGTCCGGCGAATGCGCAGTCGCGCTGGACGACACCGCGCGCACGCATATCCTCAAACGCTGCCTTTTCGGTGACGACGAGCGCGATCTGAGCGAACTGAGTGGCGAAGAGGAGACCGTTGGGGTGGCTGAAAGTATACTTGGGGGTGCGGAGGTTGATGTCGGAGAAGAGGGGAAGCGTCTTGACATTACCATCCTTGTCCATGGTGTCGTAGGTCATGTCCATGTATCGTTGACGGATGGCCTGGCCCTTGATACCACCAAAGTGGATGGTCTTCTCCTTCGGGTTGTCCTTGACGATCTCGACGATGGAGAAACCATAGACTGCGAGCAAGTGGGCGTCGGCATCCTCCCATACAGCACGAGCGGCAGGTGAGTTGTTGTACAGGTCCATGCCCATACCAGGCTCTTGCGAGCCTTGGCCAGTGAAGACATAGACAGTACTTGGCTGAGCGACCTCGGCGGTGCCCTCAAGGACCTTTTCGCCGCGATCGTTGGAGGTCGTGACATTGATGACGAAGTTGCCGTCGCGCATACCGGTGTGCTTGACCTTGACCGTGAGCTCATCGCCAGGAAGAACCATACCCACGAATGCAACGTTGTACCTGGTAAGCTAAGTCAATTCCAAAGATCATCGGCTTTGAAGGAGAAACATACGCAAGCACGCGATCAGGATTGCCTTCGGCAGCGACGTTCTCGACATACCGACGAGTCGCCGCGCTCGACCACATCCCATGGGTGATGGTTCCGGGGAGGGAGGCATAGTCGGAGAAGTAAGGGTTCACGTGGATGGGGTTGAAATCCCCAGAGATCTTCGAGTAGGGTTCGTTAGTGAAAGGCGACTTGTAAGTGGTGTTGGTGGCGACGCCCAGGGTGTAGCCATCATTCGCCAGAGGAGACGCGAGACCCTGTGGACTGCCATTTCGCTGTACATAAGCGACGACGGGGTTGCCCTTGCAGTTGTCCCGCTCGTACAGGACAGAGCCGACCTTGACGAGGCGCTTGAGCTGGTCGCGGACGCAGATGTCGCCAGAGATAGCCACAGAGCGGTAGTTGACTTTGTCCTTGTAGGTGACCTCCGACTTGAGGCGGAAGATGAGGCCCGTGCCTGCCTGGAGAGGCTTCGTCTCGTCATCCCACTCGAACCACTCCTTCGACTGCAAAACGCCGACATCGGCATCACTGTTGAGCTCGACAAGGTAGTCCGGCTCTTCAACCGTCTCAAAAGTGTTCTCGTAGTCCGTGAACCGACCGCGGTACAAGAACGACGAGGTAACCTCAATGACTGGCTTGCCCTCACAGATGACGTGACCCTGGACCTTGACTGTCTTTCCAGCGTCGCTGTTGATGACGGCAGTAACCTTTGCCTCCGCCTGGCATACGTCGCCAGCCTTCAGCGCCTTAGCACCTGTGATGACCCTGAAGCCGTTGGTCAGATGGACAAGCTTAAGCAGGTCCCCGTCGATGGTCGTAGGGAAGATCGACTTCATGATGGCCTGCCAGCCAGTGACGATCGCGAAGTCCATGGGGGCCTTCACCTCTTCTGTCCGCACAGTCTTGAAAGCCTCCTGCTGGTTACCGACAACAGCGCAGAATGTCTCGACGTCCTCCGCCGTGATCGTGACGGGAGGTCCAGAGAGGGTGTCGCGGACGTTGATCTCAGGCAAGGTCTCATTGTCGCCGAACCAAAGGCGCCAATAGAAGTCCTTGATGCGGTTGTTACGACCCTCAGCGACCTCGTGAATCGGCGCGTAGGGCTGCGAAGGGACGTAACGGAATTGAAGGTGGAGAGGAACTGATGACTCGCGGCGGTACTCAAACAACGTAACATCAATGATCTTCTCCTGGTCGTTGTAGACGATCTCGGCAGCCTTGAAGTCACTTCTCTGCTCACCGTAAGAGCGAGCAGCGCCATACAGCGCAACGGACACGGGAACGCGAGAGGAGCAAGCCATGACGACCTTCTGGTTAGCACGAGGAGTGAAGAGGCGACGGAGAGGATTGTCGATGTAAGACGTGCCCTGAACGACAGTGGACGACGAGACAAGAGCCTTCCACCAGTTCAGCTTGTGGCCTGAAATGTAGCTGAGCCAGACGTCCTTCTCAGGGATCATGCTCGATGTGGTGAAGACGACCTCGTCACCCTGCTCCTTGACCTCAACACCCGCGAGCTTCCTGACAGGCGACGCCACGGGCTTCGCACCCAAGTACTCGAGTGTCGGGACCTTACTCTCATCGCCGCTGTACAGGCGTTCGAGGAGCTTGGAGGTGAGATCGGAAGTGATGTTGTCGAGCATCTCCTTGATGGGCTCATCCTTGACCTTCGAGTGCTTCACAGCGAGAGGACCCTGCAAGATGCACACACGCTGGGGGTCCTGGTCGAAGACCGCATCGATGTCCTCTGCGGGCCAGAGAGAATCCTACTCCCAAATGGTCAGACCCAAAGAAAACAAAGAAAAAAAGCTGCGTGAACTGACCTTCTTGAACCAGACCTCGAAGGTAGAATCGAGCACGGGGATGAAAGGGACTGGCTTCTGGCCAGGGCGCTGAGCGATCGTCATGAAGAACGCCTTGTCCTCCGACGCAATCAGCTGCTCCGTCGCCAGAGGGTATTTCTTGAAGAACTCCTCCACAAACGGACCGGGCTTGTCGAGAGACGTGTACGACTGCAGGATTGATGCTTTATGCCCACCGCCATTGACACCGGCGAACCGCTCCTCCACGCGCCTCAGCCAGTCACCCGTCATGTTCCTCAACGAGATGTCAACCCAGCGGTCTTGGTGCGCGACGTACATCAAGCGCACAAGGCGCAAAACCGTCTCCTCGTAGGTCATGTCTCCGATTTCCTCGACGACCGACCCATCCTTCTTCCACCCAAACCAAGGCTTCGCAAAGTCCGCATTCAGCTTCTTAATGACCTCGGCGCGACGCTCCTTGAGCCACGCCTCGCGCTTCTCCCTCGGTAGCTTGAACACGGTATCGTCGAACTCCTTCCACAGCTTGACAGCCCGCGTGGCGATCTTGTGAATCGGCTCGCCGAGCTCCGAGCGCACAGTAAGAATTCCACCAGTCTCCTTGACGTAGGTCCCCTCCCACTTCGAGTCATCGACACCAGCTGCAGCCACAATGAGATCCTTGACAGAGGAACTAGTATGTGCCTCCTTCGCCACCATGACGCGACTAGCGAACAGGAAGCCGTCGAAAGGCATCGGCTGCGCACCGTACTCCTTGGACCAATCACCCGTGAGGTAGGGCCATGTATCGTCCGCACCACCGAAGCCGGAACCGCCAACGAGGCAGATGTTGCTCTGCTGCCTGATAGAGCGATACGTTGAAAGAATGGGCTGATGGAAGTCTTCGCAGGAATGGTGACCGCCAGCGCGACCTCCAGTCCATTGCAGGATGATGGGGAAGTGGGGGTTAGCGGCAGCGATGTTAACGACCTGGCGGATACCATCGACCGAACCAGGCTTGAAGGCAACGTGGCGGATACCTGCACGCGTAAGGCCATCGATGATCTCGGCCGCCTTCTCGGTAGTCGGGATACCAGCGGCAACGCAGAAGCCCTCGATGGGTAGACCCTCCAAGCGCATCTCCTGCCATAGAGGGAGCTGGAACGTGAACTGGCGCTGATTGATGTAGAGCGCATTCAAGGTGATACCGACACCAGCGGGGACTTTCGACTGGATTTCTGTGATCTTGGCGCGGAGAGCGGCAGGAGAGTAGTGGCCTCCTCCCGCGAGCTCGACATGGTAGCCTGCGTTGAGGACAGCAGAGACAAAACCGGCCTTCACAGTCGTCGGCGTCATGCCAGCGACCATGATCGGGGGCTTCCCCAATAGGCGGCTGAAGGGGGTGTCGATGTGGATCTTACCATCGCTTTGGAACGACGTCAGAAATATTTTGAGACAACAACCAAACATCAGCGCACCTGGTCTTCACCAGCGAAGGCGACCACTTCTTCACCCACGACTGCTCTGTCTTGATGCCGCGAATCGAGTACAGCTCCGCATCTCCCCTCCCCTTATCACCCGCAACGATAACCCGAACACCTCGGCCGTCAAGGCTACGGGCCGTGAGAGGACCGATACCGCTGAGGCCGCCAGGCCCGAAGTCGATGGCGTGAGTTGCAGACTCAGGGAAGTCGGTCGCCTTCGTCCAGTGCAGCGCGGACGTGAAAACTTGATCGCAGATAGAGCGTGTGAGGCTCGTCGTTAACTGGCGGAGATCCGAGCCTGTAAAGGAACAACACGAGCTGAGTAAACGTACAAAATCTAAACTTGAACGAGATCATACCGTCTTCGGTGTGGAACACCGGGATTCTCAGCTGCTCGACATTCCACAACTCCTCACCCGCCAAATCCGTCTCACAGACCTTCTCTGCTGCGCCAGCCAGATAGTCGCTGTGGTATGGAACGCCGACGACTAGGAAGCGAACAGAGAAAACGGGCTTGCGTTGGGAGAAGGGAGTCTTGCTTTGATCGAGACCGCTCGGAGCCTTAACCTTCCTCAGGCTAGTAACCAAGCCGTAGAGAGAGCGGGGAGGACCCGTGACGACGAACGCCTTCGATCCATTATGAAGTGAGATATGTAGCTTCGAGTTGTCAGGAAGGTGCTTGTTGGTCTTCGCTACATGCGGCTCGAGATCTTTGAGCTGCAGGCCGACGACCGATAACATGGGCGTGGGATAGCCTTCGCCGCCTTCGACCGCGTCGTCCACGATACCCGGCTCGAGGGCGAGGACAGGGAAGGCTTGCTGTCCACGCAAGCCAGCGAAGAACAACCACCTAAGACCCTTACGCGCGTTCTCGAGGTACGATTCGTCGTCCGTGGACGCCGAGACGCAGAGCGCAGTGAGAATGCCTTGAGAATGACCCGTCGCGCCAGCCATACGCGCGCCGAGCTCAGCGGGAGACAACCCCGAGACGCGTGACGTGATGAGGAATTGGACGAACTGGGTAAGACCGATGAGAGGGAATGAAACGGGAACGGAGGCCAGGTAAGAAACGGGTGGGACGGGTTGCGTTCCGTTCAACCAAGCGAGAACATCGAGACCGTGAGTGTAAAATGAGGACGATTGGTGTGCCTCTGCGAGTGGTTTGAGGGCCTCGATCGCAGCCTCGAGGAACGCCTTGACAAACGGCTTGTAGATGTCGTAAATAGTCTGCAGCTCATTGAAATACACCTCGTTGATGCCCTGACCGCCGAACAGCGCATATACTGACGCGTTTCCATTGCTCACCTCCTCGAGCAAGGAAGGAGTTGGGAGCCGAGGAACGTCAGCGACTTCGTGTTGCTGGAGGGTCGCGAACGCCAGGTAAAACGACGAGAGCACCGACTTGCGTGTGTCGACGTCAAATGCGGACACGAGGGAGTGGATATCGATGGCGGTAAGATAAGTTGTGAAGAAGTGTGAAAAGGCCTTGAGGAGGACCATGAGGCGAGCCTTACGCGAGGGACACCCGCCATTCGCGTCGACAGGCGCGTCTTCGCCAACCCTCTGTGCAATGTACCCGAGGAAACGTGCGTGCAAGGCGATCGTTGCCTGCGTGGGGTCCTCAAGCTGTACGACGTTCTCTTGGGTTGACTCGGCATGAACGAAATCATCTCTAATGACCTCTGCCGCAATCCATTGGTCGACCTCGGTCGAAACGGGAATGCAAACCTGCGTACGCGTCAGCACCGTGTAAATGCGCTCATGTAGGATGGTATATGCGCACTCTGCTTTCCCCAACGTGGATGACAAGTGGTCGGGTGGTGATTGCGGGCACGGCTTCGCCGTTGTTGAGACTTGCGGGGGATGTCATTTTGGTCGTGATGGATACAGGCAGCAGGGACGCGAGGGGTGTCTATGGCAAGTCTGGAGAGGGCAGATAAGAGACGTGTCCGCAACCGAGTCGTCTTATATATATGAACGGAGCGAGTCTTGCACAACTCCGGGCTGTAAGTCCCCCAGACCCCAAGCCTCAAAAGTTCTTCACCCCAAAGAACGATCGTCGCCTAATTCGGCACTTTCCCACCCCCTACCTTCCACGCGCACGTGATCCTCGGGGGGACGCGACTTGGGCGACGATCCGCTCGTGTACATGCCCGAGCTCTGCCCGAGCGGTTGCCCGAGCGTGGGGAGCTGACCAGTCGCGACAGCAAACCTCCCCCAAAATATGATACATAAGCTACTCTATGTTCCTATCCGTTCTACCCAACATCACTGCACCCCAAACATCTTACTCATGGCTTGCGCCCGAGGTCACGGTGAACGCTCACCATGTCCGTCGTACCAAGCTCACAGTTCGCCCGTTCTCGCATCCTTTTCCACCTCGATGATCTCCTGTACCCCCTCCCGGAAGAACACAACATTGTATTCCAACAAGCCCCTCCGCGTCTCATGAACGGTTGTCGGCATCAGCGACAGGAGCGCCAGCTGCGGCGTGATGAGATGGTACGTGAGCGTCGTCCCTTGTGCTACCGGAGCGAGCGAAATGGCCGCGGAGGGATAGAACGGCGGCTTTGGTCGCGCCGACGCCGACGTAGGTGCCAAAGTACGCGATCGAGCTGGGCTCGCAGACTCGGACCTGAACCCAGACCTTGAGCATCGAAGTGAGCCAATGACAAAATTTACAGCCTACCGATACAGAGGTCCGAACACGTTGAGGGTTTTCACATAATCGCAGCACAGGTTGTGGGTCCCATTATCCACGGGTGAGGCATCTGTGGCGACGTATAGCCGCGACTTGACATCAAACAAGAATGCCTTGGACGCCTGTGAGTTCTATAAGACCCTATCAGATGGATCCGGCACACGACTCTTCGGTCTTCTATTAGTACTCAAACTCACCGTGCAGAAGGTGTTGAGTAACTCTTCGATGGACGGCAACGAGTCGATCAATTTGTGCAAAACCCGCGAGAAGCCGTCGTGTATTGAATGTTCGTAGACGGACGTAAGGTAGAAGTTGACGAGCATCTGCTCATAGTCGTACGAGGTATCGAGCAACTCGTCCCAAAAGCGTTGCTGGATATGTCGAAAGTTTTCTATATTTGAAAACTCATCAGCTCCCGGTCCGAATGTAGCGAGATATTCTATTCGCCACACGTTAGGTGTCGAGATCTCAACCTTCCCCATAACCAACGTGCGCTCACTTAGGGATGAGAGCCTAGACTAGCTAGTCATGATGAATAGCATCACGTATATGTCGTCATACCTCCCATGATGAAAGACGCATACGTCGGCGCGATGGGGAACGGGAAAGGGAGGTTCTGATTGCGGATAGAGAGAGGATCACACGACATACCAATCTTGTAGTCCTCCGTAAACGCTTCCGCCTTATGCACAAACACTTCAAGACTTGTTCCTGGGCTGTCGTGATACGCCGCTATAAAGAAATCGAGGAGACGAGCGATAGGATGCTGGTAAGAATCCTAGACCGGCGGGGGTTGGACAAGGCGAGAAAAGAAGAGAGCGAATAAAGTAAACACCTGGATATCTATTACAAAGATGATAGAAGAGAAGGACGAGAGAGGAGCGCCGAGTGTTTCCAGAGTAGTGTTCCCAGGGCAGTCCCAAATCTCCAGTGGGATTACGGTGCTACCAGATATCCAGGTTGACGACACTAACAGCTTGCAAAGACGATGAGCACTCACTCACTCGTAAGTGTGTTTCACGATACGGGACGTCGGCTCCAAGTAGAACGTCTGCTTTGGCACCACATCGTTGAAGAGAACCTGCTGTATTGACGTCTTTCCACTCCTGAATATATACAAGGGAGCGCGAGAGAGTGGTGAACCTCATGACCAACGGGATGAGAAGTGGAAGGTGGACGGACCCTCGCTGGCCCAGTAGCAATATCTTTGTGCGGACCAAGTCGTCTGATGTGCCGTTGTTGGTACTGGTGCTCGCGGCGGTGGCCATCACGGTCGAAAGAGGTGTGATGTCAAGCTGCCAAGCCGTGGTGGTGCTTGATGGACCTGGACCTGAAAGCGACGGGGACCGAGGGTTTGGCTGTTTATTATGTAACGGGTGCATGAGAACCGAAGTTTCCCTGTTTGGAGGAGACTTCGACGCACGTTCGTGAAGGTGTGTATGTAACCTTTTCAAGAAAATATACATAGCCCACCAGGACTCACAAATATGTCGCCTTCTCCAGCTCATTCGCCGCCTTCTCTCTCCAGCGCCCTCGACCGCGTCCGACACGATGAAGTTTGGCAGGAAAATCACTGTTAGTTCACGTCGCAACTCGGCGTTTCTCGGACTAACATTCCGCTTTTGCGTTAGAACGACCTCTACCACGAATGGCGCCCATTTTATCTCGACTACACGCACCTGAAAAGGGAACTCAAGGTCGGTCCCCGTCTCTTAACCCCGCCTTCCATACATGTCTGACGCTGGAGCTGCATAGTCGCGTACTACATCTCACAACTGGAACACAGAGGACGAGGATGATTTCACGCGCATGCTGGAACAAGAGCTCGACAAAATTCACGATTTTCAAAAGCAGAAGGTGCGTCAAAACCCTCATACTCGACGGCGCGCGAGCTCGTTTCTAATCTCAACTCCCTCCCCACCGTCTTCCCATCCATCCCTATCCCATCACACCTTCACAAGACCGTCGAACTAGCCCGCCGGATTAAGGATGCCGAGAGACAAGTGAAACGTCTCGTCACCGACGAATACCTCTCCGAAGCCTCCGAGATGCCTTTGCACCATCCCGGACAGCCGCAGTCCTCCGCCGACAGTGCGGATCCAGAAGCACAGCAGCGTGATCAACTGGAACAGGACGCAGGGTCGGACGACGATACGGACGACGAGGGGGGTGAGACCGATGACGACATACAGAGTCTCGACGCGCTCGAAGAGCAGTTCCATTTGCTCGAAGAGGAGGTCGCCACGCTCGTCGCTGACGTGCACGATCTGGCGCTGTACACGAAACTCAACATCACCGGGTTCATGAAGATACTCAAGGTGCGTAGATAACGCCCTTCTCGCTGCCCGCCGCCTTATTCACGCTGCTCTGCATCTAGAAACACGACGTATGACCCCTTTCAAGCTGCTATCTGACTACCCCTAACATATACCTTCACCTTGCCATACAGAAACAAACACCATACCCCCTCAAGCAGACCTTCATCCAGGACTACCTAGAAAAGCGTCCGTTCTACAAGTATAACTGGGACGCGCTGATCGTCAAGCTATCCAAGCTCTACGACCTCGTGCGGACACGCGGGCACCCCGTTCAAGGTGACTCCAGCGCCGGAGGCTCGCAAAGCGCGTTTGTGCGACAAACGACGAAATACTGGGTCCACCCAGATAACCTTGTCGCGCTGAAGCTCGTGATTCTTAGGCATCTGCCTGTCCTGGGTACGCGTATCCCAAGCCGAACATCATTTGAAATGAGTGAGGGCTGACGATGAATGACGACACAGTATTCAACGCAGATAAGGAGTTCGAGCCCAAAGACGCAGGTAAAATTATAACTTGACCGCCTATATCTGGCCTATTTCGTTAAGCACTTTACCACAGCTATCACCTCAATCTACTTTGACAACGAGGACCTCGAGCTCTACCTAGGCCGTTTGGAGAAGACGGAAGGCGCAGAAGCGATCCGTCTGCGCTGGTACGGCGATGTCGACATCAAACAGGCGAGCTCATCCATCTTTCGCTTACTCTTATGCAACGTTCTCATGGAATCACGGCACCCGTTCCACAGATCTTCGTCGAACGTAAAACTCACCGCGAGGACTGGACGGGCGAGAAGTCGGTGAAAGCGCGGTTTCCGATCAAGGAAGACAAGGTCAATGCGTTCTTGCGCGGCGAATACACCATGGACGCGGAGTTCGAAGCGCTCGTCTTGAAGGGGAAGAAGAGCCAGCAAGAGGTCGACAGCATGCTCCAGCTCGCGAACGAGGTCCAGTATTCCATCCTGACGAAGAGTTTGAGGCCGGGTATGTCTCACCCTACTTTATTCTCATCGTCAAAGCGAGAACGTTTGCCGATTTGCTGACTGCCTGTACGCTCGTGGAACAGTGATGCGGACATTCTACAATCGTACAGCGTTCCAACTTCCCGGCGACGCGCGTGTGCGTATATCTCTCGATACGGAGTTGACGATGGTGAGAGAGGATAATTGGGACGGCGCAGAACGCGCAGGAGACAACTGGCGGAGAACGGACATTGGAATTGATTGGCCGTTCGAGCAGCTTGTGCCGGAGGACAAGGACTTGTTCAAGTACGTCTTTCTTCAAGTCTTCTGAAATGGATGTATTGAACTTGTCTGGCCAGATACGGTGTGCTGGAGGTGAAATTGCAGACGCAGTTTGGGCAGGAGCCTCCACAATGGGTGACTGAGCTGGTCAACTCACATCTAGTCGAGGCAGTGCCTAAGTTCAGGTGAAACTTTGTCTATCCCCGCGTCCGTTTCAGACCTAATATCCACGCAGTAAATTCATTCATGGTTGTGCGACGCTCATCCCGAATCGCGTCGATTTGGTGCCGTTCTGGCTACCTCAAAGTAAGCGCGTCTCCAACAATTTCCAGATGTATCGGGATATCTTACGGTCGTGCAGTGGATGTGGATATCCTCAAGCCCAACAGCGGCTTCTTGACCGTCGAGCGCCCGCAGCACACCTTGTCCAGGACCGCCTCCGAACGTCTAGGCACCGGGTCGTCGGGGCTCACCACGCCCGACACAGACAAGGCCGCCTACGTCGAGCCTGAATCGGAAGGCGAAGAGGACGAGGCGATCGATCTCGCCCCGGCGCGTGACGAGGGCAAGCGGACAGGCCTGACGGGCGAGGCGGCGGCGGACGCGATCGCGTACCGTGAGAAGATGCTGAAGGAGCGCGAGGACGACGGCTCGATCGCGTCGAGTTCGAAGCGCAAGGTCCGCTTTGGCGCCACCACGCACAACGGCAACGGACACAACGGCAACGGACACAACGGCAACGGACACAACGGCAACGGGCTTCACGCGCACGAGTGCGCGGCGGATGGGGAGGGAGAGGCGGACGAGCGGACGCCATTCCTGCCCATCGGCCGCGAGCGTGGCGACGATGTGCGGAAGCCGCGCACGCTCTCGATCGACCCGCTCGCGCCGGCCTCGGCCTTCGACGAGACGTTCAAGGACCGGTTGAGGGCCCAGGACACGCGGCGCCGCCAGGCTGCCCGCGGAGGAGACGCGGACGAGGATGCGGACGAGCCTGGCGCGGCACAGGGCGACGATCGCATTCTAGTGCGCGATTTCTCGGCCCCTGCTGGGAAGAGGGTCGCGATCCCCGTGAGAATCGAGCCGAAGGTGTACTTCGCGACGGAGCGCACGTTCTTGGTGCGTCCCTCCTCGCATTCTCGTCCGGCCCTTCCCGTCCTGTCACTGCTCCCGTGCCTGCTGCCCCGCTGACGCTTCGCCCGCGCACGCACACAGAAATGGCTGCACTTCGCCGTCTACATCGGCACGATCGCGACGACGCTGCTCAACTTCGTCCCGCCGGACGACTACCGCGGGCTGATCAGCGCGGGGCTCTTCACGCTCGCGGCGCTGCTCGCGATCGCGTACTCGGCCGTCATCTTCGTGTACCGCGCTCACAAGCTGCGCAAGCGCCACGCGGACGGGATGTACTACGACCGGTACGGCCCGACGGTGCTGTGCGCGGTGCTCCTCTGCGCGCTCGTCACGAACATCGTGCTGCGCGTCACCGAGGTCGTGGAGGAGTAGCGCGGCCGGGCCTCCGAGTCGGGGACCTGTCGGACCTTTTTTTTTTTCTTTCCTGCACAGCAAAATCCATCTTTATTTCCCCAAATTTGAGCCTTTTTCTTTGTCTTTGGTTCGGCCGCTTGGTCTTCACGTTTCCTCTTCCGTTTTAGTGTAATTAGAGCACATAGTTTTGGTTCCCTCGACCCGTACGTACCACACATTGCACTTCTCGATCCTCTGATCGCCACACACGGACGTTGGTATCGTCTATATATTTGCACACACTGTATCCACCTCCTATGCTGCCATGCACTCCTAACCTCCTTCGCTGATCAGGCCCGGTCATTTGTTTCAATTTTTTTTTTCAATACTTAGACGGCTGCGACGAGCGTTATGGGGAATCGCACTGAATTAATATGGGTCGTGTCTTCGGTCAGCGTTATCGTACGATCGGGCAGGGAGTCTGTGAAGACGTCGCGAGGGGGGTCGATTTCCATAAGCAAGCAAGAGACGGGCTGGAATCGGCCCTGCGCCGGAATACCATGCGATGCAAGGACGGGCCGTCGTAGACGGGAGATCCGCACACCGCTCGGGCGAGAGAGAAAAAAAAAAAAAAGAGAGAGAGAGAGAGAGAGGGAGAGAAACGGGGCGCGATTACATGGATGACGGCTCTGGTTGAAGCTGGTTAGATTGGAGGCTCGAGCGCCGCCGACGGGAAGAAACGGGAAAAAAAGTGTATGGATACGGAATATGGGATGTGGGGTATGGGATATGTATGGACATTCGGCGAAGATTAGAACGCGACGACCAGCTCGCGCCGCGCGGCACTCGCTCCCGTCGGCGCGGTACGAGCGGGCGAGCGGGCGAGCGGGCAGCGGGGAGGGTATCCGCGGCATATGCAAGAGACGAGACGGGCCCGGAGACGAGGAAAAGGAATGCAGGGGAAGGAACGGAGGAAGCGTAAGAGTGTAGTAGTAAAGAACAAACAAAAAAAAAAATCGACGCAGGTTATCGACATTCCCCGCAAACGACGAATCCATCGCCGTCCAGCGCGGTTCTTCCGGTCCATGCCCGTGATGCCCATGCCCATGCCCATGCCCGTGCCTGCCGCCTCGCCCGCCGCCCGCCCAACACGACCGTCACGCCCTATACACATCTCCCCGCTCCACCGCCACCGAGCTCGCAGCCCCACACGCCACCGCGGAGCGCCGATCCCGCCTCGCCTCGCCTCGCCTCGCAAGGCCGCGCACGGCGCCTTACTACTACTGCGGCGGACCGTACCCGTACGCCGCCTGCGGGCCCGGCGACGCGCGCCCCGCCGGCGGGAGGCCGGGGGCGCCGTACATGGGCGCGGGGCTGCCCGGGGGCGGGAGGCCGGGCCCGCCGTACAGCGGGGCGGGGCTCGCGACGCGCATGTCGCCGTACGCGTACGCGGCCTGGGGGCCCGGGGAGCGGCGGCCGGGTGGCATGGAGGGCTGCGGGGACGCGCGGCCGGCGGCGACGTCGTAGGCGATGCCGGGGCCGGGGCTGCGGGCGCGCTGGGCTGCCATTTGTGTCATGGGGATCGCCTCGCCGGGGTAGGCCGGGTCCTGGGGGTGTGCGCCGCCGAAGGTCTGGGGGACGGGGCCGCGGTAGGGGTCGTAGAAGCGGGAGCTGGGGTCGTCGAGGTAAGGCTGGTTTGGGTTCAGGTGCGGGAGCGGCGGAACTGCGTACGGATCGGGGGCGCCGCCGGGGAAGAGCTCTGCGGTGGAGGTGGCGGCGATGGAGCCGGCGTAGCCGCCGGAGCGGGAGTTGTTCCGGGAGAGGTCGACCTCGGAGTTGGTGTCGAAGCCGGAGCGGCCGGTTTGGTTGGTCGAGAGGGGGACGACGCCGCCGTCGTGATGGTTGAGGTCGGGCCACTTGATCGCCTCGTCTGGGGCGGGGAGAGAGAGAGATGGAGGCGGGGAGAGGAGGAGAGGGAGGGAGGAGGGACTCACTGTCGTCGAGGTCATCGCCGAAGCGTTTGCGGGTGAACTTCCAGATGAAGAAGGCGACGATGCCGATGACGGCGACGCCGCCCGCGACGGAGAGACCGATGATGGTGGAGGAGGATACGCCGTCGGAGCTCTTCGAGGAGGTGGCGGCGGCTGACGTAGCGGAGGGACTCGCGGAGGAAGCCTCGGACGGGGTGGCGGTCACGACGACGATGGTGGTCTCCTGCTCGCCCTGGGCATTTGTGGTGATCAACGCAGAGGAGGAAGGGGTGGGCGTCGGGGTGGACGAGGTCTGTTGGGCGGCGTTTGAGGTCTGCTGGGCGGGAGGGCTGGATGCCTGCTGTGCGGGTGTGGACGACGAGGTCGGGGTGGCCGATGTGGCGGGGGCAGAGGTGGTAGCTGCGGGAGTGGTGGTGGTGGTCTCCTGCGGCGTGGACGTGGTCGCGGGGGAGGACGTGGCCTGGGCGGGGGTGGTTGTGGTCTGCGCTGCGGAGGTGGGGGATGCGGTGGTGGGGGAGCTGGAGGCGGCGGAGGCGGCGGAGGAAAAGGGATTTGTGATCTGGCGTGGACGAGGGGCGACGTGAGCGTGTTTTGGGCCTTCGTCAAGAAGGTCGTATCGCGGGACGAGCGCAAAGACAAGGAGGCAGGAGAGGACGGCGAGGAAGGCCAGGGACCTCATTGGGGTGACGGTGCGCATGTCGCGAGCTGAGACGGCCGTCGACCGAGAATAGCGGGGGCCTCTGGGGGGAGGGTCGTGCGGCGACGGTGGAGGGCGACGGTGGAGGGCGGGGCAGATGCGGGAGAGAGGAAAGCGCTGTCCGGCGGGAAATACTACCACGCCTGCGAGCCGCTGTGGCTGTGCCCGCCACCCGCCCGCAGCCTTGACGACCTTTGCCACCCCCGTCTCGCGACCTCAAATACACCGTAGCACCGCGCAGCGTTCTCCTTTGCGTCTGACGATCCTCACTGCGCCGCCAAGCGCCACAGCCCTCAGGACGCTCAGCGGCTGACGTTCTCACGAGCTCACAGCAAAACACAGGTGCGTCAAAGGAACGTATTAAAATTCACTGCGGAAGATCGTTGCCATCATTCGTGACCGTCGCGGGCACCGGCGCTGCCAGCGAGCGACACACTTCCCGTTCTGAGATGCGCCGGCCAGTCACGACGTGACCCTCGCGGTTACTTCGTGATGCGTGACACAGCGCTGCTACGATGTCATAGTTCATTATCGCACGGGTCTCAAAGTCCACGCAGATGCCTCTCGCACCACTAGCGTCTTCCCTGCGCCTTGTCCATCGCCGGCGCGTGTAAGTATGCCGCCGCTCGCAAGTGCGTGCCCCCTCGTGACCGTGTCGGCGCCGGTCAACATCGCCTGCATCAAGTGCGGGGTTTTCTTCGCTGTTGCCCCGCTCGAGGATGCTAATCTCACCCTGCTCAGGTACTGGGGCTAGCGAGACACCAAGCCCGTCTTGCCGATCAACTCTTCACTCTCGGTCCCATTGGACCAGGACCATCTCAGGTCAACGACCACCTCCCGCGCAGACCGCTCGTTCGAAAAGGACAGGCTTTGGCTCAACGGCACGGAGGAGGAGATCAGGGCGGACGGGCGCCTCGCGATCTGCATGGCTCGCGAAAGAGCCCAAGGCGAGCATCTGCCATCCGTACTTACCTCGCCCGCTCGCCGCTCGGGCCCGCGCTAATCCCAGGCACACAGCCCTCGACGTTCCCCGTGCACATCCGCTCGCGGCGCAACACCTTCCCCACACGCCCCAGGGCTCGCGTCCTCCGCGTCCGTCCCCCCTCGGAGCTTCTCCCTCGTCGCGCGCCAGGGCTCCGGTTCGGCCTGCCGCGCGCGTGGGTCACGGTGCAGGACGAGAACGAGTTTCACGGACTCGCCGATACTTCTACGTGAACGACGCGAGCCGCGCGCTCGTCGCGCTCGTCGTCGGGTATTTCCCGCGGGCGGAGGCGGTCAGGGATCCGTTCGGGATGTTCGGCGCGGCGGGGGTCGCGAGGAGGAGGCGCTGCTCGGCGCTCGGGGGCTGCCAAAGGTGCTGGCTTAGACTTTATACTTTTAGATGGAGAACGAGGTACCGCTCCACGCTTGATTGCGGTGCTCTGCGAAGCGATGTCATTTTTCAGAGGCTGCGGGACCTGCATACCCTCGGAACGTCTAAGGACAAGGACAGACAAAGGTGGGCTTATGTAAGCGATGCTGAATTTGGCGATGCTATTGTTTGGACGGACGAGGGAGGCAAGAACAAATGTGCACCACCGCGACGTAACAACAAAACAATGGCGGCCACCCTCTCAAAAGCGCCCACACCCATGCCACCCTCCCCTCTCCACCCTCCGGGTTGTCCGCCCCTTCCCTCCTCCCTCTTCTCACTTCTCTCTCACTCACGACCGCTGCCCGCTCTCAGCCCCGGTCCTCCCCTCGTCTCCTCCAAATTCAAACATATATATCCCGTTCACGAATCGTCGCCGGCCGACATAGCTCGCTCGCATCATGTCTGTCACTTCCCCGCCCAATCGTTGGACGTCGCCCCCGCCCGTTTACGACCACGGTCTGCGCGCCGGCACCACGCTGAACCCGTACCTCGAGCTCCCCCACCTGCTCTCCCTCACCTGGCTCGCGTACCCCATCCTCTCGCTCCTCTTCATCGTCTTCCGCCTCTCCATCTCCTCCGACTCCGCCCAGACAGCCGTCACGAACGCGAAGGACGACCTGCTCTCCGCGTGCCAGGCCGCCCAGCGCGCCGCGTCCTCCACCGCGAGCATGCCCCGGTACATGGCCGTCGCCACGAACGAGCAGATCGCAGACGCCGTCAACGGGACGATGAACGCCGCCCGCGCCGCGCTGATCCTCGCCCTGACGGTGATGGAGACGGTCATCAACTTTATCGTCGACATCTACCGCTCGACCTTCCTGTGCTTCCTGGAGCTGATCGTGCGCGGCGCGCTCTCCATCCTCATCGGTGCCACCCAGGAGGTACGTCACGCTATCTGGCGCGCGATCTTGGTTGCTGACGATTCGCGATTCGCGGATGCAGATCTCCAACCTCATCACGAGCACGTTCGACGGTCTCCGCACCTCGATCCAGAACGATATCTCTTCGGCCAATTCGGCGATCAAAACCGCCATCGACGCCATCAACAAGGTCAACCCCTTCAGCGACATCTCCGTGCCGCAGATATCCGTCCCCAGCTTGGACGCGCTCCAGAACGTCACGCTCCCGACCGACTTTCAGGATGCGCTGCTCAAGCTGAACGCGTCGATTCCCTCGGTGTCAGATTTGAAGGACAAGGTCAACGGAATGTGAGCTCTCTCGCGATCTCTGCGCGCATATATTTGTTGCTCACAGACTAGCGCGCGACATCCAGTCTTGATACGCCGTTCGAGCTTCTCAAGAAGGATATCAATGATACCTTCATCGGCATCAACTTCAACTCGTCTGTTCTCCCCGTGCCGGATCGCAGTACTCTTTCGTTCTGCGATAACATGGATACCTCAGTGGTGGACGATCTGGGTCACGACTTGCTCAAGATTGCGAAGATCGGCATCATCATCATCGCCGCGTTGGCTCTTTTGCTCTTGGCAGGCAACTGTGCGCTGGAATGGTACAAATGGCGCTGTCTGAAGAGGCATCTCGAGTATACCCGCCAGGCGTGGATGTCCGACCCCACCATCGCGCACGAGAACTCTACCGCTTCGCAACCGACCGTCCAGCTCTCCGATCACAACCTGCTCATGCTCCAGGCCAACTCGGCGCATCCTTTCCTGACGCGCCTCGCCAACCAGCTCACCGCGCTGCTCCGTCTGTCTCCGTCTCAGCATATCCACGTCCAGTGGTTCTTCCACTACGTCTTCCACCCCCCGGCGCTCGCCTGCTTCCTCATCGGCTTTTTCGGCATCCTCTCCGTCCAACTGCAGCTGTTCGCCATCGCGCCCTTGGAGGCGAGGTACCAGTCCCGGGCGTCCGCCGCCGTGTCTGATTTCTCAGGCACCATCTTCACGTCGCTGAACGAGAGCATGTACAACCAGTCCTCGCTGTACGCGAACGACATCAACGGGCGCATCAACGTCGTGCAGACGACGATCAACGACGGGCTTTTCGGATGGGTCAACGGGACGACGACGACGCTCAACGACACGCTCAACGTCTTCTACAGCGACATCCAGAACGCGGTCGCGACCGTGTTCAACGGGACCATCCTCGAGCAGCCGGCACAGGAGTTCATCCAGTGCTTCATCGGCTCCAAGGTCGACGCGCTCGAGGACGCGCTCACCTTCCTCCACAACAATCTCGTGATCAACATGCCCCGCGTCAACGAGAGCGCGCTCGTGCTCTCGCCCGACCAGATCAACGAGGCGTCGCAGCCGATCGCGGCGGCCGCCATCGGCGGGGGCGACGGCAACAGCGAGGGCCTCGTCGGCAGGCTGATCAACACGTACGTCCAGTCGCTGAAGAAGGAGCGCGTCATGTTCGCCGTGTTCCTCGCCCTGTGGGGCTTCGTCGTCGTCATGGGCCTGTGCATCATCCTGTGGCACTCGTACGGCAAGGGCTGGATGGAGTCGCGCAGGAGGCGCAAGTGGCGGCGGGACCAGCGCTCTGGGTTCGCCGACATCGTCGTGCCGTTCAAGTCGAGGGACGTGAATAGCACGGAGAAGCGTCGCCGCGGCGACGGCGGCGGTGACTCGCAAATGGACCTCCCGTCGTTCACGCCTATGCCCTCGCCCAGGCCCGCTGGCCCGCCGTACAACGCGGACAACGAGCCGCGGCATCCCAATCGCCTGCTAGGGCCGAAATTCCAGAAGAGCTTCGACAGCTTCTTCGACCACGCCCCGCATCGCGACGCCGAGCGTCCCGCGCTCGCGGTGGCCGTGCCAGACGCGGGCCAACGCACCAAGCCCTGGTTCAGGCGGTTCCAGCGCAGCAAGCCCGCCCCGCCCGCGCAGCCGCCGTCGCACGAGTCCACGCCGACGTCCCGCAGGCCCCGGCCGCCGCTCACCATCTCCACGGCGCACGCCGAGCAGTTCCGCGACGCGGGCCTCCCGGAGATCGAGGCGGGCCTTCCGGCCATCGAGCGGACGTCCCCGAGCGAGGACGCGCACCCGTCCTCCGCGTGGTCCGTGTCTCCAAGCAATACGCCCGCGTCCAGGCCCTGGCTGCACAACATCGTCAAGCCCACCGCGCCGCCCGCGAACCCCCTCCGGGCGAAGCCCGCCGCGGGCGTGCCCGTCGACGTGGGCAGCTCCTCGCCCGATGATATCCTCGCAGCCATCAACGGCAGCCAACCGCCCGCCGCGACGCACCTCGCGGTGCCGCTGCACCATGCGCGCGCGCGCAGGCATCCGACCCCCGCAGCCGACCCTCGACCTCCGCAGCCTCATCCGCAGCCAGGAAAGACGCTCCGCGTCGTGAACGCGTCGATGCCGGCCGCACCGCCCCCCATGCGGTCGCTCCTCGCGCCGCCGGGGTTCACGCCGCACAGCCAGCGCCGCCAACCCGCCGCCAACCCGTTCGCGACGCCCTTTGACGACGACGCGCGCGCGTCGAGCCCCGAGGCCGGCATCGCAGGCGTCGGCGCGAACAACCGCCAGTTCGAGAGCCCGTTCACGGCCATCGCGATATGACTGCCCCCCGGCCGCGCGCTAACCCGCCCGACGCTGGCTTTGGCTTTGGCTTTTTGACGACACTCACGCCCCTCTCGAGACTCGCAGTATCTTACCTTGTGTTCGTAGACTAATCTTCCGCGCTCGCGCACTCATGACGTCCACGTATCCGCGTATCTATAGCATTAGTGTATATCCGCCCACCGCATGCACCGGCATGCGTCCGCCATTATTGTATACGAGCACACATACACACACACACACACACGTACAACAGCCTGTATTGTTACTTCATCGTTCTTTTTGCTTCTCGTCCTGCTGGGTTTACTGGACTGTATTAGCATCCACTCGCTTGTCGTTGACTCTTGTTCGGTGTATACTAAGCGCGAATGCACAAGAGTTTTTTGTGTTTGTTTTGTTTTGGTGTCCGGGTGGTCATCGGCGCTTCAGTGCTCGAGCGCACAGCCTCTGTTGCATTCTCGGGGTGCAGTTTCGCGGGGTGGAGAAGAAGCCAGGAAGAATGAGCATGTCCCAGACAGGATGCCACTGCCTGTGACGGTGACGGGCCCTAGCGCCACGTGCACAGGAAACTCCAAAACAGAGGAGTAGGACCTTGTCGCTGCATGTTGCGTCCGGATATGCAGCTCTCTCCTCTCCTCTTCGCTGTCTCGAGGTTCCGAGCCGCTCTCACAGATTGCCCGATCGAAGCGCGCGACCACTGTGCGACGCTTCTGGTCGAGCGGCGTGTCCGGCGGAGAATATGAGCCTTACGCCACGCTTAGCACCAAGATCGACGGCCGTGACTATCGGTAGTCTCTGAAAATCGACACAGGACCACCAGATCCCGATTGACCCGTGGCCCGCGAGTAGCACCTCCATCTTATATTAAACACGGCTAATGACACAGAAAGGGCGCCCGGGAGCTGCAAGCAGCCGTGATCTGCCCTGACGCTAGGTATACAAAAAAAACGACAGCGGCGCCGAATGGGCCGCGTGAGTGGCCGTGCATCCCTCATCGAGGCTGCGGTTCGTGACATCTTCGTGAGGGGCAATGCCTTAATCTAATCTAGTCGCTCAGGTTAGCGGCGGGCAGGACGGGGTGTAGTGAGGTGAGACGACTCGCTTCCGTGACGAAAGTATTTCACGCCATCGTCGAGCTCCAGGATATCGTTCTTGGCTGATGCTGCGATGTCCTAAAGCATGAGCGGCAACCAGGTGCAAAAGGAATGTGAGAGCGGGCCTACACGAGGAAGCGATGACTTGCGTGCCCGCGGAATCGAACGATCGGGAGCCGAGGATATCCTCCGTGCGCGTATGCGACGAAAACGTCTGGGACGGTCTGGATGGCGGCTTCATCTCTCGCAGGAATGTGCGTGCATTGAGGTTTGCAAGCATGGCGTTAAAATAGACTACGTAATTTTTCGAAACAAAAACCCCCCGGTCAGGTGTCGGTCGAAAGAGTGGTATCTTCTGGTCACTTACGTTTGCTTAATGTCATGAGGAATCCGATAAAAATAAAGGTGTGTGGCAGAGCGGCGAGCTAGAGTGGCAATGAGCACCCGTGCACGTAGATACGATGAGTGCAGAGATATAAAAAAAATAGTCACTGTGATGAGACTGGCTAATGCGCAGAGGCTAGTCAACATGCTGGTCCCGACAACGTAACGCATAAGCCTTGCGACTATAGAGTGAGTTCTAAGATATCGCGCGTGTTGGCTTCAGTGTCCGACGATAATAAGAATTGAATTTACCGAGCATGCCCTATCCTATCGGCCCTCCTTAAACATATCACCAGAGCCACCGCAATGCTTGTGTCGGAGACAAGGATCGCGGTGGTATTCAGGTATGTAACCCACTTCAAAATGGTTACGAGATGAACAGTATCCAGAAGCAAACAGTCGGGAGCACATACCTCCATTTTCTCCGATGTTGTGCCGAAATTGCGGCTATACGATGGCACATGTCAGACGTGAGAAATATGGCGATGCACACAGGAAAGTAGAGGCTCACTGTGTGACTACGAATACTGGAAAGAGAGTGTCAATCAGATGCGATCAAACGATGTCGTATGAACCTTACAGATCCCGCAGGCTTGACGGCCGAATCAGATCACGACTGGCGATATTGATCTGGGGACACGGGACTCACCGAAAGAGAACAGAGACATAATATTCTACGGAGATTATGGGTAACTTGAAAGTATTCAGCGAAAAGAGATGCACGTACTACACCTATTGCTAAGGATACATTGCTGGTGCTGACTGGTAATTTGAGCCCCGGTTACTGTGAGCGAATGACACAGGCGTGAGAACAACACATACGTCTCCAAAGCCTTTCACAATAAAAACTGTGAACAAAAGAGGTTGGTCCGACATTGATCATCAGATACTGCCATGCCTACTCACCACCGGACAAGGTAATCTCCGAAGGCCTTGGAGCATCACGATGAATCGGGTTTCATCCAAATGAGCGAAAAGAGCTCACCGTCACAATGAGGAATGCCTGTCAAAGTTCTGTCAATAGGCATCATAAAGATCTTCTTGCTGATACTGACCTCGAGGCTCCTGTTGAAATATCAAAGTCGTGAGATGGCTGATGTGCGCGCGAAAAGGGACCTACCATACGACTTGCTTTGAGAAGATGGCATCGGCCTCTCCGAAGTGAATAATAACGTAGAAATACACGCAATGACTGGTCAAGGCCATTTGCAACGTATCCAAGAGCCTAGACACAGTTGAGGTACATGTCAGATTCTGGGGAATGCAACAATTGTTGAAACGTCGAATCGAAGAGCAAAGCACCATAAGAATACGACCTGATCATCGATCAGGTAGTGTCAATCAGGGTGCGCATAGAACGAGGGGCTAGGATTCTCACGAAATATTTTAGAGAAGGCGGATCTCGACACCAAGACTGATGGCAGTATGTGAATGACTGTACGTTAGTTACCCCATATAGACTTGTACGAGGCGGTGTCAATGATGTGTCGTTGTGTGCACACTGCAGGAAGAGGAAGACTTACATGGCATTCACAGTGTACCCGATGATGAGAGGACCCAGGGTGTCTGTTGGCGCGTGCCCACTGGCGCCTGACATCGGCGATCCTTTGATTGGCTATCTGGCAGTCTCACTCTCGGGGTCACAGGCTGCCAGCAGTTGCACGGCGAGAGGCCAAGGGTGGGTCGTTTGGCGTGGACCCGGTAGCGCGAGGCTACGAAGCTTTGATTGAACAGGAGCGCGGCTTCTCTCCTCTCGAGTCGAGATCCTTTGTTGTAGCTTGTTGTCGTCGCCGAACACAGCGATTTCCGTTCGGTGCCTCGGCCGGCATTGCAGAAAGGTCCACCGTTTATCAAATACCAAACAGGCCGCCCGTAGCCGCCCATTCAGCCTTTTGGGTTTGGTAGATCCGGCTATTGCCGTTTGGGGCTCCGCGACCTCTGCGCCTGAAAGTCGGATGCCAGGCCTTGTGGCGCGTTTTTGAGTGCTCGCCTGGTTCAATCCGCACGTACATTCATGTCTGATGTTGGACAGCTTTCCAGTGATCAGTGCGGCATTGCGTGGTTTGATTGGCGCCTTGTCCAAACACAGCGCACTCTCTCCATCTTCCTTCACCTTCCCGCATTCACGCATGCTCTCCGTTCTCCCCTCGATCGTCTCGGAGGAAGCTCAGCCGATGCTGTAACAGGGTGTTGCGATGATGCCGGGTGCCGGATCACTGTTTCCCATAGCGTTCCAATGACTGATGGTCTCACGTTTGGTTGGAGAATCGCGTGCGGAGCACCGTGGGGGCTTTACATACGAAGCCATTTTCAAAATCCAATGAGTCATCCTCGTTGGCGGTGTCTGGGCGATCGGACTGCTGGCGTTAAGTATGCTCGTCGCGTAACTTAAATCACTGTCTCTCTTCAGCGGACTGGTGCCAGTGATCTATCCCTTCCCCTCTCCCCTTCGCCGCCTCCCAATGGCATCCAATGGCATCCTCCAAGTTCCTCAACTCAGTCATGCGGCGAGTGACAGCACTCTTGCTGCACATAATGAGAAACTCCAGGACGATATAAAGACGTCAGAGCCCGAAGGCGATTACCCTCAGGGCAAATGGCGTGCATGGAGTACAGGTGAGCGGTCTGCACCTAGTCGCTTGGTTCTTTTCTCACATGTTCGAACTCAAGTGCTCGGTGCATGGCTGATCCAGTTTTGCACCGTCGGTACGGTATGGACTTACGCTATTCGTGTCAAGGTTGTCGATCGTGTCTGATCAGATGTACACCATAGACGACTTCCTTCGGCGTCTTCCAAGACTATTATCGTACTACGTACTTGAAGGGCTACAGTTCGTCGACCATAAGCTGGATCGGAGGTACTGGCCGTTGTCTTGATCGAAGCCAGCGCTCATGATTTGCAGGTGTTCAAATCTTTCTTGAGCTTGCGTCAGGACCCATCGGCGGTAAACTGTGCGATATTTAGCTCAATCTTCATCTGAATATGCCTGATAAACATGTTCCTCTCTAGATTTGATGCAGGTCACACTCGATTGGCGTCCATCGTGGGGTCTACGCTCTTTGTATTCAGGTAGGACATTCCCTCCTCGTCGGAAGCGTTATATGAATTTCGCGTAGCTTTTTCATGTTGTCTTTGGTACAACCCGGGCAGTTTTATCAGGTATGTGTGCTCATTAAAGACATTGGACTTGGACTGAGCATGCACAGGTGTTCCTATCTCAAGGCGTTGGGATGGGCTTAGGCCTCGGAATATTATATGTACCTACCTCCGCTGTTGTCTCCCATCATTTCAAGACGAACAGAGCGCTGGCGATGGTACGCAATATATGTCTATGTTGATCAATATACATCTAATATTTCTTGCTCGCAGGGAATTGTGGACTCGAGTGCTTCACTGGGAGGTATCGCTTTCTCAAGTATGTTGCTTCAGCTCCACGTTTTTACTTTGATTGACTTTTGCCCTCACCAGTCATGCAGAATGAGCTCATACACGGCTCTGTCGGGTTTGTTTGGGGAGTGCGAGCTTCGGCCTTCGTCTGCCTGGCTGTCATCATTATCGCAAACTGCCTCATCTTTGTGCCGCCCAGCGTCCACGCCTCGCGCGCGCCTGGACAGCTGCTAGACACTCCTTACCTCCTTACGATCATGTGGGGGTTCTTTTCTTTTCTGGGGATGTACTTCCCCTCGTTCTACGTGCAGCTCTTCGCTCGGACGCACGGTATCTCGACCAAGTTTGCATTCTACTCTCTGGCCATCCTGAACCTCGCGAGCATGTTCGGGCGCGTGCTGCCCAACTATGTGGCGGACAGATTTGGAACGATGCCGGTGTTTCTGCCCTCCGTCACGTTGGCAGGTACGCCGTGGCTCATCCTTCCTCATTGTTTCGCTCCCAATCTGTCTTGGTCATTCGCAGGCCTTGTCCAGTTCGCGATGCTCGGATCTTCCAGCATCGTCGGTCTCACATTCTTCGTCATCTTGTAAGTAGCTCATCGCTTGCTACTTCGCTCCGTGTGATGAGCCTAACACCGATCTCCGTTCCAGTTACGGATTCTTCTTTGGGACAGGTACGTACCTGGGCGCCTTCGGAGCTTGGGTCTTAGAAACACGATCAACATCCTCATCATCTAGCCATGGCTCTCTACCTCCCGCTCATCGCCGAGTTTACGCCCGTCGGTGCTAACATGGGGTAAGTCCCCTGTGATGGCCCTGTTAGAAACTTCGTCTCAAGTGCGATATAAACAGAAAACGCATGGGGATCGGCTGTGTCCCCATGGGCATCGCTTCGCTCGTCGGGCCACCCATCGCCGGAGCCATCATGGGTAAGAACACCATCTGGTGGAAGGGAATTGTGTTTTCCGCAGTAAGCTCCGTAGCGCGCTTGCCCTCGGCGTCTCATCGCTTTTTTCTCGTCGCTAGGTCACAACATCCGGCTCGTCCATTCTACTTGTCGCTGCATGGTTCATCCATCACAATAGGGCGAAGCACGCCAACGAGAAAATTATCACGTCTGGCGAGACGCTATGAGCGCACCTTTGTGACGATCTGAAAGTTTTGCACTGTGTTGATATCGCTCACTCTAGAGGCTTGCTTTGTCTGTCCAGTACGTCCGCTGTTTCGCTCATTGTCATCAGGGTTTCCACATTCCTTCACTCTCAATCCGGTAGATAGAAATGCATATACATTCGATATAGTCTATAGTTTTCGTGGCCTTACATACCATACTGAGCCCAGTCCTTATGTAGTCTTTATTTGTTATCTGTACGACTGTGTAGAGACTGTTTCGCAGTATACTGACGCTTGCAGTCGCGATGGGCTTCTTTCTCAATTTCTCAAGGGATGTTGAGTTTGCAGGTCTGATGAATATACTGGGGTAACTACGAGACGCCACTGTCTCCGCAACCTGATACTATTAATTCGAGGTAAGCTACTGGGCCCATTTCCTAGTCCACTCAACGATAAACTCGGCCATTTCCCTCCCCTGTTCCTTCCTATCTTCAGCATGCTGTCCGTTTCGTCTTTCCAACTTCCGCTTCGACCCTTTCTGCCACGCCTCCGCGATCTTACCTGCCCAATTGCCCGCCTCGTACTCCTCGTGGTCCATCTCCACGCCCACGCCCTCTCGAGAAAGCAAAATGCGCAATCCGTGCTCCTCGACGAAAAGAGGGCGGGAAACTATGTGGTCGGTAAGCTACCGCGCTCAGATCGGTCGGAAAAGAAGGCAGGTACCGTAGACAAACGGGGTGCAGGACTCTACGCACTCGGAGACCGTTCCATAACCCTTACGGCCAAGAGCGTTCAGAGCGCATTGCGATACCAGCAGACATCACTCACCAGTTTACCCAAAAGAACGTCTCCAATTGCCATCAGGTCTGGCATGTAGATGTTCTTCGGAGCGATGTAAAACCCCTCTGGTAGCTCGTCATCCTCACAGCCATCCGCAGCATCACTGGCAATGTTCGGCCCGGAGAGGTCATCAGAATCTAGTGTTCGGCCACGGGCGTGCCAGCCCTTCGACTCTGACACACCACAGACAATCACAATCCAGGAACTGTCTGGGACGAACTGACCTTCCGGCTCTATGACCGCAGCATTTGACTGAAACCCGTCTTGCACGAGCGTAGGTGTTGGAGGAATCGTCTGGAACACAGGAGAACTCGAGCTCGAGGCCATTGTCGCCTTGGATGCCGGAGAGGGTGCCCCAGGGATATATATGTGCGAAGGGGTAGAAATGCGCGGAATGCGGAGCGGGTGGAGGGCAGACGGGTGCTTCTTCCCAGTAAGATCCAGTGCAGTCAGAGATTGTCGGAGCGTGGTTGGGAAGCTGTCACCAGACGGCTGAGGATAGTTCTCCGTCCCGCTCGGGGTGATAGTCCCAGAGCCTAATCTCGAGGAGGTTCTGCTATGAGCGGGTCTGTGGATCACCTGGCCCCCGAAAGAGACGACTAGAATCTTGGTTGTTGACGGATCATGAAGTTGATTCGGTACGCCAATGGAGTCGAGCACGCGGGAGCGACCAGCAGGAGTATAGATGTCATGGCTCGGAAGGCGAACCAGCAGCGGCGCAGAAAGAGCCGCACGAGCTTTTGGTTTGAGCGGGATCGACGGAAAGGGTATTGACGTATGCAAGGTATAAGCTGCAGGATCCTCTGTAAGATGCGATATTATGGGTATATGGAAAGTTCCTGTTGCACTGTCTATCCAATCAGTCGCAGGTAGTTGAGGCTTAGCAGCAAAGGCAGGTATCGGGATTGCACCAGGAAGCCGGAGCAAAAGATCCGCGTGTCGATACCCATCAAAAATCTGAGACACAAGAGGATCCAGTTCTTCTGCAGAGATCGAAGTATCAGGTTCCGTTTCAATGTGTGAGGTAAGAGAGCTTGAATGGTGCTGACGAGAGCGAGACTGGTCAATAAAAGAGGCAGACAGATAGCTGTAGACTGAGTCAAAGGTGAAGTTTGTAACCAAGATCGAAGGGAGCTGGGCTTTGTTTGCCGCTAAGCTGCAGAGATCTAGGTCAGCCATCCCTCATCGTCGCAGATGAAATGAATGATTGAACGCACAAGCCAAGAAAAACAGCATCGCTCAAAACGCAGTCTGCCTCGATGTCCTGTAGCCACCTGCTCTCTTCATCTACCTTCTGGTCCTTCTGATCAAGAAACGATCGAAGAACCCGGACACTTTTCTGACGGTCTACGCGATACCTGGAATACCTTCAATCGTTCAACATCGCAGGGTTAGATTTAAACCAACTCACGCTAGCGGCTGCACTACGACCGGATCGATTTCTGCGTAGCGATAGAACGCGCCAAGCGCAACGCTATCCGAAAATACGTGCTTCGGAGCAGATGACACTATGTGCACTGTTGGTGGAGGATGCAGAGATAGAAGGTGTGATGTGAGCGCAGAGACGCGAGTAGCGTGTCCATAACCTTAGCGAAAGCTAGAGCATAAGCAACGGCCAGCACGGTAGGGTCCTCACGCTTCAACAGTATGTGCGTACCATGGCCGGAGCAGTAAAACGCAAAGCAGGCGCTATCGGACGGCATCCTGCCCTGAGATCGACGTTCGCAATGTTGAAACAAGAGCGACCGGCGGCCTCCTCTCAAGCTGGCCCGGCGGCTGACATCGTTGAATCGGCTGCCATGATGACGTACAGTGATGAGAATTCAGATCTTTCAGAGGCGGTCTGCCGGGCCGGCGATTCTCATTCCTTTTTAGGGCCACGGGTATGCACATAGTGTGACAACACCCCGTGTTCTAGGTGTCTCAATCGAACCATTCATTGCGAGTCCTGTTCAATGATATGATATGCACTTCAATGTGGGAGACTTCGTTCACCAGCGTTCACCTTGAATCAGCGTGGACCTGAGTAGCATATCCCCAGGGAACAGCAGATCCACATGTCATTCAACTTTGTAGAAGTTTTCAAAGTTTGCCATTGGTGTGCGAAAGGAAAGGAGTCAGACCCTGTAAGAATGAGTCACACGCGCAGAAAGTATAATCCGAGGCGTCTTGAGAACGCTTCAAGCGGATTTTTCTGCAGTGATCTTCTGTCCTTATGGGTCAGTGCTCCTACCGTGCAGAGTCAGCATTGAACAGAACATGCCAGGCCACAGTGCCTGGTTTGCCACGCTTCGATCTCTGCAGGCGCCGTTCGCATCGGAGGTAGACTTGTCCATTTGTCCTGCATGCGGTAGATACGGACATAGTAAGGCCGACGCAACAAGAGAGCGCTGGAATCGCAAAGGAGTACATAGAAAGCCAAGACGAGCGAGTCTCGAGGATGCTAGACCTCGTTCTTGATCGAGTACAACGGCGGACCTGCAGCAGATCGTCGTCCGACGCAAATTTAAAGCGATGCGTTCGAGCATGACAGGTCAACCACGGAAATGAGAGCGCGCGGCAGCTACTACCAGGTAAAGCATGCACCTATTAGATCTAGCGCCGGATATGCCAAATGGAGTTGAGTATGTCCGGATCCAAGTATATCGTGTCGACTGCTAGCAATCATGATATTATGGCACCGAGCACCTCGAAGGGTTGCTTTGAGCGGATCCACTCCTTATAGCGAGAGAAAAAAATCAGTCGCTGGCTCTGCATGGCACGAGGCAGATCCAATTGTTATGAAAATGCACAGTTTTATTCAAACCTCGTGCCTAGGCCCTACCATCAAGTTCAACCCGGTCATTTCGAAATCGAAAGCAGCTTAGTGCCGTATTGTTGTTGTTCAAGGTGTTCAAAGTGACGTCCTGTGGGTAAAATGAGAGAGAATGGAGGACAGGAAGAAATGGAGGTGAAGGCTCCGTTGACTCTGGCGCTGAGGCGTGAGATTCACTGGCGGCTGCCGTGGCTTTGATTGACTCCACAATTTCTCGTGAATTCCGGTTTGACCTCAACCAGGTTTATCATTCAACGTTCAACTACAGAACTATCAATCAACTACAGGGTTCACAACAGAAAACACACTGCCTTTCATCGCATGGGGCATTGAGCATGGGGTGCGCTCCAAGCGCTTGTCGGTCACTGCATAGACGCCGACTTAGCCGCGCGTGAGCGGCGGGAGCTGATCGCGCTCCCTTCAGATCTTCCGCGGCTAAGACGACCACATCTTGGCCAGCGCTCACAGCATGGGGTAAACAGACGCTGAAACTCACTCTTTGCTATCCCTTGTTCCTGCTCGCCATCATTAATCAACTCCAGGCTTGAAGAATAGATGCTGCGTACTCACAGGTATGTCGTATTCACCTTGTCTGAATCCCGTCATTTCTGGCCCCAAGCGTTTGAGCAAGCGGCTATCTTCTGCACATATATTGTCCGTCGTGTCAGACGAGTCGCCCCGTCAGATCTTGACGCGCCCTTATTTTGACGCCCGAGTATACTCAACTTGGCGCTCGCCGCGAACGGTGCGTTCCTTTCCCTGCAAGGCATGGAAGCACAAGGGAGCAGACCAAGCTTCTGTCATCGGTCATCGTACCCACAGGTTGTGTCAGATGCTATGAGATCCATTACCCATTTTGAGTCACTGGCGCTGCCGGGACTCGTGAAGGCTGGCGCCCAGGTAACAACGCGCGAGCGTATAAAGCCCGCAAGGTCTCCCCCTTTTACTCCAGTACACCTCGACCTCTCATGGATTTCATTACGGAAAAAGCCCACTCCGATGACGGCAGTATTGCCATTCACTCTGCAGAAGATGTTGATCATGAATCCAACGAAGACTATCCTATGGGCCGTTGGCGTGCATGGAGCACCGGTGCGCTCTCCCTTTTTGCTTCTTGTGTTTCACATTATACTGAGTCAATCACGTTAGTTCTGGGTGCTTGGCTCATAGTCTCTTGCTCTATCGGCATGGTATGATACACGCTCGTCTAAGTAAACTCGACGCCGCTGATCACTATTCATCAGACCTCTGCCTTCGGCGTTTTCCAAGACTTCTACACGACTACTTGGCTGGACAACCATTCGGCCTCAGCCATCAGTTGGGTTGGAGGAGGTAATTGGTCTTCCGTGTCGTGCCATGAATCACACTCATTACGACGTTCTCTCTAATAGTCCAGATATTCCTCGAACTTATCCTCGGGCCCATAGGTGGGAAGCTGTGCGTCAATCTTTCAATATCTGTTTTGCCGCGTCATCTGAACCGGTTACCCATCACAGGTTTGACATGGGTTACATCCGTACAGCAAACATTGCCGGATGCACTTTGTTCACCTTTAGGTAGGATCCACTTCGATCGTAGATCATGCGCGTCTAAACACTCACGGTCATCAATAGCTTCTTTATGCTTTCCCTGGCACAGCCCCATCAATACTACCAAGTGAGATCATAATCCATACGAGTCTGAGCGCCCATTTTGACGCTCGTCATCTCAGGTGTTCTTGGCGCAAGGCATAGGCATGGGAGCTGGCATTGGCTTGCTCTACATTCCCGCATCTACCGTAGTCTTCCACCATTTCAAGTCAAAGCGTGCATTCGCAACAGTACGTTTGTATATCGTTCCTTGAACGATCAGGTTGATTCATACTTTCCATATCATAGGGTCTTGTGGACTCCGGTGCATCTGTCGGAGGCATATTCCTGTCCAGTACGTCAGGCTCACAGACTCTGCTTCAATTTGCTGATTCCCCCCAAGTCCTGCTCAATCACCTGATCCACGGCTCCGTTGGTTTCGTGTGGGGAACACGCATCGCGGCTTTCATTACACTCTTCTGCTTCATCCTCGGCAATCTCCTCATTTACGTTCCGCCGATCAAGAAGACCGTCGATGGAACCAAAACAACCTTCACGGACGCGCCGTACATCCTAACCGTCGCCTGGGGCTTCGCGGCGTCGCTGGGGATGTACTTCCCGGCCTTTTACGTCCAGCTGTTCGCACGCATGCACGGGATAAGCAGTGGTCTTGCGTTCTACTCCCTTGCTATCATGAATGCTGCGAGCGTCTTTGGTCGCGTCGTCCCAAGTTGGTTGGCGGATAGGTGGGGACTACTTGAGGTGTTTGTGCCATGCACAACATTGGGCGGTGAGTGACCCTGCCACAGCAATGCTGTCCCATGGCTGATATGTCTTCTGCTCGCAAGGCCTTGTGGGATTTGCCATGCTGGGCAGCACAACGCCGGCCGGTCTCGTTCTCTTCGTTGTCTTGTCAGTCTATTTCGAGCTCTCCAACCTGGTATTTTGTTGACGCCTTTCTTCAGTTACGGTTTCTTCTTTGGTGCCAGCGTAGCGTTGTATCTTCCGATCATAGACTCTCTAACACCTGCGGGCGCAAACAAGGGGTGCGTCGTCTCCATGGAAGCCGCTCATCATCGCGCTCACGCAGCTCTAACATGTGCAGAAAACGAATGGGATTCGCGATAGTCCCTGTGGGTGTTGCGTGCCTCGTCGGTCCCCCGATATCTGGGGCTATCCTGGGCAGCAGCTACGCGTGGTGGAAGGGCGTGGTTTTCGCTTCCGTGAGTTTCGCCAACGACACTACTTTACTTGTTTTGCTCACTGTATCTCGTACACAGGTGACCGACACCGTACCATGCGTGTTCCTGGCCGCGGCCCTGTATATCCTTCGGCGTAATGCTAAAGCGAAGGCTAGGGTGCAATCTCCAACTGGGGCTTGAAGCTTTAAAAAAAGTAATGATCGTAATGTAGCACAACGCGACGACCCTTCCATGACCTGCATCTTATACTCCTATACCTGCATATTTATGTAACGTCTAATGTATCATGTCCATATTGTCTGCTTAGAATGTGGAGATTCATGTGCTCGAAGCGTGGCATCTGAACGGGAAGAATGTGAGAGTAGCAACGTGGCTCAATGTGTCTTGCAGTCTTGGTGTCTTTTGCTCTCCGCATCTGCTACCGAGACGAGCGGCGTCCTCGGACGACTGTCAACGCCGAGCATAGGGCGCTCGTGCATCAAAGAATTGGCTGAGATACGGATGGAATTGACGGGAAGGAGAAGAATCTGTCGACGGCCTCTTCGTCGTCTTCCGTCCACTTCTTCGAAGACTGGTGCTCGAACACGTCCGGCTCTGCGTTCGCGCGAGCCATATGCATGTTGGCGTCGACTAGATACAACGAAGGGTTTTAGCGGCAGTGCGAGCATCAGGTGAATGAAACTGGTGGAGGAGGGCGGCGCGTACGGTAGTCCCTTAAGCCCTTGCCAAAATTGACGCGACAGGCTAAGCCGAAGACCATGCTGAGGATCATGACGACAAAGGACGCGACCGTGACGGAGCCAAAAAATGGCCAGTCCACGAACGTAAATCGATAGATCATCGAATCGAACATGACGGACCACCCCGCGATGAACAGGCTGCCGACGAGCAAAAATGCGATCATCATGGTCTTTTTCTCTCGCCGAGCGGAGAACCAGCCCTGAACCGCACAGCAACGCTGCTGTGAGCGATGGGACTGAAACGTGAGGAATAAACTCCACCATCGTGATCCATGGAATCAGCAGCTGCATCGCGATGAGCAACAGCAGCTATGGAGTGAAAAGCCAGTACGCACCACCGTTGAAGAGATAAAGATACCCATGTAGGATGTCGTGTGCCAGGACAAATCGTGTATGGGTCCGTTTGTAAGCTGGTCGATCCAAAGGCCCATGGCCACGACGAGAAGAAACACAGAGAGCTGCAGGCACACGAGCACTGCAACAAGGTGCTGTTATGATAGATCCTGTCGCATCAGTGATATGGAACTGATTCACCGCTGAAACGGAGGTCGCACCACATAGATCTTGATTATATCCATGGGAGGTCCCACATAGCTGAATGTCTGGGTGCTGTACAGCTAAGCGAAAATCAGATACGCCACGAAATCAATATACAGACGTCGAGCCGATACCTTCAAAAGCCTCCATGATAGGCATCCCAACAGGATCAGGGCTACCACGTTGAACACAAGGTCAGGAATCTGCAACAGAGAACGCACCAAGCACACGGTGTCGGCAAGCTGCAGCCAAGCAAAAACGTGAAAAACACCACTTGCTTGGATTATCACGCGGATTCTGAGATAGTCAGAGAACATATCAAAGTGGCAAGGGCTGTCGGTGGACCCGATGAGAACACGCAGCCTAGTCGCAATCGTGGTGGTCCGCCGTATGGAATACGCGGACATGATGGTGATGAGCACCCGGGAGAACATAAGAGCTATACTGCGCGGACGTAAGCCTCGCGTTCCGAGTGAGGAAAAGCCGGTACATGCATGTGAGGGATCGATTCGCAAGCAACCTATGAAAGACAGAACGACCGAGTGAGCACAGAAGACATCCACGCTTCTCGGGGTGCTCACTGTGCAAAGGCACAGGCACAGGAGCCAAAACTGTGCGGCCAGCTGCACCAGCCTCTCTTTACTAAAGTCTTCGAACCTATCCAGCAAGATCTCGAGATGAATGGGCCGCCAAGAGCTAGGAGTCGGACACGCACTTTTGCTTCGGATAGAGAAGGGTCTCGACGCAGGTTCGGCTGAGCGCCACCTGATCAGACGCAGTCACAATCACGTCTCCATTCGTGCCGTTCTGAACGGTGAGGTCTCCGACAGGTAGACCCTGCTCCGAGATCCAGTTGATCTGCTCCTGTGAAAGCTTTAGTCCCACGCCAGCGAGAGAGAACAGATCCTGATCCACACCGAACCATGAACCTGCACGGCCCGGTATCTGTCTCGCGATGGCGCGGATGGGTAACTCACCGAGACTTCGCTCGCCTGCGCGTGGCGGAACAAAGGCGTGCAGTCTGCAGCGCCGCTCGTGCTCACGTTCATGCACATCTCGAGGCTGTAGTCGCCCGTGTACTGCACGAACATCGTGCTCCCCAGGCTCGCCGTGCCCGTGATCTCCGTGACCACGGCATACCAGTTGTCGTCGAACGTGTACAGCGCCGCCTGCGCGCTGCTCTGCAAGAAACAAAAGGAGACCGAAAAGAGGAAAAAGAGTGTCGTCACACGGTTGAGCGTGATCCTCAGATACTGCGCCACGACAATGTTCAGTTTATTCCAGTTCGGCGAGGGGACGGCTCGGCCGTGCACGAAAAAGGGAGATAAAGAGCGCGCTCACCGCTGTCTTAAGCCAGGTCCATAATCTGTGTGAAAGAGTATCCATGAAAAAGGGCCTCAGAAAGCGTACAATCGACAGTCCAGCTGGATCCAAGATTCCTTATGCGCGAACCAGCGTGATCAGCAATCCCAACAAGGACGGGCGGTAGAGGGGCGGGCGTAGAGAGCGGGCAGATTCTTCGAGCGACGTTGCACACGCCTTAAGTACACGCGTGATAGCGAAGCCCGCAACGCGATCTGTTCTGATCACAAACAGCAGCCCAGATGCGAGTTACGATCACCCGCACGGTCAGCAATAGGCGAGCAGTATCCACGGCCGCGCCAGCCCACAGTTTCGTTGAGTCGCCGGAGATGAAGGGGCTTCCCAGGGTACATGAAGTGCGACACCCGAGGTGTCCGCCCGAGACAGCGAGACAGCGAGCAGCTATGGCCTGAAGGAGTTGCCCGAGACTGTTGCAGATTAAAGCGTGTGCTAGTGTGGCGATATCTAGGTTAGAAGCCAGACGATGTGTACTTCTGATAGATGAACGCCGAGCGTACATCATTCGCTTTATCAATATCAAAACGCGGTGCAGCGCCTCCCGCAATGGCGTCGGGAGAACGAGGGACTATAGCGGAGGGACGGTGGACAAGAGAGGTGCTCAGTTCAGGGCATGAGGTTGACAAGGAAAAGACGAGGCTCAACTAGTAAGTCGGGGTCGGCAGGAGTACGCATCGCGTTTCCCACTGCAGGCTCGATCAATCAACTCCTAGAACAAGCGTGACAGATGAGCGCTGAGAATACACGAGCGCTTAGATGTCGATATTCGTGTCACGGACGACCAAGTATGTTCTCCATCCTGGAACATCAGAAATCTGGATATATAGTATATCGGATCCCAGACCCCATAGTACTTACAAAGAGAAACCAAGAAAAACTCCGACCACAGGTCGCACGCTCACACCAAGCCTCTCCCGCCCATCTTGACAGTATCACCGACGGCCCTCACCGCCTCCTCCCACACGCGCCTCCACACGCCCCCTTTCTGCACGTCCCCCAGTCGTCTTCGCACGTCCTCGGCGACGCGGCTGCCGTTGCCCGCAGCCCCGGCGAGTGCCAATCGCTTCCGGCGGATGCGTAGGAGCAGCGACAACGCGGGGAGCAACACGAACAGCACGAACAGGGCGATGAACTTGGGCGCAGCGAATCCGCGATCGAGGTAGGGCCGCAACGCCGCGCGGAGGAGGGTGAAGACGCTTGGTGAGGTGCCGAGCGTGGAGGATGCCGCGGGCGCGGATCCATTGAGTGCGGAGACGAGCGCGTGGCCGTTGGGAAGGCCGCTACTTGTGCTGGAGCTCGAGGAGGTATGCGCGCGCTCGCGGAATTTCGCTACAGGACGAGTCGTGCCGGGGGCGGGCGTAGCTGTACGAGAGGAAGCGGCAGAAGAGGTGGCGGAGGAGGAGGCGGATGATTGTGTCCCGCGTGTGGAGGAAAGGGGGGTCAATCCGTTGATTGGGGTAGAGCGGCGGGGTTTTGAAGGGACCGCGGTGCGGGTAGATGTGGAAGAGGACTGAGAGGACGTAGAGGGGGTGGGGGATGGACTGCGTGAAGGGCGCGGTGTTCTATCCGATGGTGTGGGAAGAGCTGTCGCTACGGAGGTAGTTGATTGTGAACTAGACGAAGGAGGGGTAGCTGTTCGTGACCTAGAGATGGCAAACGATTGGGCGCGTAGGGATGAGAGCGTATCTACCATGTTCTACGAAATGATGAGTGGGATGCTAATGTCAGCGATTCGATACGTACTTGTCTTCGTGAGGGTTCTAGTTCTGTTTCGTATTCCAAGAATTCCAAGGCATAGTCCCATTCTTCAAGCATAGGTAACACGTTGAGGCAATACACGTCCAGGACTTTCTCATACCCGTCTGGGCTCTGACGGTTCGTGTTCTCGGCGCCTGCATACATGGCACTGTGGCCCCTCCGCGCAAGCCACTCTTCGATGATGGCACGACCCACTGCCGGGCAATCCGTCTTCATGCTCCCGAGTGCGAGCGTGACGAGGACTTGAGACGGCAAGAACGCGGCATCGGGTTTCTTTGTAGGAGTAAACATTTGCAACGAGCGTGCATGCAGCGCCGATATGAGAGACTGTGCAGACATCATAGCATTTGATCTCAGAGAGGGTGGAATGGCAGCGGAATCCGTGGGCGGGGATGTGTAGACGGTGACTTCGAGCGTGATTCGCAGAATGTCCCATTTGCGGCGCTGATCTGCGAGTGAATCCTGGTGTAATTTTGGAGGAGGAAGAATGGCGAAGGCGGACTCCGAGAGGGAGTGGGCGAGGGCGACGTCACGATGGAGGAAAGCGCGCGCTGCACGGTTGTATAGCGAACGGAGTGTTGAGGCTACCGAGGCTTGCTGTTCCCGCACGTCGGTGACCATTACTTTAGACGTTGCGGGGGACGCCCTGAGAGGAATAATGTGTGTTTCCGAGTAGGATTCTGTTGTGAGTGTCGCGGTTGGCATGGTGGGTGAGGAGGACAAAGGTGCGCCCATAGATTCAATGCTCCGTCCCCACAGGAACTCGACAACGGCACAGCTGGAGAGCCGACCTCATTTCACGTGCCCTCCCCTCAGCGTCCCTGGCTCGTGGTCCGTGGTCCGCACTCGCACGTGCCCCTCTTCTCAAAGTTATTTTGAAGGCAGCCGTTCCCTTGCTTGCTGCTAATTGCTTTTCTGCTACGACATACTCTGCCTCTGCACATACAAGAGGGCATCCCAGATATAGCACCTCTTGCGAAATTAATCCGTTCTTCAATTCTTAGGACAGCCCCGATAGGGCAGACCCAATCATGAGCAGTCTCATCTCTTGCGCCGCATGGTGCGCGATCCCTCTCTTCTGCAGATGCAAACTTACAAGCAATTCTGACGTGCAAAATAACTGACACTTTGGAAACAGGGTTAAAAGAGGTGTCTCTGCCCGCCATCCATCGAAGTATGTCCTCGACGATCGGGAGCTAGAGCGCGTGAGCGCGCTTGCTCGCATCGAGCTCGAGGATGCCCGCGTGGAACTGCAGCGTGCCCACGAAGCCGCCAATAAAATGGGCAAGGGTGCAGAAGAGGAAGAGGCAGACGACGGCAATGAAGAAGAGGATGCCTGGGTCGAGTGAGTGCTTCTTTTCCTCAAGGTGCCGATGAATATAAAAGAACTCGATCAAGTGAAGATGATGATGCCATGGACCAAGATTCCTCTCCAGAGGATAAAAAATCGACCGCTAAGAAAGGTGGAGATCTTTCAGAGTACAATTTGGACGACTACGACGAGGATGATACCCGTGGATCAGGTCAGTGTCCCCCCGATGCCTCTGTCAATCCTCATTCGAAGATCGCCTCCAGTCTTGGGCCCTTTCAGTAATATCAAGGGACTGACCTACCACCGTGATAACGACGAGGATCCATATATCACTCTCAAGGAGGTATGTCGTCTTACCTCTGCACCGATGCGTGTGTACGAGACTTCCCACAGGATGACGAAGAGAATGAGCGCGAAGAACTCGAGGTACTCCCAACAGACAACCTTCTGGTAGTCGCAAAAACAGAAGACGAAGTGTCTCAACTGGATATCTATGTCTACGATGAATCTGAGGAAAATCTATACGTCCACCACGATCTAATGCTGCCCAATTTCCCCCTTTGCCTCGAATGGCTCGACTTCCCCCCTGCCTCCGCCTCCACGAACGCCGACTCCTCCATGGACACCTCCGACACCCCCGCATCCACCACAAAACAGTTCGGCAACTACATCGCCGTCGGTACGCTCGACCCCGAGATCGAGATCTGGTCTCTTGACGTCGTCGAGGGCATGTATCCCGACATGGTGCTTGGCCGACCGGACAAGACCGCTGCACATGTCCCGACGCCGCTCGGCACGGGCAAGAAAAAGCGCAAAAAGGCGAAGCACCGCGCGCCCACCGCCGCGTACCACGTCGACGCCGTCCTCGCGCTCTCGTGGAACCGCACACATCGCAACCTGCTCGCGAGCGCGTCGGCGGATCGGACGGTCAAGCTGTGGGATTTGAGCCGGGGCACGCCTGGAGAGGGGGAGGGCGCAGAGGGCGGAGGTGCATTGCGGAGCTTCGACAAGGTCCACAAGGATAAGGTGCAGGCGGTGCAGTGGAATGCGAGGGAGCCGACGGTGTTGTTGACTGGAAGTTACGATCGCACCGTTCGTGTCTTCGATACGCGGGCCCCGGATACAGGTGTGGGCGCGGTGGTTGGCGCAGATGTAGAAGCTTTGCGGTGGGATCCATGGGAGACTCACGGGTTTTACGTGCGGATTTCTCCAGTCCATTGTCATGTGTCCAGGTTTTCATCTGACTTCGTTCCACGTAGGTGACGCTCGAGAACGGGCTTGTCCTGAATTTCGACGCGCGGACGCTGCCCACGAACCTCGACTCGCCGTCACCAGCCCGCTTCACCTTATCTGCCCACGACGGCGCCGCATCCTCCATCGATGTGAACCCACACATCCGTGGATGCATCGCAACAGGAGGAACGGACAAAATGGTCAAAGTCTGGAACATCACAGAGGAGACCGTCGGAGACAAGCGACAAGTCAGCTTGGTCACCAGCCGCGATTTGGGCGTCGTACGTTCTTCATGCTCGTCTTGTCTCTATATGAAGCTGAATTCGCCTTTTGTGCGTTCAGGGCAAGGTTTTCTCGACCGCGTTCTCTCCGGACGACCCTCTTACCCTTGCGGCGGCTGGCTCAAAAGCCAGGTTGCAGGTCTGGGATGTCGGGGCCAACTTTGGCGCACGCAAGGCGTTCGGCGCGAAACTTGCGGAAGCAGGGCGCATTTTGAAGGAGAAGACCTCTGGTGGGGTCGTTGGTGTCGTCGATGACGACGAGGATGTCAGTGCCGACGAAGGAGACGCGTAGATCAGAGGGTAATTAGATAGTCTAGGAGTGGCTCCTTGGCAATGACAATGGCTACAAACAAACGGAATGAGGAATATGTGTGAACCCTGGTGACAAGTGATTCGGTGAATTGCTACAACATGACTGCTTCCTTTGCTCCCATTACATGAAATCATCTCCGTTTGACCCGAAGTCATCCAGAGCTTCCTCGTATGTGTTGGTATCATGTCTGGAGTTTTATCTGAGGAATTGTGCCACCACAGAAGAAGAGTCAGCTTACTTGTTCGATACCTTCGATGCGCCCAATGCGGGCTTCGCGGTGGCCTTCGGCTTCTTCTTCCCGCTCGCCTTGTCGCGCTGCTCTTTTTGCTTCTCGTTGGCAAGCGTGGTAAGCCCGCTTGCGGCCTTGCGCACTTCGACATCGCGCAGGGGCATGGCGAGCTCACGGACGTGGTGCTCCACGAAGGCCGCGTACAAAGGCTTGTCCTGATACCGCTTGACGATGAACTCGATGATATTGTGCGATAGTTTCTCGAAGTCATCTTTCGTGCGGGGGTTGAACGAGATGAGGGCGTCGAGATCCTTGTTTGATGTGCCTAGATATAGCATTAGGATCGCAATCAAGTGAAGGAGAAGGCTAGACGAATGTACCGCCCAGGGCAGCAGCTCCGAAAAGGTCTACTGCGTTGTTGAGATCGGCTGCGAGTTCCCTTTCTCTGTCAAGCCGGGCTTTTTCACGAGGATCGAGGACGGCATCCTCATCGTAGAGGTCGTCGTCTACCGATGCCCTAACTGCAGCCTTCGCGGCTTCCTTCTCTGCTAGCTTCGCCTTCAGTGTTCCCTTTTTCTTTGGGGGAGCGACTGATGCTGTCGGCTGGGGCTTTTCTTCCTCGTCTGACGACTGCTCCCAGTCGCTCTAAGCAGCGAGAAAAAAAAACATGGGATCGCGTAGATCAGCTCGATATTCGGCAGCTACAGCTCTATAAACGTACGACGGGGGCATCATCCTCCTCATCCTCTCCTTCCCACTTCTTCGTCACCTTCCTTGCTACGGCAGAGGGTGGAGGCGGGGCGGCTTCGTTGTCAGATGCCTCTGTACGCGCACCAGAGTGAGCAGAGTCGACGGTCTACGGGAGAAATGATGTATAGTTGTTACCCCAGTCAGACATGATGTGCGGCGGCTAGATACAGGGACGTAAGGACGGGTGGGGGCTGCCGGGCAGCTGTGCGGCGGAAACGAGTGTCGAATACGAGGGCAAGAGGGCGGATAGGCTCGACGCGGCAAGCCCCGGCGTCGTCACCACCGCTTGCGAAATGGCGTCCATGAGGTTTGCCATCGCTGCAGTCGTGTTGCCCTCTGCTTCGCTTGACTGACGTTCACGTTCGTCTCAAGGTCGCGTCTCCTACAACTCGCTCTGCCTCTTGTGAAGGAGTATGGCTTCACGCGGGAAACGTTGGCGCGTTCAGCGCTCGAATGGCCACAGCAACCTCACACACAGCCCCTCTCAGAGTCAGCAGTGTCTACGCTCTTCGGGGAGGGCGATGCCGCCCGCAGGACATTGATCGGTGCGTGGCTCGAAGAAGGTCAAATCCAAATGCGAGCCCAGCCAGTATCGAACGTGAAAGACGCGCTGAACAACAGGCTGCGATATAATGAGCCAGTTTTGCCTTTGCTGCCGGAGGTGAGCGGCATATTTCAGATTCACGCAGTGCGTATCTCATGGTGATTACCACTGTCGAAAGGCGTTCGCTCTGCTGGCCTCGCCGAAATATGGCCTTCCTCCCTTCGACGTCAGGCCCGCTCTGCGTCATGCTACGAGCATCGCAGATGAGGCTTGTCATCTCGCCAATGATGCGTCGACTGGGGTGCGCCCACCACAATGATGTCACATCTGGCTTCTAAGCTCATTGACTTGAATAGACGTCATGGTATGCCCGACGGGCTACCCTAGCGGCCATCTATACGGCAGCAGGCAAGCATTTCTCCAGTGTCCAAACTTTCCTGCTCATCTCGACCGTTTTTAGAGCTTCATCAGCTCACGTCTCCCCGAAGCGCGCCAGACTTCTTAGAATCCCTGCTGACTACCGCAAATGAGACGGAACTGTTCTCGCGATACATCATGAAGAGCTGGGCCGGCATAATCAAGAGTTCAGGTGTATTTTGATACAATCTTCCACTGTCAATGATCAACTTTTCTTCATGCAAATAGTCTGCGAGGATGTACTGGATGTGAGAAATCCTTTTGGACTACCGAGACAAAGGAAGGGACTCACCCTGAACTGTCACAGCACACATATAAGTGGCGTCGAAGTCCTAGTATGGACATGCTACTGGTGCTTTGCCCTCTCGGGTGTCTTACGAACATCATGAAAGGTACAAATTCAACACGGCAACCTGTAACTATCATGAAGGAGGCTTGTCTGCTGCTGTGCCTTGAACTATCCTCGTCCCGTGTTATATGGAGCAATCATTGCTTCCTCGACATCCGCTGCCGGGAACATTGCTTTCACGAAGTTGCATGCGTTGACCGACTTCGTTTGGGATGCGGTAGGCTTCGTCGCCACACATGCAGGACCTTCAAAATGTGGCGTGGAATCACGGCCGGGGCCCCTGCTTTGTATTATCGCGATAACGTGACTGGAGCCTTGGACGCGTATAAATTCCTGGGCCCTCGGATGTCAGCCTTCAACACTCCCTTCCCATACTCCCCAACTTGCCTTGCACATTCAAGTCATCCCATTCTTTGACCCTTGCTATAAGCATGTCTACCGGAAGCACAACGACTGAGTCCATCGACGTAGACTCATCAAATGTTCGAATGTGGTTCTTAGAGGAGCCAGCCGATGGATATCAAGTAAGTTGCGATTGTTTCCCATTGTCAACGCCACTCATAGTATCAGAACGATATCTATACCCCCGACGACATCAACGGCATCGACACCGACGTCGCCAACACAAGTGAAAGCCCTGGTATAGAATTGGAACTCAAATTTGAGACTGGCATTGTGGTACGCCCTGCTCCTTCGCACTGTCTCTTTCTCTAGACTTACACGTACTTTATGCCCTGTCCCGTCGCCGCTAGGACCTCGTATCCTCAGATATCACTGCGGGACGTATCAATGTCCCCATCGAGGAGCCACTCGGTGATGACTTCAGCAATTTCTTTCAAAATCTGCCTTCATGGGGCATTTGTTGGAACAAGCAGTCACAGCTGTGATTTTCTCCCTCCTGTTGTACTTCCACACCCCCATTAAGAGCCCTACGGCCAAGTCCCCTCGTGCATTGTACTAAAAGCATTCATTATATTGCTGACTCATCTGGCTTTTGTAGACTTGCTACACCATACATCACCCTCTAAATGTATATTTCTACAATATAATGCCTTGAAAAATATTCTCATAGCTCAGAAACAAAAATACTTGTCATCCCGGTCTATCATGCAGTGGTAATCGTTGAATATTGGTGGTGAATGATGAGGTTCAGCAAGTCACGAGTGATCGATAGTCAATATGAGATTGAAATTATGAAGTCACCAGTTTCCGCCACGGTTGTGGCCTCTTGTAACTCGCCACGGTGACACAGGCGACGGGTCGAAGCTACGGCCACATTTCCCCTGGTAACTCTTGGATATGACCCTCGGGCTTCGCGGCTGACGCAGCTCAGAATGAGGGCATGTGCATGGCTCAAGGCGATCGTTTTGTGAGTTCTTTGTCAAAGCGTGCCATCTCATGTAACGGGCTGAAAGAAAAAGGACCACATGTGTGGCATAGTGGTGGCACAATGTGGCCTGTGGCCTTGTCCAAACTGTGGCCTTCGCGCCTTCATATATAACCTCATGTTGCTTTGGATCTAGGTCAGTTCTGCATCCTCTCTCGCTGATTGACTTTGGTATACACTTACAGGTTCTACCCATACTCACATCCTCTCACGCACAAACATGCGTCAAAGCGGCTGGAGCATGTTTCGGACGGAAATGAAGCGCAAGAAAGCCAATCAGTCATTGACTCTCGGCGACCTGAGAAAAATGTGGAGAGAATCACCCACCGATGTCCGCCAGAGGTACGAAGCCCTGGCCAACGATGACAATAAAAGGTCGAAGGCCGCAGCTGCACGCTTCGGCGCTGAACGCATGACGCGGAGCCGGACGCACAAAGTTCATATCTCAAGCCCATTATCCAAGGATATCTCCTCGGCTTTGCAAGCGTCGGATTCGCACTCGCACTTGGACTCGCACTTGGACTTGTCAGACTCGGAGTCCTTATGCTCTCGGGGTTCTTGTTCCCCATGCTCTTCATTTGTAAAACCTTCGCGCGGACCATTCCCCCCTGCAACCACCTTGCCTGCACCTTATCCTGTGCCGCCGGCGAATATGACCACTGAACAGGCCTCTATATTCTTTCACAAATTCTATCACGAACCCAAAGTGGTGCCTATTACGACGTCAACAGAGTCGCTGGAGAGTCTTGAAGACGAGCCTATGGTCCGTTCTCTTGTTCTGGATCGTGACGATGCACTGAGTCGATACTTGCTTTTCTGCGCCTGCAGCCAGATGTCTTCGACTTTGGTGAAACTGACCCTTACGAATCACCTCTCGAATCACACCGTCAGTGCGGGATGATCACAGCCTGGGCAGAAGATTGGGTGCAACCGCCCTAATAGGCATCCCCATCTACAAATTTGCATGTCCAGCCAACGTGGCTGTCGGCCAGCAATACTTTTATAGTCGCCGTATAATTAGTTTAAGACATCAATTCACTCGTCTCAATCCACATAGAAGACATTTTTTTGTCACTCTTCGAGCTGAGTACGTTCATAAGATTTAGGGCAAATTGAATGGCTTTCAGCTTGATGATGTTCTTCGTGATATATGATTCATGCGTACATCTGAGAGACACGTCTGATGGACACGGTTGAGACACTCGCCCAATCTCGCCGTGCACACACTGTCTTTGCGCAATGACGGCTAAGCGAGAACACGAATTCCTGAGCGTGGCAGTGTGCAACGAAGTGAGAACGAGGAGGGTCGCTGTATATGCTTGCCGACCAAGTTCATCTGCTCCCTGACGTGTCTCAAATGATGCGATTGACCGGGCCCCGTCGACGCCTGATCGAGAAAAGTAACGGTCGCAACAATGGCCACATGGTCGTTTGACGCCCCGGTGCCGGAGGGTCGAACCGTCAAAAGACATACAAGCATATCATGGTAGGTGGTAGACATTTTGAACATGCGGGGTGGACAATGCGGTGAAAATAATGACCATATTCAACTGTGCTTATACCGCCACCATCAGCAAAGCACCCCCGAGCGAGGCGTCTAAAGATGACAGACGCTCGGAAGTCGCTGCAGATGATGACAAGCTGAAAGGGGACATAATTACGCGGATGAATCAATGGCCTGTAGGCAAGGTGGCAGAAGACGAAGGATGGGCGGGCAGACACCGTAAAGGCAGCAAAAGCTTCGGTTCTTCGTAAAACAGCTGAGTGGCTCCAGAAGCCTCGATAAGGACCCCATCAAACCAGCACTGCGAGAATATTCCAGGAGGATGTTCTGGCCTGGTTCTAGAGCGACAGGTGCGGGCGTGGCCGACCATGAACGGGAAGCTCGGCTGGAAAGATATAACTTAGCTCGGATGCTCAAACTCCATGGAGTCGAGTATCCACCGAGCCTACATACTTGAGCGTATATAAGCCTTTGGAGACTTGTATTGAGTTTGTGTTGCGCCCTTTTGCTGTATCGGGGGAATCAGCGTTGGAGATCAGGCCGAGTTTGGCGCAAGACCCTTGAAACGCCCTCGGCTCCCTCGAGGTCGCACACTACTACACAGATCGTTTCTGTGGAGTCCCCGTGCGCAAACTTTCAAGCTCCATTGGAGTGTCGTGGCTTGCAAGTCAACTTACTGTACCCTGAAACGTTCAAGACGTACACGCGGTCGATCGTAAACACAGGTCACGCGCGGAGCCATCCAAGCGGTGCATTCAAAACGACGCATATCGAGATAGAACTGAGAAGGAAGAAGCGTACAAATAGGGTCGATAGGGTTGGACGAAGAGATAGGATCCACAAGTTTTCGAAAGGGAAATCCTATAACGAAAAGAAGGATAGACCTGGAATGGAGATGTTCTTGCGTTGGCTGCAAGTGGTGCTGGTTAGAAGAGCATCGGTGGCAGGTGATAGCGGGCAAAACTCACAGTTCGCGGACTGTATGCAGATATTGAATGGTTAGATTTATGGGCGTCGGTGATGGTAGCGTGGCTAGATGCCAAATGGGCTTACCGCGTATAACGAAGTTCGCCAGGACGGCAAAAAATAGGAATGCACTGATGATGATGGGGCCCAGGATTTGGTCTTTCCAAGGAGGACGCATGAGTAGTGCAAGTAAGTATATCGAGGTATACCCGTACCGAAGTGACCTGGATCACGTCTCCGTATCATGGTGATGCGATGCTGGTAGACCGCATATCCATACACCTGAGAGAAAATCTGTCAAGATTGGGATAAATGAGTGGCTATACACATACCATGATGCCGATGCTGATGGCGGCGTAAGTGTAAGCAAAGTTCCTCGCAACGTCATCCTTGGATGCATTGAACAAAGCGACAGCCAAAGCGCCGATTAACATGGACATGTTCAGGTACGATATCCACGCTAACGCCCTCATATTAGCATCGTTGCGTAAAGGCTCCGGGAAAAGCGAAAATAGGAGAAAGAGCAGAAAAAAAGATCCGAGTGGAATAGATACTGACTCCGTTCATTTGCGAACCATACTTTGCCCTCCACTCTTACCGGTGTGGGGATCTTCTTCGGGATGCGGACCTGTGGAGGTACGGAGTTGATTGAGTGGTAATCGCGCACGGTGGGCATCTGGCCGTCCTCATCGCGTTCAGCGTCGGGGATGGCATCTGCGCGGGTGTAGCGGATGGGGCGAGGCAGGTTCTTTGGGAGCTGTGCAAGAGCGGAGGGGGAGAAGGGGAAGAGGAGATCAGACATTGCGTGCCATGAGCGGCGGATGAGGGAAGGATCTTCAGAGCCCGATGTGCTAGTCGATGGACGCAGAGTGTTGGACATCGTTGTCTGTGATCAGGCCTTCGACGTCGAGGACGACGGCGGTGAGGAAAGCAGAAGAGACGAGCTCGACACGGATTTCGCGGACCATAAAAAAGCATGACATCGTGCTCGATATGGAAATCCTCCAGGAACACATTGAATCGGAGCTTACATCAAACACGGAAGGAGCCGCCACGCCACATCGCACATCGACGTCAGAGGAGGATATGATAAGATAATTATGTTTCTGGCATGTTCTGGGACCGTCTACGAGGGCCTGCGACACTGTCGTTGGTTCGCGACGTCGTTTGCAGCTCATATCTACCTCTCCCGCGCGTTGGGCACACATCTGATTCGCGTTCGATTCTCCTGGACCTCTCTTACCACAACGTACGAGAATATATCCTAAAGGACCATTATGGGTGCCGACTACTACAAACTCCTCGGGATCGGGAGGGATGCATCGGAAGAAGAAATCAAGAAGGCGTACAAGAAGATGGTATGTAAACCCCCTGTCTTGTATCCTTCGGTACATCTACTGACTGGTTGTTTGTGCCACAGGCTTTGAAATGGCATCCGGACCGCAATTCGGGCAGTGAAGAGGCGTCGAAGAAGTTCAAAGAGGTATGTCTAGCAACGCGACTCCCAGTGCATCCGAGCACCTCGCATTGACGGTTGGTCGTTTCAGATTTCTGAAGCCTTTGAGGTTCTCAGCGACAAGCAAAAACGGACAGTTTATGACCAGTTCGGCGAAGAAGGCCTCAAGGGCGGAGGTGGTCCTCCACCGGGAGCAGGCGCAGGGCCCTCTGGTGGATTCTCCGGGTTCAGCGGATTCCCCGGTGGCGGAGGTAACACGTTCACATTCACTAGTGGACCCAGTGAATTTGGCGGAGGACGTGGAGGGTTTTCACCTTCCGACCCAAATAAAGTTTTCGAGTAAGTGTATTGCCAGTGTAGTGTGTTATTGTGACGTGCTAAATACCTTACAGAACATTCCTGTCACAAATGGGCATGGGGGGATTTGGGGGCTTGGGAGGCATGGGAGGCATAGGAGGCATGAGTGGCATGGGAGGCATGAGAGGAGGTCGGAGCGGGGCCAGCGCTTTTGACCAAGACGACAGCATGAATGGGTTTGGCTCATTCGGAGGTATGCCTGGAGGGATGCCCAACGGACGGCGCAATTCTCGTCCTCAGCCCCAGCCCCCTTCAGGTTCCACACCCTCAACGCCCAGCGGCCCCTCCGAAATCACACGGCCGCTCAAAGTCTCGCTCGGAGACCTCTACCAGGGCACAACGAAGCGGCTCAAGGTCGGGCGGCGCCTGCTGGACGGGACGATGGAGGACAAGGTCCTTGAGATCGATGTGCTTCCTGGCTGGAAAAGTGGCACGAAGATCCGCTTTCCGCGCGCGGGGAACGAGCAGCCCAACGGGGAGACGCAGGACCTCGTATTCGTCGTCGAGGACAAGCCGCACGAACACTTTGTGCGCGAGGGGAACGACCTCGTGACACACGTCAAGATTCCGCTCGTCGAGGCGCTCACGGGAGACGGCAGCAAGCGCGTCGTAGAGCTCCTCGACGGGCGCAAGGTCCAGGTACCGCTGCCAGGAGGTGTGGTCAAACCTGGACAGGAGACACGGCTGCCAGGAGAGGGTATGCCAATTCGGAAGGGCGGGACAAATAGCAAGGGAGATCTTTTGGTGAAGTGGGAGGTAGCTTTCCCGGAGCGATTGACTGCTGCTCAAAAAGAGGGCCTAAAGAGGGTGCTAGGCTGATTCACGCCATCGACTGAAGGAGGCCTCTTTGTGTCGACGTTGGTTGTATCATTCGAACGCGTTTATGCATTTGTACAATAGAGCATGTAGTATCATATGTGAATTCAACATCGATATGGGCGCTTAGAATCTGCAGATCTTGAGGAGATCTGGCGTTGAAGACGTACAACCCCGCGTAGCGAAGCAATAAAATGCGCTAAATCTTGATAAAAATGCTGCCATCCTGGACCCGCTCCTAGTTATTCTCGACACTCGAACTTATACGAGTTTTGTCTGCGCAAAGGTCTCGACATCGAGAAGAACAACCTGGTGCCACTGCCGCTCCGCAAATGGCCGTGCTCTGCCCAGGCTGCGGTGCACTCCACTCCGATGAGTCGTTTCTCTATTCACGATTGCTTCACGACCCCACTCACGCCAGCGTTGTCTATCCTTATATCACCCCTTCATCATTCACAGGGGAAGAACTGCCAAAACCATCTCATTGTCCTGGTAGCATATGTTGCGACGCCACGAACACAACCTCAGAATCCTATGTTGGCTCTCCGCGCTCGGACTTGCGCGGGCAACCTATTCTGCTGTTCCTAGGTGCGTCGATCTTATGGATGTCTGAGATATTCTCTCTGGCTTACAAGATTCGTTGGTCCGAAGATGGGGCCAGGCCGTTGCACTCGTCAACGACGCGTTCTTTGTGTTTGGCGGAAAGACCGACCAATACAACCAGTACTCGTACACCTCTGCTCCCTGGAACAATGACCTCCTTTTCCTCTCCTTCTCCTCCTCCTTCGATTCAACCTCACCCCCTTGGCAATATGTCAGCGGCTCGCAGAACTCCTCTACATCGAATGGGCCATCCTTGGCCTGGCATACCCTCTCTGCCGTTAACACTTCCTGCGCCCTTTTATTTGGGGGGAACACGGGCCCCTTGTCGCAGCAAGTCCTACTAGACAAATCGGACTCCGCTTTCTTCCTTGATATGTACGACCGGCTCGCTCCCAACTGGATCGACGAGAGCGACTCGTGGGCTAACGAGCCCCAGCGGCGCATGCGTCATTCTGCATCGTCGACGGGCGGCAAAATCTGGATCGTCGGGGGGGAGCGTGCAGACGGTTCCACGAATGGGTTTTCTGACCACTACGTATTCGACCCGAGCGTCCCCTCCTTTGCGCAGCTCCCCTCTGCCAACTCTCCCCCTGACATCTACGGACACGCTTCCATCGTCCTGCAGGACGGTCGACTGATCGTTTTCGGAGGATTCTCGCAATCACAAGGCAGGCTCATACCCTTTGACACCATCTGGGCTTTAGACACCACGCAATCGACCCTGGTATGGACGACGATCCAGGTGGATACCTCTAACCTGCCCAACGCTCGGATGGCGTTCGCGGCAGTCATTTTAGACGACGGGCGCGTCCTCATACACGGCGGGACAGATTCCGGATTTCAGGACAACTTAAGCGACGGGTGGATCCTCGACACATCGAAGAGTCCGATGGTATGGTCTGCAGTGAGCGCGCTAGCGGCGTTGGGCGGGAGAAGGGATCATTTCGCCATTTGTGTCGGCAGTCAGGTGATCTTTGGATTTGGTGAGTCCTATCGGGGCTGTGGAATACATTTTCCATCCGGTTGGGAAAGGCACGCAGACTCATAACAAAACTTTTGTGCAGGATATGGATCCGCTGGGCCTGCCGACGCTAATTTACATGTCTTCGACGTCGACTCCGGGAACTTCTCATCATCCTTTACACCCATGACGACCGGGCCCGCGCATCAGACGCTGCCGACCCCCACCCCAACAAATGGAGGTAGTTCCAGCCAAACCGGCACTGCCGGCTTACCAGGCCATACTGGCTCAAGTACTTCGAACTCATCCGGTACCAAGATTCATGGCTCCGCCAGCTCGACCGGTGCTGCATCGTCGCCGAGCAACACTCAAAGTGGCAGCAATGATGGGAACGGCGGCGGTGATGACTCTGGCCCCAACAGCTCCAAGAATAAGAAGACAGCGGCCATCGCTCTCGGGTCTATTCTCGGAACGCTCGGATTTGTCGTCGGCACTGCTGCTGCGATATACTACGTCCGTCGGCGGGCCCATCAAAGGCCGGAGGACTTTTCTCCTCTCGGCAACGACGAGGACGACGAAGAGGTTCCCCATGACATTACCGCCATCGCTATGGTCGGCGGACACGAAAAAGGGCGCTCAGCATTCCCTGTCTTCCTCGGAGCGGTGGGCTTGGGCCGGGTACACCAACCTGCTGCTCGGGAACGACGCGACATGCTCGCGGACGAGGACAGGAGTTTCGGGTCCTCTCAATGGCGGCATGTGTCAAGGGAAGGTAGCGGGAGTAGCTGGAGCGGGACTGGGACCACGAGCAGACGGAGCAGTCAGGCAAGGACCTTCACGGATGTCGTCACTGGGAGCTTAGCCTCTCTCCGTGCGATCGGAAGACGCGGGACACGGTCGCGAGAGCCAACGCAGACCAGTCTCGAGTGGAACGAGAAGGATCCGTTCTCAGATGAGGTCGGGTTGATGGCAGGAGGGTTTGCTGAGCATGGTCTGCCGGAAAGACTTCGGGGTGGATCTACCTCCATGCCCGTGGGCATGACAGGACCGTACACAAACCCCTTTGAGGACGCAGAGGTGCTGCACGATGCTGGCTCGGACAGCGATCTAGAGCAGGGTGATCATCACCGTCCCGCCTCTGGTGTTGCCTTGAAACTGCCCCACCCTTCGCTGCGCACCGCTCTACTCCCGATTCCCGACTTTGTTCCGATGTCGCCCCTCATGGAGCAGGCGTCGCACAACAGCTTATCCGGCTCCTCCTCTTCACACCTCTTATCTTCTGGCTACGTTGAAAGCTCTCGGACCTCGCAGGATCCGTCGCCGCGGTCGCCGCGGCCGACCTCCATCATCGACGCCAACGCGCCACCGAGTCTGCCGATCCGCCGATCCGATTCGTGGTGGGCACGGTTCGCACGCACGCCGCTCAGACTCTCTGGTTCTGGGGACGCTGCGAGCGCAAACCATCCATCGCGCTCGTCGTTGTTGGAGTTCCGCGACCCGAATCCGCCCCCGAGGCTGATCACCATCGAGGAATCCCAGCACTCAAACTTGCCAGATTCACCCGACTCAAAGTACGCCCACGAGGGAGCAAACTCGGCGGGTCAGGGCGATGGTGGCGGTGGCGGTGGCGGTGACGGTGGAGGCGGCGTCTCGCGTCGCGCGTCGAGAGCGGCAGTGTATGCTTCGTTGGGCCACGGAAAGTCGGTGTCGTCGCTGCAGACTGCGAACACAGAGACGCTAGAGCGCGCAGAAGGGACGATGGCAATCATCCAGCGCGATGGCACGATGGACTCGCAGCTCACGACGAGTCCCATCGCAGGCGACGACTTCGGCCAGGGGGAGCCCGTCGCGGGCCCGAGCACGCGTCGGCTCTTGTTCGTACGTCAGATCTCACAGGCGGGTAGCGAGGGCTCCCGCGCTTCGATACCATTGACTCCGCCTGTGGACGAGGGTGTGCCTGTTGATTCTGATGCGCGCAATCGGGACAGCGAGCGTTCGTCTACATTCGAGCCGTCGTTGCCGGCGGTTGGACCTACTGGCCCGCGCTTGCCGCCACGACGACTATCGAGTGCGGGCACGGGCACGGGTGCCGTCTCTGCACGGATAAAGGCTTTCGAACGGAGGCTGTCGCACGACGCCGAGGGACCACCCCCGCCAACCAATACAAGGAAGCGAGAAGAGAGATCGGGTCCACGGCCTGTGGTACGATACACGCTTGTGCCTAAACCATCTCTCTTCGTCGCGAACCCGGATCGGCGGGATAATGCCTCGTCCGACACGCTATAGTTGCGTCTCACTCTCGCACTTGCACTCTTTTCGGTACGGTTCCTTGTTGTTCTTGTGATTCGGCCCCTATCAGGATAGAGCTTGGCCGGTTCTGTGCTGTTGTTTTTTCTGGCTTAAAGCGGGCTTTATGCTTTATCTCGAACAATTCACGATATATTCACGATCTTCACGAATTCACCTTTGCTATCTATCTTCCCTGACTTATTACTTCATCTTCATGACCTGCGTGTACGATGCACCTCAATGCGGCCTTCTGTAGCTCATCACTGACATTGATGTCCTTCTCTTGTGGAATGTAGACTAATCAAATTAAACACCACTTGTAGGGCGCATCCTGAAGGATCAACAATGGACCAATAGCCCCTGATCTTCTATATCTTGCAAGTAATTTGCATTTTTTTCCGATTTTGAGATCTCGCTCGCCTTTTTCATTTTGACACCTGTGGCGCGGAGAGCTCGTGCTGTCCCGGCGCTCTCTGGCCTGCGGACCCAAAGTGGCTTACTTCCAGGTTGTCAGCAATCGCCTCCCCCTATTAAACCTCTGGCACGCAGCATCGCCCGCAGCGAGTGGCGTCTTTGCGCCCTCGTCAGCGGGACGAACATGGTGATCCCCTTCCTCACCTCCGCACCCGATAGGAAGCCCACGTACAGTCAGGATGCCCGCTCGCCGGAACTTGTTTCCCTCATGTTCGTCATCTGCCATCTCCGGATCGAGTGCCGTCTTTTCGGGGATGGACTGCAGTTTGTCATTACTCGCTCACCACCCCTGGGGCCTACACGGGGTTACCCCCACGCACACCACGTCGAAGACACCGCTGCAAGCCCACGCTCCAGCCGCACCGCACCCCTCGTGACAGACACTCGCCAAGGCCTAGCGGCGAGACTGCCGTTTTCCGCTCTGTTGCGTCGCGAGGTGTGTTCCCCTCTCGCGGAGGCCAGTCGTTCGCGAAGACCCAAGTGCGGGACCGTTGCGTCGGGCATGGAAGGCATGCTCAGGCCCCTCTGGCACCGTGAAAATTTGACGCCCCTTCTAGCGTCCACTCGCGAGCAGTCGTCTGCCGAGATTCATGACGCTCCCCGCGTGCCGACTCGTGCCAGCGCAAGCGGAAAATAGGCTCGAATCAGGCCTTTTTGGGGCACCGTTCGCGTATGCGAACAGGTCCGTCTGATCGAAGCGCGGATTCATTTTGGTGGGTGAGCTCAGTCGGTCGCTGGGTGGAAACTTGTCCTTTAGGCTCGACCAGAATACGTACCTGATGAACACTCGCTGTGTGTCGAAAGACCATGTTCTACATATGCGTTCTCTGATCTTCCGAAGGCATCATAATGCGACGAGCCTTTACGCATCCCAATATCGCGCGCTTGATCAAGTGATAACCCAACACGGCCTGGACGTTCCGACGTGGTATTGTTGAGGGAACGTTGCTCGGTCATGTCAGACACTCAGATTGTATATGTACCATGTAACGATATACTTGGATATTTCCGCGGGTTCCGGATGACACAACCGGTACGACGTACACACATATACACTGACTACAATTGTTTCCTGCCTCCAGGCAACATCATCTATGCAGCTTCGATTTCTACAATGTGCTGCTTCGCCTCCTCCGTGTCGGCTTTCTTGAGAACCTGACAACCAGAGACAGCTTTAATTTGAGCGCTATACGTTATCGAGAGATCATCGTACCTCGAGAAGTTTCTCGACATACTTGGAGTAGGCGTCCTCCTTGGAAGTCCCCTCTACCTTCTTCCACGCATCCCTGAGCGGACATAATTCAGCACGCTGCACACTCCATCCCTCGCCATCAAAGGATCAAACGATCCCCAGTGGCGTTGAATTGGAGGACGCACCATTTCGCCTTACCCGTAAAGTCCATAAGACCGGGTCTAGGAATATTGACATCCCCGACAGTCGCTGCAGTCGGCCATAGCGGAAATAGGTGATAGTTAGTGCACATTCGCGAGCTCGTTCTCATGCCATGGACCGCTTACCCTGCTTGTAATACGAGTAAAACTGTGCGATGGCCCGATTAGGCACTCATTTCGCCGTCAAAGAAGATAAGGTGGGACCCACGTAGAGCTGCTCGTCCTGCGTAGGCTTGATGGGCCCGTCCTTGGGCAGGCCCTGGACGATGCTGACGGCTTTCTCAAACTTGGTCTGGGACATGATGTACGGGCGTCGGTGGGGATCGTGATCGCACAAGGCAAGGCAAGGCAGAGTCGGTGGGGACACGCTCGGAGATCGATACGGGGTGTTGGTTGGTCATGTCCCAACTAGGCAGCTGTTGTGTTCAATAAGCGCCTAATTGGGCCATTTCGCTGCATTTCAATTCATTTCCGGGCGTTACACGTCACGGACAACCCCTCGGGCACCGGAATCGACGCCAGATTAGGGCCAGATTTGCGGCTTCGAGTCGTGCCTGTAATCTGGGGCGTGACAGATCGTTGGCAGGATGTGGGCGGCGCTGGGGCGCCAACCCCAACACCTGTAAGTGTGCAGTGGGTGAGTGTGCGGTAGGCGAGTGATTGAGAGCGCCCCAACTCAAAATAAATCAAGCCCCACTGTCCTCGTCCAGCGCCCGGCATACAAGTTCGTTGAATTCACATGGTAAATACGTCGGTCTAGGTCCACCGCATAGCGAGCAACCAATTCAGGAGATTACTTTAATTCATCAAATCGGATCCCCCTTGCGCATCGCGTTCTCTGAGAACACGGTTATTATGAAGCACACTTGAGTCTTCCACATAGACTGTGCAGGCTCATGCCGAGTCGGATGCGAGTCTGGAGCCATTGATATTACAGCGAACGCCTTCTAGTGCCGCAAAACAACGTATGTATCGACATGACAAGTGTGTCAGAAGCAGGTCGTCGCCCGCAAGTTGTGCCTATGACCCATCAGGGACTCCCACGAGTTTACCTTGAGCAAGGTCACCACACGGTGACGCTCATAGAACCCATCGCATACCAAACCCCCGAAATTCGCGCCTCCGCACGAAGATCCCTGATTGACTCGTCGAGCCGCGAGTCACGGTCCCACCTACGCCCGCCGCATACGAAGGATGTCGTCATCCTCGTGCCGATGCACAGCGTATTTGTTGCTTAGTAGCTCTCTCAGCTGGCGTGATGATCAAGAATAAGCGCCCGACAGCCCGACAATGGCCGTTTGGGGAATGGAAAACGCCGACGTCCTTGGCCTGCAAAGGTCCGCGCTGATGGTCGCGCGCGAATTGGGCCCCCGCCCGCCCTCCGCCATCTCCGCTGATCCTCTTTGGCTGTAGAAAAAAACCCCCGAATCGTTGATCGATCGAATGCCCGCTCACAGCCTTCCCAAGGACGCACACGAGCAGGGTGGGTACAAGTTGAGCCAAGGCCTAGAGGCCATCATCGACATCACCCAGAGGGCTAGCGACGCACACAATACACCCCCCGCAGCCCACAACCCACAACACGTCTGGCTGGCGAGCGCCGTTCTACGACGCATGCCCGCTGCCTGGAAGCCTCGCGGGACGTCGCCTTCTGCGCTTCTTGCGAAAGAGACGAATCGCTGGGGGCCATCTGCGTCCGCTGAGCCAATCGGGCCCCATCGAGCCATCGAGATAGCTCGAGATACCGCGATAACGATTGGAAAATACAGTGAGGGGCCGTCCGGCGCTCGTTTGCGCTCAGCTGCGCCCCCCATCCCCTGGGCCAGGCCAGGTTCGCGAGGAACCCGTGCTGCCCAGCTTGGAAGCGGTGCAGAGCCTCGCAGAGCCGGAAGCGTGCCCCAAATGGCGCTACTAACGCCGGACCACCCGGGTTTCAGGCCCAAGGTTCGTAGCCTCTCTTGGGCTTTGAGCTTGTGCCTCACACCGTGGGCCACACTGTCGCCGTCTTTGGGCTCCCACGAGCGGGTACCGTGAGGTGCAGGAGATTCTCATACTCGGTGGGGCGCAAAGCCACAGCGTGATGAGCCGTCTGTGAGACCTGAACGAGCGGTCTGAGTTGGCCCCCTTCTCCCCTAATAATAAGCGCCCGCATCCATTCTGCTTCGCGCCGAAGATGGGCATCACGACGGGCGCTTGTGGGCCGCTCTATAGACAGAACTTCCCCAGCTCGCCAGCCCCGCCTCGCGCGATTCATGACTCAGTCCGGGTTCTCCTACCGCCGGCGCTTCCATGCGACACGCCTTCCCGATGCCTTGCAGTTCAGTTCTCGCTTCATCTCGGGAGGACTGGGAAGCAAGATAGGAGAAGGCGAAGGCAGGAAGGAAAGGAAGGGGGCATGCATAGGCGCGCGCGAAATCGCTCGAGCGCTTGAGTGAAGCAGCGCAAGGACGCATCCCGTCTTCTGGGCTGGGAGCCTGTGTCAATCTGGGGGCTCCACCCGATTGGTGCCCAATCTGTCGAAAGACAAATGGGCAAGCGGTCGGACGCTGGGGCTCACAGGAGGGTGGAGGGCTACCGCCGGACGTATCGGCCGGGCCCCCGCGGACGCCGTCTCGTTTGACGCCCAGGGATTCTGCCCCAGGTTCGTCCCCGCGCGCGCTGCGTTCCGCCGTCTTGGATGATCGCCGACGTGGATTCCCGGGAGGAGGAACGGGCGCGGGAGGCGCTCGTTGTAGGAGACGAGGGCGCGTACATGGGGGGACTGTTCGGGGGTGGCTGGGACGGAGGCTGATGAGTGATGGTGATGTGCTGGTGGACTCGGAATACAGTTCCGTCGAAGCAGCGGTAGCATGCTGTGCGCAGCTCACATCACGATGGCTAGTTCTCCTGGCGTACACATACACAGGACGTACTTATGGGGGGGCCTGGACGCTGCGATCGTCATTGCACCTCGACATGCGACGGCGGAAAGTCCAGAAAACGGGCACGCGTACACTGCCCGCAGAGGATCTTCCGACAGTGCACTCGTCGCCCGATCGGCGCAGAGGCTGAGGATGATCGCACGGAAAGTCCAGACGGAACGATAAGGCTGTAGCCTGCAAGTGGTATGTAGGGGTTTCGAACTCGACGTCGTGGGCTCTGGAAGCGTGGCCGCGTGGCGTCACGCGGTCGTCACGACGTGACGTAGCACGACGGCCCCCGTCACTGCTGCGTCTGCCAGTGACGATTGGATCGCAGAGCTCGGCCGCACCGTACGTCCACCGTGCCCAACAGCGAGCACGCACACACGCAACACACGCATCGTCCTCCACATCGGAGCCCCATCTCTAACCGACATCCCATCGATCGACATGTCCCATCCGGTAGCCCCGCCCACGCCGCAGGAGGTCATCCGGAAGCTGTCCATCCACTCTGCTGCGAAGCCCAAGGTTTGCGCGTGCCCTCCTCCCCTCCCCTCCCGTCCCCTCCCGTCCCGTCCCCCGTCCGCTGACCTGCATTCCCCGCTACCCCTCTTTCTCGCTCCGCTCCTCTCTTCCTCGGCTCCCGCTCCACAACAAGATCACGCCGCCTGCAGGCGGCCTCGTCTCGGGCACCGAATCGGACTCGGACTCCGTGTTCTCGCCCGACCACGCCTCGCCGTCCGCCCACGCGGCGAGCGTCAGCGGCAGCTCGTCCGCCCCGCCCCCGCTGTCCGCGATCGTCGAGCGCCGCGGGCCCGCGGGCGGCGAGGACTCGGAGGACGACGAGGACGACAACGACGCCCCGTTTATGGCGGGCGATGGCGACGGCGACGGCGACGGCCCGCACAAGGCGGGCGAGAGCGACCTCCGCGCGGGGTACCTGTGGAAGAAGGGCGAGCGACGAAAGGTGCGCCGTGCGGCGTCTACGTGCGCGTGAAGACCTCCTGACACCGCCTCCGCCCGCCTCTTCCCCGCCTGTCCCGCCCCTAGAACTGGAAGCGGCGGTGGTTCGTGCTGCGGCCCGCGCACCTCGCGTACTACAAGACGTCGGCCGAGTACCAGCTGCACCGGCTGCTCGACCTGCACGAGGTGCACACCTGCACGCCCGTCTCGCTCAAGAAGCACGAAAACACGTTCGGCGTCGTCTCCGCCGCGCGCACGTTCTACCTCCAGGCGGAGACGCAGGAGGAGATGCAGGCGTGGGTCAGCGCGCTCAAGGACGCCAAGGAGGCCCTCCTCGCGACCTCGACCACCACCTCGCTCAACGCCGGCACCGGCGCCCCCGCGCCCCCGCAGCCGCCCCCACCGCCGCACGGGCACGGGCACGGGCACGGGCACACGCACGCGGCGCCGGCGCCGATCCCGATCCCCATGGCGCGATCCAGAGACGTGTTCCACCACGCGCACGCGCACGCGCCGGCGCCGGTGCCGCCGTCGCCGCCGTCGCACGGGTACCGCGGCGGGAGCGGCGGCGGGATCACGTCGTCGGACTCGGAGGACGGGTCGCCGAACGCGGCGCAGGGGCTGAGCTCGTCGCCGACGTCGATGCCGTTCTCGACGTCGCCGTCGGGCCAGCCGGCCGCGACGGCGACGGCGACGGCGACGGCCAAGGACGCGAGCAAGGCGACGGTGATCGCGGGGTACATCATGAAGTGCGGCTCGAAGCGGCGCAACTGGCGCAAGCGGTGGTTCGTGCTCAACGGCGAGAAGCTGATGTACTCTGGCAGCCACATGGTGCGGGCGCGCGTTCGTTGCGTGGAGTGGCGCGCACGGCGGGACTGACGAAGGGTGCTGTTTATTTTTATCTTAGGACACGAAGCCGCATCGGCAGATCCCGCTCTCGCAGATCCTGGACGCGTTCGAGTACGATCTGCCTCAGCACCGGGCTGCGCCGGGGCAGCTGGGGACGGGGCCGTCGAGCGTGCCGGCGGCGGTGCCGCGGGGGGCGGGGGACGACGTGGACGGGGCGCACGGGAAGCAGACGTTCAAGATCGTGACGACGAAGCGGACGCTGCTGCTGTGTGCGCCGAGCGAGGAGGAGGAGATCCGGTGGCTGAGCGCGGTGCGGGCGCTTATCGCGCGGCGGCAGGACGCGGGGGTGGTGCCAGGGGAGAAGGACAAGGGCAGCAGCAAGGGCCCGCCGGTCGGGGGCAGCGAGGTCGGGAGTCACGCCGCATTTGTCGTCGGATCGGGATCGGGATCGGGCAGCGGAACCAAAAACAGAAAGGACCTCGGCGTCACCGCAGGCAGCGTGGCGGAGGGCGCCGTCTCTGAGAGGCCATGAGAGGCTCATCTTTCTTTTTGCTCTCTTTTCTTTTTGCTTTTTTTTCTTTTTCTTTCTTTTTTTAACTTTCTGCGTGCGGAAGAGTCGGGAGAAGGTGGGGCCAGTGCTCATCTCGTTTACGATGGGATTGCGGTGGCGTGCGTGCTGACTACGGTTCATGTACATACGGTTGTATAATACGTCTGCATATGCTGGCTGAATGGACAGGGTGAAACGGAAGCGCGGGGGGAGCGAGCGACGAGGGCGGGGCTTGGTTGGCAAGAGGATTGATTGCTCGTATAACCATATGGGGGGAGGCTGGCAGGGAAGGACGGGGCCAAAGGCTAGTGGGGTCTGTCCGGTCGACGTTTGGATGCCGATGAATGGAACGCCCCCCCGAGGGCAGCGTGAGCGTGACGGGCGCTCCCAGAAGCAAGATGCGGAACTGCGCCGCCCGGTCGGTCGATTGTGCCTCCGATCTGAGCGGCTATCGCAAATACGCATCCAAAATGCATTCCTGGACATTCCTGCGCCGCTCCCAGACTATACTCCCAGCTGCCCCCAGCCCCCCGCGTAGACGCCCGGGGGCCACGAGGCGGTGTACATAGTGTGGACCCATCACATCAGCTGTGTCATCGGGACCCCGGGGCGGGGAGGGGGGTCAGGGGGCCCCGGGGCTGGTAAGGGGCCATTGGGCGCAACGAGAGATATGGATCGGGTGGACGTGGGGGTGGCCGGGGGCTGGGAGGGGATGGCCGCTGTCTAATGGGCAGATTCCCACGAGGCCATTCCCCGGAGGAGGAGGACAGTTGTGTTTATAACTGGAGGCCGCTCGTCCTCTCCCGCCTCCCTGTCCTTCTCCCCCACTCCCCCCCCCCTTCCTTGTATTATTCCCTGTACAATTCCCTGTCCTCCCCACACACATGCAGGACCTCTCCAGTCCGCGAAGATCCATCGCCACCCCCAAGGGCACCAAGAAGGTCGGAGCGCCAAAGGCGAAAGGCGCGGTGCGCGCTAAGTCGGGCTGCTACACCTGCAGGATCCGTAGAAAGGTCGGCGTCATTTTTTAATTGATTTTCCCTCCCCGATGCCATCTCTCCCCGCCCTGCCCTGCTCTGCCCTGCCCTGCCATACCCCGCCCCCGCTCCCGCTCCCGCTCCCCCACACTCTTTGCTCACCGCCGCCCACCCTCTCCCTTTTAGAAATGCGACGAGCAACCCAACGACGAAGGTCGCTGCCAGACTTGTGTCCGTCTTCGTCTCCAGTGCCTCGGCTTTGGTCAGAAGCGACCCGAATGGCTCAAGGTCAGTTCTTCATGTCTGCGCCACACACGCGTTGCATTCGCTTACTCGCCTCGTCCAGGAGAACAACAACGTCTCCGTCTTCCGCGAGAAAATAAAAGACTACCTTGCAGCCCAGGGCATGATCAAGGGCCACTCGGGATCCGGCGCTCGCACCTCAGAGAACGAGGGCATCCTCCTCCTCGTCCCCGACGCACGATCAGACATGTCCAGCTCTCCAACTCCCCTCTCCCCCTCCTCCAGCGACGACCACGGTCCTCGCTACAATAGCGGCCTCGAAATTTCCGCAGTCCGCGACCACTACTCCTCCCTCCCCATGCACACACACCACTCTTCCTATAGTACGTTTCCCCCCGCCCTCCCCCATCTTTTCGATCAAACTCTAAAAATATATCACTGCCCTCCATCAGCTCCATACACCCTCCCCGAGCTCAGCCCTGACTCCGATCGGGGCCACAGCATCCTTCCCAACGGCAACGACCTCATGTTGCCTTCGTACGGCCAGCCGAGTAACATATTGCCTCCACCTAGTCTAGTCTCTTTGTCGTCTTGTAAGACCACGTACCGTTATTAAATATGTAGCCTGTATAGTACTCAATGCCCTTGTTTTGGTAGGGCATAATAACCAATCTATCTACCCCGCTGTTGCTCCTTCTACCCCCTCCGCGCCCGCGTCTGCCTCCTCGTCTGCCTCGTCCTACTCAGTCGTCCCCTACGCTGTCCCCTTGCCCGTCAATAGCCTAACCCCATCATACTATCAACAATACACATATGATGATGACCTCGACGATCTCTCTGACCCCTCAGCGCCCGTCTACTCTGTCCCCCTCGGCCTCCATGCCAACATATTGCCCCGCATCCCTGATGAACAAAATGATCTGGTCCGACACTACCTCGATCATATCCTCACCGGGCGCCAATATATGCTTGCCGACAAGTCCATATTGGACTTCATTATCCAGACCATACAGTCTAGCGACGCCGTCCGCGACGCCGTCTGCCTCCTCGCCACCCTCCATCGACAAGCCATCGGACAAAACCGCCTCTCCAACGGGTCTTCGGACTTTGGCCAAGGGTCGTCGGCCGACGCGCTCAAGACGTACGACCGCATCTGCAAGAGCCTCAGCCCGAAGCATACGTACTCGGAGGACGAGGCGCTCACCGGCCTCCTCGTCGTCTCCGCCTTCCTCTTCGACGGCGGTCGGGGGTGCTGGTCGGACTTTCTCGGCGTCGCGTCCAACTGGGTGGAGAGCGTGCTCTCGCGGTTCGACGACACCGCAGACTTTCTCCTGCGGTGCACCGACAGCCAGCGGTTCATCATCAAGACGACGTTCTGGTTCGACATCCTCGCGTCGACGACGAAGCTCGAACCCCCGCGATTCCTGGTGTACTACCAGCGGCTGTGGGGCGCGCCGTCGGCGTACATCGGCGAGTCGCGGTTCGCCCCCTCGGCGTCACAGGCGTCCGAGCTGTCGATGCTCACCGTGATGGGCTGCGAGAACGCGACGGCGCTCGCGCTCGCGGAGGTGTCCGCGCTCGCGTGCTGGAAGGAGCGCCAGCTGCAAAAGGGCACGCTCAGCATGGTCGCGCTCGTCGAGCGCGGCAAGGCGATCGAGCGCAACCACCTCGCACCGGGCTCGCCCGTCGTGCGCGCCGCGCCGCTCGACCCGTGGGCGACGGCGGAGGCGGAGATGGCGCTGCGGCGGCGGCTGACGTCGAACATCTTCCGCGCGGCGGCCAAGGTGTACCTGCACTCGGTCGTGTCGGGGGATTACCCGAACTGCCCCGAGATCCGCGAGGGCGTGCGCGAGACGATCGAGTGCCTGCAGAGCATGCCGGCGGTCAAGTCGACGCTCTCGAGCTCGGTCCTGCGCAGCGTCGTGTTTGGGATCTGCCTCTGCGGGTGCCTCACGGACGACTACGCGGAGCGCCAGTGCATCCTCCAGCGGCTCGACGAGGAGTCGACGGAGGCGGTCGGGAACTGCGCAGAAGCGAAGCGCGTGATGGAGCGCGTGTGGGAGCGCCGCGACGCGAACGGGAAGCCTATCAGCTGGCGCGACGCGATGCAGGAGCTGGGCGCCGAGTCCCTGCTGCTCGTGTGAGCGCGCACGACCCGGCGGCGGACGATCTCGCCTCGCGCGCGTTGGATCTTCTTTCTCTCGCTCTCTCTCTCTCTCTCCATCCATCTCTCCATCTCTCTCGCAACTCTTTTCCATTCTGGGATTTCGAGCAGCCGGACGCGGCCTTTCCTCTCTTACGCGAGGATCGCGGTGTGGGCTGGACAAATAGGAGGCGTCGGGGCGACCCTGGTCGGTCTGAAACGAAACGAGACCGAGACGGAGGATGCACAGACGATATCATGAGTCGGACATGGCTCTGCTCCGAGCTCCGTCTCTCGCGCTGCCCTTGTTATTATTGTTGTTTCTCCATTTCTTCCCCTCCATCCTGCTCGCGCGCTCACTTGCTTTTGTCCGGTCTACGACGACGGCCGCGGCCTGTACATAGGATCCCCCTTTCGGCTCCCTCGTCGTTCGTATGATCACCTGCTGTCTAAACTTGCTTTTACTTTTGTCTCTCGTCTCTTGTCTTTTTCACGTTGGATCGTCTCTTTACCCCTTGTTCTGACATACGCTGTAAACAAAATTTCCGCCCCCTCAGGCCGCGCATAGCATCGTACATAACATAGCACACTGCCGCAATATCAAACTTAGCATATTATCTTCCCTCGACGACTCGACTCGACTCGACTCGACTCGACTGGGCCCCGAGCCAAGTTTCCAACGTCGAACACGGCGAGCTCGGCTGCAGTCACGAGCGTTTCAGCGAGGCGAGTGCAGCACCGCCCCCGAGGGCCACGGCCTCTGAGCTGTGCCCAATGGCGCCACCGAACGTTCTCAGCAGAAAGCGGACCGCCATCGCTCGCTCCCTCCCCCCCTCCCCCCTGCCAGGCCGGGTCGCCCATCGCGGCGCCGTTGGTACGTCCTTCCTAGCGCAGAACGTTCCTCGCGAGCACAAAAGCGCCGCTGCGATGCAGCCTGCGGCCCCGATCGCACAAGTGCGTCCGCATCTCCTCTCTTGCACCTCGTAGGCGAATACACCGCCCCCGCCCCCCCTCCTCTGATATGCGATCATACAATCATACAATCATGCAATGGCTTGCCGAGGGAGTATCATAAGGGCTGCACAGCCCCCGCGGAGCATCGATGCGCATCGAAGGGCATCTAAAGGCATCCAAAGGCATCTATATACATGCGATCCGGACTCGGGGCGAGGGCAGAGCAAGGGCGAACGGGCAGGAAGAGGCTCGCGCGGGGCAGGAGGATCAGGCCCCGCCGTGTCAGCCAGGCACGCGCTGGGCGATGCTGCTCTGTGATGCTCAGTGGCTCAGTGGTACAGTACTGCGATGATGGGCTCCCCGCTGCCCTCGCGTCGCTGAGTTCGCTCGCCGCGCGTGCGTGCGTGCGCGCGCACTGCATACGTACGTACGCACTTGCCGCACGCACATACCACAAGATGATACGGTGGCTACTCGAGCCTGCCGGGCAGCCTGCGTGCACGCTGCACGACGTGGCGGCGCCGGCTCGGACCCGCCGGCTCGATTCGGGCAGGAAGGGAAGGGACATCATCGTTCGCGTGCGCTGTGCGGTGGACTCGGGCTACGAGACTGCTCTATTGGAAGGCACGTGTAGGCGCTCTCAGCGCCTTGGTCATGCGTGGTGCACACAATGCTGTACATACGAGCGAAATCCAGAAATACCGTGTCTGTGTCTGTGTCTGTGTCTGCGTCTGCGTCTGTATCTGCGTCTGTGTCTGCGTCTGTGTCTGAGGGCATCACGTTACCGTGGCTGCTTCTGTGAAACGCAATCAAGCACGGGGCGTCGCGCAGAGAAAAAGGCTAGCAGCGTCGGCGTGGGCATTTTACATTAGTAGTAGTAGCCGTCGTCGTCGTGTGGCAGCGTGTGGCACGGATATGAAGACGGGCAGATCGAGCTTGCAGCACCTGACTAGCAGTCTGATCACCATTCGAGCGGGGCCGGGGGCAGTGAGGTGTTTACTAGGTTGACTCGAGGCTGAAGAAGCATGATCTAGGTCAGGGGTGACGTTCTTGGATCCTTGGAACTTGGGCGTTTGAACGCGATGCGTGTGCAAACCGACGACGATTCAAGTCCGTCTCCGCGAGAAAGGATGCGTGCAACGCCGGAGGCCTTGGAGGGGACGACTACGCGTCCAAGGTAATGCGATTCGGAGCCGTGGCGGAACGCGCGAGAGGGAGGCAGGGGTCGGTCGCAGGACGGGCAACTTGGTGGCGTCTGACGTCGGTCCTTCCGTCGGTCCTTCCGCTTGTACGACGAGCGGAGGGGTGGGACGACGGTGTTGAACACGGGGCGGGGATGGCCGATGAGGTAGGGATAAGGTAATTGGAAGGCGCTGTGCTCGGACGGGCGTCTAAGAGGGCGCCAGAAGGGCTGGAAAGACGGGCGCTTGAGGAGGTGCATCCCATGATCTGAGAGATCTCGTGAATGGTGTGGCCTAGAGGGTAACGACCGCGGTCCCATCATATTCCGTCCCTGTGCGCTGGCTGGGACACCATGTTTATTATCCTCTTCCTCGTCCACATTCCCTCCGGCGAAATAGAGACGGCCTTCGCCGGCTTGCCCGCTACGGTACCTTACGGACGTCCTCCCCTCCGATCTACCTTGATTTTTCCTCAAAACCTCCCTCGACTCTCGTCTGCATCCCTGTTCTCAATTCCGTGTGTGTACGATATTGGCCGCATATCCCCTTGCACTCTCCCCTCTCCTCACTACTCCCACCACGCCCCGCCATGACCGCCAGGCCGTCCTCCAGCAACTCGCAGAGCGGCAGCCAGTCCTCTCCGTCCGATTTCACTTCCTCTGTCGAGACGTCCCCCGCCACAATCCCCATCGCCGTACGCGCCAGCTCAGCCGACGGCGCGTCGCCCCGCTCCCAGAGTGCGCACACCACCCCCAACATCCTCACGCTCGACCTCCAGCGCTCGACCTCCACGGGAAGAGGTGGCTGCTGGTGCGTCCTCTCTCTCACATCATCCCGCCGTCGCGTCTCACCTTACTAACATCATGCTGACGGACCTCCTCCGTACTAGGACGTGCCGCTTACGCAGAAAGGCACGTCGCTGTTTCACCCTCTCCATTTGCCCCGCAGTCGATGCTGACCGTCGCGCCCCACCATCCCCACAGAAATGTGACGAGCAGAGGGAGGAGGAAGGCTCGTGTCATACTTGCCGCCGGCTCCAATTGAGATGTCTGGGCTGGGGTCCTAGGCGACCAGACTGGATGCGGGTGCGTGCCGTACCCATTTGCGATCGGCATCGGCAATTGTCACCTTGTCTAACCTCTAAATGTTCCATCAGGATAAGGACGCCGTTCAGAACTATAAAGCGGAAATAAAGGCGCACCTATTGCGCCTCGGACTGATTCGCGGGCAGCCCCGGTCCAACTTTATCAGTTCTTCGCCTTCGACCCCATCCGCAGGTCCCAACGCCCTGCCGTTCCCAACGCACATGTTTCAGCATCAGGAGGGATCGACGAATGAATACGCTTTTCGCCTTGACGACTCGCCAATGACGCTAGCATTCTCGTCCGGCGTGCCTTCTGTACCCAGTCAGTTCTCTGCAACCATAGATACAGATGAATGATCGCTTACTGACTTGAATCGGGCTCGATTTGTAGTTCCCCACGATCTGGGAACCGCGGGTTCCTCATCGTCTGCAGGATTCTCGGGGCCATCACCCGCTCCTGAATTCTACGAATCATCCATGTTCACCTTCCAATCCGCGTCCGCTTCGCCATCAAGCTCCCAGGGACATCAAAATCTGCTGCAATTTGACACATTCGCCAGCGCGCCCGAACGTCCATCATATGAATACGATGCGCACGGCCAGGCGCTTCCTGCCGTCGCTGGGACAGACCAAAACGACAACGTGCGCAGGGAACACATTGCGTATTACTTCAACCACGTAAGGGGACTGCAGTACCTCTTCTCCTGTAAAACGGCCACAGATGCGGCGAACGCGGTGAGTGTCATAGAACCCCCCGATAGCAGCACCCTGATTGACGCGCGCCAATCATTTGCCTAGAGCCTCGAGCAAGAGCCCCAGGGCGCCTTATCGAACGCAATATGTGCGCTGTCCAATCTGCATTACAGCAGCAGCCAGCGCAGGGGTAGCTTCGACGCATCGCCCGACCAGCTTCCAAATGACTCGCTCGCACAGTTCTTCCAGAGCCAAGCTGCGATTCAGCTCCAGAGCGCGCGTCAGCGAGTGCACTACACTGAGCACGACGCGATGGCGGCGCTCCACCTTGTTAGTTACTCTTTGTCGTCCACAGGAGGGAAAATGATACGCGGCGCAACAGAGTGGGCGGGGATGCTGGAAGTGGCTTCAGAGTGGCTGACGCAGACAAATCTACACGTCGATGAGAATCCAAAATTGACCCTGATGAAGATGAGCAATCAAGCTGCGTTCGCAGTGAAAGCGACCACGGTGAGCTTCTTGCATCAGAGACAGAGACGCTCCAGAACCAGGATGTGCTGACCATTTTTGCTTTCGCAGTGTATGGATATTTTCATGAGCGTGACGCTGCAGCAGCCTCCACGCCTGCTCGCGCTCTACCGACGGCTTTTGGGCAGAGGAGGTGGCTACTGGGCCCCCTCTGGCTCACATAGAGGAAGCGTCAGCAGCGGTGATAAGACCACGGAGCGCTACGACGTGCGAATGGACCGGCTCACAGGGTGCAGCGACGGCGTGATGCTTGCATTCGCAGAGATATCGGCTCTTGCACATTGGAAGGTACAGGAACAACGTAGCGGGACGCTCAGCATCCGGGACCTCGTCGCGCGTGGGCAGGCCATCGAGCGCATGATGCAGCAGCAATTGCAAGCCGAGGCAGGTACGCAGGTGGGATTCATTGAGCCCAACCAGGCAATGGTGGAGGTCGTGAGCTCGACAGGGATGGTGTCCCCCATGGGCCTGGCCCCTCTGCATACTGGCCGTTCGTTCGCCTCTGGAACGAGCCACGACCTGTCCCGTCGTCTGGTAGACGCTATATATCAAGAGACTGCGATGCTGTATCTCAACACGGTGCTCAGTGGTCCGAACTCCAGTAAGTGCTTGCCTAGGTTTTTTATCCATGTGCGCGAGCGCTCATGCTCGGCCAATTTAGATGTGCCCGAAATCATTCGGTCGACGCACTTGATCGTACAACTGCTGAGCCAACTGCCCGCCGGGGACCCCGACAGTGCACTTTTACTCCCACTGTGCCTGGCGGGGAGCATGGCGGATGCGCCGGCGCACCGAGAGTTGATCAGGAGCAGGCTGCTTCAGGTCGGAAAGGATAACGCGAACGTGCGGCAGATAGCCGCGGTCGTGTTGGCGGTCTGGCAGCGCCGCGACGCTGGGGCGAGGATGGTAGACTGGAGGGATGTTATGCTAGAACAAGGATTGAGGCTTCTACTGGTTTGAAAGGTGGGATTAACGCACCGACACGAAGCCGCTGGTCGCGCCGCCCGTACTCGTACATCCGACTATTTCCGGTCTTCTAATCATTCGCGACGTACTCATACCCGTCTTGTACCATTTGCTATTTAATGTCGTGTTGTCTAGAATATGTTGCATAGATGCTGTCAATTGTCTTATTTAGCGCAGAATTGCTTTCGTACCACAATCAAACTGTCTATGTATCTTGTAATTTGGAAAACATGACTATGACGACCTCGTGATAAAGCTGCGATTCAAGGTCGATGGATAGATGGAAACACTGCCAGAGAGGATTGAGGCGGACAGGGAGGTAGAGGAGGAGAGAGAGGAGGAGCAAAACTGATTCGGGTTGCTATACATATACCGATGCGACCGGGATATACCCCGGCTTCTATGGACCGTCATCCAATGGGGGCGTGGGGATCGATCCACACGTGACTTCATTACGAAGGGCGCCAGCGCTCAGCAGCGCTCACCCCCGCAGTCAGCGCCCGCGCCCAAGCCTTTATACAGCATTGAGCGCAGAAAAAATGTTCGCGAGTCTAGAGGGATAGTGTCGTGCAGCTGAGCGCCCATTGCAATGGAAGCTCAATATCTGATCGCGTCGCTCAGAACACGTTTTGTCTGGAAGAGAACGAGGACGGTCACGTGACTCTGCACGCGACGAAACACGAACCGCGTCTTTCCTGGCTGTGTCGTGACCGTTGGGGTTGTTCATTTCCATTGCCCTTTCACTGTTCTGTCGCACTCCCTCTTCATCCCACTCCATCATGTTCAAGGGAATTCTTCCGGGCAGGAGAATGCCTTCCATGGAATTCACAATGGTCACTCCCCTCGGTGACAGCGCACCGAATGGCAAAGAAAACCAACCCAACATCCAGTCGCTGTCGCTCGCACAAAACAAGATGAAGGCAGGCAAGAGCATTTTCTTGGACAAGTCGAAGATCAAAAAGGGCAACACATCCCCCGCAGAGTCTGGGGAGATGAACCAGGCCTTTGATCGACTGCTTGTGCGTTTTCATCTCTGTCTCCATGGCCAGGTGGCTGAATGTTGCACTTGTGAGCAGGACGACTTGCAAATTCCGTCTACACTGAGGCCCAAACTTGCAAGCATGGAATCATCCGTCAAGGCCGCCATGCTCAAGTCCTCACAAGTCCTCGCCCTGGGGGTCGCACCTGCGTCGCCTCCGCCCACGCCACGAAGTATGCGCCGAGTGCATAGCGGAAGCTCCCTTTCCATCGAGTCACCGCGGCCGCAGCGCGCCTCCATCGATCGATATCAGACTGCAGGGCATGCCCACGGCGCAGCACTGTTCGATGCCGTGGGCTCGCAGACCCACCATGCCCGCGGCATGTCATTCGACATGCCAAGACCCAAGTCGCGCGCACAGGGGAATACCGTCTTCCTAGACAACGTAGTCGCAAGCAAATCCGCGAAAGACAAGAGCACAATCAAGGTCATGTCGTCTGTGCAGTTCGTCAGCATCTTGACAGGGTCGTCGAGCATTCAGTTGGATGTCGATATCATCAAAAAGCTGCGCTTGCTTCTGAGAAATGAATCCGCGAGGTAGGCCGTCTGCACAATCACGTATTATCTGGAGACTCAACGGATGTGGTGGGCAAAGTTGGTCGCAGGACTTTCTCAAATTGGGTGGTTACTCGGCTCTTCTGACACGTCTCAACGAGATCCTCGAGGTCGAATGGCGGTGCGTCAGTATTTGAAAGTGACCACTGGTCGTTGGCTGAACTCTCCTCATAGAGAAGAGCAACATGATGACAAGATTCTGCATGAGTTGTTACGGTGCCTCAAAGCCTTGTCGACATCATCTATCGGCTGCTTCGCCCTTCGCAGCTCCTGCCCGACGCCCTTCGTGCAGCTTGTGTCGCTTCTCTACTCCGACAAAAAGCCTGGCGATGTTGCGACGCGTCAACTGATCGTCGATCTTTTGCTCGTCCTCTTTGAGCTCTACCCGCCAACTGCGCTGCCCTCCGTCGGCTCGTTGTCGCGCCGAGATACCTGGGATCGAAGCGCTTCCGAAATGCAGCCGGGTCAAGCCATCTCTCTTCCTCACCCTCACAAGACACTCTTTTCACTCCTCCGCGCGATCTTGCTCACGCCTGCGCCGCCTTCGGCCGAGGCCCCGGCGGTACCAGTTTCTCCTCACGAATTCATTGACGCGCTTCATCGGCCACGGATCTACAAAACATACCTCCAGGAACTCTCGGACATCTGCCGGGATTACTTCTGGGTATTCTGTCATCCGAACAACGCGCTATGGAACCTGGCAGACACAGATGAGGCCAAGGTTGAGAAGCCTCGGGCGCCTGGTGGTATGACGGGCGGCGTGGAGTTTGAAGCTATGGGCTACCTGGTACGACATTGTTACTTTCTAGTGAACTTGCAATACTGAGGCTTACTATTCTGCGGTAGACTACTCACTTCAGACTCATCAATGCTCTCGCTAAGGCCGCGATTGATCTTGATCTACCAATGGAGCACGCGTTATCAGCATATCAGTTCCACGTAGATCTCTTCCTCTCCGGACTAGAGCGCATTGTTCTGGTACATGTTCTTCCATATATACCCGTACATATTCTCACACTAGCCGTACCACTAGATCGCGCGTAAAGCATCCGCAACATACTATCCCACCCTTCACCTCGAACTTTCACGCTACATCGCGCTTGCGGCAGAAGCGCACTTCGAGCTTCCTTGGACCGTCTCTCGCCTTATCGGCCCCCCGCCATCCGCGATGTGCAAGCGGTCTGCGCATGGGAGCCCGCGCTCCCCGACAAAGAGGAGCGGTGCACCCGCAGCGCCTGTCCTCCCCTCCCCTCGGCGTATGGACCCGATAAAGTTCGATTGATCTCATTCGACAGTTTGGCTGGGGGTTCGCATTGACGGCAGGTCTGTTCATGTGCCTGTTGCTACGTTTGCATTCATGACAATGCCTCGACTGGATTGAAGGCTCGGACACGATATGATATGGACCACGATCATTTATGGCATGTTTAGATTCTGAAGTGGGGCTGACAAGCGTCGTCTTCTCGTTTACGTGCACTCTGTTCTGGCGCCCGTTTACGCTCTTGGATCTGGCAGATGATTCAACCTGTTTGACAACCTTGTTTGCCTTTTTTAACTTCTCTCTTTTCATTTTGTATGGTACTCACACGCGATGTGTCATCGCTGACGATTCCGACGACGACTGCGATGACGATGATGATTTCATGACGGAGGGTGGAATGACTCTCTAAGCCGTCGTTGCTGTCGCTGTTGCTGTTTTTTCGAATTGGTGTCTTGCTTTACATTGTTATTCGCGCCGTTTTCCAATCCCCACGCACCGTTGTTGGATGTCTGTTCTACCTTTCTTATGTCTTTGGTCCCAGCTTCATATGGTTTCCTGCGCATCGATATCGATCATTCATATACTCGCATGAAGCACTGCATGCATGTACACTATAGATAAAAAGGCTCGTTTCGCAGGGTTCAAGCTTCAAGTGCGGGTCAGATCTGCTCTTGGCTGTCCCTCGAACCATTTGATAAATCATCTCCCTTTCGACATGGCTTATCCTTTTGTGAGGGAGCACGTAAATCTATCTCTGCAATCGAATGATGCCCCATGTGGCGGCACGTATCCGCCTTGGCCCCATCACGCCATCATGATGCGTTGAGGAGGAGCATCTCGAGATGTACTTATGGAGAGTCGAACACAGCGAGCCCATCATCGCTATTTGTTTCATCGACGATCGCGGATACTAACATCTATAGCAGTATTTCAAGGCAATTCGCCCGGTGCATCACGCCAGAAAGATCCGAACAGAGCTGGTAGTACGTGAGTAAGTTGATTCCACACTATTAGATCAACACGTTGCATCCAGGACGAACGACTGGTGCCGTTACCAAGCCACATCATACTATTCATACATACTACAACCTGTCAAACAGGTACGAGAGCGCGGAGTATGTATCCAAGCCAGAGATCGGGAGCATCAGGGAGCATCGAGGGAATCTTTAAAATTTAAATTATCGAGGGCAGTTGCGCCGTCTGTCCTGAGGCGCCCGGGGTGCAAGGGGTCCACGCGGAATCCATTGTTCGCTCAAATTATAAATTCGTCCTTTGAGCTTTGAGCGCCTCTTTGATCATGTCCGCCGCCTTCTCGGCGACTGCGATCGTAGGCGCTGCCTAAGCAGACGAGATAAAAACAGAGGGGCATCAGTAATCTGCACTCAGTAAGCACGTCACCACCGTCCGGGAGAAATAACACCGCGCTTATCGTGAATAGCGTGAACAAGGTTCCGAAAGGATGAGGGCAGAAGAAGGCTCCGAAAAAATAACAATTGCAGATTGTGAGAAGCTCGAAGGTGGTGAAGATGGTGAAGAACCAAAGAATAGAAAGAAGAAGAAACTAAAAAATGCGGGTGACGCATGTATTCTGGAGTACTCACCGTGTGACCCGCGATGATCGTCGGGAAGACAGACGCATCCACGACCCTCAAGTTGGGTATCCCGTGCACACGCAGACGGGGGTCGACGACACCGCCTTGGGACAGCGGGCCCATTCGCGCCGTACAAGTGGGGTGGTACAGCGTCTCGGTGCTCGTGCGGATATACTCGACGAGCTCCTCGTCGCTCGCGTCTGCTAGCCGATGTCCAAAGTGCGGATCCGCGTTGCCGTGGTCGAGGATCCCAGCTAGCGGCTGCGAACCCGCGACGCGCGTCAGAACGCGCATGCCACGGACCAGCACGTCAACGTCGTGTTCTGTCGAGAGATACCTGCATCACGAATAAGACAGGGCGGTGCCGTTAGTCAACGGGGACACAACTACAGCAGCTAGACGATAATGATGTCATCGGTAGCCAGACGTGGCCGACGTCACACGCGCCTCGTGGCATGGGACAACAGACAAGAGAATGACAGCATACTTGGGATCTATCACAGGTGCCTCGAACGGGTCTGATGACTTTAGCGTTATGGACCCCAAACTCGTAGGGCTGCGGCATTGAGGCGAACGGGTATTATGAGATACGCAGGTTCACGAAGAGGTTGTCCGACACGCACCGCAGCAAGACCATGTGTAGCCCCATCGTGTTTCCGACAGGCAGGATGGTCCGTCCGTGCCCCTTGTAGCCCATAGGTGTCACGAAGAACTCGAGATCGGGGCACTCGGGCCCCGAGGTTGAGTCTTCGGGATGCGTGGGGTACTTCTCTGTCGGAAATAGTTTGGGATCGGAGGAGCGAAAGAATGCCGCGGCCTCAGCGATCTGCACGGAGCAGTGATATGCAGTAAGCAAGGCGTCCGATGAAATTGAATATAGACCTCTCGCACGTTGGTCGTCAAAGGACCTTTGCCTGTGGTCATGTACTGCGCCAGAGCAGAAAACGTCTTCATCTTCGACCCCCCTACGCCATTGCGCATCAAATAGTTCAAGGATTCTCCGGCCGTCTCTCTCATAACAACATCGACCACAGGATGGTCCATGAGATGCGCGCCGACCCCAGGCAAGTCAGCGACCACAGTGATGTCGTGAGAACGGAGGTGGTCGGCGGGGCCGACACCGGACAACATCAAGATCTATACAAATGTCAGCGCTCGGCCTGTCGCGCCGTTCATGGATGGCGTGCGCACGTGAGGAGTGTGGACCGCACCCGCACTGTCATTGCCACCGGTTAATGATAGCGAGCATGAACGCAGGACAAAGCATGACGCACGAGAGCACGACCTCTTTCCTAGCCTTCACCCGGAAGCGCGGCCCCTTCTCGCTTTTCGCAAACTCCACGCCCACGACACGCGTCTGGCCATCCGTCGTGTCAAAGAGGAGCTTCGTGACGCTCGCGTTGACCGCGACCGTCAAGTTCGGCCGGGCGAGTACGTCAGGAGTGAGATACGCAGACTCTGTCGTCACGCGTCGTCCCTTTGCGTCGATGTACGTCACTTTTTTGTTTTCACGGCAATGATCGTCAGTAACAGACATGTATTCTAGGCAGACGGACTCGACTTACTGAGCTACACACGGAGAGCCCGCTCAGTAGATATTTGAACCGTATTTTCTGAAGACTCACTTTGGCCACACCCAGCGTTCCCTTGGGTGTGTTCAAATCATACTCGCGCGGAAGACCGATGTTCTCGCATGCATCCAAGAACCTGCGCGTGATTGGGGAGAAATTGCCGAAAAAGCCGACTGCACAAAAGGTCATACACAAGCCGTGTTGCTTTTCACATCCTTTACGTAGCGATATAATTACTGACCTTCAATCAATCCCTTTGCTCCCCGTTGAGTCGTGTCCACGCCAGGGAAGAGTTTGCTAGGGATGTACTTCTCGAATTTCAAGAAGTATCTGAGCATAAGGTGTGATCAGCTGCCCACTCAGAATTTTTTTTAGGGACTTGCTTGTGGAACTCGCTGTAGGCCCACTCCTCTGCTCCTTCCGAGCCAGCCATTCTGGCCCATTCGTCATAATCGGACGGCGAGCCATAATGGAAACTAGGGCGCGTCGAAGGAAGTCATGAGCATGAGAGATGAAATCATGGACGATGTCCTTACATCTGTGCATTGATAGTAGAGCCTAAGAACTCTTTCAGTCCAGTTCACACGTCACAAAAATCCCCACTTACAGCCGCCGAGCATTTTTCCTAGGTATCGAGTCAGTTTCGTGGACGATGGACTGTAAGAGCCGCGTCAGCTCACCTCGAGGCCAATAGTGCGCCTTTTCGCCTGCGTTCGCCTGGGGCGTGGTGTACAGGTTGAAGACGCGGTCCGTGCCAAACAAGATACTGTATCCGCTCGGGACGCGTGCGAGCGCAAGCGAGAGCGCGCTTTTTCCGATTGAAAAATCAAGACAGAACTGGTGTGAAAAAATGGCGTTGCGTACCTTTCGCCGGCTTCGAGTACGAGGACGCGAATAGAGGGATCTTCGGTCAGGCGCGAGGCGAGCACACATCCCGCCGTTCCTTATTTTTCCCGGACGCAAGAACAAAGAAAAAGCTCTCGAATTGAGCGGCGTAGCTACCGTGGGGAACGAGGGCGCGCTTACCTCCGCCCACGATGACCACGTCATATTCGTCGAAGTCATGATCGCCGTCGACGCTCCTCCCGACACGCCGCAGGTCTTCAACGGCCTTTGGGCGCTTGGCTTTCGCGCGGACCTTGAGGACTTGCAGTAAGAGGTTGGCGAGGACGAAGGCGGCGCTGATCTTGGCGAGACGCGGGCGGTCGCGGAGTTTGAGTGGGATGATGGTGAGGGCTAGGGCGGTCAATAGGACGGGTACATTGGACTGAAGCCAAAGCAGCTGGGGAACAACCGCTCGCGACATGGACAGAGTGGCAAAATCAACTCGAGGGCTAGATGAGAGCCGTTCGTTTGAAGTGACGAGGGCCACCAAATGCCCTTCGACTTGGTAGGCTAGGACTTTTTGGGTAAACTCGAGTCGCGCCAAGACTGATATTCGCAAGAATTGCCACGAACCTTTCGGTTCAGTGAAGACCGGTGTTAGGCGCGCTTAGCCGGGAGGAGTTGAATCGTAGAACGAGATGTACGTAGACGACGAGTTGGCAGAGAACAACCAAACGAGACAAAATACATATTCTACCCCACGGGGTAGCATGGCCCCCGCCGGCAGACCAGGCCCCTGTCGAGCCAGCAGAGAATCATGTGATAGAGCTATTCGGGAGCGGGCGTCGGTGGTGGGCACGCATGGACGCGGGTGCGGTAGTACATAAATAGTTGGCGGCGAATTTTGTCGGGCTTTCGAGCGTGAGGACGACGCTCCGAAAAATAGAGAGATCCAAGCAGCGTGCATCGTAACGCAGGTCTGCTCGAAGTTGGCCACGTTGTTGATTTTTGCAGTCGGCGTTTGGCGCTGAGCCTCTTGAAGAGAGCAAGAGTTTTTGATTTTGAAATCCTCCGCCGACGACGACTCGACGACGCTCGCCGCCTCTCTCTCCTCTTCAACGACATCCTCTGCCCTTCCTCCGCCGCTGCGGTGTGCGCATTCGGATAGTACAGGCCTCGCATGGGCTGTGGAGCGCGACAGGGGGTTATTTAGCGTGAGACAACTGCATCAGCGAGGCGCTGCACCCGACACTCCTACCTCCTCTCTTCACCACCACGTCTCCAACCCTGGCCTCAGGCCAGACCCCTCGACGTCTGTTCGGCTTCTTCACAGCGCGCATAGGCAAACGGAAACACTCGTCCTCGCAGATCTCCACCCGCGACGTCTCCGAGCCCAAACCCGCGCTCTCCCGCGCCGCCACCACTAACATCACCACCACCACCACCCCCACCCCCACAATCGCCCCTGCCCCTGCCCCTGCCGCCGCCACCATGACCGCAGAGCACCGCGAATCTCCGCCATCCAAGGCCAGCCTCAAGGCCTGGTGGCAACACTTCACCATCGCGCAGAAGTTCAAGCCCCGGGAGCCTGAAAAAGGTGCGTCCTGCCCCCCGCCCTCGCCCGCTTCTCGCCATGGGCCAACGCGCGGAGCATGCACTCTTGGACACTCCAGAGGTCGAGGAGCACGCCGTGTTCGGGAAGCCGCTCAAGGAGAGCCTCCGGTACGCCAGCGTGCAGATATCGACCGCGAACGCGAACGGAGAGCTCTATGTGTGGGGCTACATCCCCGTCGTCGTGGCGAAATGGTGCGTCTCACTGCTCCGTGCCGGCGCGGAGCATCCGTTTGCCCCTGTTTCTTACGTTCGCGCGCACTCATTGACTCCGTTGCGCGGCGTGTTTGCCCAGTGGGCTGTACTTGAAGGAGAATGGTGCGTGTCGGTAGTGTTAAGGCCAGCATACCATGGCTCGTGGCGCTCACGGTCAAAGACAGCGACCGAGGTGGAGGGCACGTTTCGCGTGAACGGGTCGAACAAGCGGATGCGCGATCTACAGGCGATGTTTGAGGCCCGGCCACGGGTGCGTGTTCGCCACTCGTGCGTCCGCGTTGAAAGGCGTTGCTCACAGCATGGATGCACACAGTACGGAAAGTCGTTGGACTGGAAGAAGGAGAACTACACCACGCACGACGTCGCGAGCGTGTTTCGGAGATATCTCACTCAGATGCCGGTACGTGTTTTTCTCGTGTCGCGCGTCTGCTTGTGCTGAAGCCCTGCGCCTGCAGGAGCCTGTGATACCCTATGATCTGTATTTCCAGGTGCGTGCGAGTCTGACGGACACCCCCTATAGCTGCTGACGAGCGTGGATAGTTTCGAGACGCAATAGGTGGCCGCCCTGCGTTTCGGGAGCTCTTCATTCATACTGATATATCTCCGCAGCTAAGCAGCCATATATCCAAGACGACGTGATCGCGACATATAAACGTTTGATCTCCTCGATGCCGCGTGCGAACCAGTACCTGCTCCTATACGTGCTCGACCTCCTATCCGTCTTTGCGCGCAAGTGCGACAAAAATCTCATGACGGCGAAGAGTACGTGGCCCCCTGTCTCTTCTCGCGCTTCCCCCTCTCTGACGCCCGTATCCCCGCAGACCTCGCGGTGATCTTCCGCCCAGGGATCATGTCGCACCCGTCGCACGAGCTCTCGCCGAAGGAGCACCAGCTGAGCCAGGAGGTGCTCGAGTTCCTGATCGCGCACCAGGACTGGTTCATGCTCGACATCCCGCCGCCGCCTGCGAAGGCCAAGACGAGCGCGGCGGGCGAGGAGATGGACGACATGGCGCTGGTGTCGAGCTCGGACGACGACAGGTCGACCGTGGGCGGGTGGAAGCTCGTCGGCGGGCGCAGCGAGGCGGAGAAGCGGAAGATCGCGCGGCGCAGGACGACGACGGAGCGCGAGCGCGAGCGGCTGCGGATCGGTGAAGACTCCCTTCTTACTCGCTGACCCGAGACCGCACCAGTCGCTGACTCGACCCCCTCCCCGTTTCCTTTCCTCATTCTCGCACTTTCCTCGCCCTTCCTCGTCTTCACCCCCGCGCCCCCCATCTCTTCGTTCTATCGCATTTTGTAGGTCTAGGCCCGGATCGTGAGCGAGGGGGGAAGAGCTCTGTGGATCTATCCCCCGTCTCCGAGTCGCCGGGGCGGATCGACGGCGCCCACGCTATCTCGCGCAGCCGCACGCTGCCCTCGACGCGCTCTGGGCGGAGCAGCGCGAGTCGCGGAGGGCACTCCGCTGCTGCTGCTGGCCCTGGCGCAGATGACGAGCGGCAGACGAGGGTGCTGAAGAAGGCCCGCCGCACGTCTGCGCAGCAGCAGCACTCTCCACACAAGCGGCCGCCACAGGGCGGTGTGCCTGCTGCGACGTCGTAGGGATGGGCTCCCGCCGATCCTCGCGCCCTCGTGGTAACCTCTGCTTTTGTCCGCGTCGCGACCTTTCTAGTTCTTTTCCTTTCGCTCGCCTGTGTCTTGCCAGTCTGTTCGCCTGTCTGCCTGTTTATCTGTGTGTTCGGTAGCCTTTCCCCCGTCTATACCCCGCCCTCCTGTTGTGTCCCTACATCTATCACGCCCGCTCGTTGTCCCGTCTCCTAACGAACCTGAACGACTCGTATGTGTGCCCCTCTTGTTGTTTTACTGCGGCTCGCTGTCTTTTGTTTCTTTTTCCATCTCATCGTTTTCTGGACAGTACGTACTTACTACCGCCGGTGTGGCATGGTCGCCAGAGTGTAAATTTAGTGCAGCATCACGAAATATAATTACTCTGCTCGAGGAAGGTTTCACTTTTTGTATACGCTGCCGTCTTGGCATATCGTCATTCTTTCGGTCGATATGAGACCGAAGCGCGACTCGTTATATTTTTGCGTCGTCTTTGGGACAGTGGTACGTACCTCTGTTTCCGCCGTCGTGATATGGTCGCCAGGCCGTAGCAGCACTAGATATAATGAAGAAGAAGAAAGCTGCCTTTTATGGCAAGGAGAAGGCTATTTTGGGTGCCTGTGGCTGGCGGGTTCTGGGGCTGGCTGCGCACTGCCAGTGGACACCACGACCCGACGTCCGACCCCCAGCGGCCGTGGCCGCGTGAGATTGCTCTTCTTGTATACCCAGAAAAGACTGCGCCCTTCCACCCGCCTCACGACCCTCCACGACGACACAGCGATGACCTCCAGAGACCCGTTCGGTACGCCCGAGCCTGCTGCTGCCGCGGGGGCGTCTGTGACGACATTCCCAGCGTACCGAGACCACATGAGTTCGAACCCCGATTTGCAGGATTATTTTGACGATTCTGGAATCCCGGTATGTAAGGCAAGGGCCGCATCGCGTCTGCCCGTCTGATCATCCCCGTCCCCTTCTCTTTCCATCCCTCCTCCTCCCTTCCGCACCTCTCCCCTCTGTCATCCACCACACTCCTTCCCCAACTGCCGCCTCGCCACTCTAGCCCCCTCACCGTTTCTCTGGCATCTATTCCCAGCACTCCCTCTCCAGAGGCTCCACCCCCGTCCCCTCTGCCTCCACCCCCTCCACCCTCAACACCCCGGACGCGAACACCCGCGGCCTCTACTCCTCCCCTGCCGCAGCAGCATTCGCAGCAGCAGAGTCCACCCGCGACCTCCCCGCAACCGCACCCCTCCAGCCACGAGACATGTCCACCTACAACAACATCGAGGCTCCCACCCAGTGGATGGAGAAACCCCCGTCGCGCAGCAACCGCTCCAAGTGGATCGTGAGTGTTTTTCCCGTTAATTGCGCCGAGCCCGCTTGACGTGCCTGCCGTGCGTTACCCGCCGCCTCCGTCTGCTGCGCCCGCGTGATTCCTTAGGTCATCGCGTCCATCGTCGGCTTGCTTGCCCTGATCGGCGTCGGCGTCGGCGTAGGTGTGTCCCTGTCACAGAAGAACAAGAGCGGCAGCTCGCGTGCAAGTTCAAGTTCAAACTCCAGCTCCGTCACGCAGTCCGACCCCAACGACCCCAGTTCTTTCGTGAAGGACTCCCGCCTCAAGCAGTCGTTCTATGGTCTCGCCTACACCCCCGCAGGCTCGCAGCTGCCCGACTGTGGCAACAACCTCAGTGCGTTTCCGTTCCCGCTTTTTCCGCGCGCTATGCTGCTTCGAGTTGACGTCAGTCCCCATCAGGCGATATTATCACCGACATGCAGGTAGGTGTCCGCTTCTATTTTCGTATTGACGCCGCACCCGTTGACGCGGCTCTATTTTTAAACTAGCTCATGTCCCAGCTGACGACGGTGAGTCCTGCCCTCTCTGCGAAACGCTCGAGGCTGATGACCGTCGGTCAGCGCATTCGTCTGTATGGAGCCGACTGTAATCAATCCGCCCTTGTCGTAAGTCTTGCACCCCCATCATTGTGATCTGAGGCCACGACCGACCTCCTGCGTCTCGTGTAGCTCGACGCGATCCAGCGGACAAAAGTCAACTTGACCGTCTGGCTCGGAAATTATCCGGTCCCCACAAACGAGTCCGTCTACACCCGGCAGCGTGACTTGATCCTCGACGCCCTTCAGACGTATGGCACGGACCACGTCGGGGGCGTCACCGTCGGAAACGAGTTCATGTTAAAGTGCGTATCACGCCCCGCCCTTTGGTCTGACTGAAACGTCAACCCCGCATTTGTAGCTATCTGAGTGCCAATGGCGGCGGAGACGATCCCAACAGTTCCATCGGTAACACAGGTGCGTTGGTGTGAAACGGGGTTGTGTGCGTTTGGAGGTCTAACTATAGCATTGCGTCAAGGCGCTGCTATCCTGATCGGCAATATCCAGGACACTATCTCGAAGATTGATGCGCTTGGTCTTGACAAACATATTCCCGTCGGGACCGCGGATGCTGGCAGTTACTTCAACACAGAAGTCCTGGAGGCTGTTGAGTACGGCGTGAGTGTCGCTCCAGGATGGATCGTTCGCGTTCCTGAATTTGGGTTGTCGTAGATGTCGAATGTCCATCCGTGGTTCGCGAATGTCTCGGTCGAGACGGCGGCGGGATGGACCGCCGAGTTCTTTGATACCTGGAACCTCGAGCCCGCCGCGAAACTTTCCAACACGCCGAAGATGTACATCGCTGAGACTGGATGGCCCACGGTGCGTTGGCTTGACACGCCCCGTTGCTGATGACGCAGGCCTCCCGTGTGCTGATGCGCATCGTGGCATGCAGAAATCTTCCGATGTTTCTAACGAGAGCAACGGGCCGTCGACCGCGTCGGAGGCAAACCTGCAGACGTTCTTGGACACGTTCGTGTGCCAGGCGAACACGAACGGCACGGGCTACTTCTTCTTCGAGGTTCGTCCCGTTGTTCCGTCGATGAAGTGAGGGCTGACCGTAACCCGATTCATCTTCGTGTGGTTCATTTCCGAGTGCAGTTCTTTGACGAGCAATGGAAGGTTCGTTGATTTACGGAAGTGGAACCGAACATGTTTCTGATCGGGTTCTGCTTTTGTCTAGGACGTCGAATTCGGCGGTGTCGAAGGATGGTGGGGCTTGTTCAATGCCAAGTATGCAACTTGCCCATCTCTGGCCCGTTTTCGATCCTCTGACGCTTGGGCTTGCTCGCAGCAAAACACTCAAGAACATAGAGATACCTTCTTGTTGATATCCCCATGCCCCATCATACCCACCCAGCACATGCGTACGATACCGCTATCCCCACGAATTTCCGGTGATATCTTGGACCGAGCTAGCCCTTCCCCCTACCCCTCCCCTTATGACCACGACACGGACAGTACGTTACGCTGCGGTGCCGTTTGTTGTGTTTATCCCCGCTCTCGGACATGGACTCGCGTTTCGTCTGTTTGCGAGCACAGTAAGTACAGGATCGCGGTACCGTACGTATTCGCGTCGACCGACCACCTACACCACGGACTTGCATTATTTTTTGTCTACTCTTTCCTTGTTCGTTCGTTCGTCCGTTCGTCCGTTCGTCCGTTCGTCCGTTCGTCTCTTGCGAGTGCGGTGCACCGATTTGATGTCCTAGATGCCACCTTGTGCGGTGGTGTTTACGTTTGCAATGTATTCGTTGAATTGCAGGTGCACTGCGGTTTTCTGCGGCGCTCTGCGCCATCTCACGATTTCTGGCTTGGTCTTGGGTGATCCTTCCAATCGCATCGCGTCCGGTTTGTAATTCTGACATGACACGGCTATTTAACATGACTCTTTCTGACGCTAGAGCACGAGCGAGCTGTAGAGTTAGATCTGAGAGGTATGTCTACCGTTTCGGATGGGTTTGCGTTGGTTATTTGACTATGTGCAGGTTCGAAGGGCGGCGGTGATGTCGAAATCGTGATGGCCCATCGCCACCATCGTCGCTCTCTCCCTCTGCTTCTCTCTCGAAGACCTCATCGGTCCACGGCTTCTTTTTGCGACAATGTCAGATAGACCCTCGGCACGGAGACTCGGCACCTCGACGAAGAGATGATGGCCCTTTCCCGCTCGAAGGTGTTGCGTCGAAGACTATGAAGCGCGACTCGCGGAGCTTCGCGCGGTGGCTGTTGATCGGGCTCTCTCCTTCGACGTTGGCGAGAAGACATCGATACGGGCGCTGCGGGGTTTGCGGCGGGGAGGATCGGGTCGGGGTCAGGGAGGTCGACTCGGGACGATGCGTCGTTGGCTCCGCGCGCCGTGGAGAGGGGAGTTTCTTGGGTTGATTGTTCGGGAAGCTGCTGTGCGTAGGTGCGTCGCGCGACTCGGGTTCGGGTGCGGCTGGCGTCGGTCTCGCGAGTGGACTCTGGACGCTGTTGTCGATGGCTGAGTATGAACGTCGCCCGTTGGATCTTTGCGGGTTTGTTCGCGAATGCTGACGCTCATCGCTGATTCTCGCTCGTTCTGATGTTGGGGGGTTCGAGCTCGGTTCTGGCACACAGTGGGTGCTGCGGGATTTAGCACGGTCTAGCACGATCTAGCACGATCTAGCGCGATGTCCCTTGATTTTGCTAGACCTTGCTAGATTTCGCAAGATGTTGCGAAACGTGCGTGTGAATGTCTAGTATTTTCAGGATCATGCGACATGGGTCGATAGGCCGCACCGGATAATGCCAGAGGATAGCCAAAGATCTTGCAACTCGAAGTTCAGCCACTTACCTGATGCATTTGCAGTCTCATGATGGCTGACCTTACACATCCAGAGCCGTTCTGTTCCCAAAGGTTCAACCAGGCACGATTTTGAAAAAATCGAAAGAAAGACCCGCCAGTTCGATTGATGAAGGACTCTGGAGAATGGAAGAGACCTGGGAAGATTGTGCTAGTTCTTGGAGTTCGAAGAGAAGGCACTTGGGAGCAGCACCGCTAGTGACTGCAGGTCACCGCTACTCAAGCGCTTGATGCTGCTATAGAGAGTATTAGATGCTGCTAGATGTTGCTAGATGTTGCTAGATGCTACTAGATGCTGCTAGATGCTGCTAGATGTTACTAGATGCTGCTAGATGCTGCTAGATGCTACTAGATGTTGCAAGATATCACTCATTGTTGCCATACCCTGCCAGATGCTGCTCGTCGTTGCTCGATGCTACCGGTAGATGTTGTTAGATGTCGCTAGATACTACTCGTTGTTGCTAGATGCTGCTAGATGCTGCTAGATGCTGCTCGTCATTGCTAGATGGCGCTAGATGTTATGTTGCCCATTGTTGCGAGATGTCGCTAGATGCTGCTCGTTGTTGCGAGATGTTGAGACATGTTGAGGAAATTTGCCAGATGCCTACCCGTGATTATTAGACGTCGCTGGAGCTTGTGCTCGTTGTTGCCAAAAGTTGCCAAAAGTTGCCAGGCTGGACGGTGCTAGATATTGCTAGACGCTACTGTTGTAGGCTGCTAGGTGATGCTCGATGTTGTTAAATGTTGCTTGTTAGTGCTCGATGCTGTGTGATATTGCAAGATCGGTAGGCTTGGCTTGATACACAACTGCGGAATCTATGATGTCCAACTTACCAGTTTCCGTTCAAGATCAGACCCGGAGTACGTCGTCACTCTGGCACGAAAATTGAGCGCTGCTATGAAGCAGTGCCAATGTCAGACAAGGTAAGTATAGTGTCCCTAGTGCTGTCGCTGCTCGCACAATGGCCGATCTTGCTAGATCTTGCTAGGTTTTGCTAGATCCTGCTAGATCTTGCTAGATCTCGCTAGAGATTATCAAATTTTCCTCGATCTTGCCATTACCAAAAGACGGCACCAGCTTCAAAGTTCTCATTTGAGATATAGATGTTGCTTCCTAGTAGATGATAGATCCGGCGATGTTGTCCATGTAGACCATCCACATTCGTAAGCTCAGATTAGACTGGAGAAAGGGGAGTTGACAACAAGCGGATAAATCGGCATCTACGTACTGGCACACCGCCAAGATATTCCAGCACCAACATATCCTGCTATACATCGTAGGGTGGTAGACATAATACATTCTAGTGTATTCTCTGGATAAGTACAAGTTTAGTGCAAGAAGCGAAGCTTCATCCATTTTCGTCAAAGAAAAGGCGACAGACGCACCTATAGTCTTACCGAAGGCCAAACTCTTCATTTGACCATTCACAATCCGACACCTCTCGCGAGTCGAGGACGATGACAAGTTAACGTAATGCGGAGAATGCTAGGTAGGAACGTGAGGGTTTTTATCGTCTGGAGTCATGTGTGTGCCATGCAGAGTTCTACATTGAGACTGTAGACAAATCAGGGTGCACTGAGATAGCAGCCTACTCGAGGATGTCCCTCGTCCCTGGTGCCGTGTGACGACAGCCGTGGCCTTCAAGTAAAAAAATATCGTGCATTGGACATACGTTGATGCTTGGTTGAAAACATTCCGCTATCCATACAGTGGCCGTCGTCGTGACACAGCCGCAACGCCCTCCGCAATATCCGATACACATGCAACAAACCATGTCAGGGAGAACGATCTCACTGACCACCATCGTCTTGCAACGCCAGGGCCCTGATCCGCTCCTCTTCTGCAGCCAGGTCCGCGTCTTCCTGCTCGCGCCTGTACTTTGCAAGATCCCACGAGTCCTCGTCTCCCTCGTCCTCGTCTTCGAACCATTCGGGGTTGAATTGGAACTGCGTGCATATCAGTCACTGTCGACTCGCACAGAGATGGGAGAGCGAGCGTGAACACGCAAAACGCACCAAATCTCGTCCGCTCATACCCGAATTCTTGCCAGCGGCGTGCTGCTGATCCTTCGCCTTGCGCATAGCATCCACCTCGGCTTCCTTCTTGTTCATCCGTGTTTGCTTCCACTTGGCAAACGTCTCGCGTGTCACCGGTGTCAGATTTGTACCTAGTTTGTGTCGCTGGAGGCGCAATCCAGGCAGACAAGACATCACGGAAGGGAGGATTGTTAAGCCGTAGCTTGGGAAGAGGTGATGAGATGTCAAATAGAGCGCACCTCGACCTCCAAAAACTCTTCCAGTGTGATCGTGTTTGCCTTCTCAGCTGCTTCCGCAGCTTTGCGCTGTGATTTCAGTACAAACCCTGCAGGAAGTGCGTGCCGGTATTGGCAGAGATCGCCATTTGGACATTGCCAGAACCAGCCGAATCTGCATCAAAGGTGTAAATAAATAGGTCGGGCCATTTTGCGTGAAAGAATGTACTTTTGCGTCTCGATTGCCTCGATAAAATTTTTGCAGACAATCTGACATAGATCGTAAGATACGGTGAAGTGAGAGAGATGCGAGGGATTGAGGGAAACGCACGTCGGTTGTTGTCCGTGGGTTGCCGTGTTTCGAGAGCACAACCTCTCTGAGCTTCGCCTCGTCCCAGGTATCCATCGTATCTTCAAGCGAGATGGTATCAATCTCCCATGCAGCAGCAAGCAAACGCACTCACCAGCCAACTTCTCCTCCCGAGTATCCGCGTATAGATTGCGCTTCTCAACCTTCCTTTCGACATCTAAATTATGACTGAACTTGCACTTGACCCCTTTGTCGCAGTGACCCGCTTTGAAGAACGTGCACAGCAGCGTCTTGGGGTCCACTCCAAACGGCACCTTCTGAGTCTGCACCGGGCGTAGGAGCGCAGCGTCATCTCTCTTGCGCTGCTCTTCTTCGGCCTTGGCTTTCGCGCGCAGTTCCTTCTCGCGCTCCTTTGCAAGTACATCAGGGGATTTACCGGCCATCGAGGCTTGCGCCTGAATCCGCGCTACCTCCTTTTGGACCTTCGCAGACTTTTTCTGTACGCGTACGGGGAGGGTGAGTACGTGTGCACTTAGAAAGAGCAAGGAAATAAGAGGAGAGGGTGCGCTAACATTCTTCATGCCGAAGGTCTGCAAGTCGAGGTGCGCGCATCAGTACGGACGATCTCCTCAGGTGAAGCGGAGGAGCTGGACCACCTTGTCGACCTTGAGCTTGGACGACGAGCTCGGCTGGGCCTGTTTCTTTGGCGGCATTTCTAGCTATGGCTCCGAACAAATGATGCTGATGGGACGAGGAGTATGTCGAGCTGGTCGTGGTAGGCGGCGATGACGATCGAATCAGCCTCGGAAACTGCTCGAAGGCAAGGAAATTGTTTCTCATCACGTGATCACTGTTGTCGCTCTGGCCAGCAGTCTTGCGGCATCGTTCACGACGACCTCCAAGTATGAGTCACAGTCTCTCACATTGAGGAAGATACGGAACGACTTTTTTTTATTGGCGAGGCGAGTAATTACCTCTTGTCTGTCTAGGGTCTGTAGTAAGTCGAGAGCAACTCTCAGTTGATTAATGCTTGTTTCGGTCAACATGTTGTTCCAGGTGGTTCTCAGCTCACAACTTACCCGCGTACCTTGACAGGAGTGAATTTTCTCCATTATGAGTCTTGATTCATTCACTCATCGTGATGGCTTCAAATTGAGATGGCTTTCATTATGATCACTCCCATCAAAAATCAAGGCGAGATCACTCATCGACTGCCCAAGATTCCTTTCACAACGCCTACCTTTGTCCCGCATATAGTCAAAATTTGGCTTATAGATAACCCTTACAAGATCCTCCTCTTCCAGCCGGGATGCGTGAGCGATTGTTGCCTATACAGTACACAACCTTTAGTTTCTTACATTGGTTTCCCATCTGGCTTGGATGCAAGGCACCCGGCAATCCGCACAATACAAGAGCACCAAGAGGAAGGTCATCATGAATTCTCTCAAGTATTCATACCACTCATCGTAAAGTGATCAGAGCGTAGTCGTTTCCGTTATGATCTGCCTTCGCGAGAAAAGCTGGCGCCCCGCGAGAATGCTACCACACGGCGGGTCCGCAATGATTAGTTTGTCTATGTCGGGAGTTCGACTCAGCCAACATCAGTCGGAAACGATCGGTGCCAAGGCAATCCAATCGTTTCGAATAAGTACGTGAAAGAGGCGCAGGTCATCTCGCTACCAGTTGAGTCGTGACTTCATCATTCTTTCTTCTTGCCAAACGAGACTGCATCTCTGCAAGTCCGCGATAGATACCAATTAGCTTACGAGCATAAGCTGCTTGATTGATTGTGCATCGAGATGTTCATATTTAGATGGACTTTGTCCCACGCAAGCCGTTGATATGGGGCAGGAACAACCGGACACATGTTTTGTACGAAGAACATTTGATCACGACACACTCCCCAACATCTCCACTTGTTCCGATACCGTTTCATGTCTTCTATTGTTCCGTTTTCCTAACCCTTGTGGTCCTCACGTCTCTTACAAGACAGCAGCCGGCGCTCATCAGTCGTGATTCTGCATCAAAATGAAAGGTCAGCTGCCTGTCTGATCTGAGTCCTGCAGTCTCCATCCGGTGCTGTGTCCTGCATCACCACACGCCGACGGCTCACGTTCGACCTGGTCACCGTTCAGCGGCAAGGATGGGCCGTTCTGGCGAATTGATATCGGCATCCACTCACGACATGATCCAGGGTACAGTCTTCGTCGCCCACCCTCATATGTACCATTCACACAGTGGCCGCCCAGGACCTTGTCAAAGCCATCTGCATGTCCTCCACGGCGCCACAGGGTTTGAAAAACATGCGCCGACCAATCGTGGTGCAGGTATTCCTGGAACTTGCGATGTGTCACGCACTAGCCAACAATCGGTTTGCCCCTCCCGTGATCTGCATCTTGTCGCTCAATATCGCCCCAATCGCTTGTGGTCAAGTGCATCCCTCCAACATTCCAGTCCGTTGAAACTCCCGGGGCCATCGTTCTCGTCGGTGCCTTGACTCCAACGATCATGGAGCTGGATCTAGCAGGTCACGGACTCGTGTTCGAGCTCTCTGCGCAGTAGTCCACGTTTCCTTTTGTGGTTTCACACCCTTGCACGTCGTCAGACATCAACGCCCCTCTGCACTCGCATCAGTGGCAAATCTAGATGATATCAGTCGTAGCCGATGGACACGGCCACACTTGCCTGATCCTTATTCTCTTTTGACAGTGAGCCTTGTCTTCAACAGCTGGATCGTCACGTCCGACATGCGAGTAAGCATTTAGCTTTGCCCTCGCACCGCCTCCACAGGAGTAATTAACGTGCACAGCCTGACTCTTCACCAACGTCGGCATTCGCGATCGGCCCATTTTGGCGCAGGTTTTCTGCGGACGATCAGATCCACGCTGCGACCCCCGAGATCTCCTGCTAAGAAGCAATTTAGGGTGATCATCATGGCGGTGCGATCTTGATCCTTCATAGTGTGTGGCTGCTCGTACGTAGTTCAGGATGCCTCTGGACCATGTCTCTATACGCAGGGCCGCAGTGATCGTGTGACGGTGGTGGATGGTTCTGTAACATGTTTGATGTCATAATCTGTTTCCTCCCAGACCTCGATGTTTCTGAGCGTGGAAGAATGAACACATTTATGCTTATGGTTGTTCCCCGTGGGATCACGCTCGACAGGGGACGTGTCTAGCCTGGCGAGCCTTGCATGCTCATCGTCCCTTCGTCATCCAATGCCCATGACGGACGTGAGCACGATTCATCGCTGTCTGAGCGTCTATTTTGGCTGGCAAAAAGAGAACCGTGTGCGCACTACAGTGACGCCTCGGACGCAGGCTTCTCCGCGGAGGCGCCCGCGAGGGCATCAGCACCCAGCCTGCCAGTCGGCCACCAGCTCCGAGCGGTCACACGTCGCGCGCAATTGCTCGTTCCGTCGAAGCGCGCCATGGGCACGATTGATTCCGCGACGATGCCCACGATCCAGCCATACTAAGTATACAGTACACGCGGGGGCGCAAAGGCGCACGCTCCGGCGATCCTGTCTGCTGCGCGGAACCTGGCCCGCGCGCCATCGAATGATTATAACGCGGTTCCCGACGCGCGCGCCGGGGTACTCGGAGCCTCTCGACTCGGGTTCTTCACGAGCTCTGTTTCGGCGTGTCGGCGGGCCATGAGTCAGGGATCGGAAGCCGCTTCCCGGCGATACGACGGAGACAGGCACCAGCGCGGGCGCGGGTGCCCATTTCTCCTGCCCGAGGACCCTGCTCGCGAGTAATTCCCGTCCCGTGCCTGCGCGGGATCACCGAAACGCGAGTCCTGGCCCTGGCGTGCCCTTGTGTGAAGCTCGCCGGCCAGAGCACCACACGCCCACGTCTGGCGCCGGAGTGCTTGTCCCTTGCACCGTGTTCGACGGGTCCGCGCGTGCGTTGATCGTGTGGAGAGATGACGGAGGTCGATGGTTAGTCGATGAGTGTCCGACGCGGGCGGGCGGGCGGGCGTCGAGGTCTGCGCGGGCTCCGTGCGGCCGGCCTGAGTTAGATCCCCACGCGCGGGCTTCTCGTGCTCGCGATTGATCTGACGCGGGGCGCTGCAGGATGAGGAGGCTGTGGTCTGCTGTGGGGGGACGGGGAAGAGGTAAGGGGAAGAAGCCAATCCCGCTCGTCCGATCGCACTGCATCATCGGTTGCGGACAACAGGCCGTGGGTGCTGCAGGCGCTCCCCGCGCGCTTCTGCCGAGTGGCGGTGAGAATGCGGTGAGCGAGGAGGGACGTAACGCAGTAAGTGCCTCGTCGGTGGATGGACTGGGCTCGCGGGCCGAGTGCAGATGCAGATCCCCGCTCGCCCCTAAGTATTGCGAGCCGAGACGGACCGTGGCGGCCAGTGCATCGCATCTCGACATCGACGCTACGAGAAGCTGCGGCCGAAGGAAGCAGAAACTTAACCCACCATGCATGTGATCGATCGGACCGCTCGACGCAGAGGCCGTCGACAGCCCATGCGACATCCGACGGCCCAACAACGCGTATGACGGCAATGATGTAGAGTGCGTAGCCCCTGGTGAGACTGCGGACGACAGGGTACTGCATCCATGCTGAAGTCACCATCCACGAGGCTGCGGGACGGGTTAATTATAGATCACTTGGCCACCGGGCATCGCATGACTGTGTGATCCGCTGATGCATGACGAGCGTCTTCACAGCAGTGCGGCTGTCTGGGCGTAAGGTGGCGCATGCTTCAACGCGTGAACGGGCGAGGTCTAAGTAGATAACTTGCGAGAAGCAAGTCATATGTGATCGGGCGCGGACGTTTGAAAGCGGTCTCGACGCGGTGCTGCGTCCCGCGTCCCGAGTGGTTGTCCGTCTGACGTCGCCCAAAGCAATTGACCGACATGCGAAAAAAAAACCCTTCTTCTCGTCCCGCGCCAACGCGTCCGGGGATCATCGAGCGGCCGCGCCGAGCGCATAATCGAATCGAGCAGCCTTCTCCGGCCTCCGGACCTGGAGCTCCAGCATCGCAGCGGTCGCCGCCGGCGATGAAGAAACGAAGCCCGGATCCGCACAGGAGCTTGGGTTCGATGCATGCGCTGTCGTATATGGCTGCTTGCGCCGTCCTCCGGCGCCCGGAGCCGCGTGCCCAGCGCCTAGTGCGGGCGGGACGAATGCGCGCGCCAACGAAGGCCTGCGGTGGAGTGTTGGAGTGTTGGAGTGTGGGCGCGTGTCTGTGTGTCTGTGCGTCTGTGTGGGCGTATATGCGTGTAGGCGTGTAGGCGTGTAGGCGTGTAGGCATACGCACGCGGCGGGCGCAAGCGAACAGAAGCGGCCCCGCATCGAGTCTACACGGGGCTCGACGCGCGCCCGCCGAAGCGCCCCGCGGTCGAGACTCCGACGGCGCGCCGTCCCTGCATGCGTGACATCCGTGCACGGCGAGCGCGTCGCACGAGCGCGCATTGCGGTAGTGGCCTAGTTGCGCGCGGGGGGTCAGCGGACGAGCGAGTTGGTGCGCTGTGCGAGGCTCGCCGTCGTCGACTCTGCACGGTGCGCACGCCGCGGTCCTCGCACGTACCTGACTTGACCGAGTCCTGATTTCAGGGCGGACGAGGGCAAAGCCGGGCTGGGCTGGACGGTGGACGCGCTCGCTATACCATACCATAGCGCGTCGTTCCGATATTCCGGAGCCTCCGCGTCCTAGCTCTCCGCCCGTCTCCCAGCGTAGGCGGGTCGCGGACGGTCCTAGCCGATAGCTGGAAGATAGCGGCAGATTCGCGAGTCGCTCGTAGGCAACGGGTCGCCCGTCTGCCCGTGCGTGCGTGCGTGCGTGCGTGCAGATGCAGATGTACAAGGCTTCGGCGATTGGCAAAGTCTCGCAAAGACGGCAAATGTACCAGAGTCTCGCAAAGTCTCGCAAGGACACGCAAGGACACACGACACGCAAAGACCCGCCAAAGCGCACCGCAGCTCGCCGTCGCGCGTCCGTGTACATGATCGACGCGCCGCCGTACCAAGGATCTGAGCGTCCCGCGTCGCGCAGCGCCAGCCGCAAAGTCCGAGGATCTGCAGCCGGTGCACACAGACGTGGGGCTCCTGCGCTGTCCTGGATAAGCATGGGTATGGACACCTCGAGTCGCGGGGCGCGAGTCATCGAGGGCGGCGATCGCGATCACGATCGGACGGAGAAGACCAGAGGCGGTCCGCGAAGCCTGCATATGTGGGCCTACAGTACCCAGTATGCACGCACGTATGTATTAGCTTACATAGTGGTTAGGCGGGCGCGCGAGGTCGATCTGCGAGCGTCCCCGCATTGCTGTGCGCGCGAGGCGTGCGGGGCGGGGCGAGTCGAGGTTGAGGGGTATACGTATACCGTTGTGTGAGATGAGAGCGCGAGCGAGGCGCGGGCGGGGTCAAAGGTATGTACATGCAGGCGTAGGTCTGACACGGACGCACGGCGGGCGCACGGCGAGCCACGTGCGGGCTGTGCGGAGCGGTGCAGTCACGGGAGGGACAGGGTCGGAGCTTGAAGGGGCAGCGAGTGGCTTGGACGGGCACTGCCTGGTGGATCACAGCCCTGCACACACCGTCTCATCCGCCGCCGCGTCCTCTACAGCAGCCAGCTCTCAAAAGCGTCCTCCCCATGATTCCTTTCCACGCAGACCCGCCCTACTCCGACCTCGACCGTCGCTCCCTCCCCCTCGACTCCTTCGATCCCTACGCCCCCAGCAGCCCCCACTTCCCCCCCACCCCGTCCTACGCAGGCTCGTACCAGAACTCCCCCTACTCCGGCGTCTCAGAGCTCGACTTTGGCGACGGCAAGGACGACGCCCTCGGCTTCTTCGACGGCGACGACCCCCTCGCAGTAGACCCCGCAGACGACTACGACCCCGCCGCCTACGACGCACCCGCCTCCTCCGGCCTCCTCATCTTCCACGACGACTTCATGACTGCCGCTGACAACCCCGCAGACCACCTCTCCCTCTCCCTCTCACACGACCACCCCCTCTACGACCACGGCTCCCCCGCCTCCAGCAACGGCGCAGCCGACAGCGGCAACGAGGACTACCGCAGCCCCGCCTCCTCCGTCTCCTCCTCCCACCACCACCGCACCGTCACACACCCCCTCCCCTCCCCGCGCCTCAACTTCGAGGGCCTCCACGTCGACTCCCCCTACCTCCCCGCACGCCAGATTCCCACAGAGCGTGCCGGCACCCCCAGCAAGCCCCCATCCCCCCCACAGATCCGCATCCCAGACTCCGCCCCGCGCTCAGGCCGCTCCTCCGCCGGCTTCCCCCAGGACCCGCCCACCATCAACGCCCCCGACGGCGACGGCGTCGGCCCTCGCCTCCACATCGTCCCCGCGACCCCCGTCAGCGGCGTCAACGACCCCTCGCAGTACCCCTCCGCGCTAGGTGAGTATCGCCTCCTCGAAAAAAAAAAAGAAACTCTCCCCGCTGATCACCCTGCCTGCCTGCCTGCCTGCCTGTCCCCCACGACGACAGCGCCCCAGCCCTCGACGACCGCCTGGCATCATCATCAGCCAAGCGACACGTCGGCATCTGCCGGCCCATCACGCCCGTCCCGGTACGACGGCGGCCACGGCGCGTACCACTTTCCCCCGACCAGCGGACCCTCGTCGACCGCGGGCGGCGCGGGCAGCGGCGGCGGCGACGACTTTCTCCTCCCGCCCTCCCCCTCGCGCGCGCGCAGCAAGTCCGACACGTCCCTCCGTCCGCTGCTCTGGGCCGAGGGCCCCCATCCGTATCAAGGCTCCGCCGTCGCTGATCCGGCCTCCGCCGCCGCGTTTCAGCAGCGCGAGCGCGAGCGCGCGGCGACGCCCGGGACGGTCAACATGAATCAGGTGCTACCGCCCGTGAGCGACCTCGTCGACGACCCGCCGCACGCTCCCGCGCGCCATCACGCGCATTCGCACTCGGCGTCTGCGTCCGTGTCCGTCTTTGGCGCGCACGAGTACCAGCAGCAGCAGCAGCAGCCGCAGCCGGGGCCATTCGCGTCGTTCCAGGGCCAGGGGATGGGCGCGCCGGGCCTGCTGTCGCCTGATTTTGGCGCAGGGCTGCGCCGTGCGCGCTCGGACGGCGGGGGCGCGGCGCGGCAGACGCACAGGCAGGTGCGCTCGGAGGACCTGCGCCCGGGGATGATGGCGTCCATCGGCGGGTTCGCGTCCAACAACAACAACAACAACGGCGCCGGGCAGGCGTACCCGCCTAGCCCGCACCAAGACTACATCGCGTCGCTGGCCGCACAGAACCGGCAGTACCTGTCGCCGATGGGCGTGGGCGGGATGGGGCTCGGGATGGGGATGGGGAGCCTGGGCGGGATGGGGCTCGGGGTGGGCGCGGACGCGGTGCCGTCGATCACGCGCGGGCACCACCGGCGCGCGTCGAGCGGGTCGCGGGAGCGCGGGGTGGGCGCGCTGGACGGCGGGGGCGGGGGCGCGGACGGGTGGGGCCACGGGCACGGGGGCGCAGGCGGGGGCGGGCTGCATGGCGCGCGGGTGTCGCCGTATCCGAGCCCGAGCGCGAGTCCGGCGCGATTGGTGGAGCCGCTGCCGAGCGTTGGGATCGCGGGGTCGGGGCGGTACGCGCAGCAGTCGCAGCAGCAGCAGCAGCAGCAGCACGGCCAGCAGCAAGACGGGGGCGCGGTGGCGGTTGGGGACGGGTCGGGAGGGCTGGGGATGGGGATAGGAATGGGGGGGATGGGGATGGAGGGCGCGCGCGGGGGCACGCCGTTGGCGGTTGCGAAGCCGAACGTGACGACGTCTGCGACGGCGGACGCGAGCATGAAGCGGCGGATTAACGAGGCGAAGTTTCGGTGCGACGTTCCCGGGTGCGGGAGCACGTTTACGCGGCATTTTAATCTCAAGGGTGCGTGTGCGCCGACGTGCGCTCTTCTTCATTTGGCTCGTGTCTGACGTTTTATTTTTTTGGGGATGCGCGTGCGCGTGCAGGGCACAAGCGGTCGCACAACGACGAGAAGCCGTTCCAGTGCAAGTGGCCCGGGTGCGGCAAGGGCTTCGCGCGGCAGCACGACTGCAAGCGGCACGAGCAGCTGCACTCGAACCACCGCCCGTTTTTATGCGAGGGCTGCAAGAAGCCGTTTGCGCGGCTGGACGCGCTGAATCGGCACCGTGAGTGTTTGCTCTTTTTGGCGCTGTCGGCGCTTTTGCGGGCAGGGCGCGCGCTGACTTTTGTTTTGGGGGTTTTATTTTGGGGTTTTGCGTTCGCGATGCGGTGTGCGGCAGTGAAATCGGAGGGCGGGGCGCCGTGCGCGAAGGTGCAGGAGACGGTGGACGCGGAGCGCGCGCAGCAGATGCAGATGCAGCAGCAGGAGGACGACGGGATGGGCGGGATGGGCGGGATGGGCGGGATGGGGATGGGCGGGATGAGCATGGGCGGGATGGGCGGGATGGGGTTGCCGAAGGTGGAGTCGGACGGCGGGTGGGGACAGGGAGGGTTCGGTGCGCATCAGCATGGGCTGATCATGTAAATTGCGCGCGCGCGCGCGGGTGAGGGCGGGCGCTGTTGATGTGATGTGATGCGATGTGATGGTGATGGTGATGGTGATGTGGTGGGCACGGGCGCTGATGGTGATGGTGGAGTGATGGTGTGGTGATGGGCATTGGAGGTAGGGGTTGATGGGTCCGCGCGGGCGGGGTTGGGCGCGTGTTTCGGGCTGCTGGCGTGCTGGGTGCTGGGTACTTGCGGCGTGCGTGTGTGCTCGGTTTCGCCGCGGGCCGCGCGCGCTCCTTTGTTCGTTTCTGCTTCGTTCCGCCGTCCACGCCTGGCCTCTGCCGCCTCACCGTCTCACCGCCATTCCCGCCCCGCCTCACCGCCTCTTCCGCCCCGTCTCGTCTCGTCTCGTCTCGAATCTCGTTTTTTTTCCGGTTTTGCCACTGTATCCATTCTGCGTCCCCCCCCTCCGCCTCTCCGTCGCCCCCGCGATCTGCGACTCATGATGTACGACTCACGGCTCCGACTCCCAACTCGTCTGCTTCTTCCGCCCCCCTCCCTTGCTCTCGTCCTCCTCCCCGTCCCCATTTGCATCCTCGTCCTCGTCATGCCGTCCGCTCTGATGCTGCGTCGCACGGCGCTTGCGTGGCTGATGATGTTCACGTTCACGATCTTCCCCTCCCTCGGCACCCGACTCTCGATCGCGCGCTCTCGAAGTAGAAGCCGGTGATCGCCACATCTGCCCCGCGCCCCTTCGTCTTCACGCCTTTCCGTCTGCGACTGTTTCCCCACGGTACCCTATCATACGCCTGGACATCGCGTCCGCCGCGGATTTTTGTCTCATCCATCTCGTCTCGTCTCATTCCGTTCGCTCTCGCTCTCGGTCCCGCTCGTGATCTACGTGTTTTTTTTTTTCACTTTTTTTCACTTCTTCTCTCACTCTTACTTTTTCTCCCTGCTGTGTCTGGTCGTCGTGCTCGCCTCGCTATATATCTATTGCTTACGCCCGTGGCCCTGCTGCTCGGTTTTTCTCTCTCGTCGTGTTCGCGTCGTGGGCCCGGCGCCGCCTTTCTTGACCCGAGCGATCGGTCGATCGCGGGGGGCGGTCGTTTGTGTCCCGGCATCGCCTGCGTCGTTTATACTGCTGGTATCATATACATCTCGTCGCTCCCGTTTTCTGTCCTTTTTTGTGTCACTCTTCGTTGTCATTCTCCTCCATTGACGTCGTGGTCGCTCGCGACTCGGCGGACGTTTCGTGCGGCCGAAATTGGATCGTATGCTGTAGCGTAGTAGCCTCCCGTAGATATTTCCCGGACGTGGTATTTATTGTACAGCGCGGCTTGAATCTATATATGAGAAAGATGAAAGGTGCGGGACGGTGTGTGTGTGTGCGTGCACGGGATCTGAGGCGCGCAGGGGCAGTGCCGCGGGTGCCGAGGAGGGTGCCGCGCCGGGGAGCGGCGAGGAGGCTTCAACTTTGTTCTCGTCGGCCACGTCGCGATGGCATATCAAACACACTCCAGCTACGTCCCCGTCCCCGTCGTCCTTGGCCCCACGCAGCGCCCACGCCCGTCCTTCCCCATCGCCGCCAACGGCACCCGTGCTCAGCCAACCATCGCGCCCGCCGCCCCCAACCCCCAACAACCCGCCGCTCATGCCGGCACCCCCGCCCACGCCCACGCCCACGCCCAGACGCACGCCCAGACGCAGCCACCGATATCGACATCGACATCGAATCAAACCCATGCACACGCCTCGAACCACGTCCACGCGCCCCAGCCCCCGCCGCAGACGCAGACGCAGACGCAGAGCGCCCCCTTCCGCGCGCCCGCGCACAAGCACGCGCACCACCTGCACTCCATCCCCCCGCGCGAAAAGTCCACACGGACCCTCATCCTCGACCACCTCCTCTGGGTCCACGCCCGCACCCGCTTCGCCCAGGCCCGCGCCGAGCTCGCCATGACAGACCGCACCGGCGGCCCCGCGGCCCCGCACTACGCCCACCGCGAGCGCCCCGAGGGCTACGACGAGGACGCAGAGGCGCCCTCCGACGGCGAGGACGTCGCCGCCCTCCTCGCGCGCGCCGGCGGGCCCGGCCACCCGCACGACGAGGACGAGGAGGCCCGCATGGCCCGCCAGGATTTCGTCCTCGCACGCAAGCTCCGCCTCAGGGCCGAGGGCATCGAGAAGGTCGTCGCGAGCATGCTCGAGCAGCCCCCGCAGGACCACCCCTTTCCCGACGACGAGCCCCTCCTGCCCCCCGCCCCGACGTCCCCGCGCCAGCCCCTCGTCCCCCACGTCCCGACCAGCCCCGTCATCTCCACCGCCTCGGCCGCCGCCCTCGCCGCCGCCGTGGCCGCGACCTCCTACGCATCCGCGACCGCCCTGCCCCCGACCGCCCCCGCGCACGCGCACACGCTGCCGAACGGCGTGCGCCTCCGCCTCGCCCTCGCGACGGTGCTCAACGACCTCTTCGCGCGCCAGGCGCCCATCCCGCGCCACCTCCACGTCGCCGCCGCGTCCCGCAGCAGCACATCGTCCACAGCCAGTGGTGGTGGTGGCGGCGGCGGCGGCTCGCCCGCGATGCAGGCCCAGATCCCGCGGGCCGCGCTCCCGCCCTCGCTCCTCCCGCTGTCAACCGTCTCGAGCGCGTCGGCGTCCTACGCCCCGGCATACTCCGTGCGTGTTGCCCCTATTCCTCCCGTCTGCACCCGTCCGCGTCTCACCCCCGCCGCCGTCGCGCATCACAGGGCTACGCCTCGCCGCCGCAGCGCGCGCACCGCTTCCAGATCCAGTACACCTCCTACGCGCCCCCCTCGCCGAGCCCGCGCACGCGCGACATGTTCCTCGCCGGCGCGGACCCGAGCACCGCCAACTCGCCCCCGTCGCTCCGCTGCCCGCGCCACCTGCACACCGGCTGCGACATCTGCGTCGAGGCGAAGGACAAGGCGCCTGCGCGCCCCCGCGGCGGGACTGTCGCCGCCGCCGCCAGCGCCGCGGGAAAGGCGGCGGTGGGCGGCGGCGTGCCGCAGGGCGGGGGCCTCACAGGCTTCAAGGACGGGAGCGGGGTCGGGTCGGGGCTGGCGCGGCCCGGGCCGAGGGGGAGCGTGTTGAGGCGACAGGTGAGCGGGATGGGCGCTGGCGCTGGCGGGGAGGGCCGCGCTGGCGCGGGGGGAGCTGGAGCGGGGGGAGCTGGAGAGGAGGGCAAGACGACGGGGACGGGGAACACGCGGTTATCGGAGCTCATCGCGCGCTTCGTGCGGCTGTCTGCGCTCGTGAGCCTCGAGCTCGGGCGCGAGGCCGGCGTCGGGGTCAGCAGCGGCTACGACGACGCGAGCGACGAAGCGCAGGGACACGGACAGGGGCGCGAGGCCGGTAGCGCCGCCAAGGGCGCGTACGCGCGCGCGCTGCGGCCTGCCCGGGAGTGGTACATGCTGCTCGCGGGCCTGCTCACGCGCGCGGTGCTCGAGGGGTACCTCAGCGCGGGGTGGCGGCAGCTCGCGCCGGTGCAGGTGCTCATGGGCGTCGGGCTCGGGCTCGGCGACGCGGGCGCGGGCGCGGGCATGGACATGGGCGGAGCCGGGGCGGGCGGCGCGGACGAGTTTGCGGGGTTCGACCCGGATGAGCTGCCGGATCTGGAGGAGGCGGTGCGCGTGCTGTTTCCGGCGCTGCGGGCGCATGCAGAGGCGGTCGCGGCGGGGGGCGGGGCGGGGACGTGTCCGCGGCGGGAGGGCGGGGAGGCGGAGTATGAGCGGGAGATGATGGCGCGCCTGGCGAGGGTGCGTGTTGCGCTTTGCTTCTCTTTTTTTTTTTTTGCGTCTATGCGCTCGGTAGTCGGGTCTGCGCGGGGCTTCCCGCTTTCAGTGCCGCCGATGCGTAAATTTCGCCGCGAGCATCGCCCTTTCAATGTCAGCGCCGTCCGTTCGTTTACTGACGATCCCGCAGTTCTTCGACGTGCCGGCAGGCACGCCCGACCTCTCGACGCACATGGAGGACCTGGCGTGGCAGTACCCCGCGGAGCCCGTCGAGCGCGCCGCGCTCCGCTTCTGCGAGGCGATCGCGAAGTGGCGCGGCAGGCCCGAGCTCGAGACCGTGCGTCCCCCCCTCCCCCGCCTCCCCGCCGCTGATTAGATCGATCGCTCACCGAAATGCCGTTCTCATGCAGTACAAGGAACGCCCGCCGGGCTACACGCCTGCGCCCCCTGGCCCGCACGGGCACGGGCAGGCGGAGGCGGAGGCTGCGGCTTCGGGCGCGGGCGCGAGAGGCGGGCGGCCGCCTATTGAGCGGTACTTTGTGATGCCCCCGCATGCGCAAGGGCGCGCGCACCCGCAGCAGTCGCATCACCAGCAGCAGCAGCAGGGGCACGGCCAGGGCCAGGCCAGGAAGCGCGGGCGGTCGGTCGTGGAGCGCGGCGCGAGCCCGAGCGCGTGGAGGGCGGATAAACGGGCGTACGTCGGCGCTGGGGGCGCGGCGTAGCTTCGCACTGCCGTCTGCCGTCCGTCGTTCGTCGCCGTGTTGTGTTTTTCCTTCTGGATACCCCGCCGAGCTTGAGTATGGGTATGGGTTTTGTGGGTGTGGGTGTGGGTGTGGGTGTGGGTGTGGGTCGATATCGCGCCGTTGTCGTGCCGCAGTCCCTTCTGAGCATCCCGTCATCCTCGCGAGCCGCTTTCGCTGGACTCGCTGTAGTCTCTGTTCCCGTCTCTGTTTCTGTCTCCGCCTCTGTCTGTCTGTCTGTCTGTCTGTCTGTGGCCTCGTCCGTCCGCGTGTGTCTGCTTGCTCTTGAAGCGTGTATCTCTCTTCTCGCTCGGCGTGGCATTGTGTTGCTGTCATGTTAGCTGTTTAGTTATCTTTTGATGTATTTTTTCGGAAATGGGGTCGTTTGAGGAATATTATATGGAGCGATGGGAAGGCTTGCGATGGCAGGTTTTTGGGGGTGCGACGGGCTACACTCGATCGTTCATTGCATCTGCTCTACTCCCTTTTACTGTACCGTGAGGAACAGGATTTTTTTGTCTACGGATGGACACAGTGCATACTGCACAGGCGGCGAAAGCTCGGGCGAGCGGCGGCCTTACGCAACGAGCCCGTGACGTCGTTCTTCGGGGATGTGCCGCCAAGCAGATTCTACAGCTGGATGCTCGACTGCACTCACTATGCTCGTAGGCGGTCATGCTCGTAGGTGATCGAGCTCACAGCGCCTCCATGTCGAAGTTTTGCGTGTGCCAGTCCGTCTCGCTGTTGTCCGTAACTGCTTATAGCCTCGAGCCGCACTCTCCTCGTCTACAGCTCTATTCACCGGTGCGCCATTTTGCCATGGCGCCTCCATGTCAAAGTCTTGCGAACGCCCGTCTGTCTCGCTCTTGTCTTGCTGTGATTTAGCCGTACCTGCCTATAGCCTTGGGCCCCACTGTTCTTTCTGCCCCAGCCTCAGCATATCAAAGACAGGGGAGCAAGCATGAGCGTCCACGCAGTCCCTTCCCTCGATGCCCTACCCCAGTCTGCAGATAGAGACCCATGTCCAAACTAGGTTTGACACAAATTTCTGCATGCACTTCCATATATACTGACAGATGCCGACGCCTTTATCTGCAAACCCGCACACCGCGGAGTCCCTGCGCTACGATGTCCCTCGTAACTCAGTGTCCTTGATGTCTCTGCCCCTCGAAATTCTCGAAGATATTTGCACACTCTGCGACGTCGATGGACTCCGTGCATTGATGCTTACCTCTTCCTCTCTGCGCCCCATTGCCGGCTCTGTCTTCGTCCAGGACGTCCCTTACTTACGCTCTTATGAGGTTCTACAAGCGTTCTGCCACTTTATCATTAAACATGAACTCGGCGGATGCATCAAACACTTCCGGCTAGGCTATTCCCTCTCTGATCGCGAACCCTCTCTCCCTTCCGACTGCGAAAATACCCTTTGTGAGGTTCTTGATACTTGCCTTGGACTCAAACGTCTCACTATTGATGTGAGAGTGCTGGTGCTCTTTCCGAAACTCAGAGAATGGCTTCGCCGATCTTCCCTCTCTTTTTGCCTCCATATGATCTTCGTTGATCCTGCTGTCGAACTAAATGATATCATCATCAATTCAGTTAATGTAGAGCTATTCTTCTGTGATACCTATACCAACATCACTAGTACCTGCGCAGATGTCTTACTAGGGTCCGCCAGAACCTTGGAGCGGCTCTCAATTCTTGCTTATCCATCGACATACTCGGATTGGTCGTGGATTCGCCTGTACCAAATGTCCTGGGTATCGCTCAAGTCTCTTACATGTACTTGGGATATATTATACCTTTTCACAGCGCATCCGTGCCCTAGCCTTCGCAGGGTCGTCGTATCTCCAGGACTGTGTTTTGTTACAAATTCACTCGATATATGGATCCTGGATCAATTGAGAGCTAAAGGGTCCCCGCTGACGAGCCCGACACTCCCCATCACCACTCCGCGGCGCGACAGTGGGCAGCTCGACACGGGACAGATTCTTTCCCGCCTCTTCCGCCACCGAACTACTCTAAGCTTCCTCTCCCTCTGTTTCCAAACCAATGCGTCTCCAATGGATCTTGTGGGTGGAGTAATGGAGGGCGGGATCGTGGCGGATAGCGAGCAAGTCGTGCGTATATATTGACCTTGTGATGTCGACTCTTGATCTGATATTTCTCGCCACAGGAGACACTCGAGTACGCTGTTTCACATGGGAATTGGAAAGCCACCAGCCTTCGCTGTCTATCCCTCTCCTTCTATGTTGAATATACAGACACACCGCCAGACATCAAATCGCGGATGCTGAAACTTCGATAGGGTGAACGGTTTCCAAACTTAACTGTTCGGTCATCAGGGAAGCAAACGTGGTGGAGGCACGATAAAGGTGGTGGATTTACTGTGATCTCGGAAAGCGAGGGAAAGTTGGCTGGAGATAGTTTTGACTAGGAAGGTATGCGGTATGTATTATATTTGGTACATCTTGTTCGGAATTTTCTGACAGTTTCGGTCCAAGTGCTTGGGCCGCCAATTTGAGCTCCGCGACGATAGTCTGGGTAGTGGCAGCTGGTTGTTGACCAGATTGTCTTCGAAATAAGTGCGCAATTATAATCAAGCACGACATGGGCAATGCGAGTCAGATCGAGAGAGTCGAATGCGAAAGGACAGACCGAATAAAATTGGTACCACGAACATGTGTTAAACATTAAGAAAAATCGGGCAGTATTTAGGATTGCATCCCTACCAACTCACCGACCTATACCACTGTGGTGGATCCTCCATGCCCAACGCCTTCTTCAGCTTTTCCATATACTTTTCCTCCGGCAGCCTCATCACAAGCTCCGACTCGTTACTCGCAACAAACAGGCGGTACTCGTTCCTCTCCCTATGTGGTGGGTGTATAATTGCAATCGTGCCTCTCCAAAACAATCCGGCTTTGGTCTTGATACGCAAGATTGCAGAGGTGTGTGCATTGAGCTTGTCCCGTTCGGTGACAACGGGACTCATGTTGTGTTCGATGGCGTACGCGTCTAGAAATTCCTCCGGTAGCATGTAGCCATAAATTATCAACCGCATGTATTTCCCAGTGCGTGGGGAAAGAGGTGCATATGTAAATCGCGATGAAGGGGCTCGTATGTCTAGGGCGCGTGTCTCTTGAGATGACGCTTCCTGCAATACAGTCTGATCACCTGATGGAAAAAGAATCGGCTCCTGAACAGAGTGAGAACATGTTCACATGCATGAGATGTACAGATATCATATGGCACTTGAGATACAGAGATGGCGGTTAAGGAGTCGAATTTTGGCGGGGCTATAAGATGTTGAACTTGTGTCACGTGACCTAACCTGTTACTCCCTCATCGCCGCATCGCTTCCACTTTCGCAGATGACTAGCTGGGACCGTTTCATGTGAGTGCATGTTTCTATTATATTGACGGCTAGGACTTGCCACTCACGTACTCAGTGCTCAGCGTTCAGAGCCAGCAGTGTAGCACCATCGGAAGAGCTCTCTAGGCTCATATGGACTTTATAGTGGTAGATAATGTGGCGATGATAAGATCATGTCAGAAACCTAGTTTACTGGCTTATACCACTGTGAAGGCTCCTCCGTACTCAATGCCTTCTTCAAATTTTCCATATACTTCTCCTCTGGCAGCTTCATCGTAGACTTCGACTTCTTACTCGCGACAAACAGACAGTATTCCTTTCTCTCCCTGTGCGGTGGGTGTACCAATGCAATCAGCCTCTCCAAACAATCCAGCTTTGGTCTTAATACGCAAGATTGCAGAGGTGTGTGCATTGAGTTTGTCCCGTTCGGTGACAACGGGACTCATGTTGTGTTCGGTGGCGTACGCGTCTAGAAATTCCTCCGGAAGCATGTAGCCGTATATCAGCAATGGCATATATTTGCCAGTGCGTGGTGGCGGAGGTGCATATTGGAACGGTGCTGATGGGGATCGCATCTCTAGGCTTCGTATCCCTCGAGGTTTCGCTTTCTGTGCTACAGGCTGATCTCCTGAGGAAGAGATACTCGGTGGCAAGTCCCTGAACCAATTGTGAGCAAGTTCCCAAGCATGAATAGAATCTTACATGTTTGCAGAGATAACGGGGGAGTTCGAAGACCGAAAGTTGGTGTCTGTCTGATCAATACTAGACAAGAACGTTGAACATCGGTCACCGTATCACGTGAACCAATAAACTCAAGCAGTCGCTGCGAGTCGCTTCGCTTCCATCGACTCCCGCGCACACCCACCGAGGGTAAGGCCCTATACTGGGTCTGTGAGCTCAATCACTGACACATGGTCATACTATACGGCAGTGCAATGCACTGGTTTGAGAATACTAGGCGTAGTCCCGATATTTATTTCTAATGATACAACAGCACAAAGACAGACCTGGTCAACCAAAAATGATCAATCCTCCTCCTCATCGCTCCCATAGTCCCCTAGTCCGAGTGCGGGAGCTGGCGTCTGAGCTTTAAGCTTCGTAAGTGCTGATGGTGTAGAGGCGCCCTGCCGTCTGCGGATCTCAGCAAAGTATTGGAGACCTTCAAGGGTATCGGAGCTGAGCAGACCCTTCGGTCCCTCTTGAGCAGACTCCGGTGGTGAAACGTGCTCCTCTCGCTCTTCCTCCTGCTCATCGGGCCCTTCCAGCCGTCTCCTCTTTCCCTCTGGTTCTCCATCCGTGCCGTCTCCGTCCTCAATAAACATATTCTCGTCATCCAGCTGAACGCCATCCTCCAATGCACGCACGGAACGCATTGCGTCGACAATTCGGGGGTCCATGCGGGCGCGAATAGCTTCCTGGCCAATTTCTACCAAGCGGCGCTTCTCAGCGACCTTTTGCACAGGGTTGGGGTCCTCCGTCGCCCAACGGACGTTGAGAATCTCGTCGTTGTCGAGCGACTGGCACGCCATGGCTTCTTTGGCGAACTGGGCGGCAAATTCTGAGACATATGTGACGAAAGCTACGGAGCGATATTGCAGGACCCTGACTGCGAATTCAGAGACACACCGCAACGGAGGGAGAAATATAAGTTTATCAAGTCTTTGACAAGTACGTGAACCGTGGGCGTACCTCGCTCGATCTCGCCCCATTCCTTGAAATGCCTTATGACAACCTCCTCCGTCTCTGCACCGACGCCCGTCTCCTTTATCCTCCCAACGTAAAGCGTGCGATTCTGTCGCGTGAACGAGCCGACGCCGCCCATATCGTCGCGATAGTCGGCAAACTTATCCCGCGCAAAGCAGTCTTTCGAAGAATCGGGAAGCGAGTCTGTAGGGTCTGGAAGGAGGTGCCGATACTCGCACTCCCAGCCATACGGACAGCATCCCCTGGAGAAGAAGAGGCAGCAGTATTTCATCCCGGTCGTATTCGCCCGCGTGAGGCCTGCGTCGCGTTTGATCGAGCAGCGGGTCTGAGATTTTGTTTTGCTGATGAGGCGGGTGAGCAGGCTTCGATAGTTCATGAGAAAGGAGCGCACTTTGAGTAGCTGTCCTCACGGTCACCTCCCGCCCATTTGTTGTACCAGATGTCTAAAACGATTTTGTGAGACAAAGTCCTCCTAAGCATGTTAACCACGACGCACTGTACTCCTTTCCCGTCTGTGGCGTTTCCTTCTTCTCTACATCGCCTGGCTTGACCTGTTTCCTAGCAGGTTTCTGTTTCTTCTGCTTTGGGCGGGGCGCAACGGGAGCGACTTGGGTTTCGGTTTCTGTGCCGGTGTTCATGGTAGTCGAAATGAAAGTCGGGTGAACGGAACGTGACACCGTGACGTTCTGATATTCACAACGCGGTGACTCTCATGTCCGTTCTCTCAGCTACACTCGCCCGACAATCTTTGCGAGCTATTCGACCATCTGCGAGCCTGTGTTGTGCTCGTAGCACACAGCACCCACGTCTCACGCGGTCTGTGAGAACAGAACCTGCTTATCCTGGGCATGTACCCCTAAACTGGTTCGAGAATGCCTTCCTAGCAGCAGGCTCCGCATTCATGGCTCTGAGCAGTCCTCGGCGAGGAGGTAAGTATTTTTTTGCAATGAAAATACATTAGCGTGGGCTGGCTTGCTGACATCGTGATGTAGACATGGTCGCAGCTCTGGGTGAGACAACTGCTGGCCCTGTGTTGCCAGTCTTGCAGGAGCGTATGCTCGCAAGCGCAGAAGGCAGACGTATACTCAGAGAGCGCCCACGCGTCAATTCTAGTACAGTTGACATGAACAAACTCGCCCAGCTTCCGGAGGGTACGTTTGGGCACACCTACGTGACCTGGCTCGAGCGGTGTGGCGTGACACCGGACACCCGCGAACCAGTACGTTGTATTTCTACAAATTCATGGGTCAAGCCTGCGTCGCGCTTTCGATGACAGGCTTGACGTCTTATGCGCCCAATCACAAGATCACGAGATAAACAATACGTCTGAAGGCGAGAGAGCGCATTGCAGGATTCCTCCTCACGTGAAGGAGCCTTTGTTCTCAGACAAGATTTATGTCTTTGTAAAAGCGTGTGCAGCGGCAACGAACAATCTTGTTTCCGCATGAATCTCCTCCAACTCTTTGCTCGCTTGTTTACCACTCTTATTGTCGCAGGTACACTACATCGACGACCCTGAACTCGCCTACGTGATGCAACGCTACCGCGAATGTCACGACTTCTACCACTCGCTGTGTTCCCTTCCCGTCTCTGTCGAATACGAGATTGCTCTCAAGTTCTTCGAATTCGCCAATCTTGGATTTCCTATGGCCGCGCTCTCCACTTTGGCCGCCGTCCGGCTCACGCCTGCCAAACGCGCACGTTTGTTCCAGGAATACGTTCCCTGGGCTCTCAGATGCGGTAGCTCGGCGAAAAGCCTGATCACGGTGTACTGGGAGGAGAGGTGGTCTCAGGATGTTGAAGAGCTCAAGAAGGAGCTTGGTGTGTGGGATCCGCCAGTGGCGAAATGGAGGAAACCGTTGAAAGAGGCCAGAGAGGCAGCAGAGCAGAGGGCGAGAAGTGCGCCTCAAGGATTGTAGCTCTCGCGACCACGTCCGCAATACACTCATGTCTCCACTCACTTGGCAGACTGTACGCAGCTGATTGAGCACCTGTAGGATTGACTTCTTTTCCAAGTAGTAAGTGAACCTTCAGACAATCGGCCTCTCTCTAGGTCGCTTCTTCAATTTCTGCGGCTTTTTCTTCCCATCATGAGTGATCTTTTTTGACCTGGGGGCCGAGGCCCACGGTGTCAGCTGAGACGGCAGTGCAAACACACTCATAGCATCTCCACGCGAGTTTCATGCTGCTCCCTCATACCTCTTATTTGTTTCACCTTCACTACATCGTCCTCTACTTTACTCTGGATTGCTGATCATATTCAATTCTACACAGATCAGCACGGTATTGCACGCTGTCTAAATATCGTCAGCCAGAATTGTTGAGTGGCTATGTGGCCGCGGGCCACCCGCTCTCAGCGTCATTGACCTGTCTAACCACAGCTGTCCGCTGTCCGGGCGCTCTTACAAATAATCATACATGCCGCCTCTTGATCACGCACGCGAGCTCCACCCCGCAATTTAAAAGTCGCGCTCTGCGGACGCTCCCCCCTTCTAGCTGCACCACACCGCCCGATTATCCGCTATTCAACTTCACATCTACCCATTCCCTCTAACGAATATCGACAATATCATGATCTTTCCCGGCCCTTCGCATATCGCTGTGGCGCGCAAAGAGATCAACGCGGCCACGAGCCCCAGCTCCGCCACAGCCAACGCGATCGCGAGCAGCAGCCACCCACCGGTCAGCCTCCCACGCAACAAGCGTTACGGGACCATTCTCTTTCCTGAGGACGCACCTCGTCGGCGTAAGCTAAGTGCTGCGCAAGAAGTTATCGCCAAAACGCGCGCGCAGTGGGCCGCTGCTGACACAAGCCAGCACAATCACGACCACGACCATGCGCCACGCCTCGCGGAAGCATCGGGGAACAGCACCGACCAGCTCAAGGCAAAGAATAACGCCCAGATACTAGACAACCTGGCAAAGAAAGCAACCCTACACCACCACCAAGAGTTCCTATACTTATTACCACTATTGTCTCCATTACTAACTCAGACAAGGATGATAGATCCTTTGGAGGCTTCCAAAGGCAAGGAACAGAAAACACCCAAGGAAAGCAGATATAATGGAGGAACTCTAGAAACACACTTTAGGCCGAGACCCTTGATGACAAACATATTAGGAATCTTGACGATTCTACAAGCTGAGTTCCAAACAATTTTGGAGCTCCAGAAATCCCTGGAACTATTACTTCAAAGAGACTATTGGCAAGAGGTCTAGCTCAATGACCAGGCTGTAAATAGGCTGAACCAGTTCTAGTTTTATCAGAACCTCTAGATAGTTCAGTACTGAGTAGCTGACCACTTGCCACTCTCATAGGAAGATCTTCCAGTAGTCCAGATTCTTACTCCAGAGAATTAGAATGATATGCAAATGCCCTACTCTAGCAGAATACAATCTCTACAGTAATTTAGATAGCTAATGCCATGGCACTATAACAACTCTCTAATTTCTTGGCAGGATAACTAGGAAGTGAGCATAATGATATACTCTAACAATTGGCTAGTGCTGGTCAACACATCCAGACTCTTGCCCTCAACTCCCACTATGAGGCCACCTTGTAGTATAGAGACTGAAATAGCAATCCCCACATACTCCTTATCTACCCAGACAAGTTTATAGCCTATGTTAACCTCAAACTCCTTCCCTCACTTACTATTCTAGGTAAACTTGGTGCTACTAGACTGATACAAGCAGATCCCTTCCATGTTGTTCCCTGGCCCATATAGAGGCCTACCATGGAATCCTTCACAATTAGGAGGAATCCCACAACACATATAAAGTATGCCCAAGCTCATCAATGACAATGAGGCAGCCATACACATAATAAGCTGACTGCCTCTTCTGATCATTAAATTCAAAACACACCAAACCTAGTTTAGAATATGGAGGATGAGAAACCTCCCTACTATTAAAGAAATGAGGGGCAAAAGAATCAAGGAACTTAGACTTTCCACAATAGAGGAACACACTCTAGACAAGGTATTTGATTATAGACTGGAACAACTGTTTCTGGTCCTTGATTATTATCAATCAAGGACACAAATCCTTGATCCACTTAACAAACTCAATGATCTAACCCAGAGGTTTAGTAAAATCACTCATGGACTCAGAACTGGAAGCATGGGATATGCTAGACAATCTAGGCAATTATAATAACCTGGATCTATATCATTAACCTGATGAAGGTGGCAATAGATATTGAGGTAATAATTACTGATATCCTTGTTGACCAGATGATAGAGGAAAAGGTTAAGGGAATAGAGGAACCCCTTACCTTGGAGTGATATGAGAGAGAAAAGGACCCTTCATGTTATATGTCTGCAATGATAGAAAACTACAGATATCTGCAACAATATTAAACTAAGCGTAGGAAGAAAAACCTCAAACCTAGATGATACCCTAATCAAGATATATAACCTGCATATCTTAAAACTATAAAAAGATAAGGAGGCAGAGAAAGGACCTGACTACTACATACTATGTGACCAGCATAATACATAGCAGGGTCATTTAACATCCTTGCTATCAAGGAGTAATCTAACAAATGAAAGAGCATTCCATTTGGATCCTCAGTTTTACAGGGTTTTTTCCATATTAGGGAACCCTCTAAGATATCAATAAGCCTGTGCTTGGTTTGGTATGCCAAGTACACCCTCGCTTAGTGCTCTAGAGGTTGTGCTAATTGGGTTATCAATATAATGCATAACTTGGTAAAGTAATATGAGGAAGTATTGCTTACTTGGCAAAGCAGTGCTCTTCAAGAACCTCATTATCAAGGTCTAATAGGTGCCTTAGATGTCCCACTTTGGATCTCCAGTTTTACAGGATTTTTTCCATATTAGGGAATCATATATAATGCACAGATTAGTGGTTGCACTCTACTAAATAGCTCTCTAATAGAGTAGAGGAAATTTACATCCAGAACAATGTAAAACTACCAAGGCTTGGTCTGCAATAATATTAAACTAGTCTCTATCTGCAATGACATAAAAATATCATTGTCTAGAGCAACATAAAACTACCCATTGTTCTGTAAGATATTGAACTACCAATGACCATTAGAATTTGGTTATATTCTATTGAGACTGCAGATGATCATGCATCCACATCACAGAACCCTGCTAATACAGTCAAAGCACTTCCATGTTTACTGCTTTATAGTAAAAGAATATAGAGTCATTCTAGTTCAATCCTAGACAAGGTATTTAGGGACACAGAAGAACAGGCATTTCCTTGTGGTATGCCTAATCTAGTCTTAAAGTTGAAGACAAGAAATTCTGCTTTAAGACCTAGTTAGAAGGCAATTGGGACACATGCCTCAAGTCAAGACTCTAGTCAGGATAACTAGATTATGTGACTCTAATATCCCCTAAGATATTAAACTAGAGCTCTGTCTGAGATAATGATAAACTATTATTCCTTTCAGTATAGGGAATGATCAACATCATTGTTAACAACAATGACCTTAATGTCTGCAACAACAAAAACCTATCAAATATCTAAAATATTGTTAAACTACTGTCTCTTCAAGCATAGGGATTCCATACATAACAATTTGTCATCAAATTGTCATGTGTCCAAAATGACACTAAACTAACCCTCATCTCTAGAGGGCTATAAACTATTGTGACTCAAAGCCAAAAGTCAAGATAATAGCTAGTGTCCTCTATGACATTAAACTAGACAGGATGTTCCCCATAACATGGTAAACTGGACAGTCATTTATCTAGGACTTAAGTTATCCAGTTTGATATAGTATAAACCATCCATCAATTCCTAATTTATTGGGAAAGGCAAGACCTGGTCTAGGGCCCTATGTACATCACTAATGAATGTTCTGGCATGCAGAAAAGTCTCTTTCCTTTTATTATAGAAAGTTGATGAAGCAGTCTGAAATGACCTAACAAAACTACTAGGCAAAACAAAAGATCTTCATCCACTGTTTATCCATAGTAGCCAGATTAGCAAAATAGTCTGCAAAGATGGTAAACTAATAGTAGTCTGCAAGGATGGTAAACTAATAATAGTCTACAATAATGGTAAACTATTAATGTCCATCATGATAGTAAACTACAGATGTCCACAAAGACAATGAATCTATGGAATGTCCAGCATGATGTTTAAACTACTATTATGAATTTACCTTTTAGCAACCCTGCATAATCAACTATCAGTGGTTTTATTGCAAACTTCTTGTTTTATTGATCCCTACCAAAAAGGCCAGACCACTCTATTGACTAGGCCTAAATACCAACAAGACATTAAAAGTCTAATCATCTTCTATTCTTACCTCAAGTCCAACACCACATGTGGTATTTCCTACCATAGGCCCACATTTGTGACAAACAAACTCTGGATGCACACTCACACTCACTAGAGCTGAGCTCACCATATGGGAGTAATACCACTTGGGATTATCTTGCTAGTCCAAAGCAAAAGGTGGTGGCTTTTCTTACACCATCTGGAGAAGTAGGCCTAAGCCTTATATAGGCAATCAACCTACTTGTCTGCAGACCCCCCTCAGCATGACAATCATGAGGATACCACAATCATGAGGATAGAAGAGCTATCCTAGAAACACTGAGACTTGGCCTTTGAATTGGAACACAACTGCAACCACATGATGAGTTTCTACATCATCATGAAAATCATTCACATTTAGCACCTTTCTTGGAACCATGACCAGGGCCGACCTCCCCTCGTGTCCATCTGCCGAACTCGGACAGCAGCCGGATCCCCCATCACTGCGTCCCGATTCCCGACCCAATGCCACAGCGAGACCGTTCACAGCTCGCGTCGCACGGGGTGTCAGCGCAGGCCCCTCCCAGCGAGGGCCTGAGTCCGCTCGCCCGCCCGCCCCGCCGGCGAACACACACAATCTGTCCAGCTCCACAGCCCTCGACAGCATCGTGAGTTCCGTCTGTCCACGAACATCGTGCAGCGCTGACCACCACGTGCCTGCTCGCCGCCGTGTGCACGAATAGACCGAGGAGGCAGCGTTGATGATGATCTCCGCGGTGCGCGAGGATGGGAGCATACCCTGCGGCCGTCAAGGGTGCTACGATATTCTCAAGGACGTAAAGCGCTGGCGATGTATTTGCATATTCATGAAATGTAGATCAAGTGCGTCCACTTCCCACCGCATTCCACATATCCTTGTCCTACACGCATTTCTAGAACACATTCTCATTTTACTATATCCTCCAGCTCGTCTGTGGCTGTTCCGAATATTGGACATTTTCTTATTTATTCTTTCTTAACCTTATATATACAAGTTATAATTGTTTCGCTGCCTTTTTCAACACTTCCTACATTTCTGTTCATAATTATAACATTTTTTTTCTGCTATTACTTTCCTGTTCTGTCTTACTTTCTAGTCATGCTATGATAGCAAACCACACATGCAGGTTCAGTGCGCTTGAACAATAACATGTCCTTAGCATGGTGACATAAAAACGGGCATGTGCGCGGACGCGATCATGGAACGTCCTAAACGACAGTGACATAGAAACAACAGCATCGAACACCCTATGATGTACATCGACCCCGCAAGTGACCGACAAAAGTGACGAGATTAGGGAGCGAAGAGGGTGTCGAGGAAAGCCTTCGATGCGGAAGTATCCTTCTTCGCGGGCTTCTTGTCCTTCTTCGCCTTGACTCGCTCCTGCTTGACTGAGGCAGAGATGTAAATTCAACGGATCCGCAGCGATGTGGATCATGAAAAGGTACGCACGCAACTCCTGCCTGCGAAGAGTCTTGGCGTAGGGGTTGAGGCGGAAGAGGACACCCTTGTTGCGAAGAGGGTTCTTGTGCTGCGTCCAAGGGCGCTTTTGGATTTTAGGGTTGGCAGGGCGAACGACGGACTGAATCTCAGTGCTGTTGATGAGACGGGTGACGTCGGGGTTGGTGATCTTCGCGGTAGGGAGGCTGAACGCATTTTTCAGTTCAGAAAAGCACGAATACAATGAGGATAGAGCCATACAAGTAGTCCTTCTTGTAGACCGCCGCCTTCTCGAAGGTGCCGAAAACCTCATCAAGTAGGCTGAAAGCGCCTTCAGTCCAGATGACGAAACGACCAATGTGTCCACCAGGGGCAAGCTGAAGGAGGTTCAGGCGCTTGACATTGACAATTTCGACACCAGGCAAATTACGGAAGGCCTTGACAACGCCCTTGTCCTCGTTGTAAACAATCAAGGGTCCACGACGTTGACGGTGGCGGCGACCACGCATCTTGCCCTTTCCAGCACGAAGCTTGCGTGAGTTGGATACTTTCACAACATCGTTGTATGCATGGAGAGACTTGAGGAGGGCAACTGCCTCCTTGGTCTTGGAGAAGGACTCGACGGCATCAGCAACAACCAAGGGAACCTCCTCAATCTCCTCGATACGGTGTCCGCGAGCGAGAACGAGGGAAGGAAGGGCGGAGGCGGCAAGGGCAGAGACAGTGGCAAAGCGACGCTGGTTCTGGTTCACCTTGACATGCCATTTACGCCAAATCTTAGTCGGGGCGAACATGCGACCACCACGGCACATGTTACCGAAAGCAGCCTATCGCAAGCAAATTTTAGAATGCATGTATACACGAGGATTGAATCTGAAGTAAATACCTGGCCGGAACGATGGGTTCCTCCACCACCGACACGGGGAATACGAGCGACGGCACGACCGGTACCCCAAGACTCAGCAGAGGTCTGGTGGCCAGCCTTCTCGCTCACAGAGTAAGCCTGACGCTTGTTCTTAGCGATGCTCTCTACAGTCCTGGTTCAGAATTGATCGTAGAGCGAGCTGTTTGCTACTCACTATGCACCTGCTGTACGACATCGAGCCTTATTGGGGCGGTAAGAACGGAGGGGAAGGGGAGGGACGAGGAGGCCTCTGCGTGGCGATCTGAGCCCAGCGAAATCGGGGGAAGAATGAGAGATACACACCGCCCGAGGTGGAGCGAACGTTGACGGTGGGGCGGGAGGCCATTGAGGATAGTCTTGAGGGTCTTGCAGCAGCGCCTTGCTTGTGGCTGGTCGGTGTCGAGTCCGCCCTCATCAATTTAGAGTTTGCCAGTACCAAGCCTCAGCCAAACATGCGCAAACACTCTTCGCCGGACTCATTGCAACCACCAACCTCCACCAACAAGTCCATGACTTGTTCTCATCAGCAATCGCACAAATTCGAGCTATCATCAACTTAGCCGTCCCGTCTGATTGCGTACTATGCATCTCAGCTTATCCGCAAGGGACATCACATGAATCTCATTGTGTCCGGTTAAGCATCCATAAATATCTGCTCTTACCCAGCATGACTGGTGGGTGCTTATACCTCAACTAACTTATACAGCGCGATCTTATCGCCAAGTTGGTATCGCAGCACTATCAGGCTTCAGAATGTCTGTCACTTGTGCCTTCTGACCAATTGATTCCCCTAGTGACAGTCGACATTGATCGCAGCTGTGAGTGCTCCGGGACATTTTGTACTGACCTGCGAAACTACGGACTTCATGCTACACTCGCGTCGATGGAAGAAGTATCACCAGTATTTCTCATAATTGCATAATCCTCATGCCCCTACCGTGTATGTATTTGCTGCGTCGCTTTAATCGCTAAGCCGTTTGTGACATGCTTGGCTGTAAATTTTCGGTAAAGGGACGCGACATCCTCATCGACAGGCCACTCTTTCGAAACGTTCAAAACCTACGTTTGCTCTACTACTACCACGCGACCAAATGGCGGGTGCCTAAATATGGCTGTGCTGTATAGGTTGAACCACCTGGAACTACGCTACCGAGCACAGCTTGTGTACCGCTGTCGTCGAGTAGGAAAGGTGAAGTCGCATCGAGCAACTATTTGGAGGATCAGGATAGATATTGGACTTATTTACAGAGCATTCTGTATCATTATGCAGACGGCCCATCTTGTAGTCGGGACGAGATTGGAATTTATGTTTTTACAATGTTCTTCATGGTGGGTAGGGAGACCAATCACATTTTATAACTAACGGCATTTCCCTGACTCAGTTGTCAAGAGTATAAAATGACAAACGTCGTCCATGTCTGTCGTTCGGAGTCGTAACTCGTATGCCATGGGAAGTGATTGTTTACGTTGACATCTTGTTTCTCGTAAGAGACAAAATTCGCTTGCCAAAACGCATGTCCTTGCTGATAGGCTTGTCGAGGATCCTAACGGTTGCATCGCAAGTTTCGTTTAACTCAAAGGGTGGCGGAAAGTAGCGGTGGTAGAACAGCTCAAATTGTTCTTGTGAGTGACTGACGTGATGTCTACAGTCACATCCCGACTCTCAACTCCTTCATCATTCCTAGATCTGAAACATGATGTACGTTCGACTTGCGTCGTGCACGAGAAATCACTTACTCTCTGTTAAGGAGCTTGCCACCAACAATGACTCTGTCAGAAGATCAGGTCGTATCGCAAAAAGCGTCATCACGAGAAACACAAGGCTTAGAGATGCGAGCCCTATCATCGCGGTATCAATATGCGCCTCCGCTAACACGCGTACGCCACCGAACACAACATGGGTCCCGTTGTCACCGAATGTGACAAACTCAATGCACACACCACTGCAATCTTGGCAATCAAAAACGAAGCCGGGTTGTTATATAGAGGCATGCTCGCATTGATACATCCGCCGCACAGGGAGAGGAAGGAATACTGCCTATTTGTCGCGAGTAACAAATCAGAGTCTACGATGAGGCTACCTAGGGAGAAGTATATGGAAGAGTTGAAGAAAGCAATGGGTACGGAGGAGCCTCCACAGTGGTATAAGCCAGTTTAGGCCACCGAGATAGAAACAAAGCCATACCTGTGAATTTTCAATCTTGTCGCTGCTCGCTGAGTGAATACTGTCAAATCTTTCTAGATGTTTACTACATGGTGGTGCTATGGATTTATTCTATACTGAATGCACTTTCTGATTCGGGACGAATGCCATTGCAATCTGACCGTCCAGATTCAGGAACATAGGTGTCTAGTATTCTATTCGCAGTGCTATGGGTACGACGAAGCCAGGTTCACTTATCGGAGGGGGTCTCCTGCGTGCTGTATCGCTGTGAATTTCAAGGATCCGTGAGCTTGTACTTTTGATATACACTGTATGAATACTCACCACGCTCCTTCCCAATCAAATCGATCGTATGCCAAGATTTCTTCGCTCTGCGAGACAATATTAAATTTGCCATTCCCGTCGCGCCTATACTATGCTTGTTTTGACCCTTGGAGATCTAGATACTCAAGATTTGGGAACCGTTCAAACCACGGGATTTCCAGCATCCATGAGTTCAAGCCTTGCATTCCCGAACCTGCATTAATCGAAAGATAACGAAGACTAGGAGCTTTCCGATCTCATTATACAGACGCACCATGGCTTGATCATTCGGTTCATCGGCTCCTGCAGTAACTTCCACCGAAATTTCAATCACAAGATCGATATCAAGCCGTATGGTAAGACTATGGTTCGTGCCAGCTCGCGCAAGCGAGCAAGCACCATACTCGACCGATCCCAGTCCCAACATCAAAACGTCTCGTCAAGACTTTGAAACTCATCTTTCTATCGATCGGAGTCGGTTCGGAGGCAGGGTCAGACACGAAGGGAGAAGAGGGGCGAGTCATTTGTATTTGGCATGTCTGACATAGGGTTCTACTACCCTGATTCGACAATAAACGGGATTCTATTTAAAAAAAAAGACTATGGTAAGGAACAGGAAACGTAGAGTAGTTCCGTATTTGAAAAGGTTCACGCTGAGGGTCCACTAGGTCACCCCCAAGCCCGAACTTGATCAGCACGACCACGGGCGCCAAGTTATCTGCGATGCGGGACACGAGAGTCCCTGCTCTGCCGACCATGCGCATAGTGAAAAGCCCGGCGTGGCCACCAGCCCTGTGAACAACGTCGGGATCTGTTGCGTAAGACTGCATTGACAAGCATATTAGCTCACATAAGGATATTGCTGCATGATGTATGTAGGTCTCTTTGGTGCCACTAGACAGCAAATGAGGTGTAAACACTGCAGAGCAATGACGCCTTTGCATTCCAACGATGTAACCGTGACGATGCTGCTTGCCCACACAAAGGCCGGGTTATTTGTCCACAACAGGGCTCGCTATATCTCAAGACAAGGTTTGCATTGTCTCACCTTCAGTATAGGACTCCGTTTAATCTAGCTAAACACATAACCGACCAGAACAAGCATCCGCGGAACAACAACATAGATCTGTTTCATTCGTTGACGGATATCGCGCGAGACAACAGAAGACGATGTAGACGGACTCGAACCCCTGTTAGATCCATAGAAGGCGATGCGATGTGTCCCGTCCCAAAATTGATTCGTAAAAAATTGGAACCTACGACTCGGTCTCAGAGGCGCTCGGCCTCAAAGCCACTGCGACGGTTCTTGCAACGATGCTGGCATTTTTGGAAAGAAGAAACATGAGCATAGAATTTGGAGCAATGCTCGGAATGCTCGGATTGTGTATGCGCGGCCATGGTGGTTCTCGTGCAATATGGACAAAAGTTGTCAACAACGCCAGCGGTTTCGAATTCGGATTCTGCCGAACTTTTCCGGTAAACATGGGCTCAGTGTTGTCTGTTGCACATCGCGTCCGTGTCCATCGGTACGTATTTTCTCTATACCGTGAATGATGTTGATGATATCAAACTTTGCGCGCAATAGGCTCTGACCAAGCTGAGACAGCGCGATGATCCTTGCATCTGCACGCCGTAGCGTATCCAGGACTTCTATTGTGTCGAGGACATACGGAACGACGTCTATGAATCGGACTCGGACTCTGAATCCTATACCGGCTACCTTTCTGCGTGGCGGTACATCGAAGGGCGTATTCATCAATCGTTCTGACCTTCCCGAGGACCAGTCGCAATGGGATCCTATATTTCTCGGCATCATGGGGTCTCCGGATCCTGAGCATGGACGCCAGCTGAACGGCATGGGTGGAGGCATTTCCAGTCTTTCGAAGATCTGTGTCGTCGGGGCGCCGTCTACAGAGCAAAGACAGGCTGGGATTGACGCGACCTATACATTTGCCCAAATCGGTATACGCGACAGTGCCGTCGATTACACCGGTAATTGCGGAAATCTCTCAAGCATGGTCGGTATCTTTGCTGTGGACGAAGGAATCTGCACGCCGTACGTTCGTGGCCAAACCGGCATTGTTCGTACGTTCAACACCAACACCAACAAACAGATCAACAATACGTTCCCAGTCGCTCTTGAGGAGGACCATCATATCCCCATACTTGATCTCGAGCAAGGTATCAATGCTGGCGTACCTGGAAAGGCGTCGCAGATAGTGCTTGACTTCGTCTCTCCTGGTGGTGCTGGGACAGGCAAACTTCTACCCACTGGAAATCCGACCGATGTTCTGAACTTATCCTCCGATTTGAACCTTCGCGCTTCATTGGTCGACGCAACTAACCCCTCTGTGTTCATTACTACTGAAGAACTTCAAAATATTCTCGATTCGCATTCTCCAATCGACTTCTCCAACCTCGCGACTCTCGAGCTACTGGAACGGGTGCGTCAGAAGGGGGCAGTGCGTATGGGATTGGACCCTTCGGCACAAGCGCAACCTAAAATCGCAGTCCTCGAGGCATCGTCTTCCACTGAAGCTGATATTGTCGTTCACGCATTGTCGATGGGTGTTCTTCATAAAGCTGTTCCTATGACCGTAGGCTTATGCCTTGGTGTTGCCGCACGCATTCCCGGGACGGTTGCATGGGAGATTGTGGAGCAGTCGCGGACAGGAGGAGCTTGTAGCCCGGAGCTACTTAAGATCAGGCATCCAAGCGGTGTAGTGGATGTAGGGGCAGAGCTCGCAGAAGATGGGGAAGTGAAGAGTGCCAAGGTGGTACGAACGGGACGCAGATTGATGAAAGGAGTCGTATGGTGGTAGGTGGTGGTGGGTGCCCGATGCCAAAAAAGCATTGCAGAGTCAATGGTGCCTATGGATTCAGACGTTAGGTTCCATTAAATGACCAGAACATGATTTAACGTTGGCAGGCTCGTCATGGAATTAGTGTCGTTGTTTCTTGATAAGAGCGGCACAAGGAAAGAGCTCCACGCACCGTGGTCCGCACTGAGTACTGAGCATGGGGGTGAGCTGTCTCGTACCCGATCATATACGCCCAAAGAGGCGCATAGCGAAGTCCTTTGCAACATTCACCAAGTCTTGACGAATTGTTTGTCCATGGGAAGGCTCCCAATGGACAACTTCTGTGGAATGATGACAACCATACTGAAAAGCGAGTCGCGGCCGAATAACCTCTGGAGCAGATCGACGTAGTTTGAGAGTAACAGCAGTATGTCCGCGAGTTGGCAGACCCAATCACGAGTTCGGAGCCCGAAAACATCGACGCGTCGTTTGGAACGCGTCGTCTCGTTTTATGATCATAAATCCTCTCCGCTCCCCACTTCCCTCGAAGTTCCCAAGCCCTAATTCTGTTTCTGACACTCTTCCAAAAGAGATGTCTTCTCAGAAAGCAATAGACTATCTCACTAAGCAGCTGGTCGTCAATAAGAACATCGTGTGTGGCAGAACCTTTCCTACCGAGTCTGTGTCTTCATGCATGTTTAGGTGACATATCGCTCGTTCAGTCGTGATTTAGGTATTCACGTAAACGAAGCAAAGAAGTATGGACACCATAGAGCTTGAAGTTTCTCAAGTTGATTGTGACATTGGTTCCCATCACAGCGAACTTGCAGCATATCATTCCGCATCCAAGGATGCTACCGAAACTTCATATGCTACATATCTTATATGTGGAGAACGTCGACCAGACACAATGGATGTGGACGAGCAGGACATGGATAATGGCGAGGACGTAGTCGAGACGACAATCCTACTTGTTGCGGAGAGCGACCTTGATAGTACGCTGGGCATCTTTCTCAATGTTTATACGGTTATGTCAATGTTGTTTGACCTCGCAGATGCCCAAGGGAGTTTCTCGCAAACATATTCGGTGCATATATACAGCCTTTCACCCTCGCCTGTCCGAGTGCGTAGATGCAAATATGTTCCATTGCATCTCACTGATCCGTCAATTAGGAAGCAAACCTAATTTGTGCGCCAACACCTAATCTCCGTCAAGTAGAGCTCAAGGAAGGGCCGGGCTTTGCATCGCGGGTTGGTAGAATCACCGGCGAACATGTTGAGGTGAGATCTCGCCCTCACAAATGACTAGGTACCAACCGACGTTTATTCAGGTAAAAGCCAAGCCACCCAAAGGAAAGGCTGGCCTTGCCGTTGCTGCATCCTCCTCGGAAACCAAGATGGCTAGTAACATCAAGGCCGTAACCTCGGCCCAGGATCCCAAGGTAGACAAGAAGGAAGAGACCAAACCGCCCCCAAAACGAGAATCTGAAGATATCCAAAGGAAGCCGCAGGCGTCTGGTAAACTGAATTGGAGTAAAGCGCTCCCAAAGGCGATGAAGAACGATGATCATGTGGCGCCTGACACGAAGATGAAAGGCCAGGAATCTCATCCTATCAAGGACAAAGAGAAGCTACCTACCAAGAGAGAGAAAGTCGAGCTCAAGGTGGGTCGACATTTGATAACATTGGCGATGACCTCGAGGATGACGCTGTGAAGCGAGGAATCAAACGAAAGTCTCCCGCGCGATTGTTAGATTCAGATGACGAAAAATCAAGCACTTCGTCTGTCAAGTTGCCAAAGCCAGCACCCACTAACGAGGCTCCAAAAGCCCCGATTGGTGCCCGAGTCAAAAAGCGCGTCGTCGTTTCCGACGACGAAGAGGAAGCTGTAGAAGATCCAAAACCGTCTCGCAGCAAGGCGGCTGGAAAAGCCAAGGCACTGAGTTTTGATTCAGACACGGACGAGGCTTTGAGGGCCATGATGGATGTAGACGATGGTTCGAGTTATTCGTCTTTATTTTTCCCTGCCGATTTCGTTTACCATGCCTTTGCAGACCAGGTCATTAAAGCGTCCAGGCCAAGTATCTCATCGCATGATGCAGCGCACGATGACGACGTAGAGATGCACTCAGAACAGCAAGAGGATCCTGAGCCGGCGCCGAAGCCAAAGCCTAGGAAGAAGAAAGAGAAGAAGGTTGTGCCAGTCGGGAGGAACGGGTTCAAAAAGAGACGCGTTGTCAAAAGTCGACAAACATTCGATGAGAAGGGTTACATGGGTGAGACCCTGACGTATGCTGGTTGCGAGTTCCCTCGCTGATCATTCTATCGCAGTCACTGAAGACTATTCATCGTATGAATCTATTGATGATGAAGAACAGGAGCCTGAAGCACCCCCAAAAGCCAAAGGCAACCGAAAGCCACCTGGAATCAAGCTCACTGACGGTGTCCCTTCGCCTAATATGGCATCGACGAAAGGTCAGACAAAAGACTCGCGTGTATCAGATGGATCGCATCTCAACGTGAAAGCTGGGGCCTCCAGAGTGGGAAAGCAGCCGAGCCTGATGAATTTCTTCGGTAAGAAGTAATCCCTTTTGATGTATTATATATATATTGCCAGGTTACCATTCGCTTGCTTGCTGGATTGTATATGGTTTGCATGGTGCATGTAGGCAAGCAGGCCACCGGCAGGAAAACGCGTTCACGGGCAGCGCCATGCCATACGCCCCAAAATGCTTCCGTTCATGCCTCATCTTTAGCGCACGCTATGGGGTCAGTACATTTTTGTGTATCACTTCCTATCAATCGCAGCTGCAGATCATGAACTTCATAAACACCGAGGAATAGCAATCTACGTCCACTTTGATGTGGAGAGGCTGCCTTTGACAAATATATCAAAGGGACGCCCTGGCACAATGCCATACTATCACTGGCCCTATGTTCGGACAGTACCGATGTTCGGACAGTCTATGTTTCTCGCTCATTGCTCGACATATCAACCTCAATATTTTGACCATAAATCGTGTTAAATAGTGTAGACTTGGTTTCTGAAACTTTGAGATTTTTTAAAGGTGATTTATGTTCCTAAATGTTGAAAATGTGCCTTTGCAAGCCCAATGTCATGCCTCAGATGAGTCGGAGCACGCGAGGAAGGATCCTGATGATCCAATTTTTTTTATGTAGTCTAGTGTAGCCCATATATATTGGTTCCGGTATGTGAATAACATGCACGGTGTGTTGTTGCACTCGTATGAAAATACAAGGTATCAAGCGTGACATTCGGACACGGAGCATCGAAGAAGGGGAGTGCAAATTTGTTCTCCGCACATAGTTCTACCAGCAACAAGTTGTGTCCGAACATTGTCCCCACTGTCTCCCCTCCTCAACCGTGCCACAGACTATACTGAACCTACAGCCTCCTAAGTCACAAACTTCTCCCCACTCCTATGTTTACCCAAGGTGACACCCTTGTCTCACAACTGTTCTCCACACCAACCCTGCAGGGTGGCAACAAGCATAAACCTCAAATCTAGCACACTGAAGAGCAACCCCAAGTAGCTGTCAAAGAACTAGGAAATGACAGCCTTAGCCTTTGCAAGGCTGGGAAGAAACATGATGTCCCTCCTTGAATTCATGATCATGTGTGCACTGTGATCCTCGTCCGAACACAGGTGCAAGTGTCGGAGTCTAAAATTAGAGGCGGCCGCTTCGGCTGTGCGATGCGGATTCGTGACCCGGTGTGACCAGACTGTCCGAACAACGGTCTCGTTCACAAATTTCTACTTTTCTCCCCGTTTCCACCAGAATAAAGTATACAGGCTTCGAAAAGGTCTAGCAGGCATTGTTTGTGCAAATTTTGGGGGTACAAGGCGAAGTCTACAGAGGGCAGGATTTTTTTTCGTCCAGTTTGTCCGAACATAGGGCCAGTGATAGTAGGTCTGAGCAAAACAATACAATAGCACCATGCGCAAAGATCAATAGACACTCATAATTTGGCCGAGAGCGGCCTTTGAGAGGTTCAGCGGATATCTTAGGCAGCGCTAAATGGTGGTACAATAGGGTCTTATTTGCACGCGTCGCTGCACCCAGTGATCAGAATGAGAATGAGATTCGCCTATGCTTAGAACGCACCGTGACTGGGGCACGAACTCAGCGATCTCGCGGAAGGCAGCAATCTCGTCCGCCGAACAGACTTCTGAAGCGAACCGTACGTACGAGTCGAGATCAGATATTGGTCTAAGAGTAGAAGGCCAGGTCAGGATTTCGCATATCCACTCGAGTGCTTGGGCGAGAGGCTGGTCTATCAACGAGAGCAGGCTGCATTTCAACGTGAATGGCATGACGAATGGAACGCAAATGCGTGAGGGCTTCGGGACTGTGACGTTTCAGATCATTGGGTTCAAGAAAATGGTCCCCGATCATATGTGCTCAAAGAGGAACACATCGAGATCAATCCACGATACCGACAACATAAGTAGGATCGTCCCAGGCGACTAGGATGTTGCCGAGGTTGAGGTCATCGTGCCGAAGGACAACAGGACAGGATGGGAGATCGAACGCATCGAAGTTCAGAGAATCAATGGCCTTGCACAATAGCGTATACCAGGTGGATATGTAGCGCAGGCTATCATTAGCGTCCTCGTCTGGGAGGAAATTCTTGCGCGTTGTAAGCCATAAGTCAGGTTCATTTTGCATGAATGCTACTTGCGACAGGGCCAACACTTCGAAGAAATCTCTCGACGAAGACTATGGCCCATTGTCGTCTTTTCCAATTGGAGAATAATTTCTACCTAGAGTCATGTGTCTAACGCGGACTGTGCCAGTTTGGTCGTCTGTAGGAAGGCAACCGATGGAGTTGACCGTCGCATTCAGTATCTGTCCTTCAATACGTGCGACTTCTAGGACCACTGTTTCCATCTGCTTCATTGTCAAATCACCCCAGACATCTGTTAAACGACGACCAATGATCTAGATAACCATATAAGATTCGTCAAGTTTGAGACATGAACAGCACATGCCTGCGATTGGAGGCTGTAGCGTGTATTGACTGGATTTTCTGGATGGGCTGCATACGCGAAGACATGGGCCACAGGAATGGAGGTCGATTCCTTCAAAAAGCGCAGCGTGGCGATCTGTATAAGATATCAGTTGAAAGAAGACAGAAGTCCCTGTGACGATTGACGACTCGCCTCCAAGGCCACCCTATGTAACATAATGCTTAGTTCAATATGATCATCTTGACGATATCCTGTTCCATTGAGATGAGAAACAATTGGCTCGCGTGAATCACCCTCAAACGTCAGAATGGACATCTGATCAACCCGATAGTTGAGGCATGCTCATTTTCGCAAACTATGAGCACCTACTTGATTGAAACCACCTGATTGTTGAAAAAAGTCAGTAAATTGACAATGGTCAGAACACTCGCGATATGCCTACCTTGGGCCAGATGATAAACAGCGCTATAGGTGTCCCAATACGTTAGTAGCGACCTCTTTCAGAGCCTCTAAGTCAAAGGCGGCGGTCGCTTCGTCTGCTTTTCTCTGACGCTCCTCCCACATGCCATCTTGGTACAACTTCTCAAGGGCCGCAGGAGAGGGGGGGACGCATGATAGTCTGAGAGGTAGTCGTGCCTCGAGTCCGATTAAGCGCTACAACGAGAATCGATTACATCTTGCCGTACATACACACCCATCAGTCTTCTTCCGAGCCTGAACCTTTCGAAGGTTGGACATATGAAGGTTGATCTATAACTGTCAAACTTGGAACGGAAGACAGTGAGCAAATCTAAGCAAATACCACATCGACGCCTCTGCCAAGAGAATGAAAGAGACCGATCTGAGGTGCTGGATAGAGCAAAAATGTGGTTCAGCCCGGGATCGAACCGGGAACCTTCAGTGCGCACAAACCATGTGAGACGGAAATCATAACCATTAGACCACTGAACCTTGAAAATATTTGTTTTGAAAACATATAGTCTGCGCTGAATCTTAGCAGTCGGACAAACCGAGCATTCTGTTCTTGAAAACCTCCCTTTCAGGGTTCTCAAGTCTATAGTCCACCTATTCTCATCCTATCTGCTTCTATGGCTCTGGGAGCACGTACTCTGCCAAGAGAACAAAAGGATCTGTGTGCAACGGGCTCAGGTGCAAAAACGTGGTTCAACCCGGGATCGAACCGGGAACCTTCTGTGCGCCCAACCATGTGAGACAGAAATCATAACCATTAGACCATTGAACCGATATCATTCATGCTGTAGAGAAAATGCTCATCGGTGTTGGCTCCAGCATAGTAGACGGGGGTTAATTCACAAGATGACATCCTGCATCTACACCCAATGCTGCTTCCTTCGAGTCGGTGCTCATCTTGGCTCGTTATAGCCCAAGCGAGCGCAACGACAGATCATCAACTGACCGCCGATATATTCACAGTGTACATACGGTCCGGTGCCAACAAGCTAGACTGATAACAATAAGCGACGACTTGCACGAAAACATGAACCCAAGAAATCAAACAACGGGACGCGACATCACCGCCAGCGGTGCCGCGGGAGATAGAGTGGCTTCTCGATCGTGTGCACGAGGAAGTGCTCAAACGCGCGATCGGATTCGCGCGCCTGCCTGATCTCGAGCAGCTGGCTTGCGACGGGATAGTGCGCGTGGATGACGAACATATACGTGGACATGTCTGCGTCCTGTACGATCTCGACGTGGTTCTCACCCAGGCGCGTGTATCGAGTCAGGTCGATGAAGTCGTGGACCATCTGCAGAGCCACGGCCGGATGTGAGCGGGACGAATGGGACTATCAGGAAGAAGGAAAACGGCATGGACATACGATTAGCGGAGGGGCGAGCGGGAGGTTAATGGTCTCATTTACGACGGCGCGAAGTGTCTGGTTATTTGGCCAGCTACATGGAAGCACGTCGCCGATGACTTGAGGAAACCCGACTTGGCTCGTCTCCATCGCTTGACAGATGTCTGGGAATAAGTAACAGGCCAAGGAAACGCACATGCACGCGTCTCTCGACACTTCCCTACGACCATCAGATATGATCAGCGATCGAGAGGAAAGATTGAAGACAATGCAGCACACACTCTTTCGCCGTGTACCGCCCGTTCCACTTGTTCAGCTTTGCCCAATCATCGGGAGTAACCATGAACTTGAGAGAGATCGCAGCACTATCCTTCGACTGGCCCTTGTCCGCCGCAACGACGCACGCGCCCGGGCCGAAGATCGAGCCCAGCTCATCTATCATGTCGTCGTCGTCGTCCTCATTCTTCACAGTCGGCGGTGAACTAGGGTTATCGCGCTGAAGAGCGTGTGGACTGACGGGGATAGCGACAGTGATGGACCTAGACTTAGAGGCGTGCTCGCCTCGAGCGCTAGGAACACCATCGGCATGGGCGCCTTGCGGAAGGTTCGTGTGGTCGGTGATGCCCGTGCGGACGATGCCGTTCGTAAATCTTGAAGGTGTGAACATTTTCTGATCGTCATCTGCTCGAGGTATGGAGGATGTGGTCCGCGTGTAGACAGTATTAGCGTCAGTAGGTGATGAAGGGCTATCCATTTTCGTCTCGAGATCCTTTTGAGCGCTTTGGGACTGCTCACGGGATCGACAGACAGCTGCAGACGCATCGAGCACTGCCTTGTCTTCGGCCTCGCTGCCTTCCTGTGGCAAACCTTCTCGCGCGTTTCCATTGGCAAGGCCCTTTTCTTCTGTATCTTTCTCCTGGGCCTGGAGCTGAAGTGACAAGACACGTTGCTTGCGGGGCAGGTCGTCTGCAGGCGATGGTGAATAGGCGCGCTTGGAAGGCACTATGGGCGTCGTGGAGCCATCACGGTGCGGCAAGGGTTCGACGGCTATGATGACATCAACACGCATGTCGGCCTTCTCTTTATCTGGAACAAGGGAGGTATTCTCTGGAGATGGCGAGTCCTGTGACGGCGCGGCGATAGCCTGTCGCGTAACTGAGTACGATGGCGGATTGTTCGAGCAGACGAGTCTTACCTTTTCAGAATCGACAGCGTCCGGCTGTCGGCCATCGACAGGACTCTTTCTGGGCACTTTAGATTCTGATGATGCATCGTCCTGTTCGGAAGTAAGAACGCCCTCTAGGACAGGTGCCGCCTTGTCGACCGACGGCGTCTCTGCAGGAACGAGATCGGCGGCGGCTGAGTGGTCACGAACAATCTGCTCTTCGGTCGCTGTTCTATCTTTGTTATCCAGATCCACGGCCGTCGTCTCTCTGGGGGGCTCACTGGAAGGATCGACATCCATGGGGGTAGAGGGTGCATACGCAGCCTCTTGTAAGCCATTCGCCAGACTCTGCGTCCGCTGTTCTTTAACGCCCTCCGGCTGCGCCTGCGCATCCACGTGTACCGAACCTTCGTTCTCTGCACCCGTGTCAACCTCCACCGGGCTTCCTTGATTCCTCGTATACGTCAACGCCGAGCCCTTGGCGCTCTCTTCCTCCTCTATGATCATGTCCTCTACCTCAACTTCACCCCTTGTGGTATTCGCCGCCTGAGGAGGTTCGTCGACTCCCACCCCATCCTTCTTTTCCCGTCCATCCTCGCCCTCACCCTCACCCTCGCCTTCGTCATCCTCTCCTGCACCCGCACCCGCATTCGCACCGACCCTCTGCCGATTATATATCCGCAGCTTCTGCGTCCCCCCGCGCGCGTCTCGGCGGCGGCGCGAGTTGAGGTCAGTGTATGGGCTGTCCTTGGGGCTGATAGTCCCCGTGCGTGAGGAGGGCGAGTGCGGGACGGGGGCCGCCGGCGGCGGCGAAGAGGGCGGCGCGGTGCTGGGCGACGATGGCGGCTGCACGGAGAGTATGCTGAGCAGCTCCATGATCTGCGAGTTGTCGAACCTGTCTTTGAGAACAACAGCAGCAGGGGATGCGAAGGCAGGCGCGGGGGCCGTCGCTGGTATCGCCCTCGCACTTGAAATCTCCGCTATTGCTGCTGTCCCCGACTGTGCAGGAGCGGGTGGGACATCGACGTCCATGGTATCGGACGCATCGAAGGCGGATGTGCGCGCTCTAGCGTGATTGCTGATGCCGCCGTTGCTGGTCCCAGCGCCGACACCGGCACGACGTTCGGACGACGCGACGGTCTTGTGGCCAGACTCAGCGGCTGGTGTAGGGAGCTCCCCCTCGGCCCCCTTCATCGTAGTCATCTTGAACCACTCAAGATCAAGCGCCATAAAATCCGGATGGCTACTCGACGCCGCCGGCTTCTTGCGCAGCTTCAGGCGCGGGGGGGTTTTCACTGCTCCGGCTCCAGCCCCGGCTCCTACGGGAGGTATTGCTGCTGCTGCTGATGGCGGTGGTAGCGCCGGCAAAGCGGAGGAGGATGCGAGCGCTGACGGGTGAGGGATTATGATCGATGACTTGGGGGCCGGGCGCGGGAAGGGATGGGGAGCAGAAATGGGTGACATAGGCGTGCGTGGGGAGTGAGAAGAAGCGCCAGGGCCGGTTGTTGGAGGGCGCGCAGAGGTGGGAGCGGAAGAGAAGGAATGCAGCGTAGGAGTAGTGGATGACCCTGGACGAGATGGGATAGAATACTGGACAGCGGGCTGTGAGACGCCCGATACAAGAGAGGGAACGGCAGGACGTGATGTACTGTCGATGGATACAGCAGTAGGAAATCGCGCGGGCGTTGGTGTTGGCGCTGGCGCAGAGGGTTGCAACAATTTGGGTGTAGGCTGCTGCTGGCTCCGCCGACCCTGAATCATGGCCGCGAGCTCTATAATGTCGGTCGTAGGTATGTCTCCCAGCTCTGAAGTAGGAGAAGCGCCTGCGGGCTCTGTCTCGGTCAAATTCGATTGGGTATGTATCGGAGCAGGCGCAAGAGAAGGTTGTGCGGTGGGCACGGATGAAAAATTGTGTTGAGATGTGGTGGCCAAGGTCGGGGAAAGGGCTGAGGCAGCCGAAGCAGAAGCCGGTGTCGCAGTAGGTATAGTGGATGTAGATGCAGCGGGAGCAGGGGTGCTCGATTTGGAGAGAGGGGCCTTTGGCGAACGCGCGCTCGAAGGGAGCGACGCGGCTGAAACAGGATTGCTCGATGACGGCCCTGCCGTCGACGTCGATGCTGATGCCTTCTCCGCGCGCGCCTGCTTGCCCACGACGGCAGCCAAAGGCGTGGACGACGACGTGGATGTGGAGGATTTGTTGCGCGATCGTCTGAGGTGCGCAGAGGGCACCTGATCAATATCGATCCCGGCGGCGGTGAAGAGGGTACGGAGCCGTTCTGTGGGGAAGGAGATCATCAAGGTTGGGTTAAGATGAGTACGCAAAAACATGATCGACTAGCTACTTGAACTGACCTTGCAGATCGGCCTCGGGGAAGAGATGGTAGTATGGGGACACAGAACCCACGAGCTGCGTGTATACCTTGAGTAGGTTCGCTTTTTCGGGAGGACATGAGTCGGGATGGAGGACAAGGTGGCGAAGGGAGAGGCCCGGGAGGTTGCCTTCGATCGTGGTGCAGGCGGTCTGTGCGGGGTAAATGTTATGCTGGGATGTTACTTGGGTAGGAGCGGTGAATGTACCTCGAGGAGATCTACCACCTGGAATAAAATGCGTCAGATATACTGAAATGACTATCATTCGCATCTCTTTTTTGAATGGTGTATGTCCTGCTGAAGCGGCAGGAAGGGCGTCGGCGTCTAATGTAGACACGGCACGAGAGAGAAGAAGATAGAACTGCGAGCGCACATACCTTTGGCCTTGCCACTGGGTAATAGGCCTTCTCTGAGCTCAGCCAGGACGCTAGTTTTCCGGCGGCCATAATGTAGCTCTCCAGCGACGCGGCGGCGGAGAGCTTACGCGTGAAGACAGGGAAGAGCTTCTCATTATTGGCCACGGCATCTCCTGGCATCTGAGCAGACAATCTGCGAGCGGAGAGGGCGAAGGGGTAAGATGGAGTTGATGGGGGATGTGATGGCGGCGGTGGATTGGAGAGAGAGGCAGGCGGCGACCTGCAGAGCGAGAGCAGAGGCCATCGACGTACATCTCCATTCAATTCATTTGCTGGACCCACAACTCGTGGGAAAATCTCCTCGTGACCGCTCTATTCCTCCAGACACAAGCTCAACTGCATCGCTCGAACAATTCTGATTTATGATACTCGTCTGCATGCCATTTGAACACTCGTTATTAGTTTGCAGAAGACAGAAATGCTACGAGGCCGGCGCGAGAGACCGCAAAGGTCTCGCAGGTTTTACGTGTCAGATTCGAGTCGGCCGAAAGAAGAAAGATGATCGAAAATTAATTTATACACCTTGCATTTGATTGAGCCTGTCCACCCTCCCTGCTCCCTCTCCGAACATACCACCGACACCCTTTGAGAAGATGGCTGAAATACACGACCAATTCGACACCGTCCTCATCCTCGATTTTGGATCACAGGTCAGATCCTGCTGCGATGCCTCTGCGCATGAGGCCGATGTAACCTGCTCATCAACAGTACAGCCATCTTATCACTCGGAGATGTCGAGAGCTCAACGTCTACGCGGAGCTCATGCCTTGCACGCAGAAGATCAAGGAACTCAAATGGAAACCAAAGGGTGAGTTCGATCTCGTCGCGTCAAATTGTGTTATTGAATCATCTCTTCAGGCGTCATCCTTTCTGGATCCCCCTACTCCGTGTATGACTCGGACGCCCCACATGTCGATCCTGAGATCTATGAACTCGGTGTACCCATCCTTGGCATATGTTATGGTCTTCAGGCAAGTATATGCAGTCTCTGTCTTCAAGGCCATATATTCGAACTCCTTTCGTTAGGAAATGGCCTGGACCATGGGCGGAAAAGTAGCCCAGTGCGACCACCGGGAGTATGGCTTTGCCCAAGTGCAGATAAGCAAAATCGGGGGCGACAACGCCTCCGTGGATGCGCTGTTCGAAGGACTGGGAGATGAGATGCAGGTCCGTCTGTCCCCCACTCGACTCCATCCTCTCCCACAAACATGACGCGCGCGTCCCAGGTATGGATGTCCCACGGCGACAAGCTCTCCACACTTCCCCCCGATTTCCATATCATTGGCCGCACGACGAACGCGCCCTTCGCCGCCATCGCCCACAACTCCAAGCCGTTCTACGGCATCCAGTTCCATCCCGAAGTAACGCACTCGCCCCGCGGGAAGGAAGTGGTCAGCCGATTCGTGCTCAGCATCTGTGGCTGCAAATCAAACTGGACCATGGTGCGCGCCCCTCCGTCTCCGCGTCTTGACCACTCTTGAATGCTCTTTTTTTGTGGACAGGAAGAATTCATCGGCAAGGAGATCGCGCGCATTCGCGACATATGCGGCCCGACTGGCCGTGTTATCGGTGCCGTGAGCGGCGGCGTCGACAGCACCGTCGCGGCGAAACTCATGCACGAGGCCATCGGCGACCGGTGAGTCCACCCCACCCCCCAATCTCGCACGAGCGCACGACTCACGGCTGCCGCCGCAGCTTCCACGCCATCATGGTGGACAACGGCGTGCTCCGGCTGAACGAAGCGCCCCAGGTGAACGACATGCTCAACAAGGACCTCGGCGTGAACCTCACCGTCGTCGACGCGTCCGACCTCTTCCTGTCGCGCCTCGAGGGCGTCGAGGACCCCGAGCAGAAGCGCAAGATCATCGGCAACACGTTCATCCACGTCTTCGAGGCCGAGGCCGCGAAGATCGAAGCTGCCGCTGAGGCGGAGGAGAAGAACGGCGCTGCGGCAAAGGGTAAGATCGAGTGGCTGCTGCAGGGCACGCTCTACCCGGACGTCATCGAGAGCATCAGCTTCAAGGGCCCGAGCGCGACGATCAAGACGCACCATAACGTTGGCGGGCTCCTCGCGGACATGAAGCTCAAGCTGATCGAGCCCCTCCGCGAGCTCTTCAAAGGTGCGCCGTTTTTCGAATCCTCCCTCTAGACGAAGACGCCTCGGGATCACATGACTGAATCGTGCCCTTTGACATTTGGCAGACGAGGTCCGCGCCCTCGGCCGTCTTCTCTCCATCCCCGCGCCCCTCGTCCAGCGCCACCCCTTCCCCGGGCCCGGCCTCGCTATCCGCATCCTCGGCCCCGTCACGCGCGAACAGGTCAAGATCCTACAGCACGCCGACAGCATCTACATCGAGGAGATCCGTCGCGCCGGGCTCTACGACCAGATCAGCCAGGCGTTCGCCGTCCTGCTGCCCGTCAAGGCCGTCGGCGTCATGGGTGACAAACGGACGTACGAGCAGGTGCGCCGCGCTTTTCGCTCGATCGTCGTGTGCGAAAATAAAATAAAAAACATCGATATCGTAAAACAGGTCATCGCTCTTCGTGCAGTCCAGTCCGAGGACTTCATGACCGCCGACTGGTCAGTACATTTCGCCCGCTCGCATCACCGCCGACTCACGCTGTCCGCATTCTCTTCCAGGTACGTCTTCCCCGCAGAAGTCCTCAGACGCATATCCTCCCGCATCACGAACGAGGTCACTGGCATCAACCGCGTCACCTACGACATCTCGTCAAAGCCACCCAGCGTACGTACTCGCCGCCTTGCTTTCGCGACACCGACGCTCGTACTAACCGAACTCGCCGACGACAGACGGTCGAGTGGCTATGACAGCGTTTTGCGCACAGTTAACTTAGAAGAGCAGAACCAAAAAGCAACTACCAGCCCGCGGTGTATCCCGTGATGTATCCAGTAGTAGACCCTCCGAAAATAGACAGTGTAAGATCGAGCACTCAGCGAAGTCCCTCTCAGAATGCCGGGCCGACCGTACGTGTCCGATCAAAAGTCCAGTCAATGCAGATACATGCGTCATGAGTTGGGTGTGCAAAAAAAACATCTAAAATACAATGAAACGATTGCGAGTCAGACGTCAAAAGCAACCAAATGCGCTCTAGGAAGCAGTGTGGACAGCTGTCGACGAGAGAGAGAGGGACAGAGCGAGTGAGTGATTATTACGAGGTAGGGTTGGTAGATAGATAAGACGCCGCCGCCTGGCAAGCACGCTCATTTTCAGGGCGATCGCACGCGACCGCCTTCGCCTCGAGGGACTACCACGCCTACGGCGCGAGCGTGTCCTTCCAGCGCTCAGCAATTGGCTCCCCCTTGAAGACCTCGAGCAGCACCTCCCGCACATCCTCGACGTAGACGAAGCGAATGCCGGTCTTAACGCTCTCTGGCACGTTCTCCTCAATGTCTGCGCGGTTCGCGGCGGGCGCGAGGATGGTCTTGATTCCTGCGCGGTGCGCCGCGAGGATCTTCTCCTTCAGGCCACCGACCGGGAGCACCTGGCCCACGAGCGAGATCTCACCTGTCATGGCTGTGTCGAGTCAAACGCCCGGGCACCGCAAGTCAGCACACACGCGCTCGTGCTGTTTGGAAAATCGACGCACCGATATCGGGGTTCACCCTCGTCTTCGTGAAGAGCGAGACAAACGCGGAGAGGAGCGCGGTCCCTGCGCTCGGGCCCTCCTTGCCGATGCTGCCCTCGGGCATGTGGACGTGGATATCTCGGTCGTTCAACACCTGGTCCGTGGGGTTCTCCGTGATCCCCAGCTCGTACGCGTGGCTCTTGACCCAGCTCAGCGCAATCTGCGCGCTCTCCCGGATCACCTCGCCGAGCTTACCGGTCAGCTGCAGGCCGCCCTTGCCCGGCATGCTCTGAGAACGCCCACAGATCAGCCATCGATCGACGAAGACGGCGGAATGAGAAAGAAACGCACGGTAGCCTCGACGGGCATGACCGCGCCGGATCCGTTGCCCAAGTATCCCAACCCGGTGCTGACACCGGGTGGCGGAGGGCGGATGTACATCCTGTCCTTGTGGTAGATCGGTGGCCCGACGTAGTCCTTCAGGTTCTCCGGGGTGATGCGCACGTGCACCGACGCGGGCACGTCGAACGGCTTGCGCTGCTCCGTCGTCACAGCCTTACGCTCCTCGGCCTTGTCCACCTGAGGCGTCGACGCCTCGGGCGCGTCCTGCGCCTCGACAGTCTTGGGTTCGCCTTGCTCGTCCGTCGGCGCCGCAGGCAGCGCGCGCGCCTCCGGGAATGCGTCCTCGCCAAGGTCCTGGACGATCTTGAGCGCGGCCTTGCGGTAGATCTGCGTGTGGTCGGCCGGTCGATCAGCTGCGCGCCCGTAAGAGACAGTCGGCGCGAGACCGTACCTTGTCGATGTGCTTCTTGAGGTTGCGGACGCCGCTCTCGCGGCAGTAGTACTTGATGAGCATGTCGACGGACGCGGGATCGAGCGTCACGTCGGCGTCCTTGAGGCCGGACGCCTCCTTGGCTTGGGGCCCCAGGTACTTGTCCGCGATGACCGATTTCTCCTCGGAGACGTAGCCGCTGACCTCGAGGACTTCCATGCGGTCGAGCAGGGGCGCCGGGATGGTGTCGAGCACGTTGGCCGTGCAGACAAAGAGGACGCGCGACAGGTCGACGGGAACGTCCATGCTGCGATCGTGACGAGGTGAGCCTGCGTGATCGCGAAGAGGGCGAGGTGGGTCACGCACTAGTGGTCCAGGAACGCAGTGTTCTGCTCGGGATCCAACATCTCAAGCAAGGCGCTGGCAGGGTCGCCGTTGATCCCACGACCGATCTTGTCGACCTCGTCGATTAACACGAGCGGGTTCTCCGTGCCGACGCGCTTCAAAGCCTGGATGATCTTGCCCGGGAGCGCACTGCACCGAGCCGTCACCGAAGAAAAAGGTTTAGCGTCCAACCCCTGCGCATATACGAACCTAAACAGGAAGCGAGAAAATAGCCGACTTACCCAACGTACGTCCGCCTGTGTCCCTTGATCTCCGCCACGTCCGTGAGCCCTCCGACTGAGAACCGGAAGAACTGGCGATTCAGCGCGCGCGCGATCGACTTGCCGATCGACGTCTTGCCCACGCCGGGTGGTCCCGCGAGGCAGATGATCTTGCCCTCAACGGTGCCGCGGAGCTTCCCGACAGCGAGGAACTCGAGGATCCGCTCCTTCACGTCCTTGAGGCCGTAGTGGTCCTCGTTCAGCACCTCCTGCGCGTGCGCGATGGAGTAGTTCTCCGGCGTGTGCTGGCCCCAAGGGATCTGTAGGCAAAGAAAGAGGGTGAGGCGGTCAACGCGAGGACATGGTGGGGAGGAGAGGATGGGCGTACCTGTGTGAGCCAGTCGAGGTAGTTCCGAGTGACATTCGCCTCGGACGCGGCGGGTTCGAGGTGCATGAGCTTGCTGAGCTCCTCGTCGAAGACCTTCTTGACGGGCTCGGGCATCTTGAGCGACGCGGCGCGCTCCTTGAATTTCTCGATGAGCTTGTCCTTGCCGTCCGACTCCATGCCGAGCTCCTTTTTGATGCCCTTGAGCTGTTCCATGAGGTAGTACTCGCGCTGACGCTTCGCAATCTTGCTGTCCACGTCGCGCGAGAGCTTGCTCTGCAGCTGCGCGTTGATGAGCTCCTTCTTGAGCACGAGCAGCGCCTTGCGCAAGCGGTCTTCGACCAGTAGCGACTCAAGCACGTCCTGCAGCTCTCCGACCTCGCCCGTCGACACCGCGGCCGCGAAGTCCGCGAGCTTGTCCGGCTCGTCGAAGACGTTCGACGCGACTTGGTTGATTGAGAAGTTCGTGATCTGATCGCGGAAGAGCGGGTTGAGCTGCGCGATGTCCTTGAAGACGGAGACAATCTCGGACATGAACGCGCGGATGTACTGGTCGTCCTTGTTGAACGGTTGCGTGACGAGGTTGTCGACGTTGACGATCGAGATGTCGAAATCCTGCAGGAAGGACGTCTGGAGCGGCGTCGGGTGGATTTTGGCGACTTGTTCGGCAGACGCATCAACTTCGATGAGCTCGGCGTCTGCTGGTGGGTCCAAGGACGGCGACGGTGACGGGGAAGGCGGCGGCGTCGGGAGCTGGTCCTCGCTCACGGATTCCAGCTGCTGCTCGACGTTTTCGACCTGGACAGTAGACATGGGAGCTCCCCCCGCCTTGACGAGATCGGTAATCTTGATCCTGCGGTGCGGGTACAGCACAGCGGTCAAGCCCTCTTCCTTATCATCGTCCTTGGATGGTCCAGTGTTGGCCGTGAAGACACTCGTGATCTGGGCGAAAACGCCGACGGGGTGGACCGAGTTGATATCCGTGATGACGTCCGAGTCTGCCTGTTCGTCCTTGAGGAGGAACGCGCCGAGGTAGGGCTGCCCACGCTTCATCATCTCCTTGATGGCGGCGACGACTTGGGGGTTGCGGACGACGACGGCCTTGTAGAAACCTGGGAAGAGAGGGCGACGGGCGATAGGGAGAGCGAGGACCTGGGGGTAGAATTCCGGGACGGACTGGCGGGATATGGACGTTGGAGGTGTGGGTGGAGGTGGCGGGGATGGTGGGTCAGCGCCTTCGGAGCCGTCGTCGCCGCCTGGAGGTGAGGACGAGGAGGACGAGGACGAGGACGGGGGCGCTGAGGATGAGGAAGACGCGCCGCCAAAGTCATCGCGCTCGCTGTCGAGCAGGACTCGGTCATGGCCAAAGGGATGTTGTAGGACGGGGCCTCTGGGAGGGCCGAATGGGTCCGCGGGGGAATAGTAGTCGACGACGGTGGAGTAGCACGCTCTTCGATCCAAGGGCGAGGGCGAGGGCAGCGCGCGGGTGCGACGGGCTTTGGCAGCCTGTGATTGCAGGACGCGGACGCGCTGGGTGGGTCGGGCTGCCGACGACGAGACCGCCGCGCGCAAGCTGGTGAAGAAATTCATCAGGCCAGCTGGCGAGACGCTCAGCGAAAGATGGAAGGAAACAGTGGAGACACGAGGCTCAGACGACGAGGACGAGGAGGGGAGAAGGGACGAGGAGAGAGTTGTCTGTGCACGCCCACGCCAGAATCGCTTTCAAACCCTCAGCGGATGACGCAAGCTTCCGTTGACAAATCACCCAGAACACCATCTGCAGCTGAACCGTCATGTCTCCAAGCACTCGCCTTACCACTAGCCCTCGCCTTACCACTAGCCCTCGCAAGAGAGCCTATTGTCTTCTGATTAGCCCTCGTGCGAACGTGAACCCCTTCCTTCATGTTACACCGGTGGAACTTGACGAATACCAATTCTCAAACTTTTCATTTTTCGACTTAGCTGGGGCAGTGGTGCCGGTAGTCAGGACGTATCTATATTTTTGGGTCGTACCCACAACCATTGCCTTCTTCTTGGTAAGCTACCCAATGTTGAATATTGTGCTTATTCCTGATCTTCGTTGGAGTACTATCATTGGATGGGTGTTCGTTTTGGGATCAATAAAAAATACATTGTTCTACAACACTTCCGCTTGATGGCCTTGGAGTTCTTGCACTATTTGTGAAACTTTTTTCCACATTGTATAGTGTAGTTTCTCTCTTTATTTTCTCACTCATGTATTGGAAAACTGGATTCCATCATTTAGGACCAGTGTTCATTCTGGTTTCAAGCATGATACAACATGGGGTCATAGTTGCTGACTCATTGAATTCAAACTCAGCAACTATGACTTGTTGAACTTTCACAACACCATCATGTTTCTATCTTCATATTATTGAACATTTTTAGGGCACTGCATACAAAAGTGCTCTAAAATCAGGGTAAGCATAATTATATTATACTACTAAAGTACAGTTAAATATATCAAATTGGCTATATTAATGGAATGTAAAACAGATATGCAACCTCTTTGATGGTCTTTGATTTATCAGTGTCAAAAAAAGTGCAGGCTTCAGTAATGCCCTGTTTGGTATAGCTACTTTTGGCTGCCTTTAGCATGGTTAATATGCATATTAGATAATGCCACTGATACTTCTTCTACATGGCAAACCCTCATTTTTGATCTTTCCTAAAATGGCCCTTTTTGGCCATTCTGTCAATCCTGGCTATTAAGATATTTCTTAGAATTCATTACCAACTATTAAAATCCTCATTCTATGAAAGGTTTGAAGAGCCTTTAGAAAGGATAAATATTGTTTCAAAACCAATATAGATTCCCGTGATATATGTAATTTTTGAGAACACCTGGCATCAGGTCCAGAGCCTTTTGCACGCTGGCGTTTCCAGACCATCGAGGCCCTTGTCAGTGACTTGAGCTTCCTCACGAGACATCAATCTTTCCAACATCCTCTCCATCTCATCCCCGGCCTATTGGAGTTTCCATCTTGCACGCATGCCCTCCAATAACGGAGGATCCCAGTCCTTGTACACAGCTTCCAGGCCCTCATCAGCTGCAGGGGGGCGTGGAATGGAAATATCTAGTTTGCGGAGTATGCCCTCGAGAGCCTGGACGTAAACATGCATCGCACACAACTCACTGCAATAGTAGTGTGCGAGCTCATAGCCTAATCCTCACATACCTTCCACCCGCCTCGACAACGAATAAATTTTATCAGCAAATTCTGCTTGCTTGGTGCGTACGACCGCCGTTGCTACTTGATTAACCTCGTATTACATGTGCAGGTTCCTGAGTTCATCCAGGATCTCGCAAAAAGGAAAGTTGTGGAGAGCGTTCGGAGCGGCGGATGCACTTTCTTCTGAGTCTTCGTAGTACTCTGCACAGACCCGAAGCCCTTCTGTATCACCCAAGCGTATCGGCGACGAATGAGCAGTCTCTGAGCCCACTTCTATTGATTGCGGGCCTGTCAGCGAGGTGTTCCATTGCAATCAATTCAATGCTACTCACCAGCCTTCCTGTGAGTTTTCTTATCAGTGCGGTGGGTGAGAATTGCCTCACACTGTGTGCCTGTTGTTTGAGAATCCAATCCACCATCCTTGGTATACCATCTGGCTCGCAATCCATCATTATTCAGCTTATACGCACATTGACATCATGAAAATGAGAGCTCGTGTGTGCTGACGGAGTTGCTGCTCCACTGGATTTGGCCTCAGTTCGAGAGAGGGCAACAATGGTCGAACTGTGGATGTTATTGACAAGGCGTCGTGGTCATTGACCGGTGAGGACATCTTGCAAGTGGGACAGTCGTCAAGTGCTGTCAGCCAATTGACACTGCGGTGAAGAGGCTGGTCACTGTGGCAGGTTATCTGATGCCAGAGTCCAGACAGCCCCCAAAAGGCATGAGGCTGCCCTTGTTTTCAACCTTGAGGAGTCTCTTCCTCCCAGCTCGCCTGCACACCTTACGAACATGCCAGAATAATGCCGCCTGCTATGTCGAATCACCTCAACGAGGCCATCGGTGCAAGTCATCTCTGTCCATCAACGGGGGCTTAGAGAATACAAGCGTCGCATTGCCGCAGGCGCCAAGGGTAGTCAATGTTGGACTTTGATACGTCCTCTGCTGTCCCCCCGTGTCCTTGACGTGGCCACAATACTGCTCGCGATAGCGGTTGCAGTATGGGGCTCTTTGCTCTGCTCATGTCTGCATTTTGAAATGGATAGGGGGGCAAGATCACTGCTGTCAGTGTTGTGGCTATTTCTGCCCTTCACTTTCCCCCTTGTTGGCCTTGTGTTCATATTGAGTACATTCATCTCTATACACCACCTTCCCTGAGTGCTCAAACATCCTTAGGTTTGCTATGCATAAGGCACCTCTTGCAGCGCAGGCCAATGTGGTCCTCCACGCACACAGACCACGGACAGAACCAGGATATCAACCTGTTCGTCCATGGTACACTTAGCCTCTGGGGGGTTGTCTTAGGTATGTTCTTGCTAGTCCTATGAAGTTATTGACTCATGATTCAATTAACCAGTCATGTCCTCTAAGTGCACCATTGGTCATGTCCTGGAGAAGCTGCGATGTCGTTGACTGATCGCAAATTTGCACCGTGTGCGATATCAAGTCTTCCACGCCGGCGCACCTACTCTCAAGGATACTGACATTCTGGAATTAGTGGGAATTGCGAATAACACGACACTGCATGTCCGAGCATGTGTACTGGGTGGTATGCCCATAGAGCAACACCGAGGGAATGCTGCACAAGGAAGGAATGCACGCACCTCGTTCAATAAGCAGATGGGTGAATTCTCTTCCAACTATTCTGAGAGTGAGTGTTTGTTTCACTCCTTGATTTCAATCGGCCACTTAGCCCGTATTAGGATGGCACCCAGAGCTTTCATAGCACAGTTGGTTCCACTGCCTGCCCTGTGACAAGGCCGTACAAGCTCGCTATCTCGATCAGCACGAAGGAACAAATGCACACAATAAACACCTGCAGTTCTGGCGTGTTGACTCCGATCTGTCCAACAGCAACACAGATGAACCCCGGCGGTGTTTGCAAGAGGGCGAGTACCTCCGCGGGAACTTGGGCCGAATCCTCGCGAATTTAGGGGGTCGGAAGTCATCACCGGACATCTTGCAAAACATTCCATCAGATTTCAATAACCGGCCAATCGAGATGGATTGGAGCAGAGCCAATCTCAGTGACTACCACCAGGATTCCTTCCAGGCTTCAAATGCCATTAACACGCTTGCGGCTGACCTTCAGCAGTATATACTCCATAGTGAAGCTGTTGACGCGGATTCAGACAATGAGGAAGCTGAGCTTGATGAGGCTGCACTTGAAGAACACACTTGTGTTGGTATGCGAGCCCCCCGGGAGATTTTATTGCTGCTAATAGGTGCCTTCCTTTGGCAGATCAAACCGATGAGGATCCAAATGCCATCTTCGTAGGCCATGCACATCCAGCATAGAAGTTCAATCCCGATGAGAGCTCACTGTGGTTTCCATGGTCTGACTGTGAGGTAGGTGCAAGAATTCTCACCTAGATGCCTGCAGGTACACTGACTTGCCCACTGTCAGACATGTGTCGTAGATATTCTACATTATGTACCAAGGTATGTCTTTTCGGACAAAGACAATGCGGTGATTCATTGGGCTCTCTTGGCCCTGGGAGTCTGCAACGTGCCCTCTGAACGATCCATGAAGGATGTCTAGGACTGTCTACAGCAACTATGTGGCATCCAGAGCCTGCGCTACCAAGGAGCGTTAGGGAATCTTTTCTATGTCAATGACTTTGCTGCAATTGTAGCCCAGGTCCATCAATGTTTCTAATGTGGACAAATGTGTCTTATTGGCATGCATTCAAATGTTTGGTGACAGGAGATGGCAAACCCTTGTGTGCGCCTGCACCTCCATTTCTTGCCAGAGGATGCTGGTTCAAGGCTCGCCGAAGCATGGCAAGGCCACCAATGGCTCCATGAGCTTGACTCTGAGCTTACAACGCCAATGGTCCGATTGGAGGGGCAGGACTACTATATATTTGAGCCTGCACTGCTACGAGACAGTCAAGCGTGTGTACCATACCGATGGTTCATTCACGAGGATCATATATGGGCACGCACGTGGACTATGACAACGACAGGGACCAGTTCTGGTCACCAGCAATGGGTCGTACTTGAGCACTTGGAAGTTGAGATCCCAATCACCTCCTTCAGTATGGCATTCCCTCATTTCCAGCGGTCATTCTTGCGACTGAAAGTTCCGAGTCCTCAGAGTATACTTGGTATAGTGATGCTCTCTTCCATAGGGGTCAATGCACTGATTCGGTGTTCGTCACATGCAGGATGTCAAAAAGTGGCTTTGGGGGCAATTACACCATGGACATACTCGGATTCTCAATGCGGTAATCGCTAGCGCTCCACAAGTCAAGGACACCATGTTGTTGCCTTCCCAGTATGGCTGTACTGCGACGACACCTCAGGCAATGTTTTAAAAAAATGGAACAAACATAATTCCTTCTTGTTTACCACTACGGAATTGCCACGTCACTTTGTGCATCAAGAATCTAGCATACATTTCCTGTCCACTTCAAATGTTGCCCCACCGCTGGAAATGCTAGATGGAATTGTTCGTCAACTGCAGTGCGCTTACCATTGATCTCTGCTTTATTTGATAGCTTAACAATGACCAGGGATTGCCAGAAAAGCGGCATATGGGCATGGGATTGCATTCTCCAGGAGGCTGTGCTAGTGATCCCCTCAGTCTTGGCTATGCTCGGGGATAATCCCATGCAAAGTGAGATGGCATGTCACATCGGCCTCCAGGGCAAGAGGTTCTGCCATGCTTGTTGGGTTGCTAGAGATGAACATGATGACATTGACGAGGATCGTGAGTGATGTCCCCTGATGGTGATAACAATGACAATGGGCTCACACAACATTGTCAGAGGAACTTGAAGGCCAATGGCAAGCAAATAGCAATGCTTCTTCAGTCGAGTCTGGTCCTCACACTGGAGCTGAGGCAAGTGTCTCCCAACCACCCAAACAAAAGCGGGCTCGCAAAAACAAGGAGTCCATGCCAGACATGATCTCTCATATCACGCACTTCATGAATGTAAGTCACTGCTTTTGTGAGGACTGCTGTCCATGAACTCACTGCTCATGTGGGCACTAGGTGGGAAGCCGACTGCGCATTCGAGTGGAAACCCTGAAAAACTTACAAGAACAGTGGAAGCATGCCTAATGCATTGGGGGTTTGGCGGCAATCAAGAGGCTCTGCACAGCAGCTGGCATCAAGGATACCTTCCAATCCCATTTTATTGAAAGGCTCACGAATGTCTTGCGTTTGAGGGGGAACAGTCGTGAAGCAAAGGAGCAAGATATGAACAGGTTGTTGAGCTCCTTTCCTCAGGACATGGAGCATTGTTTATCACCAGTGTGGCGCATCAAAGGTGAGTTGGCACTTCTTGCTCGCCCTTTGAAGCATATTTAAAGTCTTCCAGACTTGAATCCCTACGCCAATACCCCCGTTGAAATCCTGCATGTTATCCTGATTGGTTTTGTTAAGTACTTTTGGCTTGATGCGGTCGCTCGGATAGCTGCAGACAAGAAACCAATATTGATGGCCCGGCTGTCTAGTTTTGACACATCAGGCCTCAACATTCCGCCTCTCGCAGGCTACACCTTGGTCAAGTATGCTGGATCTTTGACTGGCCAAGACTTCCGTGCCATCGCACAGGCGGCACCTTTTGTGCTTCACAACTTGGGCCTCACTGACGATCAGCTGCATGCCTGGGTTGCTTTGAGTGCACTCATATCACTGGTGTGGCAGCCCAACATTCTAGATATCAACCATTACCTAGTGAGTCAATCAGTCTTTACTTCGAAAGTGCTGAACCCATCATACAACACAGTTGGAGCTCCAAGCCTCTATCCATTATTTCTTGAATTGCACATGTCGCCTCATACCACGATGGTTTAATAAACCGAAATTACACATCCTCATCCACCTGCCGGAACATATTTGGCAGTTTGGGCCCCCTATGCTCTTTGCAACAGAAGGATTTGAATCGTTTAATGCGATCATCCGAGCGCACAGCATCCACAGCAACTGTTATGCTCCATCCCGAGACATTGCCAAATTGATGGTATAGTGTAACCGCACTTGCTATCTTCTTAGTGGAGGCTACTTCCGTCACTTCACACCCAGTGAACTTTCACCCAACGACAATGTCTCCCATAGTGATAATTCAATCAATCAACTTGCTATGGCTGGACAGTTGCCTTGGCTGGCAACACAGCAACCTTCCAAGAGGACCCATTGGATTACCATTGGTCCACAGCCCAGAGAACTTGTGGATGTCAATGATTTTGGTGAGCATCTCCTAGGATTCAAAGAAGATCATAAGAATCATACACGAGTGAGTGCCGGTGAGCAAACACATTGAAGGTCTAAAAGAACAAGCCCTCACTTATGTCGTGCTGCACAGGGTTGGTTCAAAAGGCCGGCAAGCCACTTGTGTGGATGCAAACAGTCACATCAGAACTAGGGCTTGCCATACCCCCAGGTATATCATCCACGGGTGTGCGGAGCCCAATGCGTGTCATGGCAGCAAATGGTGATTGGTGTGACCGGAATGCATGGGTTCTTATATCGCCTGAGAGTGGAGTAGATGCAAGGCCCCAGTTAGGACTTGTGAAAGAGGTATTACAGGGTGTTGCTTCTGGTGCAGAGAGCCGAGGCATGGCCAACTGGATTGTCATCCAACGGGCAACAGTTGGCACACCCCATGACTTGTACCACATGCCACAAGTCTCACTCCTTGCCAATTACACAGTCGTGTGCGCAGAGGTGAGGCATCCTCTCACACACATCTCGCTTATTATTATTATGTTACTGAACACTTGCTTTGTATCTGCAGGCCATTCAAGGGACGGTCAATGTACTGCACAACTGTCGTGATATGTCGTGCACAGTTATAAAAACTCGACCTGTATATCAAGAACGCAAACAATCCAAACAGCATACTGACGAGGTTATTCACTCCTTGCAAGGGTGCTACATATTGAATACCTGTCAGATGCGTAACCAATCTTTACTCAAAACCTTCTGCCCTCCGACAAAGATATTGGATCATGCCCAGGTGGTCTTCATGGCTGTGAGAAAGGAGATAGACATGATCAAGGCTCATGCCAACATCTGGAAAAACACCCCCTTGTATTAGCTCTGGATTATATCTGATAGTGTCTAAAAGTATCTAAAAGTGTTAATAGCATCTAAAAGTATCTAATTTTCTAATTGGGAGCAACACATTGTGAGCATTGGATTGGTTTCTAATTTCATGATATTAGCACTAATTCTATACTAAGAAGTCTCTAATTATTAGTAGGAAATAGTAAGTACTACTACTCTATCAGTGAGAAGGTAAAGATGTCGCACATTCTATACTATTTTAGCATATTACTCTCTTTTATATATGCCTATATCATTATCTTGTAGCTCTTTTGCTGACTTTCCAGCTGCTTTTATAAGGGATATAGAAAGAGAGAAATATGCATTGATGCTCTCAGCCACTTTGTTAGCAGCTTGGCAGCTGCCACAAGAGGCTATGAAGACCTAGGTACCTTGTCCTTGCACACAAGATCATTAAAGTTGTCATTGTTAGCCAATGCCTGCTACTGGTCATCATAGGACACAACATGTGGGCTGGGCTTAGGGATATGCTATATGCAGCCTTATAGACCTTGTCTATTAGTATAGTGGCTAATACTGTCTTGTGCAGCACACAATCATTATCACTATTGATATAACAATTTTTAGCACTATTTATATTGTTTATTGCCTTGTTATACAGAAGATGCTCAAACTTGGTGTTTTCTTCTAGCTATTAGGCTGTGGAAAAGACAGTCATATTGGTATGTGGTGCCAGAATGATATATTTGCCTGCTATATAGGAAATATATGCATTAAGCATATTAAGATCACCTCCAACAATCTTGTGCTTATTTATATACATGCCATACATATACTCTTGTCCCCACCCTCTACCTTACTAGTGGTTATTTGGAAAACCCCTCTCTTTTATTGGATCTTGATTATTCATAATCATGTTTTTGATCAAATTTGCAAATTCAGGTAGCATTGTCTATACTAGTAGAGTCCCATTGAATATTACACTCAATCATAGTTTTACACATTCTCAGTCCAAATTGTGTAAGTGTCATAATCTATTTTTATCCTATATAAAGTGTATTATCAATTTTCCATTGGTTTATTATCTTCTTAGCTTGTGTTTAAACTAAATCCTGAAAGACCTGACTTTTTAGGTATTTATTGACCTATTTATTTATAAGATAGAGGAAAGATAAATGTCTGGGAAAATCAGAGATGTTGAGGTTGCCTATATTATGTCTACTTATTTAGATTACTGAGTTTATATCTTAGACCTTGTGGCTTAGTGGCTCAGAGCATCTGTCCCGGGTGCTTGCATACATGAGGTTGTTAGTTCAACTCTGGCAAAAGGCAAGTTTGTTATAAGATATATTCTGTGTTTAAGTATTGAACTAGTGCTCTGAAATAGACATGACTCTATAAGAAGGCTATGAGAACTGTGATGCTTGATTTATTATGATTTTTCCGAAATTTCAAGTTATAATCAATCCTAATAATTCCTAATTTAGGAAAATTATGTCTAATTAGAACAGGTTTAGAGGGGGGGTAAGCTAAAAATATCTAATCCTAATTGTTCTTAATTATGCATAAATAGAACTAATTAGAGCTTAATACAAAGGGGTGGTTTTCCAGATGTTGCAATGAACTGGTGCTCATCTACGACCCCAAAATTGTCCTCAATATGCAGTCAGCGAATGGCGAAATCAACCAATCCTTGGGCCTCGCACGCAATGTCCTATTTCTCATCGGCAACATCACCCTGTACCTCCAAGTCCACATTATTCAGAACCCAGCCTATAACGTTCTCCTCGGTTGGCCTTTCGACATCCTCACCAAAAGTATTGTCAAGAATTATTCAAATGAAGACCAGACAATCACTATCAGTGACCCAAACACAGGACAACGAGCCACCATTCCAACAATCAGACAAGGACCCCCTCGAGTTCTTCACCAGAGACAAGCAGGTTTCTGCGACTCAATGAATTGATCTGAGATCAAGGAGAAGTTGCACTGATCATTTCCACCAATCATGATACCCCCAATTTCCCACTTATCAAAGTGTCCTCAGATTTCCATTCTCTATCTCCCTCTTGTCGCGATCTTTGTCTCAAGTACATTATAGCCTCCAATTTGGGGCCCGCAAATCATCTCAAAAACAATCTTGATTCCGATATGTCATCCCGATTCTCCTCAGTCATCCCCAGTTTGCTCTATTCCACTAATATTGCCAACCCGGTCACCATCTTCGCCACCAAGCACAAGTACAAACTGGTTGCTCAGAAAACACAACCAGTCTTGGCCAACCTCTCTGAAAAGTTCCGAATCATTTGGAACATCCTTGGTGACCCTCTTGCTACCCTTCAAATGCTGACACCGAGCCTGCCACCCTTCATGCCGACCGGCAGATACACAGCCGAATGACACAACCTCATCAATAAAGTCCACTTGGACGACTTCCTTTGGCCCGCCGAATGACAGCTCATGCACCATTTCATGTGTCTACAAGAGATGGGATTTGCCTGGGACGATTTGGAACGTGGACATTTCCGCAAGGAATTCTTTCCTCCTGTCAATATGCCAGTGGTCGAACACAAGCCCTGGGTTCAACGCAACATTCCGATTCCACCAGGCATCTACGATGAAGTGTGCCAACTTATCAAAACCAAGATCACTGCTGGAGTCTATGAGCCATCAAATTTGTCCTACTGATCGCACTGGTTTACGGTCATCAAGAAGACAAATAGCACCTCCACTGGCACCAAACTCCGAATCATTTACAGCCTCGAACCCCTGAACACAGTCACCATCCAGCATTCAGGTGTGCCCCCATATACTGATCAGATCGCTGAACAGTTTGCAGCTCGTGCTTGCGGCAGCATTCTGGATCTCTATGTTGGCTGTGACGAACGAGGGCTAGCTGAATCATCTTGCAACTTTACCACATTCCAGACCCCATTTGGCACTCACTGACTCATCACCCTGCCCATGGGATGGACAAATTTGGTCCCAATCTTCCACGACAACATTACCCACATCCTCCAACCAGAGATCCCAGATACCACTATTCCTTTCATCGATGATGTCCTAATTTGGGGCCCACCGACCCAATACAAACTTCCAAACAGCGGCTTCGAAAAGCACCCCGAAAACCCACACTTTCAAGGCCTCAATCAAGTGGTTCAGTAGATGAAGTATAGCGGAGGGACCTTTTCGGGACACAAAGTGACACTCTGCACAGCCGAAATCATGGTGGTCAGCCATCGGTGCACATACGAAGGACAATTACCCGACGAGTCTAGGGTAGAGTCAATTATGGAAGTGGGGATCTTGCAGGGATCTCTCTGACATTCAGGCATTTCTGGGGATGATCGGTGTTGTTTGGATCTTCATTTGGAATTTTGCACACAGAGCATATGCACTAACAATGTTAACACACAAAGATTTTCCATTTGTGTTCAGCCCAGACCAGATAGCGGCCCAGGATGACCTCCGGTCAGCGCTTCTCAAATCGCCAGCCCTTTGGCCAATCGACTATGGGTCGGCAGCCAATGTCATCCTCGCCATCGATACCTCACAAATCACGGTCAGCTTCCACCTCTGTCAATGTGCACTCAACAATCCACAGGTTCAGTACTATGCCTGATTTGGCTCTATCACCCTTAACGACCACAAATCACGATTCTCCCAACCCAAGCTCGAACTCTATGGCCTCTTCCATGCTCTCTGATCACTCAAAATGTATCTCATCGGTGTTCGGAACCTGATAGTCGAAGTAGATGCATGCTACATCAAGGGCATGCTCACTAACCCGGATCTCGAACCCAGCGCTAGCATCAATCGATGGATTGTCTCCATCCTCACCTTCCATTTCACACTTGTCCACATCCCCAGCACCTCTCACAGCCCTGATAGACTCTCCCGATGACCACCACAACCCACCGATCGACCTGAACTTGAAGACAACTTTGACAACTGGATTGACAATCTCTACAGCTTCCTCCATCAGATCAACAACATGTTCCCCACCTCCGACTCAACCTCGACAACTGCCATCTTTACCTCCTCACTCATAGGCGATCTCCCGACCAAGGCCAACTCCAATGACGAAGGCCCGACCATCGACTATTTGGATATCCCAAAATTGCAGAAAGCTTTGGAAGCTGAGGAATGCCTATGGTTGGTCTGCAACTGGCACCGAACATTGGTTTGGCCCCCTTCTCTCTCCAACTCCGAATATGCCACCTTCCTACAATATTGCACTAAGTTCTTTATTGCAGCTGACAAGCTATGGAGAAAAGACTTGCACGATTGACACAAGATTGTTGCAGCCCCCTCTAGTCGGATCACAATCCCCACTGCCGCCCACAACGACGTTGCTCACAAGGGATTCTATGCCACGACCGCCTTGGTTGCCAAATGCTTCTGGTGGCCGCACATGAGGCAAGATATTTCCTGGTTTGTTCGGACCTATCACCTTTGCCAGATTCACCAGACTCACAATATCCTCATTCCCCCGACCGTCACCACGCCTGCACCACTCTTTGCAAAGATGTATATGGACACCATGCACATGCCAACCGCTGGTGGTTTCAAGTATTTCATTCAAGGTCGCTGTTCGGTATTGCACTACCCCAAATTCCGAATGCTACGATGCGAAACAAGCTCAGCCCTTGCCGACTGGATCTTTGAGGATATCCTGTGCCAATAAGGGACATTGGTAGAGATCGTCTCTAACAATGGACCAGCGTTTGTCAAGGCGCTCAACCAGTTAGCAAAAAAGTACCACATTCAGCACATCCGTATTTCGGGCTACAATTCTCGCACCAACAGCATTGCCAAACGACCTCACTTTGACATTCGGCAGGCTCTGTTCAAAGCCATTGATGGAGATCAGGCCAAGTGGAATCGTGCAGCTTATTTCATATTTTGGGCTGATTGCATTACTATTCAGCGCCGAATGGGTTGCTTGCCATACTTCACAGCAACCAGAACCCATCCCCTTCTCCCCCTTGACATTGCCAAAGCCACCTACCTCCTGCCACCGCCGACCACAATTCTCAGCACCACTGACCTCATCGCCTAATGGGCCATTGCCTTGCATAAATGCCAATTGGACCTTGCCCACCTTTGCAGCTCAGTTGTTGGCACCCATGTCCAGGCCGCCATCTAATTTGAACAACAGCATTCAGCCACCCTTCGTGACTTCAATTTCCACCGAGGCTCACTTGTCCTGATGCGCGACACAGTCATAGAAAAGGTGCTCAATCGGAAGATGCGTCCACGGTATTTAGGACCTTTGCTAGTAATTTCTAGGAATCAGGGAGGAGCGTATATTCTGGCCAAACTTGATGGATCGGTCTTTGATTAGCCAGTTGCAGTATTCCGCATTATTCCTTATTTTGCTTGCAGGTTGCTGAAGCTCACCAACCTTGAAGCCCTCCTTAACATCTCGCAGGAACACCTTCGGGCCATGGAAGATTCCCGATCAAGCGACAATAATGCCAAAAATGATAGTGCCAATGAAGATACTGACACCAGCTCAGTCTGGTCAGCAAAAGATGATGATGCAGCTTCGGTGACCTCTGACTAGATCCCACCTGCCCACCCTCCGCTCTCTTTGGTCAGTGACTGGGGACAGTCATGATTTCAGTAGGGAGGAGGATTCACAGATATACCCATTCCTTATCTTCGTTCATTCATCACAGACATGGACTGACACCCAATCTTTTCCATATCTCTTAGTACTTTTGCCACCAACCGATCGCCGACCAAATAGTTGACCCTCATTTTCCCCATCACTCCTTCAAGTACCAAGCCGCATTAAAAACTTCTTCCAATTTGCGCAAAACCATAGGGTTTTATGCCTGTGATGACATACTGAGGCTTCCCCTAATATTCCAATTTATTTTCCTTATTTCCGCTGAATACTTTGCTTACAAGTACATTCACACATAGCCATTTCACCAACTGATTTCCCGAATGATGCCTCTGGTCTAAGCTGAACGTCTCATTCAATTCAGGACAGTCCCTTTACTACTATATTACATTGGACTATACTATAGAACCGTTGAAACTATTCTACTTATCAGGTATGAAATTGCCCAACACAGACATATCCAAATCCTCCGCTGCCGACAAATCCTCAACCAAGATGATGTCTGAAGACGTAAATGGACCTACCGCACCTCGAGTGACTCCAACTCTGCCTGCCACATCTTGATCAACCGCACCAACGAAGCCCATGTACCCTCGGCCATAGCAATCCAGTACCAAAGGTCAGATACAATGCCTTGCACAACAATTGGCGACAAACGAGACAAGTCGGACAGGGTGGGGATAGTGACAGAACAGGAATAGGAGGAGGGAACAGCACAGGTGGTGGTGGGAAGGCATTGGACAGGCTTCCGAGCCCACACACCTAAGACAACCCGATGAGCTCCCATCCCAGCACTAATCAAACCGTTACTCGCCTCTGGTCTGTGCTATGCTCTCACCAACAGAACATTCGGGCATGAGAACCTTGACCTTGCATTTTTTTGACAGGCGCAACAGCTCATTCGCTTCTGACTTGTCGGAAGCCTTCTCCTTCAACTTCCCCTTACCCATTGACTTTCCTTTCCCCGTCGGTGTCCACCTGAGCTAGAAACTGCACCCCTTTTGCTGGTCAGCGCACTTGATACAAGACACCTGACCAGGCCGGGTGTAGCAACAAAATGCCACAGTCGAGAAATCGGAGGAGCACCAACTACAGGCGTACTCAGCCTAGAAAAGAAGAAGGTCAGTGTTATGATCACGTTCTGTCGGGCCTTAACGGCGGTCTATACCGACACGATCATCACAAATATCAAGCGGCCTCACAGGTGAGGCATACAAACAAGGTACAGATAGTAACCTTGGTCATCCACTCCCAACGGATCACCTTATCGTTGGTCGAGTATCACGGGCCTATTGTGTAGCGGGCATGGAACACCGCCTTACAAACTACTCACACATCGGGCATTGAGCTCCTAGTCGTTCCTGGCCGGAAGGAGACTAACGGAGAAACACAAGAGTAGTCGTTATTGAGAGAGACGACTTAGAGAAATACCTATGGATACATATACGGTATTCTCACGCCCTACTTCCTAAAGTAGTATAAAAGGCCCATAGAGTAGGCTGAGGTTCTTCAGTCTATTCTCTTCGTTCACTGTGGTCTTCCTACCACAGTACTTCGTTCTTAGGCAGTCTTCACACTGTCTACTTCGTTCGTTGTGGTCTTCCTACCACAGCACCCTCATCCACTGTAGTCTTCCTACTACAGTCTTCATTGCTATATCGCAATACACTTCTGGCTCCTGTGCTACACGTACAGCCGAGACCATCGTTCCACACATCCTCCACGAGTGACCTAGGGAAGAACCTCCTACTCTTGGGGTTACCGACGAGCAGTCGTAACACTAGAATAGACTCTTCTGCCCCTACCTTGCTCGCACTAGCTTGCTGCCACACTCTCTCTCATAACCTTGCTTAGTGGGGATATAGACCCCCATCGAGAAAGTGTTACTGCACACACTCTGGAGCAAGACCTAGGCCGGGAATACCCACCCGGCACTAGACGTATCGATAACCAACTCCGTCACAACAATCGCCCTATCCGGCGCGAAGGGGACTTCTGGGTCTACGAAGACAACAACAGATACGCCCCCCCGAATTACGATAACTGCTCATACCGAAACGGGCGTTATTACTTCACCCTTGAAGACGGAACAGAAGAAGAGGATATTTGGAATGAAACAGAAGCTCAGTGGGAACTAGCCCCACAATACAGGGAACCGGCGCCAGTAATCCCCGAAGACTCGGAGCAAGAGGAAACGACCTCAGAATCAGACTCCGACTCACCAGACCAAACACCGATCAACACCTGAAACGAACCGCTCGCCAACATGTCGGGACAAGCTTCGACTTCTACAGACCCCCCTTCCGCGACAGTACAACCCGGAAGAGGGAAGGTCAAACTCCCAGACAACTATACAGGCAACCGCATTGAATCCCAGAAATTCATGCTCCAATGCCTCCTTCTTTTCGCAGCAGAATCCGATCGGTACAAGACCGATCAAGACAAGATATCCTTGGTACTCTCATGCATGAGATATGGCACGGCAGGAGCTTGGGCCGAGAACTTCCTCCTCAAATCAGTAGGAGCGGACCCTCCCACTGATCTAGGAACCTGGAGGGACTTTTTAGCAAAGTTCAAGCTTCAATTTAGGGAGACCGGCAAGACCGATAAAGCGCGAAGCGCACTCATGGCCTTCTCCCAAGGACGAATGACGGTTGATGAATATTCCAACCAATTCATCCTCATTGCCGCCGATGCCGACATCTCCGACAAGGAGCAAGTCCCTTACTTCCAACGCGGGTTAGACCCGCGCGTCATGGACAAAATATATGACAAGGAAGTTCAACCAAAAGATACCATCCAGGATTGGATTAACACAGCCTGCGAAATAGACGGACGACTCAGAGCCAGATCCGCTCAAAAGGCCATCCTTGCCAACTCCACCTCCTTTCGCAGCGATTATCTGAATCGTTTCCACACCCAACCAGCTGTCCGCTATAACTCCACAACTGCCCCTCGCAGAATGAACAACCAGGTGGCTGACATGGACATTGACGCTACCAGAAAGCGTAACGCCGAAAGTCAAAAGAGAAAATTTGACGGCAAGCGAACCACCTCCTGTTCTAACTGCGGAAAGCCAGGGCACTCTAGTGCTAACTGTTGGTCACCACGTAGAGGCGTTCGCCCAGTTCGAGGAAACTCGAAGAGACGCCTGGGTACGACAGGGAGAGGAAACCGCACGGTTGATTTGGAAGGAGAAGACGACGCACCCGCTATGGGAGACCAAGCAGGAATATATCGAGGAATGGAGACAGAGGATGTTCATCGCAACGACCAGCGGGTACCACAACCTGGTCCTTCGATGGAACGTCCTCACTCTGCCCCATCCGGACGACCCCAAACGAACCATGGGCAACGCGTTATGTTACCTAACGGACGACGGGGAGACGGAAGCGTCAGTCATTCTGCTCGAATCGGAGCAGTGCTCGGAGAACTAGGGGAAGATGAAGCAAGAGAAGTGATCTTGGGACACGCGGAGCGTTTTTCCTGACCTCTCCCTCACCAGCGAAGGAGAGAGGTCAAGAACGACCCGAGTTTGATGCCCGCACTTGTATTCGTATCGGAGCAATGAACGACTGTATCATCACTCCCATACGCCTGAACGTGAAAGTATCAAACAGGAGTCAATACGCTGGAGCAAAGGCAACCATCGACTCGGCATGCGAGGGGGTTATAGTAAATGAAACTTGGGTCAGGAGACATCGCTTTCCCACCTACACACTCAACAACCCCATTCGCGTCCGGAACGTCGATGACACCATTAATAAAGCAGGTCTCATCCGATCAGCCTTGGATGTGAACCTCACCATTCGGGACATCAGGGGACGAACGCATACTGAGCGCGTCCAGATGTTTATCTCCAATCTAGGGAAAGACGACCTTATCCTAGGAACAGATTGGTTGAAATACCACGATCCCTCCATCAAGTGGAGGCGACGTGAAGTGCACTTTGATCGGTGCCCCCAGAAATGCCAGCAACCACATGGGTTCACTAGGGCAAGGGAAGAACCGCAAAACAATGGGCGGTTATCAGACGTGGAGCCACGGCACAAACCACGCATTAACGAGCGCGAAAAACAGCGCCTAGAACATCTCCGAAGATTGTCGGAAGATGTAGGACTCCGCGATCACAGCGGAACGTTTGGTGTCCAACTACGAGCATACCTCAAAAGGAAATGGCTCCTACAGGACATAAGGAAATACGCAGAAGAGAAACGAAAGGCTCAAGCCAAACCATCTCTTTCACCAAACGGGGGAGAACCCGATGATGAGCATGCACCCGCGCTAGGGTCCGAGGGAGGGATTCGGGAAGCTTTGGGGAAATACCGAACAGTGCTAGACAAGTACCGAAGTCGCCGACTTTTACCGAACACGGTCGGTCCCTACCCGACCGACGACAAGCCACCGAAGGACGATTCGGCAGCACT